CGACGACAAAACGGTACGGGTGTGGGATATACAGACGGGCGCGTGCGAGCAGACACTCGAGGGTCACTCCAGTGAGGTCTATAGCGTGGTGTTCTCGCCTAACGGGTCGCGCGTCGCCTCTAGCTCCGGGGACAAAACGGTGCGGGTGTGGGATATACGAACGGACGCGTGCGAGCAGACACTCGAGAGTCACTCCAGTGAGGTCTATAGCGTGGTATTCTCGCCTAACGGGTCGCGCGTCGCCTCTGGCTCCGGGGATAAAACGGTGCGGGTGTGGGATATACGAACGGGCGCGTGCGAGCAGATACTCGAGGGCCACTCCGGCGTGGTCGACAGCGTAGTATTCTCGCCCGACGGGTCGCGCGTCGCCTCTACCTCCGACGACAGAACAGTACGGGTGTGGGATATACAGACGGGCGCGTGCGAGCAGACACTCGAGGGCCACTCCGGCGTGGTCGACAGCGTAGTGTTCTCGCCCGACGGGTCGCGCGTCGCCTCTAGCTCCGACGACAGAACAGTACGGGTGTGGGATATACAGACGGGCGCGTGCGAGCAGACACTCGAGGGCCACTCCGATATGGTCAACAGCGTGGTGTTCTCGCCCGACGGGTCGCGCGTCGCCTCTAGCTCCTTCGACCGAACAGTGCGGGTGTGGGATGTTACCACCGGAACTGAGTTACTGTGCTACGATTCTCATATCTACGACAACGATATTGAATTTATTGACAACGGCTCAAATATTCTGGCCAATGGTCAAGTCATAAATATTCCACAACAATTACCACGACCTACTGTTACAACGGAATCATCGAGCTTTAACATATCATCCGGTGGCAAGTTGGGAGTCACTGGCGGCTGGATTACATGGAGCTCACAAAGAATATTATGGCTGCCGCCTGAATATCGTCCTACATCATGGCTAGGCCTACGCGATATTATTATCATCGGGAGCGGAAATGGTCGTGTTACTTTCGTGCGTTGGACTGTGTAGTCATCCTTCAATTAAAGACTGACCTAATAATATTTTTGTAATAACTTTACGAGCGAGAGGTCTGGAGAATTTCTTTCTTAACCGTATAATAGCAAGATATCTAGAAGTTTCTTTCAAGTTCTTCATCTGGTGTAACACGGGATGCGTCAGATTCCGTCACGTGGTTAGGGCTGGACAATTTCGGACAATGAGGCGCGCATCTCACCTACACTGAAGCGGCAAGATTCTTGAAGTCTGTAGCTGTGGGTAATGATGCCTGGGAGGGGATTGTCGTTACAGCTTAATTTACTTCGGGTCGGTCCTCGGCTGTTAATAGTCAATGTGCGTCAGAAGTACCGGGTGGCTAGATTATATTATTATACATGTATCTTATTGAGATCGAAGAGACCGGGTGTATTGACGCGCCTCTTGGCTTGCAGATATCAAATTCTGGTATTTGTGAAGGAGATTGGTAATGGCGATAGAATACGGCTTTAGAATGTACCTGCATCCTCAGACCGTCTGTTCAAACGGTAAGTGGTGTGTGCTGATGTGGTGCTGTATTTGCTTCTCGGCGTCATAGTCACAGTTCGTCTTCGCTCTGCTGCAACTCGCGAGCGACCTGTTCATGGCTCTGCTGCTGCTCTACATCGCACTGATTCACGAGCTCGTCACATGCAACAGGAAAATTCGCCGAGCACGGCTCTTTGTGAGCTTCCCGAAATCAGGAGAGTCCAGCACGAGACATTTTCTGCACTTGTTGTCGAAGATTGCAAACGAACATAGCTACGAATGACATCGAATCCGGGATTCGGGATTCCCTGCTGGAGGAGGATATCTAGGATCGGAGGCTAGTTTCTGAATTGTTCGCAAATGGCACGTCAGTGAGAGGCAGAGGGAGAGGGAGAGAGTTGAGTGAGGGTCGTGGTAAAGGGAAGCTAGAGGGACTTTCTGCATGAACCATGGCCAGACGCAGTCTATAGATGACCAAATCTTCAGTTCAATCGTGAGCCAGTAGTTACACAAAGTAAAGTCACTGCTACGCAACGTGTGAAAAGGATCAAGGAGATGTCTTCCCGAAAAGATGACTTTGTCCGAACAGAACCCTTGCTTCAGCTGTGAGAGAGGGGGAGAGCGAAAAGAAACGTAAATCTGAACAAAGAAGAGTGAAGCCCTGCCGGGAAAGTCATGTGTTCTAGGAAACGGCTGAAGATGCAAGTTGGGTGGTTATGGATTAGTATACTACTCATATCTGATCGGGAGAGCAGGGTTATGCTAGTAGTCGTTCCACTCATCTTGTCTCCACATTAGTCTATCGTGTGCCCTGATTTGTTGCAGCTGCCACGTTCATCTCTGATGGAGGGATTGTCTTTTGGTCGGAAGACCTGAATCATGTGCTGTGCGACGCTGTGCGTTTCCGCTGGATGATGCCCACAACACTGCCAGCAGGCATCCATACTAAAGAGCTTGAGACGCGATGTGCCTTAGTAGACCTTGTAAAGAAGATCAGACTCGGGCAGCGATGCTCTGGCGTGGTTCGGACAGGTGCCCCTTGGGTGTCCATAGGTTGATTGTGGATGAACTTCCATCGGTAGTGTCGTTCCAGGTGGTAGTTGCAGGGTTCCAACACCAGGACGAGAAGTTGAGGCTGACCAGAAGCAAGTTTCTCTTGGCTTCGCAAGGGCCCCAGAGACACGGTTACTAGTAGCTCCTCTTGTATAGCGTGAATAGCTCTGAAAGGTACGCGTTCTGGCTCGTATTCAACGTCATGGATGTATTCCGAGTTTGGATAGTGAAAATGATTGTAGAGTTCCTCATCGTACTCTTCTTGACAATATTCCTCTTCATAATCTTCCCGGTCTTGATATTCGTACCCCTGAGTGTTCCGGTGTGGCTATCAACAGCCCTGTGCCTGCCGCCGTGGAGGGATATTATTCCGCCGCTGGGGCGCATGTCGAGACCTTGCCATGGTCAGTGGCGAATAAAGTCGTGACTGAGGAGGAGGACCGGGCACCCGTGCGCATGGTGGGTGTTATGGTGATAGAGGGATGTAGTTGTTGCTGTTCGTAGAATGGGCGTACTCGGCGTACTGACCCTGTGTGCACATTCCCCTCATTTGTGAGAGCCAGTATGGGTATGCATCTTCATCCGGGCCACTTGGTGAGTTGCTGTTGTTCCATGGAATTGGCCTTTTCCAAGCTGCGCGACATTGTTTCACGCTCAACCTGAAGACGCTTAAATAAACTTTCCACCCAGCGCTGTCCTATATCGCCTCCCATCTTAGGGCCGAACTTACTCCAAAGTTAGCGATATAGAAGCGGCACGCCATGTGGGAACACGATTTGCGAGCTTAACTCAAGTGCAACAGCAATCGGACGTCAAGATCTGTGCTGCCTCGTTACAAGAATAACAAAAGGATGGAGTCCCGAGAGAGATGACCACACAGTTTCTCTGTCGATTGTCGTTCGAAACCAGAGCTTCTCAGAGCACCGTTCGGCACCGACCTTGCATGTTTCAAGGTTTCCGTCCACAGATGATAATCCTGGTTCGACGTTAGAGTCACAGAGTCAACACAGCCCTTCATATACTCACACTGACCCGTAAACATGTATGCCCGCCAACCCCGCCGTCAAGAGTTGGACTTCGTCTCTGCACCAACCAAGAGTTTCAGTAAACAACCGCAGTAACAGTCCTCCCAGAGCTTTCAGATCTCCCACGTCGTTCCAGTAGCCTGTTGTTCTAGAACGTGCGTCCGAGGCAAGCGTTTTTGCGGTAGCTTGTCGATCACAGTCTGGATGTTGCAGAAGCCGCACTCTCTCAATATTTCTGACACTTCTCGGAGATGTTTGGGTCCCAGACCTCGCATCCTCAGCGCACATTCGGTGTCGTCAGTCCACCGACGATAGGAAGTCTTGTCCGGCATGGTATCATCATTCGATCGGGTAGACTTGAAGCCACAACTTCCAATACTCAGGTTGCCGTATTCGTCGTGAGGGAATTGCTTTGGATAATCATATCGAACAGATTACGAAACAGCCCTGTGCGCAGTTCGGTATCGAACACTTCGAATCAGCAGTTCGATGGAGCCATTTCCGATTGGACCGGACTGAGGTCAACGACTAGTACGATTGCTCAAGGTTGTTCATTGCCAACTTCAATGACCCATAATCCTGTGTCGGTTCCGAGGTCGAGGACTTTGACCTTGTCTCATCGGGCCGCCGAAAAGCACGCCGTTTCGCAATTTTTGTGAGGGTGAAATGGCGCAGGTCGAGCTTCATCACACGGCGGGAGATATGCCGTGCCCTCGATAGCGGCGTGGTGTTGTAGATGTAGTCTTCAGCAAAGGGCGAACGCGATTCTGTCTCTGCCTCTTCGCCTATTTCTCATATCCTTCATCGTCGGACCTGGACCGGTGCTCGATTGTTGCCATTCGATTCGACGGGTGGAAACGGAGAAAATGGGCAAAATGGAGGGCCACACGCCCCGTCAGCGATCAAAGACCACAAAGGAGATGCTGAGAAGATGCTGAGGATACGAGAGATGTGTTGCACGTCGAATGCTGGTGTGTACTTGGTGATCTTTTGTGCGCAGGAACGTAAAGCTCGACCGCCAAGGGGAAACTCCTGGTAGTCTGGATCACATGACAGTTGAGGAACAATGATGGATGCTACCGACTACAGGGTCCTGGGCCCGTGTGAGTGCCAAAAGGGCGTCAATAGAAGAAGGGGTTGGCGAGGACTCGAGCTAGAAAGGCACAAACGACACCTTTTGTACTTATAGTTCTATTGCAGGGACTAGCTAGGTATGTACATAAGTGAGACGCTAGCCGCCTCGCCCTTAACTCAGTCACAACGTAGCGGCGTTTGCATATGGAGAGACATCAGCCGATCTATACAAAGACCTCAGTCTCCTCCAGCAGAAAACCACTTCTTCACTCGTCCTGATCAACGGAAATACAATGCTCGCTCGTTCCTATCTCATAATCACGTTAGTCTTTTGCACAAACAATCTAATTCCCCCGACTCTTGATCTCAGCCAAGCCCAAGACCTTCTAACCGGCCTAATACATTCCAAACACACTGCGCAGCCAGGGCCAGCCAAGGCGGTTGCGCAGCCCATTTTGAATGTATCAGATCGGTTAGAAGGACTTGGGTCTGATCAAAGGTTAAAGGGTCGTAGAAGAACCAGACCGTCTGCACAAAAGACGTACAAGACAGGAATGAGGATGGGTGAAGGAGCCTGATACTCGAGCGGACTGAGGCCCTTTAAATAGGAAAGGAAGCTGTTCGGCTTGTGAGAGCACCGAATACATCGTCAGGCTCCCCTTTCATGAGGCCGAACCCCAAGTCCGAAAAGTGCCCCTGCTGTGTCTCACCGAATGCCGGTTCTGGTCCTCTTCAACCTCCTGGAGGGCTTGACAGAAGGTGGATTTGGAGGTGGCCATGACGGTCCGAAGCGGTCCTGGCTTCTGGCGGAGGTTCTGGGTCGGTTCGTGCATAATGGAGGTGTGACTGGGGGCTTTCCTCGTTCACAAGCTGCAATCACGAAGTCTCCCTCTCTTGATCGAAACGTACGGAGTGTTCGACATCCACTTGACACCAACATACTCTGCAGCGAATTTCCTCTAACCCATCCTGTGATCACAAGCAGAATGAAGACCGAACATGCTCACCACCGCATTCTACCCCAAGTCAATCGATCAATGGAACGCACAGTCCATCCCTGGTCGATGCTCCCGTGAGATAATTGGGATGGCAGGGTTGTTCCACTGTCATGATCGGTGCCAACTTCGTCGCCCTTTCTCTGTGTCTTTCCCACCCATCGACACAAGTATTGATTGCTTTGCCGGCAAAACTCCGACCCCCTGTCAAGCAAATCCCCCATTTGGATGTGGAGGGCGACGAATCAAACATATAACACAAAGCTCGTGGTGGAGGATCGACGGGGTAAATTCTTTTCACTCATCTGTCTCGAAATCAGACGGTTCCGGTCTCCATCTTCAGCTGGAAAGGACATCCATCGAAAAACAAGGTTCTTATTCGATTCCCACTGTCGTATAAGGCAGGTGGAACCACAACCTTCTTGGACAAGTCTATACGTACCTCCTCGCTCGTACTGGGGGAGTCGGGTTCTTCCGAGATTAGGAGCAAGCAGGCTCTCCTTGGCATTTTACGTATGGACATGTGGGCACCAGTCACGGATGAGCGATCCGTGCAAGCCAGGCGGGTCTGAAGAATCCACCCTGTGCAACGTCGGACGTGGCCAGGTCGATCGGTGCCGGGGGATCTGCAGTTACTCGTACACGTCAACGATTCAGCCTCGATCTCCAGAAGCTTTCAAGGATTCATCATGACAGAGTAGCAAACTTCCTATCTTTTGGGCCAAGAGAATGCGACACCGCACACAGTAAGGGTGAACACTCACACAGAACTTCAATGACTCTCTCAAAATATTCCACTCGAAGCAGGGGCCTGTCATCACCGCCCACAATGCACTGGGTACCACTCCTCATACACCAATCAGAGGATTTCTCACCAGCGGATGGTATATCCTATACCCCACAACGAAGGGGCTCTTTATAGCAGTTCCGATCGGCGACAGGCTTCCTGAACTCTATCCAGAGCAAACATATCGAAGTGTTTGTTATCTCCACCAGGTACGGAAGTCCGACCCAGGCCTGGACCACACCAACATATCTGCACTCAGAAGTTAATGACCCAACTGCTTGGCTCCCAGCAGCCATACAAACAGTCACGCCGCTTTTCCCGTGAGTCGAGACGCCACTGACAGGCGCAGAGACACTTCTCCTGCTAAGATGGGTTTGTAAAAGCCCCCCAACACTCAGTGACGGGGACCTGGTGAAATGTTTGTGGTGTGCATCTGTCAGATTGGCCGCACACAGGGTGCTGCCGAGTATGTCTCCAACACTCTTGCTTCATCCGGACTGCCTGTACAAAATGGTAATTACCCCTGGCCACAATTGGTTTTCAAATTGGCAATGTGCAAGATGGACCTGGGCGCTCATGCAGCTTCCGTGGGTCACAGGCTGGCCTCCGAGAATTGCTCCCGTCGATAATCCCACAAAAGCAGTCTTTGTTCTGTGTCTCATTGACGGTGATAGAAGGTATGGGCGCTCCACTCACACTCCAGCTCCCCATCCATCTACCGCTTTCTCCAGATCTTCTCCTCCTCCTGGATGCTGTATATTCGGGAGATTGAAACACGGACCGATTTTGTCCTGAGAGTGGCGGTCTGTGAGATTTGGGAGATCTCTGTGATGGCGGTCAATTACCGTCAAGCTTTCTGTAAGGGTTCAGAGAGGAGATGGCAGGAAATGCCTACACAGTATGTGGCTCTCACAGATGCTTCAATCCCATCAAACCAGGGACCGAAGGTTCAAGCCATGGCCAGATATCCTGTCCCTTCCAAGGTCCCCTGCCGATCCCAAGCTCCCCGATTTGGTTGAATACCATCCATCCATGGGCCACAGGTGAGCAACCTGGACCGTCCCAAGATGTATATATACCTGTGTCTCTTCCCGGCTTCTTCCCATCTTCCTCCTCATCTCCATCACACTCATTCAGCCTTCATCAAACCAGCTTTCCTTCGCCATCCACTTCCAATTCTTTTTCGAAAGACACTCATTTCGCACTTTACAATCACCATGTATACTCTTCTTCTCATCACTCTCGCCGCCACTGGCGCTTTCGCTGCTGCCCCAATCAAGGCCCGCGATGCTGGCAGCAGTGGCTTGACCGTCGAGCAAGCCGGCAACCAGTGCGGTAACGGCCAAGTCATCTCCTGCTGCAACACCAGCACCGACACCAGCGGCGACGGAGGCATCCTCAGCGGCAGCTTGAACGACATTCTTGGAGGCAGCTGCAGCCCCATTCCCGTCAATGGTTAGTTCCATGGCTCACTCGACCAGACGTGGAAAGCATTTTGTGCTAATATCGTGTTTGTTGCAGTCATCGGCGTGCAGGTTCCTCTCCAGCAAGCCTGCGGTGACAACCAGGCCGCGTGCTGCACCGGCGACCAGACTGTAAGTGCTTGCGATGGCCTGTGATCACACCAGCTAACATCAGCAGGGACTCGTCAACGTCCAGTGCACTCCCATCGCCCTTTAAGCACGGACAAGCTTTCACCCCAGCTCCAACGGTGACGAAGACGCGCGAGTTGGTCAGGACAAAGATGCAGACACGGGAGACGAAGAGTTAAGGAGAAGTAATGGTGGTTGAAAGGTTGTTGGGAAGAGGAAAGAAAGAGGCTCTGTGGAAAAGCCCATGACAAGAAGTGTTCCGATCAAATTTTCCGGAGAGTCTGCTATTTTTTCGAACAACAGATCTTGGGGTGGATGGATGGTTTGAGGAGGCTTAACATTCTTTTAACCCTGGACGGTATAGGCAGTCGCTCTTTTAGTTAATCAACCTATTTTCGTCAAATTTGGTGTTTCTTTTGCTTCTTCGCTGCTCACTCACTCACTTACCCATATTCAGAGTTGTTCTCTGCGTGGTTGTGGTTCTGATAGGTAGTAGTCACGCTTTCCGTGTGCCTGAAAGGGGACTTGGGGGATTTGAAGAAAGTCGAGACGGAAGGGTATTTTACTGACCGGGCGTGTCTTGGCCACCTCCAGTCCCTTGTCGAGGGGGTATGTACTTAGCCGGTATGTACATGCACAAGTACGCCTTCTGCAGAAGTCTGCGGTTGCAAATTCGTGGGCGTCTCAGCTACAATATTATGTAGCTGAGGGTCCAACACATTTCGTTGTTCTGTTGAAAACTCTGCGCAGATATGAGCTATGTACCGAGTAATTATCAGCTGTACGCTCGACCCCTGTCTGGAATGTGCGTGCTGCTATACAGGATACCGTAGACTGTCAGATATTCCAACCAACCTTGTGAGAGGCCATCTCGATTGATTGCATTTGGCGTTCTTTCTCATCCCGCAAGCAAAACTGCTGCAGCCTGCCTGTTTTGTTTTTGTCGGAGTTGTTGGTGCGAAGGCTTTCTCTTCCGAAACTGCTGGCTGCAGGAACACTTGGCGTAGCGTATCGTATCGTATCGCAATGTATTGTATTATATTTATTGTATTGTATCGTGTCGTATCGTATGCAGTCGGTTGGTCGGGGTCGACGACAACGATGCGAATACAACACACACACACACACAGTAAGAGGGGGGAGTTCCATTCTCCTTGGAAATGCGTGAACGTGTAGTGGATGAATCTGTGTGTATTTAATGCATACAACATCTTCACTCTCCGCGTTCCTGCGCTTACAGCCTCGTTTAACTCAAGCGGTTTCCGACGCTAGTGTCGACGACGACGACAACGACGAAGCAACTTGGTCTCAGGCAGGTAGGTTGGTGCCCGATTCGTTATCTATGTATGTATGTATGCATGCGTGTGTGTGTGTATCGTCGGGAAGGAAGGAATAATGGATGGATGGATGTCTTGTCGTCGTCCAATGGATACTAATTAATATTCCACTTCCAGAATTTTTTTTTTCCACGGACCACCATCATATATAATATTGAGCATCGAAATTGTCGCAGTCTTAACTCGTAAGCCGTAGATGGTGTTTCTGGAGACCTGTCATACCGACGTACTAATCAAGATCAATTCTTAAATGTGACACTGTTTTGAGTGGCCCGATATCTGGGAGCCGTTCGTCTCGTCGATCCTCGCCGCAATAGAATATCGATCGATCGTCTCTACGATGCTGTTTACTCGGTCAACTACATAACTAACTTGGCAATCGCTTATTGTCTTCCCGTGGATGGCAAAACAAAACCCCTCTTGCAGGTCCGTTATGTATATTTATTTGCCCACAGCTTTCTCGAACTCCTGGGCTCTGCACATCTGATGATAAATATAGCTCTGCCATGGTATGGGATTAAACGACTCTCAGAATTGAGTTGTTGGAGGCACCTTGCTACTTGTGTATCTGTCCTGTCTGTCCTGTCTGTCTGATCCTCATCGTGCCATTCAGTCACACACACACACACACATATATATATATATATCACTTAGAACGTGGTGGCATGTGATCTTGCAAAAACATCGTAGATCTACCAACATTCCGAATGATACCCTTCTCGACCGTTACAACCAGACCATGTACTTTCCCGGTTTCCAAAGGTTCTCTCCAGCTGGTAATGGAGCCCACCCTCCCCGGCCGGCCCCTATCCTTTTCCCTTGATCCTGCTGCTATACATCCGCGTGGAAGACCGACCACTATGGACCCCCTCCCCATCAAATATAAAACATAGTGTCTCGCAGTCTGGGGTGTATCTTTACCGATCTGGGGTCTGGTGCCTCACCGTCTCCTCCTCCTCCCTCTCCTATCACGGCGCCCGCCGACGGATCAAAGAATCCACTCAAATAGCATCGAGCCCGGTCACACACCAGATCCGCATAATACGCGGGCGGACAGATACTGACGGACTTGGTGGCCCGTGCATAGAGATAGCACATATTGTGCGTCAAGTCCTCGAGGGCGTCGGCGGCGTTCTTGACGAGACCCGGCGGCGGAACGTTGCGAGCGGGCTGGAAAATCTCGTCCAAGACGACGAAGTAATGTGCGGGCCGTGCCGTACCTTGGATCGCGGTGTGCGCCTGCAGGTAGAAGTCCCAGTGACGCGCCTCGGTCACGCCGCGATCGACCACCGTGCCGTGTTGTGGGTTGGACGATCGATCCGCCTGTTCGGCTTTGGTAGGGTAGAACCGAGTGTGGTGCCGCTTCCCTACCACCACAATCGTGACGCGTGGGAAGCCCTGCTGGGTCATGGTCACTGGATACACTGCGGTGCAGGCCGCACGGACTTCGGGGAGTTCGTGATCCAGCACCGAGTTGTACTGCCCCTCGGATACTCCGTCGCGATAGATCAGGATATTCTCGGGGTAGGCACCATTGTGCCGTTTCCACGTCTCCAGACGCACTTTCATCAAGTCGGCAAGTCCGGTGACCATCTCTTGTCGTGCGGCCTGGATGGCCAGGTCGGCCGGGAACTGTCCGAGCCATCTGTCGATCGAGGCAACGATGCCCACGATGCTGGGAGCGGCCGGTGACGATCCTGGAGAAGGGTGAGTCACGTCGATGCCCACCACCATGGTCTTGCCCTCGGATATGAGGCCCAGTTTGGGGTGTTCCAGACTCTGGTTCACGCCCCCGAGTTTCGCATTGATCTTCAAAGCCACGCTGGCGAAATATTGGTCGTTGTGCGGCTTCGCGAACTTGGCTGCTTGGACATTGACACTCATAAGCCCTTCCCTCACGTCGCAGGCATACTTGAGCCGATTGTAGATGGACGTACTGAATTCCGGGAGGATCACCAGCACCAATGTTGGCGGAGGCTGGCTTGGGCTGGATGTCAATCGGTGGAGTGCTGCATCGATCGTGGCGTCGACATTACCTGGAGTGACCGACACCCGCAACCCTCTCATGCACTCGCTGCAGCTGATGCCCACCTCTCGAAGTTTGGCCGTGAAGGCCATGAGGGTTTTTTGCAATTCGGCTTCGTTGTGCCAAGGGTCACGCATCGACGGGTATGAGATCCAGAGATAGGTCCACGACCTCAGGGTTGCCCGCGTGGTGAACTGAACCTGCTGCATATTCCAGCTCCCAAACCGCGTCAGTGCTGATTTGTGCCCGGCGTACTTCACACTGGGAGCATTTAACACACGGCCCTGGACAGTGATCAAACTCGGTGTGATGCCGATGTTGAAAGCGTCCTCGGCCAAGTCAGCAAATCCTGGCAGGCACCCCAAACGGCCCGGGTCGAGAGGGACTTACCAATGTGGAGCTGTTGCCCATGGCCAACATCTGCGCTCCCGATGTGACGATGGACTTTGCATTCTGTGCTGGTTTCCGGACAGCAAATCGGATCATCTGCTGCGTCTGGGCCGGGCTCAACTGTGTGTGGGAAGGCTGCCCAGGAGCGACCATGCAGACTTGGGCAGGGAGGTAGGCTGGTCTGTCCCTGCTGCCGACATTGACGACGGGTAAGTTGGGGTCTGTCACGGTGATGTTACATTCTGGCCACCTATCAGCATCCGGGCCTCAAACAGAAAGCAAGTCTTGCATACGGGTGCGGAAGAAGTCGTAGACGCTGATGTAATGTCCGCGGGACGGAGGTGCTGGACCTGCTTTCCAGCCCTTCTTCCATTGAGCAGGATCTGATCCCCATCCCGACACCTCACCCGGGCCATCCAGCCAAAACTCGACGCCTTTCGCCCCAGCGCCATACTCGGAGATTCGAGGGGGATGTACTAGCGCAGCTCCGTCCCACGGCGTGGCAAGCCCTTCAATCACCTTGATCCTGGGCTTCGGACGGCCGGCTGAGCTCTTTCGCACAATGTGCGTAACATGGACCGAGAGTTTCCTGATGAATCTCTCCAACTTGGCTTTCTGGTAGCCATTGCTTGCGGCATACGCGGCCATGACTCGATCGAGCGGGCCATCGTCATAGAAGGCCGCATGCTTGACCTGGACGTTCATGAGCAGCCGGCCGGTCGCTGCTCGAACACTGAAGAAAAACCCGCGAATGGCGGTCAGCCCGGCGCCCAGTGATTGTCTCTCAGAGACTGCTGAGTCCAGGGCATAATGCCGATTCGATCCAATGGAAGCAATCTGAGAAGCGGCTTTGGGATTGTGTCCAACAACAATGTTCAAGGCCTGGATGATTTCTCCCTTGGACTCCAGCAACGCCCCTGCGTTCGTGGAAGTGAGCTGATCAAGCAGCTCTGACACGGTCAAAGAACCCGTGTGCAAGAGGTGGATGAGGTAGTGTTTGGCGTTGACCCGGGGATAGTCTTCACCCTCGACCCGGTAGACGACCTCATAGTTGTCGCGGACGATGTCGAGCGTGGTCGAGCTGATGAGGGTCGATTTGAAGTCGGTGGCAATCTTGGATTTGTGTTGGGCCAAATGATCCTCCAGGAGCAGTTGAACAATTCGGCGCACTCTCTTGCGATTGGGCTGTTTGCCCGCCCAATCCGGGGCTATCTCAATGTGGTATCGCTGGAGGAGGAGGCTAGCGGACGATGCCACGGCCATATAATTTGTCCATAACAACACTTCTCTTCCTTGAGTGCCAAACCCCGGCCGAGGAGGGAGTTTCGAGGTGACGGGAGATGGAGGTTTCGCATTGGCCTCGATCTGATCCTCGAGCTTCTGGATGGCCCGGTTGGGTTGAGCGTCGCCGCACGAGCCGTGTCTGATGTGCACGTTGAAGACAGTTAGTGCTTCAGTCCATCCAAACTGTAAACAGGGCGAGCAGCATCAGGCACCGTACGAAAACAGTGCTACCGCAGACTGAGTTCCACCGCCACGCCCTCGACCGAAACTCTCGCCGCCTCTAGAGTGACCTCGACGTCCTCTAGGGCCGAAGGGCCCAGTATCACGACCTCGACCTCGACCTCGAGACATGATCAAATCCACACCAAAGACGTGTTGTAAGAATTGGCGACGACGAGAAGATGAGGAAGAACCTCAGGGGGGCGGGGGGACGAGGTGCAGCCTCAGGTCTCCTTCTACACCGCCGCGGGGTGGGACTTGTGGCGGTGTGCGTACGGGATGTTTGTGATGTAAAGTTATTGCAGGGAAATTAGCCGCTGCTTTCAAGTCATGATCTTGATTCTCATCTATCGTAAATTATTAATACAGTCCTGACTCATGCACTTCATACAGCGTGTCCACCCACGTGTCCATATTACTAGAACCATGTCTCTTATGGAGGTGGTGACCCTGCGACCTCTCTTAACCGATGTGAGCTCTCAGTAACCGCCTCTTCTCCGCTAATTCTACACCCCGCGAAGGAACACCCAGTTGTCGTAGGATCGAATCCAATCGTCTTTCTTGCATACTTTCGATTTCGAGTGAGGTACGAGGGAAATTGAGGATGGCGGCACCTGTAGTAGCGTTGACAAACGGTGCAAGATTTTCGTTTTGACTTTCGAGGTAAGTATTCTGAATGCGGGCTGCGTTATTATGATTCCTATAGAATTAGGAGAGTAATATTGAAATAAGTCGAACTGTACATACGACGCAGTAATTGTAGTCCTGAGCTCTTCACGAACATTTGCAATGTCTCGTCGTATTTCCGTCGTGTTTCTCGTTAACTGCTCCCTCATTGCACGGAGCTCTTCGAGAAGTTGCTGACCGCCGCCGAATGCAGGTGCATTTGGTATCTTCAGTATCTCGGTGGCAATGATGTTGAAGTTAGGCTGCTGCGAACCTAAAGCTGTTTCGTCAGCCATCGTAATGGTGACGGTAAGGGTGATTGTGGTGACAGTGATTGTGGTGAGGGTCGAAGTATTTGTTTTGGGTTCCCGGATGGGTATGGACGAAGGAAAGCGCCACCTCCAAAAGCGGCGGTGCTAGTCGCCAAATTGGGCGGGAAACCTCCCTGCCCATTGCGACTGTAATTTGATGGATAAAGCCGGTGATCAGGGGCGCCTCCGAACGTCCTCTCTGATCAAACTCTCCACCAAAGCAACGCAAAATGGGCTCTGTCGGACGGGAGTATCGACCGCGTGGCTATCAGCTGGAGATGCTGGAGCAGAGTCTTGTGCAGAATATCATCGCCGTGGTACATGCTATCCATATGATCTGCACCTAGCAGCAGCTATATTCTAACCTGGAGAATTAGATGGATACAGGCAGTGGCAAGACTCAAATGTCTGTCCATTGAACCGTCTCACCAGCCTGGCTGACCGAGTGCCTAGAGCCATTCTTCGTATTCAGGAAGAGCTCGAGCGATGTTCTCAGGACAAGGTAACCGAATACCTATGGCCTCATGACAATCAGCTTATAGAGTGCGACAACGGTAGCTGGTTTGGTTTCTCGCGCCCACAGTGGCCTTGTGCACTCAACAGTACGAGGTCATGCTCTCCCAGTTGCCAGCTGCGAGGATCAAATTGCTGCTCGGTGCCGACAACGTCGACCGCTGGAGCGAACAGCGAATTTGGGATGCGGCGTTACGCGGTGTGCGTATTGTCGTCTCAACACACGCCGTCCTCCTCGACGCCCTCGCCCATGGCTTTGTCCAGATGACCAGACTGGCCCTGTTGGTGTTCGACGAAGGTGAGTCGAGCAGATCATCTCGGGATGGAGAATGGACTCATCCAACAACTAGCCCATCACTGCCGGAAAAAACACCCGGCGAACAGGATCATGGAGGATTTCTACCATCCGCAGAAGCAGCGCTCGGGCCCGGACTCGGTGCCTCACATTCTGGGGCTGACGGCGAGCCCAATCGTGAAATCCAACTCCAAGGAACTCGAGTCAGTGTTTGCTCTCCGACGTGCCCTTGTTGAACCGCCCTTTAACGCCAATAGTGCTCTCGAACGAAATCTGGATGCCACTTGTCGCTCCCCTCGCGTGCAAAGAGGAGAGATGTTGAGTTTTGTCCACAGGCCTGTTCTGAAAACAGCCATGTACAAGTCCGTCAGTCTGACCGCCGGTCCACTCCAAAGTCCGGCGCTGTGGCTGCTGGATAGAATAGGTCGAGGTGTCACGACCCACTGGGACGACTTGACAGCTCCCGATGCTCTCGACCTGGGAACACGTCTTTCGGCCGGTGGGCAGGAGGAGCAGTTGGTCAGATTCAAGAGAAGAGCTGATCATATCTATGAAGAGCTCGGACCATGGGCGGCCGATTACTTCATTCTAGAATCGGTTAAGGCACTCAACGAAAGCATTCATGCCCGATATGAATACCTGCTTGGGTTCGCGCCCGCCGACAAGACCTGGCTCATCCAAGTACTGGGTCAGATCCCATCACTCATGTGGAGCACGACTGCCGACGCCGAGGACGATGTACTCGTTTCGCCAAAAGCTGAAAGGCTGATACGGTTTCTCGCCGACCAGGATGCCGAAAGATGTTCGGGGCTCGTGTTTGTCCAACAGCGTGCGACCGTCAGTGTTTTAAACGCTCTGCTCTCACGACACCCTCAGACGAAGAGCAAATTTCGATGCACGACATTCGTGGGATTGTCGAACAGCAGGAAGAAGCGCTACTCAATGGCGGAACTGCTGGACTTGAAAGCACAGCGTGAGGCATTGACCGAATTGAGGGCCCAAGTCAAGAATCTTATCATCGCCACGGACGTCCTGGAGGAAGGCATCGATGTCTCGGCCTGCAACCTGGTGGTCTGTTTCGACGTACCCTCCAACTTCAAGTCATTCCTGCAACGAAGGGGAAGGGCCAGGCAGGAGCAATCCACGTTTGCCATCTTGCTGGACAGCAAGGTCGAGAACAAAGATAAACTCGAGCTCTGGCAGCAGCTCGAAGAAGAGATGATTCGACTCTATCAAGACGAGACGAGACGGGCCCAGACCGGTCCAGTAGAAGACCACGAACCTGAGGAGAATATCCCGTTCGTGATCAGCGTTCCTGCCACAGGGTAAGTGAACCCTCGACCGTCAGTCACCTTATGGTATTCTTGTGCTGACGAATTGGTCAAAAGGGCAAGACTGACTGCTGACATGACCATGGGACGTCTTCATCACTTCTGTCAAAAGCTGCCTCCGCAGCCTTACGTCGATCTTCGACCTGCTTTTGAGACCACTCAGGACCCGCGGACGGGCTTATTCACCGCGACGGTCACCCTTCCCAACTGTATTAGTGCTTCCGTGCGGCAAGCACAGGGATGCCATGCATGGCAAACGCAGAAGACGGCGAGGAAAGATGCCGCTTTCCAAGCTTACCAGGCACTGTTTGTGGCGGGTTTATTGAACGATCACCTTCTTCCTCTCACAGATGAACGGCCATTGGCGGGAGATCAAGTCAACCCTCTCCCGCCACTTGTGCCAGTCAACGCACGGTTTGACCCTTGGATTGAACAGGCCAAGGCGTGGGCAGCCCCCGACCTCCACAGAACTGATATCATCCTCCAGGCGCAAGCCACCGATGGCACCGATGGCGCAGCACCCGTGTTCCAATTCTCTCTGACGACTCCGTTAGTAATACCGGTCATCGATGAGATCACAATGTACTGCAGCCAGAACATGAACTTCATCGTCAGGCTGGGAGAATCGAAGAAAATCGGCTCGCTAAACCACGAGATCCTGGACGACTTGAGGAAGACCACAAACCTTCTGCAGCGAGCTGTCCATTCAGACCGGGTCCCCGACACTGGGGATGACTTTGTTGCTCTGTTTGCGCCGAAAATGAATGATACAGACGTAGCGACATGGCTATCGTCGAACCAGGGGCGAAGGTCAGCCCTTGAGCATTTCAAAACACAGTACCCCTGCCGTGGCTTTGTCCGAACCTCTTCATTATTCGGTCAGCCGTTTGGCTTCTGTAAATGGCATGTTAGGGAAACTTCTCCACACGAAAGCATTGTGGAAGTCGAGTGCACGCCGCTGCCTCAGCGAAGGCACTTTCTCCGTCCAGAGACGCTGTCCACGGATGCTGCTGAGTCGCGTCAAACTCAACGATTCCCTGCAAAAGATGCGACCGTCGACGCCCTTGAGGTTCTGCCGGCTCTATTCGGCCTCTTCATCCCTGGCGTCCTCCAGTATTTGGAGGTGTATCTCGTTGCACAGAAACTGTGCACCACTATACTCCGTTCAGTCCCCGTTACCAATATCGGACTGGTGGTTACGGCTCTCAGCTGTCCTTCTGCCGAATGGGTCACCAACTATCAGCGGCTGGAGTTTGTTGGTGACTTGGTCCTCAAGTTCATTGCGAGTTGGCAGCTCTTCCTCGACCATCCTAGCTTCCATGAGGGCTACCTCTCGTATTTACGGGCCAAGATCACGTCCAACGACACTCTCGCTCGTGCGGCAATCCGAACAGGCCTCGACGCCTTCATCATTGCCGAAGTGGTGCGCATGGGGCCAAACAGCTATCCTCGCATATCGACCGTGGGGAGTGTTGGGTCTCCTGCAAACCCACGACGAAGCCTCAGCTCAAAGGTCCTGGCCGACGTTGTCGAAGCCTTGATAGGAGCGGTGTATGTTGACGGAGGAATTGAGCCGGCGGTCGCTTGCATCAACACCTTCCTGCCCGACCTTCGTCCTGCTGAGCCAATGTCTGGGGTTGTCGAATCCAATCGTCCAGAAATTGGCGTCCCTGATTTGACAAACTTGGTCGTCCAAGCGGAGGATATCATACGATACCGGTTCCGCCACAAGGGTCTCTTACTCGAGGCTCTCACCCATCCCACCTGTGAGAGGGACGTGCATACGGAATCATATCAGCGGCTGGAATTTCTCGGGGATGCCGTGCTGGACATGTTGGTTGGCTCCCACCTTGCGAAGCTGGACGCTACTGCGGGTGAAATGAGCCGGATCAAGGCCGCCATGGTTAACGGCGCCCTCCTCGGCTTCTTTTGCCTCGAGCTGTCCACGGACGAAGACGTATCCGACATTGAAGAGGACCCCTTCCCTCGCGGCGAGGGGACGCGTTGTGTGTTCCGGACCAAGAAGCGCCGCGAGCGACGACACTTGTGGGCGCACATGCGCTTCCACGGGACGGAGATCGCGCAGGCGCGGGAGCGCAGCTTGGAGCGCTATCACGGGTTGCGGGAGGCCATTCGAACCTCGCTGGCGACGGAGCCGCGCTACCCGTGGGTGGAACTCACCCTGCTGAAGCCGGAGAAGTTCCTCAGCGACATGATCGAAAGCACCATCGGCGCCATCTTCGTCGACGCGCAGGGCGACCTGGCGCCGTGCGAGCGCTTCCTGGAGCGTCTCGGCATCTGGGACTACCTCCGGCGTGTGTGCGCCGAAAACGTCGACACCGAACATCCCAAGCCGGCCCTCGCGCGCCTCCTTGCTGGATCTGCTGTTGCTGCTGCATCCGTCACATATGACACCGAATTGGAACGATACGATGGCCCCACTGGGCCCCCGGCCGAGGGGGATAAGTTGTACCGCTGTACCGTGAGGGTGGATGAAGAAGTCCTGGCGGTCGTCCGTGTGTGCACGGCGTCCAAGGGCGATGCTGTGACGATTGCGGCGGAGATGGCGAGGAGAGAGCTCCTTGCGCGGAGAAGAGGAAATGGCACGACGGCAGATAATGCTACAGGCTGATGATGACGATGAAGATGATGGCGGCGGCCGGAGTTTTGGTTCTTTTGTTTGCCAGCAAAAGATATTGGCGGGTTACACAACAAGGCAAGTATTCAAAGTGCCCGGGACTGACTATTGTTATCACGACCGTAGTGTGTATCTAAATGGGAAATTGGCTACAGTGCCGTGGGGAAAATCGAAAACATATCTATATAGTTACCTATATATCTATATACATATCCGTACCTAGGGTCTAAACGCATATGTATGTATGTATTTGATGTTCAAATTCATGCTTGTGCAGTCCCGACAGCATCCCACGTTTCTCGCCCTTTGATCACTCACCCCCAATCCAGATGTCTATTTTGTGACGGCTCTTCTTAAACCACTGTCTGGCTCGTGACTGTAGTATGTAAAGGGGTAACTAGGCTTGCCGTCGACGCGAGACAACCTCTTTTTCTGCCTCGCAATTAAATCTCCATTTTCTTCTCTCCTTCCCGCCCTGCGGTTTGCGATTTTGGAAAATAAAAAAACCACCTCGAAAACCTGCAATCTGTGCTTCCCGTACATCAGCGCGAAAGGTCCTGCCCTCTGCTTGCCCACATGGTTCGTGTCTCATTGTGAGCCTCGCTTTGAATGCGATACATTACATCACACCTGTTGAAGTAAGTGGTCCCGTCAGGGGCGTACAGCTCAGTTTGTGTCCTGTTCATTCGGGCTCGACGACACATTGAGGGGTCATGCTGCGGGTTGGTTGGTTTGTTGTTTGTCGAACAGTCTTATCCATCGTGGGCGTTGTGGTGTCTGCATTCATGCGGCGGCTGAACCGGCCAAGGAGCTGGAGTTTTGCTGGTCGTTTTGTTGTCGTGGCCGGGAAGCAAGTGCGCGTTCTGTGCCCCAAGTCGAGTCGCTCGCTGATGATAACCTCCTCCCCCAGTTTGTGTCGACTACTCCGATGTCAGGTCGCGCACGTTGTTCGTCGACTTGGATGGGAGGAGAGAAGTGGATGATTCTGGGTGCACAGTGTTCCCAGTTTCGTGGGTTCTGTCAGTTATATCCGCCTCTTCCCTCGGCGCGCATCGACATTTTTGAAAGAGCGTTGGGATGAGCCGAGCAGCACTGGGTCGAGATACCTAGAGTTGATCGACCCATCAAAAGAAACAAGACGCTCTGGGGAGTCTCCGTCCGCACAGTGCCCAACGACGCCTCACCGGTAGCAATTGGGGGGCTCAGATATAGAAAGCAGGGAATGTCACGAGAGTCCTACCGTCATTTGTGCACCTCTACTCACCGTGCACCCATGACAAAGTATGCATTTGTCTCATTGGGGAAGCTGTAGAAGTGTAGAAACTGGGGGCAGAAAGTCCTTAGTCTGCTTTTCCCTCAAGATTGAATTATCAGTGTGTCTCGGGAAGACCGATTGCAACAACACCTTCTTCGGCAGCAGGAATACTCGCGGTCGAGAGTCGGTACTGACGATCAACAGCGCACGCCAGGCATGTATGGACCCAGGCAGTAGGTCACGCGCTAAGCATTGGCGGTCCAGGCCATGACGACGTCTGCATTGTATGTATGACCTATCTGGTATACGAAGCCTTATTCAGCTGCAGCATTTAGCCGAAGACGCTACCGCAAATACGATTGGAATCTACCTCTTACCTTTGGTCCCCTTGCTTGCATTCTCCCAAAATTGAAGCGAGACACCGAGATATACCGTCCGGGCAGCAAATTATGTCATGCAGCGGTTTCGCCAGATGCCGCCCCTGGAGAATCTGTGCCAATCGAGTCGAATATTCTGGGTTGGAATCTCAGCAGGACTTTGCCGTCGTATCTTTCTCGCCAGGATCGCGCTAGGTAACGGGCATTTGCTTTTAGGCGGGCTCGTATGGGACTTTATCTCACTCATTGAGCAGTCTTGCCAACCCTCCAAGAAGAGGGAGACCCCAGACTGTTTTGCTTCCCATAGGACCAAGGGCGACCACTATTTGGCATCCCTAAGCATGAAGCAAATGGATGCATCTGCTGATCCATAGTCCCATTTCGGATCTAGTGTCAATCTGTCAACATCTCGGAAGCCGAATTTCTGGTACAGGCTATGGGCGGCAGGAGATGATTCCAGGTACGCAGGAAGGTGGAGCTCGTCGGCGATATAAGGCCCCATTTGATCAGCATCCCTCCTGCACCACGTCCCTGGTGTTTTGGATCCGTCTGGAGTAGATCGAGTACTGGTTGCGTCTTCTCAGCGAAGGCACGTACATAAGCCTGCGTAGTCAGTACAACTTCAACTTACAGCAGTACCGCCTCCCTCCCATCAGTTCATTTCGCTTTGCATGGATTCCTCCAAAAAACTCCTCACAGGCCTGCACATTGCACCCAGGACCAAATTGTCTAGTCCGGGCAGGCTCTCTGGGTTCTTGGATGATATTCCACTTCGCAAATGCGGCGATCTCACCGGTCTCGGTATCTACCACCTTCATCCATCGAGTGGTGGGATCTTCGTGGAGTTGCTTGATAAGTCCTTCTGCACGCTCATTCTTCGCTTCCGGCGGAAATGGTCCTGGGAACAGGATGGGATTAAGGGGGTTGGAAGCATAGGCGAGATATTCGATCTCCACAGCGCGCGCGGCGTCGGCCTCGTTAGCAGGCTGAAGAACCAGAGGCATGCTGATGGAAGTGTCGAGAGGAAAGGAGGGAAGAAGGACGCCTTCATCTTCCAACCTGTGACATATTATATGATTGATATTCGGTAGGGGATTGGGATCAAAGGCTGCTGCCTAGTTTCCCGGAGGATCTCTTTGTGGAGCTTGAGGGCTTGAGGCATCGCTTTAGTCAATGCTACCTCACAAAGCTCACTTTGCCTGTGTTCGTCTTCAACAACTGCCCTGACAGTGTTAGCATAATGGTGAAATGAGTCAGAAAAAGTCCCCACGGAATTGTTTGGAGGCCGAAACCCACTGCAAGGCGCCAAGTGCCCAAGAAGATTTCATCTCCCTCATCACTGACTAATGCATTTCTCCCTCGTTGCAGGCTTGTCTCGAAGAGGAAGAAATCCTTGCCATCCCATTGGGTTCTGCTTTTGCCACGGCGTGGACTCCCGCCAATGCATATTCCCTTGTACCAGAAAGGAAGTCACACATGTCATCACGCCCAAGAGGCCAAGACTGTTCCTGGAGGGCAGCCAGGGGCACGGGCTGACGACGGCATCCCATTCAACGCGCGGGCAGGCCGAGACGATATGGTGTGCAATAGACCTCTTCAAAGATTGGGAGATACGGGAGGGAGCAATTGACCCAAAAACATCATTGCTGGCGACAAGAGTTTCTGTTTTATGGACCACTGAGTTGAAGCCAAGTATGCTTCAGAATCCTCGTATAAAAGGTGGGTGTCCCTTCGTCGTGAGCAATGACCTTGTATGAGCGGATCAGCACCAAATATCTTTCTCGAGGAACAGCAGTGTCTCCAATATCATTTCACCCAGGACGTTGTTGCATGATAGGAACTATGTCTGCAGCCAGACTACCCAGCACGATGCGTGCCCTTCTGCATGATCAGAAGAAGCAGACTCTGAGCATCGCCTCGACTCGGCTCCCGAATCCATCCCCGACCCAATACCTCATCAGACCACACGCTGTGGCCCTGACAGCAGGCGAACTCCTCTGGCCTCGCCCGGAAGAGCTCACCGTTTCAACGCCTGGCGTCGAATTCGTTGCCCAAGTTGTCGCATCTCCGTCCTTTAGCTCCAAGTTCAAGCCAGGAGACGAGGTCTACGGGCGTGTCACTTACCCACAGCCCGGAGCTGCAAGGGAATACTCACTGTCTGACGATACCGAGCTTGCTCTCCGCCCAAAAAATCTGTCCATCAATGAGGCGGCCACCGTGCCAGTGGGCGCCTTGACCGCGTGGCAGGCCTTGTTCGAGCAGTTCAAACTCAACCCGCCAGACCTCGACCCGATAGGGATACCCATCCAGGGACAGCAGCGCATCCTGATCACCAATGCTTCTGGCGGTGTCGGAATCTGGGCCGTCCAGCTCGCCAAACTCATCGGCCTATACGTGGTCGGCACCACCGGGCCCAACAATCTTGACTTCGTCCGCTCTCTCGGCGCAGATGAAGTCCTCGACTACCGCATCACGAACATCCGCTCCTGGGCCGAGGAAGATCCGGCCACGCGGAAGGTGGATTTCGTCTTTGACTGCACTGGCCTCTCCTCGCTCGAGCAAGCATGGCATATCGTCAAGCAAGGCGGGCAGGTGCTGACCATCGTGCCCCCGGCGGACATGCAGTGGAAGTTTACCCTGGCTCGTCCCGAAGGTGTCGACGAGAGCGTGACGGGGAGGTTCTTCGTCATGCATCCCTCTGGAGAGCAGCTGGGCAGGATCACCGAGCTCGCGGAGCAGGGCAAAGTGAGCGCGGTGGTGGATAGCGTGTTCAAGCTGGATGAGTTTGAGAAGGCGTTTGAACGACTGGGCAGTGGTAGGACCAGAGGAAAGGTCGTATTGAGAATCGATGATCAGGAGGAGTGTGACCGGAAGAAGTCAGGTTCATATATGTAGTCGGAACGGGACGTTGTACTTGATAATACATATCATATTCTTCTCCCTATTGAAGGCTCGCTGACCAAAAACCCCCTAATTCCACGCCACTTTAAAATCTAATTATATGCTTTGTTTTTATGTATATGTATATGCATATTGTCGGCAAGCCCGTTTATTCGTAAAAGACCAGAGATCTCACTTCGATGCTCTGCCTGCCAGGCGCGTCCGCGGGTGTCTGTGGATCCACAAAGGCCGTATGCGGCGTATATGCAGCGATGCCCTTCTTGCCGCCGTTGACCTCGCTGAACGAGTCGAAACACTTGATGAACATGACCTCGTCGGGCGTCATGTCCTTCATGTAGAAGAACCTGTGCTTGTCGTTGGGCCGAACCGCGAAGGTCTCGCCCTTCACCTCGTACCCAGCGGTGGATGTGATCGAATTCGGGTCCGGGAGGACTTCCTTGCCCCGGTCGTCATCGTCATGGAATCCATTGGTTTGCCGTTTCGGGTAGAGGAGATCGACCTTGATCAGGTCCGAGGGCTCCGTTGTTCGGTAGTCAATGACCGCGAGGGGGAAGTCGGACGCCGGGTTCGCTATCGGTCGCCAGATATTGATGATCTGGTAGCGGCCCTTGAGCAGCTCCTCTGCCTCTTCTGCTGGCAAATGTCTCCGCACCCGTACGGCTGCCGCGTTGGGTGTTTGATCAACATGCACTTGCTGTACAGGTTGGCGAGGAGAGGCCTTCTCTCTCCTTCTGATCGTATGATCGAAGAACACCACTTTCTTGACGCCGGGCAACTTCTCCCGCAGCAAAGCCTCTACCTCGGCATAGTACCCTTCTCGGACTTTGGTTTCGTCTGTGAAATCCTTCTCTTGCGCAGGAGAGTTGAATACCGCAAAGCCGGAGGTGTCGACAGAGAACTTGGACTCTTGTCCACGAATGTTTTCCACCGGCCGCTCATCATCGGTCAGTTTGAACGAGTAACCGGGACCATCGACCTTGTTCCACGGCTTCACGAACGGCACGTCGCTGTCGACATACGATGTGGGATCGATGTACTTGAAACGACCTGTCGTCATGTTGCCGTGGCGAGGAATGCTGGAGCTGAAGAAACGAGGAGTAGGGGAGACGAGAGATCGAGCGGGAGAAGTCGCAGCGTGCGACAGGTTCCTCACAATCGAGGAAGATGCCCTAATGGTTCTAAGAGAAGTGGCAGCTTGCATCAAGGAGAACAAGTCAGTCGCGAGTTATATTTTTCAGAATCAAATGTCTTGACCAGACCAGATGCGCCTTTGGAATCGGGGGTGGTACCTCGACAGGGAAGGGTCCAGAGTATTTATCTGAACTGATTGACCTTTGAAATTGTCAGCAGCAGAAGAACATCGAAGACAAGATGACGTTGAAAAGTGGTTGGATCGTCCTTCCGTGTCCCTGTCAATCCATTCAGGAGAGATACCTGCGAAAGATTTCCCCGACGATCATGCGAGAAATGAATGCGTTGTTTTGCCTCATCCGCAGCGTAACAATATTGTCTTGATTTCAAAGGCAGCGACATCGGATCCGGAGATGCCTCGGGTAGAATCCCACATCTGGAAAATGACTAAGCTGCACGTCATTGACGGCGGGTGCATTGTGATTGGCTGCCTGATTCACCCCGCCATCTCCGCCAACATCGCGCGTCGCGCGTGTGAATTATTTCTCGCACCCCCTTGTCGCGTCTCTCTGAAGGCAGATGTAGCTGTGGACCCCTGTCGTTCTGAGGGTGATCTACAGCACAGGCAGTTCAGTACAGATACACTCGCTGCTGCTTGATAAATCCCCAGAGGCCATGCCCACCTGAAAGCCATCCTTCGTCCTCCTCCTGCAACTCCCCCTTTTTTCTGTCCCGCTCCAAACCAGCTCAAAATGGCGGACAAAGAAATCTACTCTGCGACCTACAGCAATGTATGGACCCTGCCTGCCCGCTTTGTTCTACCCAGACAACGCCTAACATGTGACTGCAGGTTCCCGTCTATGAGCTCAAGGTCGCCGGTGACCATGTGATGCGCCGCCGGTCTGACAATTGGGTCAATGCGACGCACATACTGAAGATTGCCGGTTTCGACAAGCCCGCGCGGACAAGAATCCTCGAACGTGAGGTGCAGAAGGGTGTCCATGAGAAGATTCAAGGCGGATATGGAAAATATCAAGGCACATGGGTTCCTCTGGCCGAAGGCCGGGCGCTGGCCGAGAAGCATGGTGTTCTCGATCGCACCGCCCCAATATTCGACTTCGTTCCAGGGGACCGCAGCCCTCCTCCCGCTCCCAAGCATACCACCGCTGTATCGAATCGTCCAAAGCAGCCGAAACAGCCTGTTGCTCAACGAAAAGCGCCGACGCAGCCGAGTAACTATATACAATGTCCCTCCATGGAAATACTTGCTGATTCTGTCCTAGTTCCGCATTATCCCCCAGTGGACGGCTATGAAACTGCCAGTGTCCATTATAATGGGACAGAAAGCCGAGAGCATTCGCCGGAGACCGCCTCATTCATGGCAGAGGATGATTTCCTTCCCCTTTCCCAAAATTCCACGGCTTCGAGAAAGCGAAAGCGAGACTTGGAGGAAATGGCTCCCACTACATCAGACCTCGAACATACCCTGTACGGCGACGAGCTACTGGATTATTTTGTGACCGCTGGTGACGACCCGGCTGCCTCCAACATCCTGCCCCCAGAGCCACCGGCGAACTTCGATGTTGACCGGCCGATTGATAATCTGGGTAATAATGCTCTGCACTGGGCCTGTGCCATGGGAGACATTGCTGTTGCACGGGACCTCCTCGCACGCGGCGCAAATCCTGCTGCTCAGAACAAGAGCTCGCTGGAGACTCCCTTGATCCGGGCTGTTTTGTTCACCAACAACTACGACAAGAAGACCTTCCCCAAAATCGTGCAGGCGTTGGCTGGAACAATTGTGGAGCGAGACGTCTACGGTGCAACTGTCTTCCATCATATCGCCGAGTCAGCGCGCTCCCGGGGCAAATGGAGTTGTGCTCGGTACTATTGCGAAGTCTTGATAAACAAGATGCACGAAATGGGCTCAAACTACGTTCAAGCGCTCCTTACCTCCATTGACCACAATCACGACACCGCAGCACTGTGTGCTATCCGCAACGGATGTGTCAAAGTCGCAACATTCCTCCTCAACCATTGTCCTGAAGCCGGAGATATCCCGAATCTCAAGGGAGAAACGGCCAACGAGTACCTGCGGGCACTTCGAGAGAAGAAAGAAAGCCTTCAGCAGCCAGGCTCTTCCCCACCACGTGCCGGAGAGTCTTTTGCGTTGAAGCAGTCTCGCCGTAAGCGACAGAAGGAAGCGCTGTCCCGCGCTGCGTCATTGGTGCTCGACAAGATCGTCCCTCTCATGGACGCAGGCAGCTTCAAATTGGCCGACATGTACGATGTGCAGATGGCGGAGAAGGACACAGAAATCACGGAAGCCAAGCATGCACTGACCGAGCTCGAGAACCAGCGGCACAAGATCCGACAAGAGACCTTCTCGCTGATGGCGAAAGTCGAGGATGTGTCCAAGATCCCCATGTTGAAACAGGAATACGACGCATGTCTGCGCGAGGTAGAGTCTCTCCTCGAACAGAGAGAGCACGCCACCCTACAGAATGAGGTGTTCCAGCAAGACCAGCAGACGAGTCCCGAAGCGTTCCGTTTCCCCAATACATCGCCGTTGTCGCCTGATGAAATTCGTGTAGTGGTACCATGGGCGATTGAGCTCAACAACCAACAGAATCTGCGCCGACAGTTGGTCAGAGACATTGCCAAACTGATGAGTGATGCGGGTGCCAACGAAAAGGTGGGCAAGCACAGAAAGCTCGTGGCGATTGCGACTGGGCTTAAGGAGGACGAACTGGACGGCATGTCGGTCGAGTTGTTGGAAAGTTTGCAAGGAAACCAGGCTGGTAAGACACCGCAAACGCCTCCGCACGCTCCGGATGAGGTTCAGGCATGAATCGAGTACCACCAAGATGATGCATGAGACTTTCTTGAATGAAGCACAATGAGACGATCTATCATGCCCAGAGTGTGTACTCTTTTTTCATGTTTATTTTCGCCCATCGTTTTGTGTCCACGCGCCCACGCCCACCTGTCCCTGTGGTATATGGCGGCGAATCTGCACCTGGCCTTGGCACCCGCTTGGGACAGCGGCTGGCCGCTTTACTCAGATATCATTTGACCGGGCTCAACTTCAGCTCAGCCTCAGCAATTCCACCACATTACCCCACCGAGCTGAGCGCAACACTGCCATCATCCGCGACGACCCTGTGTCCGTCTTCTTGCTCACGTACATGACGACAATACCTCCACAATCCAGGATGAGCTTTGGTTTTGGCGTAGGTGACTTCCTCGCGGTGATTGGACTTGTTCGCGAGATCCGTTCCCGCTTTGTTGATGCACCGCATCAATTCGGAGATATCTCAAAAGAGTGAGTAATTCTGATCTATTCCACAGCAGTAAGCTAACTTTAGCATGACAGTGTCACGAGCCTTTCACACGTCCTTGACGATATCGAAGTTCTCCCACAAACAGAACTCCCCGACCAAGAAAAGGCTGGGTTCGGTCAAGTGATCCAGAGCTGCAAAGAAGTCCTCAAAGAGTTGCAAGAGACGCTTGACAAGTATCAAGAATTAGATTCTACCACGAGGGACTTTGCTGGACGATCAAGAAGGGTGTGGAAAAGACTTAAGTGGGATCAGAAGGATATTGACAGGCTTCGAAGTCGGGTCACGTCGAATGTCTCGATGCTGACTACGTTCCTTGAGCGGATAAGCAGGTCAGCATTCTTCCATTCTTATTTCGTTGCTAAATACAATCAAGTCGAAAATTATCGGCGGTCAAAGACGGCGTGGATCAATTAGTTAGCCATCAGCGTGATCAGGATCGACAAGCTCTCCTTAACTGGCTCACGTCCGTCGACTATGCTCCACAACAAAACGACTTCATTGGCAGACGACAGGGAGGAACGGGCCGATGGCTTCTAACTTCAAATGAATTTCGAGACTGGGTGGGCCGGAGCAATCAGACGTTGTTTTGTCCCGGTATTCCAGGAGCTGGTAAAACAATGAGCACCGCCATCGTGATCGATGAGCTCTGCAACAAATTCCAAAATGACTCCAGTATCGCAATTGCGTATGTTTACTGCAACTTCCGAAGGAAACATGAACAAAGAGCTCTCGATCTACTTGAGAACTTACTCAAACAGTTAATCTGGAGGCAGGATTTAGTACCTCAAAGCGTACAGCGACTTTACGAAGAGCATTGCCGGAAACGAACTCGGCCTTTGATAGACACGATCTCAAAGACGTTGCAATCCATTATCCCAAGTTACTCCAGAACCTTTATTGTCATTGATGCGCTCGACGAATGCCAAGTCAAGGATGGAGAGCAGGAGCGGTTTCTGGCCGAATTACTCAGTCTTCAAACCCAGACAGGAATCAATCTCTTTGTGACTTCGCGGTTTATCCCTGGTATTGAGAAAAAGTTTCGTGAAAGCATCAGGCTGGAAATTCGTGCGAATGACGAAGACTTGTCAACGTACATTGATCATCATATGGGGGAGCTGCCGTCATTTGTTTCTCGTAATGAAGAGCTACAAAAGAACATTAAAACAGCGATTATCAAAGCAGTGGACGGAATGTAAGTATTTCCCAGCTTTTGTTACCACTACTTACATAGCAAGGTTCCTTCTAGCACAACTCCACCTCAATTCATTGCGCGGCAAGCGGTCGCCCAAAGCTATCAGAAACGCATTGAAAAGGCTCCCGGAAGGCTCCGAAGCCTATGACGAAGCCTACTGTGCAGCTATGATGAGAATTGAGGGTCAGGTCCAGGACTCCGAAACCCTTGCTAAGCAGGTCCTATCGTGGATTACTTGCGCCAAAAGGCCACTGACGACCTTGGAACTTCAACACGCACTTGGTGTGGAAATTGGTGAACCCGAGCTTGACAGCCAGAACCTCTCCGAAATCGAGGATATGGTCTCCGTATGCGCCGGATTGGTTACTGTTGATGAACAAAGTTCTGTCATTCGTCTAGTTCATTATACCGCGCAAGAATTCTTCGTCCGAACACAGGGGCGCTGGTTTGAGAACGCAGAGACAAACATTGCCGACATCTGCGTAGCTTATTTGTCGTTCGATACTTTTGCATCAGGGTTCTGCCAATCCGACGATGATTTTGAGACAAGATTACAGTCGAATCCATTATTCGATTATGCGGCCCGGAATTGGGGGCATCACGTCCGCGACTCAACTGATAGGTGTCCAAATACAGAATTCCTTGAGAATGAAGCCAAAGTATCAGCTTCGAGTCAAGCGTTGATGGTCAGCGATAACCACTGGTTTCCTGGTTACAGTCAACGCGTACCAACGCAGATGAAGGGTATACATCTTGCAGCGTGGTTTGGGCTCACAGAGACAGTGGATTGGCTAATTAGAAAGGGGTATGATTTGAATTGCCAGGATTCTGAGGGCCGGACACCACTATTATCGGCTTCTGAGAATGGACACGAGACGGTGGTGCAACTCCTCCTCGAGAAGGGGGCTACGGTCGACTCAACGGATACGGACGGCCGGACACCACTATTATCGGCTTCTGAGAATGGACACGAGACGGTGGTGCAACTCCTCCTTGAGAAGGGGGCTACGGTTGACTTAACGGACAATGAGAGCCGGCCACCACTATCGTGGGCTTCTGAGAATGGACACGAGGCGGTGGTGCAACTCCTCCTTGAGAAGGGGGCTACGGTTGACTTAACGGACAATGAGGGCCAGCCACCACTATCGTGGGCCTCTGAGAATGGACACGAGACGGTAGTGCAACTCCTCCTTGAGCAAGGGGCTACGATCGACTTAACGGGCACGTACGGCCAGACACCACTATCGTGGGCTTCTGAGAATGGACACGAGACGGTGGTGCAACTCCTCCTTGAGAAGGGGGCTACGGTTGACTTAACGGATACCTACGGCCGGCCACCACTATCGTGGGCTTCTAAGAATGGACACGAGGCGGTGGTGCAACTCCTCCTTGATAAGGGGGCTACGGTCGACTCAACGGACACGTACGGCCGGACACCACTATCGTGGGCTTCTGGGAATGGACACGAGGCGGTGGTGCAACTCCTCCTTGATAAGGGGGCTACGGTTGACTTAACGGACAATGAGGGCCGGACACCACTATCGTGGGCTTCTGAGTATAGACACGAGACGGTGGTGCAACTCCTCCTCAAGAAAGGTGCTGTAGCGACATGAAACAACGACTCACTCAATGGTAGGATGGGCTAGCGCCTGTGGAGTGAAAACAATGCACCGCGACATGAGCAGAAGCGATTAAACGGTTGAGGGTAGGCAGATCAGAGTAATGGTCATCGATGGTAATGGTGGCACATGTGTAGACGAACAATAAATACAGCAAGAGGCTGCGTCTGCATCAACATGGTGGACATCTCGAGCTCTCAGGCGCAGAGCGCTTCAACACTGTGCTAGGCTGTCACCAGCGCGTAGGTGTGACCACCACATTGATGGTGTCAGCGATAATCACGTGCCGTGTCCTATCTTATCCGTTGGAGTGGCAGGAACGCTTAGCAATATGTCCGTGGCTCGTCTTCCGAATTGCGGCTGTCATTTGACTGGCCATAATATAGCGGCGCGCCTACTCGGGTTAGTCCTCGGCTGTTTATCAGTAGAGCTTGGGGTCGCAAGATAGATGGGGCGGTTTATGTGCTCCGATGAGGCGGTAAAGATATCAAGCTCTGAAGCAGTGGATAGTCCCCATTTATGAACGAAATTTGCTGGATACGGTAGTATAGTAGTTCCAAATCATAGATATTCATGGCCGATCACAGCTACGTGGGTGCAGGAGCGATGTGGTGGAAGTCGAAGTACCGGCTGTGTGACGGGACGGCACACGATGAAGGAGAACGCTCCCAAGTTGTGTAGAAGGGTGGCAGCCACACCTAGTCTCTCCGTGATCCATTATGGCGAACGTGAATTCTTCATTGACCATGACTTCAGGGTTTTTGCCGATGGTGTAACCCGCAGTGGATAAATCCCATATTTCTGCAAGAAGTAAAGTTGGGGAGGAGATCGGTGCCATGATATTTCCAGGAATATAATGTGTCTGTACACTGTGAAGGAGGCCTGCAGGGGTAAAAAAACAGGTCGTTCACGGCCTGCGTCGAGCAGCATGGATACAATGGACAGGTGGCGATGAGACATCGAGCATGTTGTCGATGAGTACTAGGCGTGTGGAGGGGGTCTGAAGGGGCAAAAAACAGGTCGTTCATGGCCTGTGTCGAGCAGGATAGGTAGGACCGACAGGCGGTCTGGCGACATCGAGCATATTGTCGATGAGTGAAAGGTGTCTGTACACTGTGCAGGAGGCCTGCAGGGGTTAAAAAACAGGACGTTCACGGCCTGCGTCGAGCAGGATAGGTAGGAATGACAGGCGGCCCGGCTACATCGAGCACTACAAAGTTCAAAGCTCAAAGCTCCAGTTATCTCATTTTGTAAAGCACGAGTAGAGAGGTTCCATCGTATCGTATCGCCTTTTTGGTTTGAGCTCATTTCCTCCAAGCTCCATAATCTCCTGTCTTCATCCGAAGCGCATTTTGGGTCATGTCGACCAGCCCTTTTGCGAGCTCATTTCCTCCAAGCTTCTTTCATATCTCCTGTTTTCATCCGAGCGCATTTTTGGTTCACATCACCCATGGTATCTCGTTCTCCAAGCTCAGTATCTCCTACTCCCGTTTCAGCTCATCTCAGTTTCATTTGCATCATGTTCCTGGAGTTGCATTTCAACTCGTTCTGGTCTCATCTTCTGTGAGATCTCTGGTTTCATGACTGCCTTCAATGTTCTCAGCCATGTGTGCGTGTTTTGCTTGTTGACGACGATGTTGATGTGTTTATGGTTTGTGAGTGATGTGAGAGACGTGTATGCTCATGTTCCGTATTCCGTGCCCTGTAATTTCTGCACATATGGATTTTGTTCGCCTCAAACGCCTCAAACGCCTTCCAATTGCTAGTATTGTCCTTCCTCATTGGTCTCGGGAATGGTCGAGATGGAATGTCCAACGTAGACCGGGGGGGACTGGAAGATTTGCGAAGGATGACCATTAGCAGGACCAACAAACGCATTCTGGTTTTGGTTGTGATCCATGTTGTGGGTCGGAGTAGGAGAGAAGAGTCCAGCGGGAAGCATGTGGCTCATGTTGCTGTAGGTCATGCCAGAGTGACTTGGAGGAGTCATGGTGCCAAAGCCGTACGCAGATGCGTGTTGTGGAGTCGCATACATGGGTTGTGGAATTCCTTGATGGTTGTACTGGATGGTGGCAGGTGGAGTCATCTGATGCGGTGCCATGCCATGAGAACCAACGGCTTGACCATGGCCGCGGTGGTAGACTTCCGGAGTACCACCGGCATTGTAGTTCATATTGTTCTGATGGACTGCATAGCCTGCGTTCTGGTCACCGTATGCGCGTCTTGGACGGTTGTGCTGCGGTTGGACTCGTAAATTTGGAGCCGTGAGACGGCCGGAAGGACGACGCGCAGAGTATTCTTTCTGTTCAACGCGAAGTTTGAGGCCATGCATGTAACGCTGTGAAGGAGACTGTCAGTTTGTGGTTTGAGTGGAGCGGGTTGAAGCATAAACTCACATCAGCACTAGCAGCACGGTCGGCTTCGTGAGCAGTGGTGTATTCGACGAATGCGAAGATGTTCACAGCGTCGTTGTCTGTCTTGTGCGTTAGAGCGACTCTGGAAGGCGGTGAGTTTGGCAAGGATGGGACTCACCATAAACCTTCTTGATGACGTTGACTTGGACGATGACACCAAACTCGCCGAAGAGCTCTTCAACATGAGCACGGGTTGTTCCTTCTGGCAAGTTTCCAACGTAAATGGACTTCTGATCAATGGTTGAGCGAGGAGCTGAGAAGCCACCAACAACTGCGCCACCATCTGGTCCGACGCGGAAGCGTGGTTCGAGAGAAGGAGCCATGAAAAGCTGGTAGCCAGAGGTGTGATTTTGAAAGAGCTGCTCCTAGGTCAGACAGCCACCAATTCAACCATATTGGATTGGGCACTTACCTTGAGAGCGTCACGACAGTCGAGGTAGAACGCGAACTTGACATACATGCCGTCTCCTGAGCCTCCATGACGTCGATTGGCCATGGTAGTCGGTACAACGAGCTCGAGGGGTCCGTAGCGTTCAAGAATCCCACGAGTTTCTGCCTCGGTGACCATGGTGCCATCAGTCTTGCTGAGGATTACCGCGCCTTGAGTCATGGTCAGCTTCGTTTCCATCTGTGTGTGTGTGTGTTTGTGGACTCACGCTCCGCCTTGGCTTGTTCAATCCGAATCTTCCTGCCGTCCATAACAAGACCATATGCGCCTGCAACAGCTGCAGTGGCGTCTTCGTCTTTCTGTCACAATAGTCAACAAGGTGGATGATACGGGCGTTTTTCGACAGGGTTTACCTCAAACTGAACGAAAGCAAACGGATGCTGGTTTCTGTCACGCCGAATCTTGACGTGATTGGGGCCATAGTCATCAAATGTTTGATGACAGGCCAACTCGAGTTGGTCCTCAGAGCGATTCTTGGAGAGACTGAGATGGATTAGAACGAGGGTGTACAAGGTAGATATCGTTGACTTACTTTGCAACAAAAATCAGTGCAGTTGGTGGATAGAGTCCTTGCGCGTTCGCGGCATTTGGGACTTGGCTGACGCGGTCTGCACGGGGCACGAAGCCATTGTATCCAGCAGGGGCACGCAAGTTATTGACAATTCGACGCGCGATGGCGTGAGCTTGATTATTATTAATTGTAACAGAGCTTGGAGCACCAAACACATCGTCTTCAGCACTTGGCTCAATTGCTGTCTGAGCTGGTCGATGGGCTTCGTCGACCTCGAAGTCGGTGTTGGCATCTTTCAAAGATGCTGGGAGAGAGGTGGAGCCTGGAAGTCATCGACAGAATGTCAGTTTTCATCAAATCCAGCGTTGGAAAGGTGCGAGGTCATCCTTTCCCACGCGCCACAAGGGGGTGAAGGGGTGAGGGAGGACTGACCTTGAACGGCTTGGGCGGGTTCGACGCGGCTCTGCTCGCCGTCGAGCTTTGTGGTTGCCATGTCTCCAGAGATGGCAACGATCTCAGGATTTGGCGTTGAGGAGGCGGATCGAGGGAAGGTTATGGGGAGCGTGGGTAGAGCGGGCATGGTGACTCGAAGAAGAGGAGAGGATAACGACGCCGCGAGGCGAGCGGCCATTTCAGCAGGCTTTAACTGTTTCACAGAGACTCGATGTCAGTAAGGTTCCAGATCAAGTTTATAGACTCGAGAAGTTGTACTCACCCTGCAAACGGTTTTTCTGAGTAAACCAGAAAGAAGACAAGGCCGTTTAGCACCCGGAGATGCTGTAAACGAAGAATAAAAGTGAGAAAAATATAAAGAGGCCACAATTCAGAGTGAAGTGCGTTGAGAGCGCGAGGGGTATCATGGGTGGGCTTGGCATTCACAGCGGTCTCTCCGATTCTGAATTCCTTTTCAGAAGCTCATGAAGACGGCCTGGTTTTGACCTCTCCATCTCCTCGCTTCCAGACCGCTGTGTTCTCCAAGCAAGCACACGATTGAGTTCATGATCCATATCTCCTCTCACACCCTCACACTGGAGGGTGTTTTGTTGGGAGCGGACGCGCCCTGGGCACCATCACGCTTGAAAGCTCAAATTGATGGTCTGTGTTGAACTCCAACTGACACCATCTGTCTAGAGCCAGTTTACTCATGGCACACAGTGACAGTTGTGTCAAAGACAGCTCTGCAACTCTGAAGGCATGTAACTTTCCAGGGACAATATGACTAAGCACTCTGGAAGAGGAGCACAGTGCACACCAGAGTACGCGCAACAGCCACCCAAACAAGTGTCGAAGACACATGTTGGAGGTGATGTGTCTGTACATGTCAGCAACCTTTTGTCATACCAGGTGAGATTGGGCTTTCTTACAATATTCTCGATGGACACTGACCAAGGCAGGTTGGAGTCACATCTTTCTTTGGTGGTGGACCGGGACTGTCTTCTTGCATCCCTGTCACCTATCTATTCAGATGAGAGACGTATCGGGAGTGGAGGTATAGCACGAAGTGCAAGAGCGCGATGTTGAGCAAATGATATGATGAGAGAATCTTGTCGATATCCTGAACGATGATCAAGAAGAAGTTGTTGAAGCTGGAGAAGGCGAATGTGCGAGGAAATGAAAACAACAATGAAAAGAACTGGCAGAAATTCACGATAGAAGTACTCAGTATCGATGTCGCTGACGCTAACGCCATTAGGAAATCTCAACGCCCCTTGGCTACTTGTTGCTCACTTGGCGACGATGCTTGGCGATCACGGTGGTTCAGATTGACTTGCAGCCGGTGCCGGGGTTTCTCCGGCTGCTCCCGACGCTAGCAGTGACCATGGGAGGCGAGATTGTGGAAATGGCTCGAGCACGTGAATGCCCATGACGTTGAAGCAAAAGTTGCGGGTGCAGCTTATACAGTGACAGTGAGTGGACAGTCGGAACAAGACCAGGGCTTCCCCATCGTCTGGACCAAGGCTTCTGTTACACTACACAACAGTCATGTTTATGCCCACAGTCAGGCGCTGTGCGCCTGGCTTCTGGAAGAAAACAAGTCAGGAACTGGGCAGAGCAACAAAATTTGGTACGCGGTCCCATGTGGCCCATTGAGGGATGTGCACGCCTTGCCTGAGCGCCGAGATGTGCTGGATGGCGGTGGTAGATACGGCGGAAGAGTATAGCATTGTGTTTGAAGGCGTGGGCTGACTTCTCTCGGTGGCCAGCTCTCAATCTCGAAGGCCTGCATTTGCCTCTTGCCCCGTATCCTATCTTCGACTTTGCAGATCCGGAAACCATTACTACCCTGAAGACGATGACCGACCAGTCAGTTGGCGGCTTCTCGACGGCACAACTCACACAAAAACCTCGTGATGTATCGATAGACCCTCCTACCCCTGCGCACGTCCTCTTTCATGGAAACATCTCCACAAAACTTCCCACAGATCGACCAGACATCCAAAGAACAGGATATGCAGCATGGAGAAATGAGGATCGAGGGCGAACACTGTTTGGAGAGTTGTTTTGGAACGTCGATTCCTACATGTACCTAGCGTTGCGGGTAAAGAGTGACGGCCGGAAATACTTTGTCAATATACAGACGGACTCGATCGTCGAGTCGGACATCCATCAGCATCGATTGTACACTAAGTACCACAAGGGTGCAGAAGGACCTGATGACCCTGGTCAATGGGAGACCGTTTGGATCAAACTCCACGAGTTTGTGCGCACGAATCATGGGATTGTCACAGAACCACAGTCAGAGATGTTGCGACAAAAGGTAAAGAGCTTCGGCATCGGATTGATTGACCGGCAGCCAGGGCCGTTTGAACTTGGAATTGCTGCAATGTGGGCTACGAACCTCAACGAGAGGGGCCAAGTCGACGGCCGAACCGGTTGGGAAGAGGGCGACCAGGGGAGCGCGAGATTAAGCGAGGTGACACTAGAAAAGCTGGCGCAAAAGGCAGAAGAGAAGAAGAACATACCAGAGCAGAAGAAAAGCTTCCGCGAAAGAGTGCCACATTTTGGGAAAGTTGGCTCGGGAGACACGAAGGCGTTCAGGTGAATTTTGAGACAGGACATTCTGGCCAAATGCAGCAAACATGCATGGATGGTGTGTTTGCAGTCGAAATTCAAAATGTACTATACGTTGCCTCTACCTCAGGTCTTTTAAAGTCTCTTGTAGAGATTTCCCAGTCAAGATTTTGAACGCTTCGAGGTATCTTGCATGAGTGGCTTCAACCACATCTTCAGGCATCTCCACGTCCTGTTTGTTTTTGAGACCATTATCCGTCAGCCAATCCCGCAGCGGTTGCTTGTCAAAACTCTCCTGGCTTTGGCCGAGCGTGTAGGCGGATTTCGACCAAAATCTTGAGCTGTCTGGGGTAAGCACCTCATCGACAAGCACAACCTCGTCCGTTTCCTCGTCCAAACCGAACTCAAATTTCGTGTCGGCTATGATGATTCCCTTTTCTTTTGCATAGTCCCGTGCCGCCTTGTAGATGCGAAGGGACAGTTCTTCTATTCTTTTCGCATACTTCTCGCCTGTAATCTGCGCAGCTTGCTCCGTTGAAATGTTCTCGTCATGCTCACCCAGCTCAGCCTTGGTGCTGGGAGTGTAGATCGGTTCAGGAAACTCTTGGGATTCTTGTAGGCCTTCCGGCATCTTCTTCCCATTTACCTCACCGGTTTTTTTGTAGGAGGACCAGGCGGAGCCTGTAATGTAACCACGGACGATAGCCTCCACCGGGAATACCTTGAGTTTGCGCACCAGCATACTTCGGCCCTTCAATTGAGAAGCGACATCCTTCGGAATTGCAGTCGGCAGGTCGAGAGAAATGAAATGGGTTTTCAGGTCAGGGATCTGTTTCTGGAGGTATTGAAACCAGTGCACCGTCATCAACGTCAGGACGAGACCTTTTTCTGGTACACCCTAGATTCGCCGCGTCGTCAGTGAGCTGGTAGCACGAAAACGAAGCGAGAGAAGCATACATTCTTCATGATAACATCAAAGGCCGAGATTCTGTCCGTAGTCACAAAGAGCAAGGATTTTGAGTCGACATCGTACAGCTCTCGGACTTTACCTGAAGCCAATAGTGGCAGGAATTCTCCTAGGTCTGACTTGACGAACGCCATCTTGAAAGCTTCTACAGATTTGTACGCAGAATATCTCTTGCGCGATGGGGGTTATGGTACGAGAACCGCAGAAAGAAAAGTGCGAAAGCAAAGGAAAGCAAACCTGCCAAACACAACAAAATATTTGCCGAAGTTCAACCAATCACCAGGAGCGACCCGGCGCCGGGTGACACGCAGGGTGCAGGCGACGCGCCTTTCCTAGTTGATTCAGATTCAATAACGCCTCTCACAAGTAGCAGTGGTTATGCAACAAAGCAATGCACCTGGCTAGACGCATCCAAGCCTGCTAGCAGAATCTCGGCTGTATTGTTTCCCCTGGTACAACATGAGCCGGTATCTGACCCCAGCAAAGATTACGCTGCTGGTCCTCGCTCTGCTCTATACAGAGGATGTAGTTCCGACCAAAGAAGCCACAGTCGTGTTGTCCTTTATCCTCTCACAGATTGTACCATCAAGCAAGCATTCTCCATTATTCCGGGAAAGCACAGAATTCGATCATGCTGTTCCAATAACTGAATTCGAAGCCACGTTGTCCTCCCGTCCCTCTGCGAGACCTGGCAGAACTTTATTTGATTTGCTGCTGAAAAGATTGTGGGCCATTGATTGCTCGCATGCTCTCGATGCCTTTATCACATACCTTCCTTCGCTTCTGACGAAATCCCGAGAGGAGCTCCTGAGGGACCGCGACAGTGGGGAAGAATCTGATCAAACCCAGGGCCGAATTCTCAGAACATCTCCCCTGGGCGCTTTTATTCGTCGCTGCCATTTGGAATACACAAGGCTGCAGTTTCAGGACAGCATCACTCTTTGGCAGGATTTCATTTATTACAGAAACCCGACTCGCGAGATATATGAGAAGAAGAACTACGTGGGCAATAGAAATGCCCTGGACTCGAACTTCGCAGATCTGGGCCTCGATTCATCGCATCCTCTGGCCCAATTGATGTACGGAAGACTTGCCGAAGACGAGCAAAAGTATCATGGCGCGTACAGTATGTACGACGTCGAAAAATTGATGGAATTCCAAGTCACCGAGATCCAGCGTGTCGGCGGAAGACTCCCTGACGGCATGAAATTGAAGCTTCAAAATATGTCTAAGGCTGGGACCGTCCTCCCCAAACTGGGGAATTATCTCAACTTCCTTGATTCATGGCGGGCTGGGGATTACTACTCTGCCTTTGACAATTTGCACAGATACTTCGATTACGCAATGCAAACACGAGAGAGATCAATCTATCAATACGCTTTGCTCAACCTCGCCATTCTCCAGGCAGACTTCGGATGTCACACGGAAGCACTTTCTGCCATGCAAGAGGCCATCGCCACCGCCCGAGAAAACAAAGACACGGCATGCCTCAATTTCTGCATGAGCTGGGTATATCATTTCGGGCGGTCTTTTCCTGGCGAAATGGACGCCATACGCGACAACGGCATTCTCGGCAGCGAAGTCGAGGGACTTGCATTTCTAAAATCCCGGGCCAAAGATGCGGAGATGTGGAGCCTTTTGGGCACGACACTGTTGAGCGAGGCGAAGCTTGGTATGCAGTACGGAGACAGCCTCGCAGGAGTGTTCGAAAACATCGCCAAATCATCGTATCTCAGTGTGGTACGATCCACCCAGAACACCACCGGGCCAATGTTACTCATCAAAGGCGCCGCGTTTAGCAGGATTGGTCTTGGTCATCTGAGCTGGTTCTGTGGACAAGTATTTCTGCAGTGCCATTCCAAGGACGCCCCGCTTGAAGATCTGTTCAAAAACTATTGTCGCATCGCCGGACTTCTGGTCCAACGTGGCAGATATGCTGAAGCTCAGCAATTGCTGGACAATGTCCCGTCGAATGTGCATCGACGAATGAGGTTCCAAAACTCCATTGGCTTCTACTCCGGCTTGTTGAAGGCTCGAAGGCTGATACATCGGGACAATCTCGATGCTGCGGAACGCTTGCTTGACCGACTGCGCGGACAAGGGGCGCCAGATGTGAAAGTTGAATTTTCACTGTCACTGCTTGAGGTTGAGCTCCTCATACGTCGAGGCACTCTCGACCAAGCTCTTGAAAAAGTTGGGGAACTAGCACAGGGAGCGGACAAGAGCAATGAAATCAACGACATCGCCGTACAGACCCGGCTGCTGAACCTCAAAGCACGGATCTTGGCTGAGAGCCGACATCCGCTCAAGGGCTTCTCGCTTGTCATGCGCGCAGCGCAGATCGCATACCGAGGACGGATTCTCCCCTCGTTATGGACATCGGTCTGTCTTCTTGCCACAATTCTGAACGACCTCTGTGAGTTCTCCGCCGCTGCCGAGCTTCTGCAATCGGTCTTGCCTCAGGTGCTGGAATGTCAGGACTGCGAACTCGCCGCTCACTCATATTCCGTCCTTGCAGACGCAAACATGGGTCTCGCTGGCTCATTATCAGGACCAGACAAGTCTTCTGCAACAAAGCAAAAGGAGCTCATTAACAAAGCAATGGAAAATATCGACCACGCATATGCACAGTATAGGTACATTGAAGACCTACAGGGGCAGCTGGAGATGCTGAAGAAGAAGGCCACCATCATGCACTGGAGAGGGGATTTGGTGTTGGCGAACGACACAGCGACGCAGTATTTGGGCCTGAAGAAGGAGTACGAAGCCCTGAATGTCTGAAGATCACCCGTCAACTGTCGGAGTAAACTCTGAAATCATCGAATATTGAACTTTATGAGATAATGGGTTGTGGTCTTGTTATGCTTCCGTTCGGTCACCCCTTTCACTTCCACGGCATCCTTATGTACAAGTCAGGTCCACCATGACCAACTGAGTCTTTAAAGCCAGTCCACAGCACTTCACTTTGATGTTCATATTTCAAGTTTGCTTGTCCTTCCTGTGGTAGTTGACCTTGTCGTTCCAGAAAAGGGTCTTGTCACCATCTCCCCACCAGAAGTTCCTAGTTCGGATGTTCTGGTAAGGGTATTCAACACGTTCTTCGAGGGGAGGCATATGTTCCCAATGCTCCCAATGTTCATTCCAGAGGTTGTAGGCGTTGATGCTTGCGATGATCAGGCATGGAATGACGACGCTGTAAGGGTGGTTAGAATCAAGTCTCGGTGGGTTTATGGTGTCTGGGGCTTTCATACAAGATGGAGAGTTTACGCCAGAGATCTACACATCACGTTAGCATTTTCCGGGCAATCGACGGGTGTCGGAAGGCAAACGCACCACTTGTGGCAGCAGCATGAGCTTTTACAGCAGCTCTTTCTCGGTTGAAGGCATTGTCGGCCGTTCCAACGAGTTTGCTCGTTCCTTGACCAGGTGGGCTTGGGACACCACTGCTCGCGAGGCGTCGCTGGAAGGTCGATCGGAAGAGGGGTCGAAAAGCGGGCGAGCGTAACTGCTGCTGCGCAAGACGCAGACCAACACGTTGGAAGGACATTTTGCACGGCAAATGAGTGGAGAGGATGTTGTCGCTGGCGTTGACTAGAAGTCGAAGAATACAGGTGAGGTCTGGTGCAGGAGCTCTGCGGGAGCTTGGCAAGCCCAATGACGATGGCCTGAGCGCAGGTGTCATTTGAAACGAAAAATACCCGGTGTCAGCGCCCAAATCGAGGAACAGGTGACTTGTTTACGCCGTCATAACAAATAAGCTTTCCCACATCGAGCACCCGGTTGTGTGAGCTCAATCCGAGCTCCTTTGAACTTCAATCCTTGCTTCAACTGAGCAACGTTCGACCATCTCCACTCCTTCCAACTCGCTCTGCAGCTCCAGTCCAGCTGGCTCTGGTCGGCCTGTAAACCCTCTTACCTTTACAGACCTGCCATTGCCCACCATGTCGACGACCATGCTGCGCACCAGCGCTGTCCGATCGATCCCGCGCTCCTTCACCTCCCTCCAAGCTACGACCCCACGAACGAGCGTCCTCAACAACGCCCTGAAAGCCTCGCTGCGGACCTCTGCTCGTCCTGTACGGACCTCTCGTATCCTCGCCGTTGCCGCGTTCCAGCCAGTTCCGAGAGCCGTTGTGCGCTACGCCCACAACGCACACGCTTATGATACTGCAAAGGCAGAGAAGGCACTCCATGAAAAGCTTTTGGAACCAATCCCACAAGCGGTCTCGGCTGACTCGACCACTCGACAAGTTACCGGCGAAGTGCAGCCCAAAACTGCCGACGAGGAGGATGTGGACATGATGGGCGGGATTCGAAGTGATTTTGTGGGTTTCCGGCAAGCCAGGAACGCCTCCATTTCCATTTACTGATCTCAAGGCGAATAGAACACAATCAAAGAGACATTTAGTTTGGCTTCGGTGCCTCGTGAGGCTCTTTACGTTGGGCTGGCGGGTGTCATTCCGTATCTGGCTACGTCTCTCACTACCGTCTATCTCTCTTTCGACATTCAATATGCGGCCAACCATGGCCAGGGCTTTTTCATGTCTGGAGAGACTGCTGAGACCTTGCTTCACATTATCGAGCCAATTCAGCTCGGTTACGGTGCCTCGGTGAGTCTTCCCGGACAAATGCAAATTTTTCTGTGACTGACACTGTTTTCTCAGATCATCTCCTTCCTTGGTGCCATCCACTGGGGTCTCGAATGGGCCGGATACGGTGGTTACAAAGGCTACCCCAGATACTCTATGGGTATCGTTGCGACGGCCGTGGCCTGGCCAACGCTTCTGCTCCCCGCCGAGGTTGGCTTGATTGCTCAGTTCCTAGCATTCACCTTCTTGTACTACAATGATGCAAGAGCTTCGGCTCGAGGCTGGGCTCCTCAGTGGTACGGAGTCTACCGATTCGTTCTCACTTTCATCGTTGGTGCCAGTATTGTGGCTTCATTGATCGGACGTGGCCAGATCGCTGATTTGGTTACACGACCTCCGGGACCTGCCGACAGAATGCGGGCACTCAGGGCCAAGCAGATGGAAGAGATTGGACCTGAGCCAGTGGGTGGCGACGAGGAGGAAGAAGAAGATGAGGGTGAAGACGAAGAGTAGAGGAATACAAGAAAGCCGTGCGTCAAAAGTGGAGAACCGGTGCAACACCCGCTGATTGTTTTGCAGGTAGCAGTCATTGTACATATCAAGGCCAGGACAGGCAAATTCAAACATTCCATTTGTCTTTTGGGAATCAGCAAGGCGTGTCTCCATCCGAGCAGTTTCACAGTGATGGATCTATCGAAGCCTTCAGGGATAGCCAATGCCACGCAGACGCACAGCAATTGGCACGCCATGTCCCCATATCGAGTGTGCCAACCTCGTCTCGGCGATCACAGGGCCTCCGGCTGATGATACTCGGTGATCGTATGTATGAATGCACAGGAACCAGCTTTCCACCTGTTGCCACGTGCTTTTCCGGATCGTCGCCTGGGCGTTGCATCATCGCCTGCTGCAGAGCACATGCGTCCCCGCACCCGAGTTGCTCTCTCTCTCTCTCTCTCTTTTTTCTCACGATTGTTATTATGTGCATGTTCTGTCCTTGGTTTATGGCTTCTTGATACTACGGCCACCTATTCAATAATCTTCCATGCTATCAAGACTCACACAACATCTAACTCATCTCGGTTTTCCATCAACCTCACCTCGTCCTTCCAACATGGTACATTCGCCCTTGAATCTCTACCTGTTGCAAGCATATTACCTACTGACCAGGACAACCCTAGGGTGATAAATCGAACAAGAACTTCGTTGGTGCAATCGACAATGGTACCACCAGTACACGATTCCTCATTTTCGACCCTGCAGGCAACCCGGTCGCCAACCATCAGATCGAGTTCGAGCAGCACTATCCGCACTCTGGGTGAGTCTTGCAAGGGTCAAGGAGGCCTGCATCTTCCAAACCAACGCCAGGTACCCTTCCTATAACGTCCGTCTCTCTTACTCTATCCAGCTGGCATGAACACGACCCTGAGGAGCTCATTTCCTCCGTCGTAACTTGCATTGACGAAGCATGCGCCTCATTCGCATCCCAGGGACACACTCTCTCCGACATAAAGGCCGTCGGAATCACAAACCAACGTGAGACGACTGTGGTATGGGACGTCAAAACGGGGGAGCCTCTGTACAACGCGATCGTATGGACAGACACTCGCAGCGCGCATATTGTGCGTGAACTCAAACAGAAGAAGGGGGCGGACGAGCTCATGGACCTGTGCGGGTTACCGCTGTCGACGTACCCCAGCTCCACGAAACTCCTCTGGATGCTGAGCCACGTCGACAAGGTGAGAAAGGCGTACGACGAGGGCAGACTGGCGTTCGGAACGGTGGATACCTGGCTCGTGTACAAGCTAAACGGCGGCGCGGGAAAGAATGTCTATGTGACCGATGCGACGAACGCGAGTCGGACCATGTGGATGAACATCCACAAACTCTCGTACGACGACAAGCTGATTTCCTTCTTCGACCTCGACGTCAAGACACCGAAGCTGCACTTGCCCAAAATCGTCCCCTCGTCCGACCCCAAAGCGTACGGTACCCTCGCCCTCAGCAAACTCAAGGGCGTCAAGATTACAGGCTGCCTCGGCGACCAGTCCGCGGCGTTGGTGGGCCAATGTGGCTTCTCGCCGGGCCGTGCAAAGAACACCTACGGCACGGGCTGTTTTCTGTTATACAACGTAGGCGAGAAGCCCGTGATCTCAACACACGGCCTACTCGCCACAGTCGCGTACGACTTCTCGCCCCAGGGGATCAAGCCCGTGTACGCGCTCGAGGGCTCGATCGCGGTGGCCGGGTCGTCGGTGAAGTTCCTGGTCAACAAGCTCGGTTTCGGCAGCGAGTCGTCCGAGATCTCGGAGCTGGCGGGCACGGTGAAAGATAATGGCGGGTGCGTCTTCGTCACGGCGTTCTCGGGCCTGTTCGCGCCGTACTGGTACGACGACGTCCAGGGCACCATCTTCGGCCTGACGGGGTACACGGAGAAAGGGCATATCGCGCGGGCAACCCTGGAAGCGACGTGTTTCCAGACCAAAGCCATCCTCGACGCCATGGAGAAGGACGCCGGCGTCCATTTGAAGGAGTTGGCAGTGGACGGGGGCATGAGTAACAGTGATTTGTGCATGCAGGTGAGAGCATATATACCATGCAAAACCCACAACCCCCCCTCGGTGACAATTCATGTTTTCCCTGCCTCACTCCCCTTCTTTCCTTCCTTCCCTTTTTACCAACCCTTACCATACGGAATGAACGACGACTCACATTTCGTTGTCGCGCGGCAGACGCAATCCGACATCATCCAGATCCCCGTCGACCGGCCGCAGATGCGCGAGACAACGGCGCTGGGCGCGGCCATCGCAGCCGGGTTCGCGGTGAAAGTGTGGTCGTCGTTCGACGAGCTGAAGGAGATCAACGCCGACGGGCGGCACTTTTTCGAGCCCACCATCCCCAAGCGCCAGAGCGACCGGCTGTACAGGAAATGGAACAAGGCGGTCGAGATGTGCCGCGGGTGGGCGGACGAGGACGAGGACGAGGATGGACAGGACTAAGGCGGAAGAGAAGGAGGAGGGCGGAGGGAAGCTGTGAGACAACGACGACTGACTGTGCAGTGTATAAGAACGGAAGCGCAGCATTCGTTCAAATGTATTATGTATCATGAGTGATCTTGTTGATGTGATTTCATGGGGCGACCAGTCCTCCATTGCTCTTTGTCCCCTGCACGAATTCATCATACTGTTCAATCCTGGCCTCCCAGTCCTTGCGCAGGGCCTCCATCTTGTTCCACACCTCTGCTCCTTCAGCGACGAACGTTTCGACGTCTTCCTTGGTCGCATCGACGAACCCGGCTTTTCTCCCGAGACTCCCACCCCACCATTTGTCCTTGAAGGGCTTGCCGCTCCCATCGATGCCCCAGCCGGGGACGTCCGTGATGCGCACATAGGAACGGCCGAGGCGGTCAGTCGACGACCCCCATTTACACGGTCCGCGGGTTTCGGGGTCGCCGGTTGCTTGGACAGCTTGGGCTCTGATGTCCGCGAGGGACGCGAGCGCGAGCCACGTCGCCGACGCGGCGCCCAGGTAGCTGGTGACGTTGGCCCAGGGCGAACCGCACCAGCGCGCCAGGTAGATGCCCAGCCGGTAGCATTCGTGCACGATCCAGTACAGGCTGATGATCGTGGTGGTGCAGATGCCCGGGTGCGAGACGTGGAAGGTCGGCTCGGACTGATCTGGCCGCTCCCGTGCAAACGACGACACCCGGGCTTGTGAAGGGGTGGTGTATTCTTTGACTTGCTTCGCCGTGGCGGGCTGGTCGACCGCGCTCAGCGCCATCAGGTCGCCCATGCGCTTGGTGTGTTCGTACGCCGCTGTGGACTTCAGGCCCTGGTGGTCATCCGGGTTGTAGTGCCGTCCGACCGCCTCGATGGACGTCGACCAGATGATCTTGCCCCGGTCCTGGGGGTCACATGCGCGAAACAGCGGCATCAGCCAGTGTACCAGCATGTAATGCCCGAAGACGTTGGCGCAGAACACCTCTCCCAGGATCGGTTCCTCCTCACCACGGGGCATCGTCCCCGGGGGGAACTGCGGCTTTGTCACCAGTCCGACAAGACCCAGTTTGAACGTCGGCCACGTTGTCGCCTGTCGGATGCCGGTCAAGACCGTCCACAGCGTCAAGGGCCAGTCCAGGCCCGACCATCCTCCTATACCAGCATTGAGCACGATCGCATTGAGGTGCGGCAGGTCGGAGGCGAGGAGTTTGCGGCTGAGGGCGCGGACGGAGAGCAGGCTGGTCAACTCGACGTTCTCGGGCTGGAAGTAGATCCTGCGACCAGACGGGGAGCCATGTCGGGCTTCGCGATGTTTCTCGAGGGTCGCAAGTGTCTCGCTGCCCTTTTTGGCGCTGCGAGTTGTGAAGATGATGGTCAGGGTGCCGCCATGGTCGCCGGTGTGTGAAGAAGAGGCAAGATACTCGTCGATGAGACGACAGCAGGTACCTAGACCGAGGCCGCTAAGCGAGGGTGTGCAAGTCAGAGTCTGACCGATTGGATGGGATGGATTGGTGCTTTGTTTGTTGTTTGCTTACCTGTTTGCGCCAGTCACCAGGACATATTGATTGTTGCTGGTCATGTCATTGATCGTGGTCGGTGGGAGTTGTTCGTATGGTGGTCCCAGCACTCCACCATCGTGGGAGATTTCTTTTGGTCTTTCTTGTTCTGGGGAACGAGCAAGACAATCTCGAATTCAGGGCCACACAATTCACGGCGTGGCGCGACTCGGGATCGCAGTCAGTGGCTTACATAATAATAGGAATGGTCCCGCCAAGCCAATTCCCTTTTGGGAATACAGCAGGGACTCCAGGGACTCCCCCCATACTACGGAGTACAGAGAACTGAATTCATACATTCATTACATACACCCTAGTCATGGAAATTGATATGTCCGTCCTTGCCTTGTCGTGCCTTGTTCTCGGCCATGGGCAAACAAAAACAAAGCACCCCCAAACTTCATTCTTTTGTTGTCCGGAGACCAGCCTCCCAGGTGGCATTGCGATCCACGCCCCATCCATACGAGCTGCTGTCTTTGGTCGACGTTCGACGCATGTCTCGCTTATATTTCGTCGTGTACGCTCCTCCGGGGGTAGCACGGTGCAGCACCGCCGTGTTGTCCCACATGACCATGTCGCCGTTGTTCTCCCACTCCACGGTCAGCAGGTATTTGTCCTGCGAGACGTGGTCGAGTAACTCGTTCACCAGGGGTCTGCTCTGTTCAATCGTCTCCCCATCGAAGTGATGTGCATAGGTGGTGATGTACAGGTTCATTCGCCCCGACTCTTCATGCACCTGGGCCAGTTTGTGCCGCGCCATGGGCATGTCCGCCGGCTCGAAGTCGGCAAACGTGTCGGGGGCAGCCAGTTTGCGGTTGTGGTAGAGCGAGTTGTTGCACACCAGTGGCTCGATGCGGCGCTTCATCTCTTCCGAGAGGTCATCGTACGCGGTGCGGGAGTCGAGGTACTGCGTCGCGCCTCCGGTGCCCTTGGGAGGCAGCTCGACAGCGCGGAGGAGCGAGTAGTGTGCACGGCGGGGATTGTAGGCCATGTCGGCGTGCCACAGGCAGTTGCCCTTGTTCGCCCCGACGCGTGCCGGCTCCAGCTCCGTGAGCACGTTGCCGTTCTCGTCCAGGTTGGACACGTCGAAGATCTCGGGCTGGGTTGGGAATCGCATCCGGCGACCGGCCTTCATGTGTGCTTTCACGTCATACATCTCGCCGAAGTTGGCGGTGAATTCAATCTGCCGGTCATTGTCGAGATTGGCGCCGCGGAATACCAGCACCCCATACTTGTTGCACGCCTCGCGGATCTCGGCCGCCGTCTCCTTCGACACAGTCTTTGAGAAGTCAACGCCGTGGACTTCGGCACCGAAGGTCCTGGCCAGAGGAGTGAAGGTCAGAGTAGACTCGGGCTCACGAGTGATCATTGTGCACAGTGGGTGGCCGAATCTCAAATCTTCTAAAGAGGAAAAGGACAGTATTCACAACCAGCAAGACTGATGACCTTGTCGGTGCGATGTGACAGATCATGAAACTGCTCCGCCGGATCAGGACTACCTACTCTGACCCAACATCGCCTTACGTGCGATCTTTTCTATTATATCGCCTCAGCTCTGTTCAAGCGGGGTTTATACTCCGTACGGAGGAGACCTCGGCCCGAGCGCCCCAAAACAACTGTTGGCAGGACTACACTGAAAAGATATACAAAGATGGTCAGAACAAGCCTCGGAAATATGGGGGGTGTTGAGGAGACTAAATGCTAGAAGAATCGTGGGGCCCCGCGGGTACCGAATTCCGTGGAGAATACTGCCGACATTACCTTGCCGTCGATTAGTGATTGGCCTTGTCCAAGTTGTTCCTGTCCCCAGAGCTAGTCGCGGAGCGGTTCTGCTGAGCCGGTTGACAACTTACCCTTTTTGTCATAGATCTCGACACGAACTGGCCGTGACCGTGAGTATCTTGATGCTCGACACAGGTGCAAAAATCATGTAATAACCACCTGATATGAGGCCCCAATCTACTATAACTTTCGGAACGGGTCATATCAGGGGCGGAAAGACCACGACAGCAACGCCATGAAGGCTGAAGTGCCCGCTGAGAAGCTGGTCAAGGACGCTCTCGGAGAGACGAGGTGCCTCGCCTGGCGCGATGGGTTTGCTCTGCTTGCGCCTTTCAAACCTGGGTTCTTCTTACACCTGGCTTGCTGACAGAGATCTCACTGATGAGCAAGGCTTGGACGGTGCCAGACGTCGCTAGAGATGCACTAAAGGCGACAAACAAGGGACACTTTGCATGCACTGCACCATCGTCCACGCCGCCTTGACCGGGTCTCGAGTCGTTGTGAGATGTAATTACCGAGTACCACCACGACTAAGTAAGTATAGAAGCAGGTTGGTAATATATTGTAGGGAATACCTTCTCTACACCATCACGAGAAGCATCCTTTCTCTGCTACTATTGAACAGCCATCACCAAGCTGCGTTCCGTGGCTTCAACAGCCTCGGAGTTGCCTAACTCGGGAATAGGTTTCAAGGCGTGCCAGGTGGCATTCAGGAGAGCCGGCCTTGTCCTCCAGCACAGAGATCTCGGTATTCCTTGGGCGAATATAGCTCCTTCCGTCTCGATCCTAGTGCATGTGCATCTTCCGAATATCTGAGATGTCAGGAGCTTCTCTTCCTGTCATTCAGCCATCCTACCTCTGTTTCCGTGGCGTGTTGTTCGGAAGCGAACTGGCTCCTCAATCTTTCCCATGGCTCCTCATACTCTTAGTGGAGCACTGGACCATCGGACCACTCTCCTCGATAAGGGTGTCCATGAAGCCGAGGCCGGGACGCTCAGCCTCTGCCCATAGTACCATATCCATTCGCACCAGACCAGATGCGTGTCTGACTTTCCTTGCTTGAAGACTTGACGGCGAAGTAGTCCCGAAACTTTCTTGCCGGGGGTTCTGACGCAGCTTCTTCGTCACCACTGCTGAGGAGACCTTGCACGCATATGGAATTACCGCCGCATGGCATCCAGCAACACAGTTTGGCCAGCGGCAAGGCGAGGCCATGGACGACCACACTGCTGACGACCAGGAACCAGACAACTACCCGCATGGCTTCCTGGAGATATCGGATGTCTCCGATTGACGTACTTTTTTCGTCCCGAACCAACTCCTCAAGGAACTCCACGGCGATCAGCAAGTAGAAAATGGCTGAGACGCCAATAGGTCCAAAGAATCCGACAAACATGGCCTGGAAAAATGTCCCGATCTCGGTTACTTTGTGCTTCATGGCCAATATCGCCGGGAAGCGACGGAGACAGAGGACTAAGATGCCCAGCGCCATTAATCTTCCGAAAGAAAGGACGTTGTTTGTTGCGAACAGCGCCCACGGGGCAACAGCCCCGTACCAGATGAAAATGGAAATGTTGAGCAGCGTGTCGGCAGCAGACCAGAACAGCTCGCTGCAGGCATCCTGCTCGAACCTGTGAAGTAAGTCACAGCTCAAGAGTTTCCTTAGGTCCCACTCAGAACTTACTGGTCATCCCACGCAAAGGTACATCCGGCGACGAAGCACGCAAGGATGTCGTCGGTTCCCAATATCCCACAAGTCCCCAAGACGAATAGAGACAGTGCAATAACATATATGAGAGAGCTTTCTTCCTCAATCAGCCCGCGTCTTCTGGCCGAGAAGAACAGCTTCCGCGCAACATAACCGACGACAACACCATACACCATGCTGAAAATCACGACATGGCCCCAGGTATCACCAATCCAGGATGTCAGCATGGGCAGCTGAATCCCTTGACTCCCGGAATGCTTGATCCAATATAGCGAGAAGAAGAGGAACGGATAGCCCAGACCATCGTTCAGTCCTGCTTCGGCTGTGATGAGTCGCTGCAGTGGCTTCGGGGTGTTGATCTCTGCGAACCGGCCTTTGATGACGGCATTGGATAAGACTGGATCCGTCGGAGCAACACAGGCTCCGATGGCCAGGGCGTGGATGAAGCTTAGCCGTGGCACCATCAACCATATTATGAGACCTGCGCTGAGCCACATCAGCGTCAGGGTCGGCCCCAACATGTAGAAGATTGAGCACCATGCCCGGGAGAGGTAGCGTGACGGGAGCTGGATACCCGTCAGGACCAGCTGTACGGCGAGGACAAGCCGGGAGAATTCCAGGGTGATGGAATCTATATTCCTGCCATGTCCACATCCATATTCGTCTGGCCGGAGAAAACCAGCGAAGTGTGCGAGAACTGCACCTGCGATCAAAGCAATCACTGCATTTCTGTGAGCACCCATGCCACGAGAGGAACGAGAGGAGAGATTCAAGAACTCACATGCTTCGGAGAGCAGGAATTGTTGCTTCCACGCATCAGACACTAACCCGAAACTCAAGAGAAAGCCGCCAAAGACCGTGCATACAATGTTGAAATTGGAGAGAACCAGACCATCCATGACAGAATGGGAATCGGAATCCTTGGAATGAGGGATTTGAAAAATAGGGGGAACGGAAGGGTGTCGAGAGAAGCAATCCTCCTCCTGGTGGTGATATAAACAACGCCCTCTGCGTTTGAATATTATGGAACTCCATACTTAATAAACAGGATATGACGATGTCCAGCAGCGGCGGCAGCAGCAGCAGAACCTCCACACTAATCTCAATCTCACGCGCATGACGCATATGGCCGACGGACTCATGCGCCTAAAGATCATCAGCGTCTACAAGGAGCACCGTCGATGCCCGGTCGGGAATTAGCTGGTATTGATTATATCGTTTTTCGATGACCTGACCAGACCCAGGCATCTGATTGAGTGCCGAGATACAAATAGGTATGATCTCCGCGCTTGGATTGGCGAGCCCGACAGAGGCCGGACGTGACCAATCGATTATCAAGGATGGTCTCCCTAATCATTGACGCATGCATGTGTTCCCACGGCGCTTTCCTCGCCATCCGAGCGGGCTGCTCACTAGGGTTACAAAGCACGACTCAAGGAGGAGGGTGTGTGAAAGGACATAACCGAGTAATCATCGCAGGGATGATCCGGGAAGACGGAACGTCGCACGTCGGCGCTTGATTACGCTAGTTCCTGATCGGCTCGACGGATTCACCATCCAATGGTCGAAATGATAATATATCCGGTCACAGGATCTGGAATGAGTCTATCTCGGTCTTCTACGCCAGCAGGCAAACAGGCTTCTGGTCTGTTCTTAGCCTCGATGTCATGCGTCAGATGGACTGGCTAGAAGGGCGCAAGTGTACTGGCGACAGTGGACGAGAACGCCATCTTGATGATCGTTGTAGGGATTTTGGGGACTGCTGGAAGGCATTGCTACAGTGGGATGGCCTTCTGCCAGGGTCACCGGGTTATGAAAAGCGCCCTCGGTGGTCACCGGCTTTGATGTCCAGCGAGATCGGGTCCGCCTGTCTGCTAAGACCCAGGGAATTGATTGCGACGCCATCCACAAGGGTGGTCTACGACACAGAGGACGTCTCTATGGGTAAGGAAGCAGGCATCATCTTACAGCCCCCAGTACTTGGAACATACAAGTTTTAAGGTGAGCCATTCCACTTCTTCATCCCCTCTACACGAATAGAGGTCGAGGAGTTCGCAGAGGGTTATTGGCCTACTGGTGAAACGCACGGGTTTTCCCCCCGTCAGCAACAATGCCAGGTGCTCAGCCATTCTGCAAGAAGACGGCCAGTTTGCAGCCCTGTCGACGTTGTCGTGGCCTCGGATGTATTCATCCTTGAGATGCATGCACTGGCCAGACACCGGCTCAAAGCAGGGCCCGGCCACTGCACCCTCGCAGTTATACTGCTTGTCTACCTCTCACGCCATGCTGAGAAATTTTGTGTCTCGTCTCTACCGGAATTGGAACTTTGCAGGTTTCTTTGTCTTCTGGAAGTGACTCGATCATCTGAACGAGTCGACTAGATAGCATAGCATCCTCAAGGATTCCTGGTATTACCACCAAACGAAGCAAGAGCAAGGCTATCATTTGGCGACTTGAGAAGCATGGAAATCGCCAGGTGTGCCCCCGACAGTGTTTCTTGGGATCTACTGAGGGGAGAAATACCCCTAACTTCTTTTTTGGTCGGAATGCTCAGTGTTTAGCACCGGAAACCAAGCTAACCTCTCCAAAGCCATGGTGTAAGGTGGTTGAAGGAGCACCCTTAGCCCTACGCCCGACCAACTTGGGTCTTGAGAGGAAGGGAAAAGAGCTTGTAAAGGTGCAGAGTAGCTTTCTGCTCTCAGCGTATTTCAGGATTGCTTTCAAGACGTACTTACCAGCGCCTTTGTTTGTCCCGCGTATTTCTCCTTGGCATGAATGGTCAAATGTTGTGCTAGTATCCTTTTGGATTGTATCTCCCGGTCCAACTCCTACCGGATCTAGTCCGTCTGCTCGTCTGACCGTCCTCCGATGTCTTTTGACCTTTACCACGAACAGTCAAAATGCTGCGCTCAGCTTTGCATGCAGGCCTCCAAGTCTTTCGCTAGATGACAGCCGTTGAAAGAGGGTGGATCTTGCTATCCGGCGAACGTCAAAAATTGCACCAAGGATAGGTACGATGAAGTTCTCCCGCCTGCTCCAGCTGGAACCACCGACTGCCCATACGCCTGTGGATCAGCCACACGGTGATCTCCTGTGACCTCAGAACCACGGTGAATCAGGAGATAGCCGTTGGAGGAGTGCTATGGGAAGGTCGTCGTTCTTGAACCAATCATGAACGCCTCGCCGGTAAGACGGAACGCGAGGCCAAGAAGGTTTCATCGACATCCCACGCTACGTACCGTCTAAAAGTGCTGTCTCCGTGCTATAAACGAAGGTGGCGTGTCCACCTGGCCCACTCACCTCCCCTTCTGACCGTTCTTTCTCCAGAGATGGGCGGGAAGGCACCTCAAGGGAAAGTCTGTCCGGTAATTTCGATCCAATCCTCATTCCTTGATTGCGAAATGTGATGACCACGTACACATGTAAGAAACGAGACCCAATATCTTTGACTAATATCGAGGCTTAGTTTTGCCAGAATTCGACTCATAACGTGGGAGTGGCGTTCAAGCAGTTCGAAGCAGCTCGAGACTGTCAGCACCGGAACCACTGGAAAAGAGTCATCTGTCAACTTGGTCATGGTCGGTGAGTGATTGAAGATGACGCCAACTCCTGACAATGAGGCAGAAGTATTTGGTAGCCCTGCTGAAGTTCCGAATTGTCTCCATGCACCACCCAGCCTTGAAAATCTGAGATAAACCACTCTTTGCGATTCTATCGGATACCTAACCAAGCCTGCGGCTCCTTCTGGGATCTTTGTTGGAGAGTGTTTTCAATCTAGGATGAATTATCCACGTTGCATGTTGACCTGGTGCCCAGACTGCGCAGACACAAAAAAGGAAAATTAGTCTACCCAAAAATCGACGTGGCCATCATATTCAAGAGTGTGTCCGCCACAATATGGCGAAGAACCTCAACCGACTGCCGTCTAACATTCACTATTGTCACTTTTGCTTTAAGTGGGTGATCGGAGAGGATGAATGGGAGGCCCATTGCGCCTTCCACATCTCGTCGCTGGCCACCAAACGATGCGGAACATTATCGTACGGCTACACACTCATCCGTCCTGGATATTCTCAATTCCGCCTCGGAAGGACGAAGTTACCAGCCGCCTATCGATTACAGTCATGGACTCGAGACTTTAATCTCTGGACGCACGTGAACGGGGAACTCGTAGGCCGTCGCTGGCCGATGCGGTGTCCATATCCATTGTGCGATATCTCCCTCAAAGATGATCGCGATCTACAGTTCCATTTCATTAACGATCATGACTTCCCTCGGACGCGGCGTACCTAAGCTACAAACACAGACTCTTTTCACCCTTGCGGATGCGACCAGTCAACAAAACTGTCGAATGATCCCATGCAACGAGTTTACAAGAGGAAGGCTACCACCGCGGATGACTTCCTTCAGTGGAAGCCGGGCGAGAACGTCCCGCCCTCTGTTCGCCGCGGCCGTGAATTGCCTATGTGCCTCCACAAAAAGGCCCGTGTCGCGAATCCAACGGTTTCACCTCCGCTTCCGTCAATTGTTGACCTAACTAGTGTCTCGTGCGAGAGTGACTTGGACGCTTTGCTCCCTCCGGTGGCCAAGGATCTGGCGATGTCCTCCACCTCCCCGCAAGATTCCGATCGCGATCCTCCTCATCTCCAGCCGCGACATCATCAGCAGCTCGAGACTCGATCGGTAGTACAGCAATGGGTGTCATGTGACAGCACTGATGTCGCCACCGTCTCATCCTCACCGCTCGCCGATTCACATTTTTTGTCCAGCAGCGGTCTTGATACTGACGCTAGCATGGAAAATCCCTCCGCACAAGCCCGGGATTTGACAAGTTCCTCGGCAAATGTGCATGGCGATTTAAGTTACGATGATTTATTTGGTCAGTACCTTCGGTCGCCGTCGCCGTCACCTTCGCCTTCGCCCTCACCCTCTTCTCCCTCATCACCCGATGATGCCGCCAGCGAAACAAGCGAAGCGACCCTGGTAGACGGCACCCTTGATCCTACTGGGATAAGTGTAGATACCGATGCCGGACTACGCGGGGCTCCCGCTGAGGAAGCCGTGCTAGAGAAGGAGGTCGCACAGGATCAAGGAGACGCGTGCCGTATCGGCAATGGCACCCGACTTCGATTGCGAGCCCGCCAGCCGACAATCACACTCCGCCTTGAGCTACCGGCTACAAGTCAAGGCAGGGTGAAAGAACAAAGAGGGAAGGGGAAGACCAAAATGCAAGAAACTCAACGGGGAGAGGGAAAGAAGGGAGCCAAGGGAGCAAAGGCGAAGAAAGAAGCTAAGGGAGTGAAGGTAAAGAAGGAGAAGCGATGAAACATTCTAGATAGCACAATGACTTATAGTTTTAGAAAAACGTTTCGGAAATTGTTTGATTAGTCCTCCAAGAGTTGCTGCCATTCCATAGGCTTATAGTGTTTAGGGAGTGGAGCCATCAGCAGAATAAATGCTCGATACTTTTGGTACAGTTCTTAATGTTCATGCAGCTCATCCAGACTTATCCCAGCGACTCTCAAGTGCTTCGGGATCGAAAGTTCCATCAGCAGCATTAATCCGGTCATCCTAGTCATTTTCATAATCAAAGAAACCCACATCGTCGTCTCCAAATATATCCCTAGTAAGATCATCTTTCCTCTGTTGCTCCAACACTTCAAGCATCTCGCCCATTGTCGCAGCCCGACAGGTTCCCGGGCCCCATGGTCTCAGCTTCTTCGCAGGCGAGTGAGGTTCGTACCCCGGAGAACTGGCCTCGGCCACACGATGCGCGCTTTCTTCTACCACCTTAGCTAGCTAATCCCCCTCAATCCGACTTAAGTACACTGCATGTAGATCCGGCAAATGGACAACGTCGTTGACATAGTATTAGAGAACCTTATTGTCGATCGGCCGCTTGGCAAAGATGTCGGCAGCCATGAGACCTTGGATCTCCTTCTTGGTCCGGATCCAGCGATGGATGCCCATGAAGCCGAGCTTCAGCTCGTTCTGGATACACTTGTCTAACTAACGTATGTACGTCCTGTCACCCGCGCGAGTCGCATTCTCGAGGAGTTGATTGTCAGTAATGCCAGCAAGGCCGACGTGGTAAAGAGCCCACAGAGCGTCAGCGTCGTTTCGCACATCCCAAACGCATTAGGGGACGGTGGGATCCTCAAGCATGGACTTGACAGTCTTGCCACGCCTTGACGCTGTAGTGAAGGTCGATTTCCCAAGTGCTAAGACGTCAATGAGTCGTATTACTCTCTCTGGGCTTATCAGAACAGTCATGACAGATATGATCCCATGTCGACTGAGATTCTTCCCTTCTAAATCCAGATACAGTGTACTGGTAGGAGGTATAGAGGAGATGAACGCCTCAAGTTCTGGTAGAGAAGAGATGAGAGTCATCATACGCGTAGAGGTGGTCATGATAGACTTCGAGATACAGTCCCTTGCAAAATTACCTTCTCCCAAAAGACAACTCGAGGCTATCTCCGCCCCACTCCAAGTTCACGTAGCTCAGATGCATTACTTTGTCCACTCTAGGTGTGATTGTTGAAACCACCAATCATAAAACGTCCTCAACACCTCAAGTTTCGACCGTCCGCGTATGGTACCACGTAATATTTAACCTATCATTCCGTAACTACGACAGGTCAACCGAGAAATCTAAGAGCAGTAACAGATCGGATTGGAACTAGACCACCAAGCGTGCGATATATATTGTAATGGGGCAGTCAGGTCACGTGCCTGTACATTGTACAGGGAGGCAGTGGTGGCTCCTGATTGGACGGATGAAGTGGAGAGCTTTTTCTTTTCTTTCAATAGTATTTTTAGACAGACAGGGACGGAGAGACAGACTGGCAATCAAGCATTTCTATCCATCTTGTTTTGGTCGTGTTGTGTTGTGTTGTACGTGGTTCTACCGCCGCAGAGAGGCATCGCCTTTGGCCATGAAGCCTCGCTCCAGTTCAATATACAATAAAAGAACATTCCATCTCGATGTAACTACAAGCACTTATATAACCATTCAGTAAGATAGATCGGATGCTGCATTGTTCAACCGTACATGTCCTCGTTCGCTTCGAAACTCAGGCTACTTCTTATTGCCTCGAGAATTCCAGAATGAAGAGTAGTCCTCCGCACACGCCCTGGTGGTAGGATGATCAGGTCCAAGGACTCGCCGATATCCAGCTATTGCTCTCTCATAGAAGATTGCAGCCTGGATAAACCGAGACCGTAACACCAGAAGGTATGCCAGGTTGTTCATGCTCGTCAGCGTATCCGGATGCTCCTCCCCGAGCACCTTCCTCCTCAGCTCTAATGTCGCTCGATGCATCTCCTCCGCCGTCGCGTACTTCCCCTGATGGCTCAGCGCGCTGGCCAGGTTATTCATACTCGTTAGCGTATCCGGATGCTTCTCCCCGAGCACCTTCCTCCTCAGCTCTAATGTCGCTCGATGCATCTCCTCCGCCGTCGCGTACTTCCCCTGATGGCTTAGCGCGCTGGCCAGGTTATTCATACTCGTTAGCGTTAAAGGATGCTCCTCCCCGAGCACGTTCTTACTCAGCTTTGATATCTCTCGATATATCTCCTCCGCCGCCGCGTACTTCCCCTGATCGCTCAGCGCGCTAGCTAGGTTATTCATACTCGTTAGCGTCTTAGGATGCTCCTCCCCGAGCACGTTCTTGCTCAGCTTTGATGTCTCTCGATGTATCTCCTCCGCCGTCGCGTACTTCCCCTGATCGCTCAGCGCGCTGGCCAGGTTATTCATACTCGTCAGCGTATCCGGATGCTCCTCCCCGAGCACCTTCTTCCTCAGCTTTAATTCTCCTCGATACATCTCCTCCGCCGTCGCGTACTTCCCCTGATCGCTCAGCGCGCTGACTAGGTTATTCATACTCGTCAGCGTTAAAGGATGCTCCTCCCCGAGCACCTTCTTGCTCAGCTTTGATATCTCTCGATATATCTCCTCCGCCGCCGCGTACTTCCCCTGATCGCTCAGCGCGCTGGCCAGGTTATTCATACTCGTTAGCGTCTTAGGATGCTCCTCCCCGAGCACCTTCTTCCTCAGCTTTAATATCTCTCGATGCATCTCCTCCGCCGCCGCGTACTTCCCCTGACCGCTCAGCGCGTTAGCCAAGTTGTTCATGCTCGTCAGCGTCGAAGGGTCTTCTAGCCCGACCGTCTCCCTTCTCGTATCGGATACTTGCCGGTAGAGGCCCTCTGCTACATCATAGCGCCCATGGTCTTGGTAGAACGATGCAAGCCGTCCCGCCACCGCACAGCTCCTCAACTCCTGTCCCACTCGTTGTCCGTCCGAGCAGAGCCGTCGGTCATTCTCGAGGCATATATTTATGTGCCCAAGGAGAATCACTCGCGCTTGTAGTGAATAGTCGACGGATCCATCGATACGCCGGACATTATCCGCCGCCATCTCAATTGCCTCAGATACAAACTCGTGAGTCGCCTCCATCCCCAATCGAACTTGCAGCCAGTCGCAGATCACCGGATGTAACGAGAAGCGTGCCCCATCGATAGACGCGCCACTAGCGATGCTGTCTAATAGAGAGAGATCGTACGCCTTTGAGATCAACCTCCAAAATAGATCTGCATTCCACTGTTCTCGATCTACCACTGGCGTCTCGTCTTCTGCGTCTGACCCGGACCCTACCGAAGCCATTGCAGGACCTTCTGGGTCGCTGTCGGAGACTCTGTCAGATTCCGACGACTGAGAGCGGTCGTTGCTGCCGGAATCTTCATGACTGAATATCCTCATCCATGCCGGCGCCGGTTGCGTCCATTCCCAGTGGTGGCGGAACAGTGACTCGTCAATCCGGTCGGGCTGGAAGAAGGCCGACACCGTTAAGAAGTGCCCAATATCGCCCCTCCGCGCCTCGTCTTCTTCCAACTGCTGAAATGACATCTCCCACGTCGTGAATGCGCTGATCGCCCGGTTATCTTCTTCTTTCCCGTCGACTTGTACCGTGCCGTATTTCCAGAATCGCCGGGGCGTATGTCGTAACACCTGTTCGCGTTGTGCCTCATACAAGCTCAAGAACTCGTCGAGCTGATCTAACGCGAGCTGCTTATATCGGATAAAGGCTGCTGCCTGATCGAGGGCGAGAGGTAACCCGCCTAGCCGTTCGACGATCTTACCATATCTCTCCCGATGAGCGTCCACCTCAGACGTTGGATAGTCGTGTAAGAGGAGTTCTGTCCCTTCCTGGTTCGTCATGGGCGGTACTATTACGACTCGTCCGAGTCCTTCCAGTCCTTTACTGCGACTGGTGATAAGAATATCGCCCATGCTATCTGCGTTGCATAAGTTAGCTAGTTTCGTAAGGATAAGAAGGTAACTAACGAGATGGGATAAAGTGCTCAATGCTCGTAAAGTGATCCGGGTCGTCATAGTTATCCAACACCATGAGCCACCGCTGGCTCCGTCGCGCCAGCGCCTGGACGACCAGTCGGATTTTGGTTCGAGTGTCGTCGATCCCCGTCAGCGGCTGTCTAATCTCTGCCGCCACTCGTTCTATCGACTGTACCGCTATCGTCTCCGAACTCGCATTGATCCAGAACATCTCCGCATAAGTGGACCGCCGTTGTCGACAATACTCCAGCGCAATCTGACTCTTCCCTTGTCCGCCCATCGCCTGGAGGATAAGTACACGATATTCGTCCGCGATATCGTCCGTAAAGTATTCCTGAAGTCGTTTCAGCTGCTTTTGGCGACCTCGGAAATATTTGACTCGCCGCCGGCTTGCCTGTTCATACGTCGTTTCCAAAGGCACGGATATAACCTTCAACACAGAATGGGCTTTAGTTATTCTACTACCTGACTCTCCATACACTTACAGGTGGGACCTGCATCGACGGCACCGATAGTTGCTGTCGAGCATGTTTCGCCATCTTTTTGATCACTTCTACCACGACTAAATAATCCTCTTCCGTCGGTCGTCCAAACTTGTTCATGTTGAAATGCGTCCGCGCGAGCGAGTGTTTCGACACTCGGTCTGACACGTCGAAACACCCAGATCGTTCATCGACTGCAAACGCCTCCACAATATCAGTATGAGTCGATTATACTATTATATACTCATCTTACCTTTCGTCTCTGCTTCCCAACGATTGCTCCAATCTCGCTCGCTTTGAGTTCGAAGAAACAGGCGATTCGCGCACCAGGCATGTTCGCCCACACCCTCTTCTGAAAATCATCCACCAGGTCTTGCAGCAGCTCGTTGCCTGGGTCGAGGATGTGGAGAGGCTCCGCCTCGATATCTTCAGCTGCATATTCTCGTGCCGCCGCCTGCACCATTTCGCTCTGACTCATCCCGTCCGCCCCGCGGAACGGCGTGCCGAAAAAGACCAGCCCTCGGACCGCATCGAACACGCCGGGCCAGTCGTCTCGGTCGTGGTACGTATTGCAAACAGCCTATGCTCCTCGTCAGTCCACCCTTACACTAGTATCAGTGGAGGTCGGCAAACTAACCTTGAGCACCACTAACCCTCCAAAGCTGTGGGCAATCAATATCAACGGTCGATCAATGCAATCCTTCTCTTGTTAGCGCCACATCTCCCCTATGCACGCATCGGTTTTCACCTTTCGCTCTCGTCTCAAGGCAGTTAGAAACCGCTCCGCAGTCGTTCGAGCCGACTGCTTGATCGCCTCTACTCCAAACCAGCCCGATTTGTAACCGTACCGCATGATACGTGCCTGCGGCACCTCCACTGGAAGCATGTCCTCCTCTTCGAGCCAGTTGACCCAGCGCACCTCATCGCCATCGCGGCGTTTCTGGGTCCAGGTGTCGTCCGGGTGCGCGCCGAGGCCGTGGAGGGCGACAATGCTGTAGTGTGTTAGAGAGCTGAACCAGTCACATTAGGCGTTACACTCACTCGATGATCTTCTCTCCATTCTCGGCATCCGGGCTCAACGTCGGCTCCCGCAGCACTTTCAACCCCGTGTCGTCGTCAGTGGTCGGTCGCACCTGAGGCTGAAGTCAGTGACTCGACTGGAGCAGGCAGAAGATGGAAAGCACCATAATCAGTTCACTACCTGTGAGGCTTATACTGAATAAGACAAGGTGGCTTTGGTCCACAATATAACAGTAGGCATACTACACAGTGTGCTCTGTTGATGGACGACATATCCGACGTGGCCTTGCTGGGCGGCAACTTCGTGGCAATCTATTAGGCTGAATACAAGAACTTCCCTGCGTCCAGCCAACTGTCACAGCCACGATGGTTTTCTCAAAGAGGAAAAGCCGATTCAACGAACAGCTCAGCCCCTCCTTCTTATCTACTCGCTGGGGTCTGAACATTTCATTACAGCGCACATGATCATTGAGTATTCAGGAACTATCGTTACATACAGTGGTCGACACTTAACTCGCATAGACAAACTACAATGCCAGCATATCCCCGAGCATCTCCATTTTCGCAACCTCACCAACTTTGTCCCGACCTTGACGGATCCGGCTCCCCAGCGGCGACCCAGCATCTTCCTGGTCATCCAACTATATCCCTATCTGATTCTGACGCGCTTTCCAGATTTCTCCGCCAGGAACTCTGGGCCGCGGATCTCGAGGCCGTCGCATCGAGGTTATGGATCTTAACCACGCCCTCCAGCGCCAGTATCCATGCTCTCCATCAACAAAAGGTCCTCGGACGGGAGATCATTGTGACCGAAGATCCGCGCCTGCACTTGGTGTGGATTAACAATCGTATTTTCATTAAGCCGCTACCCCCTTATCTTTTGTCGTACTCGTTTTGGATGAGTACGTTTCCACAGTCGCCATTACTTACACAGCAATGGCACGTTCGGCGTGCAGCGATTGGTTTCCTGCGGACGTATCGCTATCTCATCCAGCACGAGTCTGATCTATTGATTGCGCAGCAAGAGCATCTACGACTAGTCCCCGTTAAGCTCAACTGGACCGATATGTCTACTTTCTTAGCCGACCTTGAAACTGTTGAAGATGGCGATGCTTCTGCTCGGTATCGATATGGAGAACTTCGTCTTTCTCGACTTAACCTCTACGCCCCCTTTTTGTTCGGTCGACTCGCCTACGAACATATTCCCATGCAATATGGAGAGTACTTTGCACGCCTTTACGGGCCGATCTTGTTTATCTTTGCCATGGTGACGACGATTCTGAATGGAATGCAGGTGGCTCTCGCTGCCGATCCTGGGCGGCAATTCTCCAACTACTTTCTATGGAAGATATTCTACTGGTTTGGTATCAGTACATTACTCATCACAGTTACTGTCGGATCTTCTTTGATGGCGCTTTGGTTCGGAATGATTGCGAATGAGTGGAAGTTCACGCTGAGAAACCGACATAGGGCTAAGGGATAATGTATGGGCACATGTGTATATGTGTTTAGAAGCAGAATTGTCCTGGAAAGAACGTGCCAGCCCATTGTGCTAACAGGTTCAGTATCATTTGATACGGCAATCGGAAATAATTTCAATGTAGTTTGATATGGGTACAGTAGTGCGGTATTCGACATTGCGGAATCATGATCAGTACTCCGGCTGATCAGACCTTGCCTTTTCGCGGTTGCGGCTGATGTATCCGTCCACACTCCCGACGACCCTCCGCAGCAAAATGTGGAGTTAGCCATACATGTATTGAACTGGGGCGAGGCTTCATAGCCAAAGGCGATGCCTCTCTGCGGCGGTATGGATAGGTACAACTCACACACAACACCACAAAATAAGATGGATGGAATGCTTGATTATCTGTGCTGTCCTTGTGCACCAATGCCTATGTAAAACACCATTGAAAGAAAAGAAAAGAGACTCTCCACTTCATCCGACTAATCAGGAGCCACCATTGCCTCCCCCACTACTTGCGCATCCACTCAGTGACCTTTTCCTTTTTTTGTCCCTGCTTTCCACGTCCCTCGTCGTCCCCACATGGCTGCTGGTATAGCTGAATACGAGTACGCCGCTTGATCTGCTGATTGAAGGAGTTACGATATCAAAAGGTACGGTGTGTACGAGTATTCCTCGACGCCACCACGGCGTAGGAAGACTCCATGCATGAGAATTTCCAGGCACGACGCTAAGCTGGTCATCCATGGTGCTTTTCGAAATCCTTTTGCGACCCATCAATCCAGCCTGGGAATGGAGCAACGTTTCCCCCGACCATCTTTGGTAGGAAACCGGCGAAACGAAGCTGGCAATGCCAAATGTCGCCCGGGGAGGAAGCTACGGAGTGTGACGAAGAGAAGAACCACCAGCAGTCATTTTCCGCAGCAAAAATCTGGGCTGCCGGCCCAACAGATCCAGTTCCTTGTACACGGCCAGCGGTTTCTCGTCCTTGCCGATGTAACGTTCCCGATCACCGCACACCACGACCAGCCTATAATCCCGCCAGTCACCCTGGACCTTGTAGAACTTCATCACATCCGGGAGTATCTCCCGGCAGCGGTCTTCCAGGCCGATGCGCAAGATGGGGAATATCTGGAGCGGAGGTGGCTTGGTCGAAACGTTCGTCGTCTGTTCGGTCGCGTTTGCTGGGGCGCTATGCTGCTCAGCGCCTGATGTCGATCTCATTGGGAATAGCGAATTTGCAGGCTTTTCATTAGGAGAAGGATCGATGAGGGCCACACCTCGAACATTTATTTTGGGGACTGCTGTGTTGATGGACAACAGGTCGTTGTCTTGATGTTCATTCACGTTCTTTAAGAGAGTCCCAGTGTCCTGCTCTGAAGAAGCCAGAGGGTCACATTGATCGGTCCAGTGGCGAAGGAGTTCGTCTGTCTGCAGCACCGAAAGCCGGTTTTCGTCCAGTGTCGAGAGCCCGGCGCTCCGTAGGCTGGCTGCAAGGCTGAGACGATCGATGTTATCTCCGACGATAACTGAAACTCGCTTCTCCCGTTCGAAGTTGAGCGACGGGGCATCGAATGCCGCCCATGAGTTATGGTCAGGCGAGCTTTCAAGCTTTAGTAGAGCCTCATCGCGGATCACCTCGTCCTCGACCGTGACGAGACGCTCCTTGGCCGCCTGCTGTGCCAGAAACAGGGAGTGCGCCATCAGCCGGTCCTGGACGTCTTCATCGTCTTCCGGGTCCAGAGACAGCCTAGATATAGTATCAACTGGGATTCACGTCTTGATCATCAAGGCCATGTCTTTACCTTCTGCTCGCAATTTTCTGAGCGAGCATCAGCGTCGTCAGCATCAAATGCAGCGTGGCCGAGCAGGTCTTCAACTGCTCATGCACAAGGAGGACTCTCTTTTCCTTGAAGAACCACCTCACCCGCGCCAGAAGATCGAGTTTCGCCTCGCCCTTTCGGAGACTGTCAACGGTGGTCTGCAGGTTCGTGAAGATGACGCGACACCGCTCGACGATGTCCTCGGCGGTCTGCACGGCCGACATGGACAGCCGAAATGCTCTGGCTCGAGTCAACGTGGTCTGCACGTGCTTGAGTACAGAGCAAAATAGGCTGATATCGGTCGAGAGGTCCTTGATATCTCTGGAAGCGGACCCTAGGACGCTGGCGAATTCATAGAGACCCTTGGAGAGCGCGAGCCCTGCGCCAATGATGTTGGCAAGGCTGGCGACGAGGCCAAGCGCCTCTGCCATCTCGTCACAGGGGTAAGTCGCTATCGCACAGAATAGAAATATCGAGCAGCTCTTTGAGGTGGCAGCAGAGATAGACTACATGTCCTTACCAAAGGGTTGTTAGAGACAGATTCGAACACACTCCCAGTTTCAGGGGGTTCACGAAAATCCCGCGAACATTTAGGCTAGTCTGCTGCGCCTCCACAAAAGCGGAGAGGCGTTTTCAGCCTGACGAGGCTGAGACCCGGCTTTCTCAGGAGAGTCGTCCTAGGTGAGTTGCGACGAGCACCATTGGCGAATTGTAGAATTGTGACAGTCTAGTTTGTCCTCGCAATGTATAAATAACTAGAGCCTGATGTTGTAGTGTCTAACTTGTAGTCGGTCAGAGAAAAACACCTGATTCAGCGAAAAAAGTGATTGAAATCGGCGAATGCATTGTGCTTGTCGATTTCTATGACCTTCACGCCAACTCCCCTCGAATGAGAAATCTTCCCCATTCTCTCCCATGATATCAAATATATCAAATCTCCTTGATGAATCCCACCTCGACGAGCTTGTCCACGGGGATATTCAGCGCCTGGACTTTCGTGCGCGTGTTCTCCCGGACCCACAGGAACGCTTCCAGCACGGCTCTCCGGACGATATTCGTGCGGGCCTTGACGCGCAGCTGCTCCTTGCCCACGATGTAGACGACCTGCTTCGAAAACGCGTGCTGGAGCTCGGACAGGCGCTCCGTCAGCGCCGACTGCTCGAGCGAGGTGCTCTCCGAGTTCAGCGCCTTTTCTCCAAGCACGACCTGCTTCGCGCCGTTGCCGTGCATCTTGTAAGGACCAGCATGCGAAGCCTCGTTGTCGCCGATTCCTTCGTGGGCTAGGAAGTCCCGCACCTGGTCGTGCAGCAGCAGTCCCAGGTTCTGGCTGACGACCTCGTCGTTGTACCCGTGACGAATGATGACGCGGTAGCAGTTTGGCATCGGTCTCTTGCCGTTGCCTCCATCGCCCATGAAGCACCGGATGATCTGGTACCGTTCTTCCGCCGGCAGCGTGGGGATTTCCAAGGGGCGCAGGTGGAAGAAGATGATCACGTCGGGCGCGGCGTGGAACTTCTGGAGGAAGTGGATGAATGCCGTGGGAGTCGTGGATGCGGCGCCGGACTTGTCGAAGAACACGCCGATGCCGTTGATGCGCGTGATTTCTTCGTCGCCAAAGGCGGGACTGAGGCGGAGCTTGCGGCTGTATTCGCTCGTACTCTCCGCCGGTCTGAAGATGTCGGACGTGGGCACCCGTTCGAACCCTTCTGCTTTCCACTGTTCCTCCTTTCCGAACCGCCACAGGACAAAGAAGCATACGAGGATGACGGAGAGGGCCAAAGTGAACCAGGCGCCGTTGGGCACTTTGGTCAGAGCGGAAGACAGGAATATGCCGTCCCAAAGCGCAAATATGAGCCACACCGGCGCAACGACATACAATGGATACCGCCAGACGATCAATGCCACCACGGCGACCATGTTGGTGGTGAGGAATGTGACGAGAATCACACAAACTCCGTACGCATGACCCAGATTGGTGGTGTTGGTGTAGACACCGGTGATGATGACGGTTCCAATCATCAGCAGCCAGTTCGCGATGGGCATATAGATCTGGCCGTAGAAGATCTTGGACACGTGCACCACCTTGAGCTGCGGGAAATAGGACAACTTCATGATCTGAGTCAACAGCTGAAACGTCGCCGTGATCGTGGCCTGGCTTGCGACAATCGCCGCAAGGATTGCGATGATGAGTGACGGCCAGATGCACCCTGGAGGCACAGTCTTAAAGAAGGGGTTGTTGTACGCATCGGGGATATCGGCCAGATATGCTGCTTGTCCAATATAGCCCAAGAGAAGACAAGGATAGGTGAAGTAGAGCCAAGACAGTCGGACGGCGGGTGCACTGAACGCTCCAAGGTCGGCGTAGAGAGTCTCGCACCCAGTGAAGGCTAGAAGGATTCCTCCGAGGTTGATCCATCCTTCTCGTCCATTTCTGACAAGGTAGTGCCCAGCAAAATAGGGAGAGAAAGCCTTGAGGACAGAGGCATCGTGCTTGGCCAGGTTGTAAATCCCAAAGACGGCGTTGAAAAGCAGCCAGATGATAACGATGGGCGCAAATGTACTCGCGAGCTTGGTGATTCCGAATGGCTGGAGCAGGAAGAGGACGATGAGGATGGCACAAGAAGATCCAATCACGGTGGCCTGGCTGATGTTCGAAGCCACGACTTCGATGCCCTGGATCGCACCAAGGACAGACTGTGCCGGGGTCAGCACACCGTCAGACATGACGAGCGCCACACCAAACACGCCCAGGACTTTGAGGATCCATTGAACCGTCGGAGAGCGTTCCATGAGACTACGCGCCGTCCGTGCGGGCTTGCGAAGGTCTCCGGTGATGTGCCGCTCCATCCTGACCATTTGCGCCTCACGGGGATGGCGACGGACAATGTTGGCGTATCGCGTCAACAGGGAGAACAGGGCAAAAGTGCCACCCTCTCCTTCGTCGTCGGCTCGGAGGACGATAAAGCAGTACTTGATGGTGACCATGATCGTGAGGGCCCAGATGATCCAGGAGCAGGCGCCAATCAAGTCTTCGCGGCTCGGGGGGGAGGAGAAGGTCGACGAGTACACGTACAACGGACTGGTGCCGATGTCGCCATATATCACGCCGATGGACTGATAGGCAAGCCACATGAGCTTCCATCCATGGAAGACCTGTGGAGATCAGCATTGTCGCAAACCCTGGGACCTCAATGGAGTTGCCATACCTGTCTTCTTTTGATGTCTCGTGAATCGACGCTGCCGGTCTCGGAGTCAACGCTGATGTCCTTATGGATTCCTTTGCCTTGTCCACACGGCGAACAGCAGCCACACCCATGGCTGAAGCCTCACGGCTCCTGAGAGTATACACTCCTCCGCCGTCACCGCCAACGAGGCCTTGCGAGTGGGCAGAGTCCACCGCCTCTGGCGGCTGGTTGCCAGAATCGTTCATGGCAAGAAGGTCAGTTGTACGAGAAGGAGTTTCGAGATTGGGTGCACGCTGGGGCAACGGATTCCCGAGGCGAATATCTCTCTCATCGACGAGCGCAAACAATGGAAGAGAGGAAGCGAGCCCAGAGGTAGAACTTGACCTGGGCACCTTGAAAGATATACCTGTCAAAGGATCGGGCGAGCGGTCGTCTGCGACCCACGTTCACGAGGTAAGAAGCGAGCATTGCCACGCTCTGGTAGCGATTTTATGCACTCCACCCTGACAAGGCAGGGATACCGAATGGAAAATTTCCTCGACGAGTAAGTTGAGGGGACGGTCCATCAGAAAAATGATAGGCTGGGGCTACCGTATCAATGCCGACGCGATTAAATGTGTCACGGCTGGCTGAAGATGATTAGAACCCTGAGAAATCGCGTTGAGAGGCAGGAAAGGTGGCGTGTATGCCGTTCCTGGCATCCCATTCCCGTGGAGAGCCCTCGCTTCCAGACAACAATGGGGTAGATAACGAGGATGAAAACAGCGGCTGACAGGTTCGTGGGATGCAGAGGCAAAATGCCTCATACCAATTTTAGCAAGCCCCCTTTCTCCTCCCCTGTACTTGGTGGGATGGGCACTACATAGGCAAAGGTTCATCCAGCCACCGTGTGGATCGATCCAGTTGCTCTCTCAGGTGTGGTTCAGCCTTTGTAGCTACAATATCCTAGTCCTGCCAATCTGGAAGCATCTGCAAGAGGAGCAGAATAATTCAATCATGGTATACGAAAGCACTTGCAGGGTACCTTTTTGAGGCCAGACATATCAGGGCCCTCCTCCAACTTTTCTCCTGCATGCAGAGCAAGTGAGCTGCTAGTAGCCTTCAGCTCGCATTCAGACTGCTACTTTCGAACATCTGATGGTGAAAGCGATACTACAGCCAAAAGTCCTTGGTTCACACAGCACAACCGGAAGTGTCTGAATTATGTATTGCTGCCTCTCCTGTCACTCATAGACGATCACCTCTCCAAGAGCTTCGTCTTCGAAGGAGGTGAAATTTGCGAGCTCATCAGGTTTCTAGCCATGATTTACATGGGATTTTGCATAGACCTCTGGAAGCTAAAGGACTGGTCGTTCGTGTCGAGATTGTCCTCAATCCGACCCAGCTACAGGTCACAACCCAGAATGTTAGCATCATGTATTTCAACATACAAATTGTGTTTTCTAAATCTCTGGATATAAAGTGCGCACATACCAGATGATTCCTGATTATGTCCCGCTGAAGACTGGGGGTTATAGAACAATGCAGCCTGGGTGATACCCGTGGTCGCAATGCTTTTGAGGATCTATCAGGTATCACCCCCCTCGAAAGGCTGCTATATCTCGACGAAGGGACTCGGTCGTGTCTTGTCTGAAATACGCCTGGACTGGGGTGATAATGTGCGGCCTCATTGCCATGGTACTGTTTAAATCCCCTCTATTTGTCTCAATGGCCAGCCTGCGCCCTTCGATATCGCAGCTCTGCAGTCTGGAATTTGTGCTTCTGAGTTTCTCGGACAACCCAACGTGATACTCTGTCAAAGGCAGCAGTGGCGTTGTGCGTGCTTGGATATGTGGTCGCTGGTATATCTCACCGTACATCATCCGTGTCGGCGGTTTAGTAGACGTTTTCAAGCAGACTGTAAGGACGATGGCAGCTATCGCAATTACGATGAGGAGAGACACGACGACAATAGTCCTGCTTCCCTTCAATTTCGGGGCAGGGGATGTGGATTGATCATTTGCCATGTCACTGACAGCTCTGGATGCGGACAGACGAGCAGGAGCAGGCTATGAATGAATTGTAGTGGTTCGTGGATCAGTTCCGAGGTGAGTGCATCCATCTCTCGTTAAAGACATGACACTGACTCTGACGATAGAGGTCGTTGGCGACCCTCAAACACCTTAACCCCCTTCCGCAAGGGTCAGTGTTTGCATAAATCCCTCATACAGAAGCGTCAAGTCGTGGGGTCATTCTCCATTTGCCTGCTGAAGGTCCAGACTGGCTGCAGGCATAGGAACGATCTCAGGATTAGGTTCCACTCAAGCTCTTGCAAGTGCTTTTCCAATACTATCCTGCATGGAGTATCCACAGACGACCCACAGAATATCTGCAATGGCCCTAAAAGGGTAAGAAGCAGGAAACACTGCGGGCAGTCTAGGCCAATAATAGAGCTTACGGTTAGACGGAACAGAAATGGCAGAATGCCAAGATTAATAATAGGGAAGGGACCAATGGTGGAAGAAGGCTCGAGGGGCGCTCGCTCCCCCCTCCTTGTTCTGGCTTGAGACTGGGCCATGTCAGCATCAGTATTTCTGCAGCTGGGCTCCAAAAGCCCAATTTAGGCGAGACGACGTATTGCTCTATTCGTTGATCGGCTGGTCTCCTGGCCGGCCTCCTGTTTGCCTTGCTCCGTGTCATGCGGAAGATCAACTACGCAAGGTCATGACCATGCATGAGACACTTTTTCAGCTGACCTACGGAGTTGCGCTACGACAAATTCTCGCGTAGGACCTTGAGACGAACGTGAAATATGACAGCAAGAGCATCCGTGAGAGCCCAAGGTCTTCCCCAGGGGTTCCATTGTGGCGCTGGCTGAGACCACCAGCTCGCAAAACGGTGGCGGAGATAGTCGTCCGCTCGTCCAGGGACCACCCAAAGCGCCAGGACGTCAGGAAAATGTCCGCACACAACCGAGACAGTGAGACGGGCATGTATATCCAGTTTGCCAGGTCCGCTTCTACTCCCCGTGGCTGCGTTGTTGGATAAACTTCAGTAAGTACGACTATCCGCGGATCCTGAGGGCTGCCAATGGGGTAAATCTGCCTGTACGACAACTATACTGCCACAGCGACGACGCCGGGAACTGCTATTCAACCCCGAAAGCACGATGGAGAACGCTCTCCAACAACACAACCGACAAGAGTCCGAAGAAGCGGCTGGACGCGAATCCATATGATTCAATTGTCATCGTGCTGGATCAAGAGAGAGTCTCAGCAGCCAATAAAGAACACAGGAAAGTATCACGAGCAAAAATAAGACCCAAAACCTGGCAGAAGAAAAGGCAAGAATGACTTGGAGAGACACAGAGGTAGAGAGAGCCTGCCCAGGTATATATATATTTACTAAGACTCTTGTATATATATCTTCACGCGTTGACCATCACTGCTTTTTCAAACTCAGATATATCTGTCTTGGACACCTGAGATACTAGGAGGGTTCGAGCCGTTCACCAACAGACAACCAGAACATTGTCACCAGCAGCAAGATACATGTGTCAGGATGTATCAACATGTACCTTAGTAGTGGTTCAACACTACGTACACCCTGCCGAAGGAGGCGTTGCCATCAATCAGCCCGCCGTTCTCAGTGAGCTCTTCAATGCACCCTTGAGTACTGACCTCCTTTACTTACTTATCCTCGAAACATCCGCCTGTCCGAGGTCAGGCCTCCTGGGGGATCCATGAATCTGGCGGCACCCACTACACCATCAGGCTCCGTTGATAAGGATATGCCCGCCGACAATATGGCCAATCTTGATCAACCGAAGGACAGTCCCCCAGCTGACTCTTTTCACGGCGCTCTTCCTACGCATCCAAAGCCCAACAGCTTCCAGGGAACGGCCGTCTCAGATGAGTCTGATGTCTGAATAGTCTTAACTATCAGCTAGAAAAGAGCACCGAGACAATCACCCTGTCCCGCGCTGAGGTCGAACGAGTCCGCTCTCTTCTTACTACGGTTATCACACGTCGAGACTCTGTCCTTGAAAGCGATGGCTAAAGAAGCTCGCGAAGTTAATCCTAACATTACTGAAGATATCGCCTGATTTGCCCTGGAACAGTACGCCCGTCGCAACCGGACTTCTCATACCGACATGGGTGAAACCAAAGCGGAGAACAATAAGAAATTATTGGCACACAAGGTCTCCCAAGATATAGTGTCCTTTGCCGCAGGCGACTTCCGGCAACCTAAATGGCCCATTGTCACTGGCCTCGACCGCAGTGGACGTCGGCTCGGTTGTCGTTCTCACCGGCTGAGGAACTATCATAGGTATTAGAGTCGGTCTGGCAACCGTTGGACACATCGTCGGGGGTCGGTTTGACAACTGTGTCGGACTCTGGCAGCGGTCACCTGAGAAGAGAATGTGGTTGTGCCCCGGGTGCTACTATGCGTGTATGGCCTATAGTGTGGCGCAGAATCATTACATTACCTAGTACATAAGTAAAGTAAATTCTATATTTTCCTCGTGTTCATTTCTAAGATGTTTCCTGGGCGTTCAGAAGGATAAACGAGGTTTCGAATTGGGAAAGGTGCTGAAGTGCTTACAGCCGGACGCAGCTAGGCAACTTTGGGAACTTTTCGTGCTGCGTTTTAAGTAACAGGTTAATCACCAACTACTTCGCCTCTAGGCAAATCTGATTCTCTAGGAATGATAACTGACTAGTAGAATGCTACTTATCTGAATAAAAGGATACGAGTCTTAATGGAATCCTGCCATCACAGCCTGTCCAAACCCTGCTGAGCAGTAAAGTAGTGGAGCCGTGAAACTGAGCCCTAGTCATGTATGTAGCTTTCCTTTCTTCTCACCCTCCAGAAAACCACACCTGATTCCTCACGCGACGCAGCCCGGATTCCACCAGCAGCTTGGTGTACTGCTTGTGCGCCCAAACAAGAGGATCCGGAACGACCTTGGCACCAGACGATGCGTCGAACCCTGTACCGGCGAAGAAGACGGATTTGAACTTGAAATCGACGTAGCCGTTGTCGAAGTCCGGCACTGCCTGGATCTCGAGTAGCCCATCCATGTCGCGGGGCGTCTCGGGCTGGTTGCGTGGCGACTGCCCTCCACGCAGGATGATCGACTGCGGCGTCTTGTTTAGCACGACCAGGTGGTCAGTGAATGCCGTGCCGGTGTCGTACTTGCTCTGCAGCAACGACTGCTTCGTCCATAGCTGCGATTGCGTCTCGGGCAGCGCGCCGTAGCGCTGGCGCAGGTACCATCGCTGGAACGCGTAGCCTGGAGGCGAGTGATGCGATTAGCTTGTGCTCTTCTCCTCTCTTGTTTGATGGTGGGCGGCACCACGTACCAAATCCACCCCAGATGCCCTGGTTGAAAGATTCAATCATGGCCGTCCCACCTCTGCGCGCATCTTCCACCAGCTCCGGCCGTATTTGGCTCAATGGATACCGTCTCACGCAGACATCACGCATTTCCGCTTTCGGTGCCGGTGTCGGATTGTACTTGGCAAACCAAGCGTTGCGGAACAGTTCGTCGGTGGTAGGGAGATCTTCTATGTTGCAGTTCCTCGTCCACAGAAAGAACGCCGGGACCGTCGTCAGGGCGCCCGCACCTGCCGTGAGGACGGATCGAAACATGACGCCGAATCTGTCCCGAGTACTGTCAGCATTTGAAACATGAGTGAAACTTGATTGGAGAAGGGAACCTACAAGAGTTATTGCTAGCAGTAGTGAGTTTTGGGAAGGTCTCAGGGCATCGGAGCATGCGACGTAGATCGCGAGCTGTATCCGTCAGAGGTTGAGGACCATGGATTGTTGTCGCTTCGTGAGAGTACAAAGACCAGCAGGTGTTTGGTTTATACAGTTACATAGAGAAGGACCCGCACAGAGGGCTGTTTGTTGCCATAGCTCCTTCCGGCCGGTATCTGACGGTACTACTAGTAGTTGGTTGACACGAAGACCAAGAAGATGTCCATGGCTCCTACATTGCCAACACCGCCATCTCGGGCTGAGAGATTGGAGGGGATTAGAAAGAGCATCTCGGGAGCCTCGGGGTGATTCTCTTCGCTCCGAGACTGGCACGAAGCTTCTTTCTCTAGCATTGAAAGCACGGGAAATGCCAGTACTAGTACTTACTATACTGCTCGATGTTCTCCAACTCCTTTATTAAAGAAAATGATTCCCAACCCGAATCGCGGCCCCTTGCATCTTGCAGTTTCTCAGACCCTAATCCCGAGTGTCGGGAGGAAAGAAGAAGGAAAACAGCACGTCTTGTAGATTATTTCAGAACTTGCCCGAATTGCACAACGCACTCATAGTGGGAGAAGCTCACCCGCAAACATATCCCCGTGGGTAGACCCCAGTCGTGTAAGACATTAGCGGGTAACGACAAAGGACCAGGCCGGGGAGGGAGGGCGGCCTAATTACTTGCGGCTCAAAGGAACAGATGTGCGAGGTCATATATGTGGGATGTAATCCAGCAAGAACCTGAAATCTTCCAGTGAGCATTGCTCTAATAGAGAATTGCACCGAAGACAGATCGAAGATGTACCGATGTTATACTTGCCTTATAAAGGGTGTCGCCAGTCCCTGCATTAGCTAGCATGGTATGCGTGGCGCGTGGCACGTTGCGGAGGCCCCAGAAGCAGTCCGGGATGTGGGGCGTTGAGATGGCTTCAGACATCTCGATATATCTAGGACTAGAAGATTTGGTCTACTGCCCGGGAATTTTGCATCTGTTCTCCAAATTTCCACATTGACTGCTGTCATAACCGAGGCTATCGGTTGTTAAACATAATGATATTCAGATAAGTAATTAGTACATATGTAGTGGTTTGGACAGGCACGCATGCCCTTGAACCCTAGGTGGCACTGTGTAGTGATTGCGCCCTCCATCAATAATCCCTTCGCTGACTTTGGGAGTAACAGTCTCCAAACCCAAATGTACCTCGAACGAGACCTACCCACCCGTTCGAATGCGGCTCTCATCGCCTTTGAATTCATCGTCTTAGGTCCTGCCTGCTCTGTGATTGACGGTGGGGCGCTTGTCAAGCTTGGGGCCAGAAGTGACCGTTGCGAATGCCTTGTTGAAGAACATGGCGGCCGTGGCCACCGACGAGCCTTTGAAGACATTGCCAAGCTCTCAGTTCGTGGCCCCGAAGGAGGAAGTTGACCAGGTGCGTGTCGATGTATGCGGGCATTGTTCCTCGTGGCGGAAGTCCCGGTCGCTCGATGCGCGCGGCCCTTTGGACACCCGTGTCGAACTCTAGTTGCAATGTGCTGTCTGCTGAGCATTCGACGGACCAGGACATCGAGATGACCTTGACCCAACAGTCTACAGCGTGGTTGCTCACAACAGTGATGTTGGAAGAAATGACCGTCCTGAGACCTCACGCTGGGTCCGACGGTTCGTCGGTCTGCTTGTGTTTTGTGTCTCCCGCCTTGTAGCCAGCCACCTTGATGATTCAGATATCGGCTGTCGGGCAGATTTTACGGATGAACCTGGCCATGATCGTCCCGTGGCCTCTCTCAGATGTCCAGTATAGGTAGTTTCTTCCACTCTCCCGGACGTCGTTAAAGGCGAAACTTCTCCCACGATATTCCACACGGTCACTATACTGCGTACTACGTAGACAGCTGAGCTGACCTGCTCGAACGAGCGAGGGGAGCAGGTTCCAGAAGGAATCCTTTGAGCCGCGCTATTAGCCCGAATTGGCTTCTGTGGATCAGCATTGGGCCATTGTGCTCCTTTTCTTCAATGAAAACGTTGATGGACTAATAATATCACCTTGCGAGACTCTAGCCCTGGGCTCCGTGTGCAAGTGATTCCTCTGTTAGATTCATACATATGTAGGTAGTACCTTCTGTGCTTCCTCGACGTAGCTTGGTACGCCTTTTCGCCCATCGAAGTCCGACAAGCCAGCCATAATCCCAAACAGCGGTGAGCACGAGTTAGTATCTCAATTACATTAAGTACAACAACATCAAACCAGCCCCCTCTCCTGCATGTCGCATCCCACGATAAAAATTGGCCCGGGGACTCAGTCGACTGGGGTCGTATCTTCCCAGGCACCCCCCGAAAAAGAATCTCTGGACATCCTAGAAATGAATCCTGGCAACTCCAATGATCTGGCCACCGACGCCCTCCTGGACCAGAAGGACTCTCTCCAAGCCGTCGTTGATATCGCGGGCCGGTAGTTGGACGACACCCCTCCCACCCCTCCACTCGCCCAGCGCCGTGACGCTCTTGACGACGTTGCGGTGCGGCAGAGTCTTGCCGGCATTTTCGCCACGGGAAACCTCCACCTCGCGCAGGGCGGGATCGTAGACGACCTCAATGACCCTGCCCCTGCGTCCAGTGGCGGCGGCGGCCGGGCTGGCCTCGCGGATCAAGACGCCCTCCTCAACCTTGGAGAACAGCAGCCACGGCCAGTCCTGGCTGGCCAGCCGGCCGCCTTCCTTGATCAGCTTCTCCAGCTTGCGGGTCGAGTTGCCCACGCCCTCGGATACGCCGTTTACCACCACCTGCGGCGTGTAGACCTTGTTGGGGGTGCCATTGGCCTGCGCGTACTCTCGTTGTCTCGCGTCCGCTTCAGCCAGTCCGAACGGGTCCGCCCACCCCAGGTGGTCCCAGTAGGTGACGTGGTAGTCGAGGACGAGGATGTTGGGGTCGGCCAGCGTGAGTAGTGACAGAAGCAGCGTGTTCGTCGGCGGGCACGAGTTGCACCCCTGCGACTGGAACGCTTCGACCACGATCGGCCGGTTGGGCCGCGGCTTGTGAATGTGGATCGCGCACTCGCAGTCCTCCGGGTGAGGGTCGAAGAGTGCGTACGGCGGCGGCGGCGGCTCCTCCTCCTGCGCAGGGTCTATCGGGGGTGCCGCGTCCCATCGTGTTCTGGGGGGTTGCTGTGTCTGAACGGTTTGTTGTCGTTGCCGCTGCTGTGGCTGCTCTTCATCGTCGCTGTCGCCGAAGCAGCACGAGAACCACCTCATCGCGTTCGTCGAGCTCGGGGGATTGGAAGCAGACATGCTCTGCGAGGGGGCGCGCGAGGACCGGTTGCTGGGTTGGATGTCGAGTAGAAATATGTTAATAGTTTGAACATAAAAGAAATAAAAGGCCGCACTCTATGGCACAGCCATTATAAGATGTTTCATCGTGGCAGGCGGGGTGAATGTTCCTGAACAACCAAATCCTTTTCGCGAGAGGTCACGAAGAACTCCCTCCCCGGACTCGATGACGATGGCTCGGATTGATTTGACATTATTATAAGCCCATCGAGGGCCAGCTCCGCTGGTTCCGTGCCTGGGCAGACCAGTCAATCTCTTGCTTAATCAACATTGGGACGACTGTTGCTTGGGGCTGGTTGTAGAGATTGCGGCAGGGCAACTAGCGGGGCGGAGCAAGGCTTAGAGCTGACAATGTTTCCATCATCACGATCCACTCGACGGAGACGACGGCGTGCATGATCAGCCAATCAGGCCATATTGCGGAGAGACAGTTGGACGAGTCATTTCAGATCGACGGATATCAACACTTCAGATCGACGGATATCAATCCAGCTGTCTTTGCGATGCTTTGTTCTTCAACCACGCTCGTGACTGAGGTGACGCGGCGTGGATTTCAGGCTGAGTAGATACATGAGGAGTTGCTAATGGAGGCACACGACGAGCATTGTGATAAGGCTGAGCTTACGCTGCGGGTAAGTCAAAATCCAGGGCACGGGAGCGTACAGGGCAGAGAATTCTCTTTATTTGGTGTATTGCATTGGAATGCCGGCCCATTCGTGCAGCCTCGTCGGTCTAGTGACATACACTGTAGGTGGAATTCAACCAGCGGGAGAGCACCATGCACAAAGGTCCATCTCATTCACGACTTCTCAGCAAACACCTTCAACGCGTCATTGCCAGTTATGTTCGAACAAGGGCTGCTGTGCCGGTTTTCCGGACTTGGTCCAAGCACATTGCAAGCGACAAGTCGCACGGGCTGAGATCTTGTGTATCGAGCCACTCCCGGTTGTCTACCAGATAGGAGCGGGTTCCAAGTCCTAGAACGGGTCATCTCTCAATACCTCCTTCTCGTCTGTGCTGGTCGATGCGTGTGTGTGCACATATCGAGGAATCCCGCCAACATTCCAGTTTGGAAATCATTACGCTTTGGGTCGGAAAGCACCGACGCTCCGCCCATTGTTTCAAAGAATGTCTCCATGGAGACAACAAGAATGTCTCTTTTGTTTGACATCCCGTCCCGGAAACAGAAAAGTCGTTGTCATCAGGTGGTTCGACAACTTCTTTCCATCAATCCATCCATTAAAGTTCGGGTCTTGAAGTTGTTGTACAACGACTACATGGTGCGGTCGCGGCGTTGTCGTCGTTGTCGTCCCGTCATTCTCTCCCTCTCCGAAGCTTGAGAGTGTTCGCCATGAAGTTCCTCACTGTTCTCCTACACATCCTTTGTCTTCGGCTGGTGCAGGCCATCAATGTACAGGATATCCCACAGTGCGCAGTAAGTTGGGTGAGATCGTCAGGCTGAGAGGGACAACGGTTGTTGACTACAGGAACAGCAAGGATGCCTCTCGAATTCGACCTCTACCCAGACATCATGTTCAGTGATCGATATTGCCTGCCTTTGTTCGAATTCGGCATACGTCAGTTCGTTATCCTGCTGCCTGTATACACAGTGTAATTCCGATGAACAATCAGGTACGTCGGCATCAATGCATTGGGAAAGATTCAACCTCTGACCATCATCATAGTTGCAATTCAGTTCAACAAGCAGGAATGTGCTGCCGTCAACGAGACCGCTCCCGATTTCGTGGGATGCTCACCGGCAGGACTGTCGAGTGCTCTTGCCAGTATGAGTCTCACGCAGGCCCCAGCAGCTCCATCACCTTCACCAGCATCGACGTCCTCTCCTTCAGTCAATCCCAGTGTCACAACGATCTCAGGAAACCCAGAGTCTGAAACAGCAGCGCCCACCTCGGGGAAGCAAATAACAGCAACAGCCTTTGTCGGAGCACCACTGATGACTGGCAGCTGCACGGTACCATACTTTGCAATAATAACAGATGCCACCGGCAAGGTGACCGAGTATCCCAACATCGGCTGTTCTGAAGACAGGCCAGATTGCTGCCCGTACGAGTACGGGCTCAATGCGGTCATTCCAAGGTGTCCCCAGGACTATTTTACCACCGCGAATGCCTGTTGTCCGCTGTGAGTTCATTCGTTCCCGCTGTTGTCGAGTTTGCGAGGCTGACTGAACATCAGTGGATATCAGATATATTATACTGCTGTTGGGGGAATCACCCCATGTTACTCGGTGCCCGCCACGACATTTGTCCCAGCATCCACCCCGACGGTGGCCGGTTTGACACTGATCACCGACCACGTCTTCACACAGAAGTACTCGCTTGTGACGCAGCAGCCCGCGAAAAACAAGTTCCCGCCTGGAGCGAAGATTGCCATTCCCATTTCCATCTGGGTCGTGTTATGCGTCGTGTGTGTAGCGACCTTTTTCTGGGTCAGGAGAAGGCGCCGGGCGAGACGGGCTGCAGAGGCAAACCGCACGACGACATTCCCGCCCGAAGAGCCTGTTCTACCTCAGATGTCAATGTCGAGGGCGCCGACCGCACATGAGTTGGACAGCCCTGAAGCCCAGGCAGGGTCTTCTGGTGCTGTGGGAGTAGCCAACGGGTGGCCCATTTTCCCCACCTCGTCACCGCCAGCATACGATCAGAGTAAAGGAATCCAGGCGGCTATCCGGAAGCAACCGCCTTCGGCCCCGCAGGAGCTGCCGGGAAGCACGTATATTCACGAGCATCACCCGGTGTTTTTGCCGACCGCCTCTGTGAGCACGCCCACGGAAGCAACGCCCAGCTCACCGCCAGGAACACCCGTGCAAACACCTTCGGCAGGCGCAGAGGGGAGGTCACCAGTACTTTCTAGCGTCGCGTCACGCTCAGACACTCAGAGCCCAGTGTTCGTGTCGCCTCTCGGCTCTCCAAGACTACCCAAGACGGGATGACAGGGAAGACTGTAAATATCTTTTGCATCTGAAATGAGATTTTTTCCCCTTGGATTTGGCCTTGGAATCTTTGAGCACCATTGCATGCGTCACTATAAATTGGATCAGCGACAGGATCACAGTCATCATTGAAGGACAGTTCGGTGGTGAGGGATGAAGAAAAGGAAGTGGTTAAATGAAGATTGAAGTCTACTTGACTAATATCTCGGTCAGATCATGATATGATATCGGGACACTCACTCTAATCCGCCTGTCAGACAAAAAGCCTAGTCTTTTTTTCTCTTACATGTATTCCTGGTAGCATCAAGTACTCCTGTTATTGTAGCAGTGTCCATGTCATTCGCAGTGACCTATAGACTATTTGGCTGGGAGATGTAGAAAATACTGCACGTGGCAGGTCTTTTCCGTTTTCCACAGGTTGGACCTGCTTACTGAATATCAAGGTATTTCAGGCTGTAAAGGATATCCCTTTTCAATTCCACGATAAGAGAGTCATTTTACCCGCTAAATAAATCCACGAAAGAGACGACATAGGGAGGGAGGCCCTTGAGCAGCCACCGTCAATGTCATCTATCACTGACCCGCGATACTCCTTCCTTCTCTCCTCCCCTTCCACCCGTTCCAGGTGGGAGCAGCACGTCGGGGAGTTTAATCCCTAGGCTGCCTTTGGAGCCAACCTCCTTATCCTTCTTAGGCTGTGACTTGTTTCCTCTCCCATTATCTCCGTTGTCGGTATCATCATCTTCACGAAGCTCAATTTCAATCTTTTTCAATTTCTCCCCGCGTAGGATCTTCATGATCTCTTCTCGGTCCAGTGTTTCGTATTCCAGGAGCGCGTCTTTCAATGCTTCCAGTTCTTTCCGCTTCTCTTTGACAATTCGATCGGCCCGTTCTCGACCGCCTTCGACAATTTGACGCACCTCGCGTTCGATCTCTTGCTTGGTCTCGCTTGAGAGTTTGTCGTAGTCGGAAGCAAGATCAACATTTCCAAGTTTGGCGGAGTACCCGCACTGGGTGACGAGATAAAAGGCGGTACGTGTGGCTTGCTGAACATCATGCGAAATGCCACTTGTAACCTTGTGAGGGCCATAGATCAGCTCCTCAGCCGCTCGTCCACCCATTGACACGTCAATCGAAGCAATGAACTGATCGTAGCCTCTGCTCACTTCGTCCATCTCGGGGAGGAAGTGAGTCACGCCAAGTGCTTGACCACGTGGGATAATGGTTACTTTGTACAACTGATTGCTGGCGGGAGTAAACAAGTTGACCAAAGTGTGACCAGCTTCGTGATACGCGGTTTGGATCTTGTCCTTTTCTCGGATCATACGGGATTTGGCTTCAGCCCCCATCATGATCTTGTCTTTGGCCCACTCAAAGTTCATGGCGGTGGTTTTTTTGTACTTCAGCCGTGAAGCATGAACTGCAGCTTGGTTGCAGAGATTTTCCAGGTCGGCACCGGACATACCACTTGTAGCACGTGCGAGATTGGTGGCGTCCACATCGGCAGCGATGGGCATATTCCTCATGTGATGCTTCAGAATCTGGATTCGGCCACGAACATCAGGCAAAGGCACGTTGACATGTCGGTCAAATCGTCCAGGTCGGATGAGCGCCTTGTCCAGAGACTCAGGGTAGTTGGTCGCAGCGATGAGAATAACACCGGTGCTCGGGCTAAATCCGTCCAACTCGGTCAAGAGCTGGTTGAGTGTCTGTTTCGCATAGGCAGGATCACGTGCATTTCTTTTACCACCAACAGCGTCGAGTTCGTCGATGAAGATGATCGAGGGGGCCTTGTTCCTCGCTTGGGTGAAGAGGTCCCGAACGCGTTTGGCACCAACACCGACATAGAGTTCATCGAATTCGGAGCCGGACATGTAGAAGACAGGTACACCAGCCTCACCAGCAACGGCACGAGCAAGCATGGTTTTGCCAGTTCCAGGCGGCCCAACCAAAAGAACTCCCTTGGGAGGCTTGCCACCGAGTTGGTTGAACTTTTCCGGGTTCTTCAAGAATTCGACCAGCTCTTGTAGTTCCTCCTTTGCCTCATCGCAGCCATGTACATCGCTGAAGCGGACGGTCTGATGTTGGGGTTGTACCTCGTTGTTCTGACCGACTCTCGTCCGGAAACTTCCGGTCATTTCCACGACCATGGTAAGAACCACCAGGAGGAAATAGCCAGACAAGCCGACCCAGAGAAACGTTCGGACCCACTTCAGAATGGTTGCGCCCCATGACTCTTCCACCACCACATAGAGCGGTGCTTCCTTGGCCCCTGTTCCGGATTTGTTGCTAGGCATGATAACTTGTCCACCGTAGTTCTGTCCAGCGACGGCCTGGCCGACAGCTCGTAATTTGTCGGCGCCCAGCCCGTTACCTTGTGAACCTGCGACGTTTGCGCCGGGCGTGCCTGGAGCGGGAACCGAGCCTGTCATCTGCAGAGCTTTGAGGTAGGCGGCATCCGCTGCTGGATTGGTGGCATATCGACCTGACTGGTATCGTTCGATGACGAGCTTGGGCATGTTTGCACGAAGGAGAGCGGAGTAGAAAGCGTTCTGGGCGGTGGCGCTGGTAGGGTTGTTGTTTGCCGTGCGTTCGGCATGGGCCAGCATGTTTTGGTTGGCGAGTGGAGAAGTCGTCGAGAACTGTCGATATTGCTTACTCGAGGTCGAGTTATTCCCTCGGCCAGGAGGACCAAGTACCAAAGAAGCCATCGAAGGCCGTGTTGAAGGTATTCTAACTATGCTCTTTCCGCATACGGCTCTTGTTGAGGCATCGGCAACAATGCTGGACAAGTTCCGGCGCAGGGTTGGTGTGGGATTCAAGCGAGAGATAACGGTCGAAGAGATCGTTTTAGACATCCAGGGCAGAGTTCGATGGGAATTTAAATTGAGTGAATGCGACCGGAGACTGTTGGGCGGAAGGGAGGCGAGGAAATCTGGAAGGACGACGCTCGAAGAGCTCTGCAAGCCATCAGAAGTGTTCGCGTCTTGGGCGATCATATTGCATACCGCTGGTTGCCCTGCTCTTTGGCTAGTTGTGTGTATTTTCCGCAAGCCGGATCCATCTGCTTCATTTCGCAGCCGCGCCAGGCGATATCGTCGAAGGGTTTGGAGCGGCGAAGTAAAGAGCGAGGGTAGTGTCGTGAAGACATCTGGGGCAATGGCAGACAGGCTCTGAAACACAAACAAAATCAGTGTTCAATGATTTGGTGTCGTGTGCGCTATACTTACAGGCAACTGAGAGAGGGGAGCCTGTAGGGCCATGGTCGGGATTGCGCGGCGGCAGGCCGCTGGTAAAACGTGGAGAAGAGACACTCAATAAGAAGACAATCACTCTGAAGGAAAAGAACCGACTCAAAGAAAAGAGATCATCAGAGAAATATCTTGACTTGCCACGCCTTGGCTCTTGAGAGAGAGGGATGTTTGGCAGGCAGGCTGGCGGGCGATGATGGTCATGGGAGAAATGGAAGTGCAGAGAGATGATGAGAAGTAGCGCCCGCTGCAGCTTCCGGCCTGCCCCATTCCTCGCCACCCAGCGAAGCCAGACCGGTTAGGCAAGCCACAGCACGTGATATCACATTCCGAGTGCAAAGCCACCACAGCCACATGTACCCGCCTCGCTTCATTATACGGGAGCCTAAGTCCACTCCAGCACCACATAGCAGATACCAATACCTCCTTTCTGGAACTGCACCACAATGGAAGACTCGGAATCTCTTCTTTCGAAGCTGGGTTCATACCCTTCTGTGAGGTCTTCCAGGTTGACCACCCGACCGGCAGAAGATATATCTCCTTCGCTGCCTTCCCTTAGTGTTAACATTCCCATGGAAGGTGGCTCGATCTCCGCATGAATATTAACATGTGGAAACTGAACAACTCGAGGTTTGCCAGGACGGAGGTGTAAGATCCGTCCGGAGGAAATTGATGCACTGGACCCACTCATCTGGTGTCCATCGTCCAGACCGTGGTTTTCGAGTACCGGAGTCCTGACTTTGTTGCTTTCGACAACCACTTCTGAATCTAGCGTACGATTCGACTGATTCAGTGTTGGAGGACCGTCCGCAACGGACGGCCCTTCGCTGACGTCTGGTTCATGAACACCTGGTGAAGCAGGGGTTCCGGATGCGTGCAAGCAAGGAATGCTGATGTCCCGAGGCTCGTCTGCCTCTGCGACTGTGGAAGCGGGCCTGCTCACGCTGGGAACTGTTGGCGTGGGCGAGAAGATAGGAAGATGCTGAAGATTGTGTCTGCTAGTCAGAGGGAATGGACGCCATGGATGTCTCTTGGCGCGTAGTTGAGCGAATTTATGGTGCATTCCTTGAACGGTTGCTCTCAACGCGGTGATATCGGAGGAACTATACTCTTTGAGGTCTGGAATAGTCCACTGATCATACAACCGCCCATGCCATGCTGAAACGCTGAAAATCTTGTGCTCGGTAATGAAGAGATGGCACAGAAAACACGCTGCCTTGCTTGTGCCGATGATTCGGGGCGTGGTTAGCGCAGGTTGGACAATGTAATGAATGACCATCTGCACTTCTGCGTGTACGTGACAGTGAACCTTCTTGCCCGAAAGTGATATAGAACTCTGTACTGGTCGGTATGGATCAACATACTCGAGCCTGATATTCGAGAAAAGTGGTCTCGTGCCTCTTCTATGAGCTTCTCTTGCCAGGGTCTCAGGAATTCTGTGATACGCGGCCAGCTTGTCGATTTGCATAATGAGTTTATTGTTAAACCATGTATGAGAGTCGAGTCCGGCCTTGTTTAAAGTGGTTCGAAACGGCATATGGCCATCGGAAGTGGTGAGAGAAAAGCACTCGTAAACACACTGCTCTATTTCAGGGGCTGATCGAAGGCTGTCTAAGCGTAGGATGTTTTCGAAACTTGCTTTCAGCCTGGATATTCGATTGAATAGACCTACCCCGGTCGGTGATCTTGCCTGGGCTCGCATCCGGTTCAGCGTACGCTCAAGTTCTGGACCCGCCTTAATGGGATTACCATGACAGTGAGAAGGCTGATGTCCAAGAAAAAGCCGTATCCGCGAGATGATACGCATATGGCAGAGCGCGAGTACTAGTCTTCTAGATGTCGTGATACAGTCATCCGGCGAGATATCTTTCAAGCAGTGAGAATAGCACAATAGCCACGCGCATAAAACAAATATTTGCCTACCGGTCGACGCACAAGACATTAGACAGTCACAAATTTGTCTCAAGGCAATCCTGACTTCTTCGCGTATACCTTCGTTTGCGGCGATACGAAAGATAAGGCCGGGAGGCTCGCGAATCTCCTCGATGCACACGGCCGCCACGCTCTCTACTCCTTCTTGGGCGGCTGATATGAAAGCAAGATCATCAGCTATTCTTTGCTCACTTTGATACTGAAGCAAGCGAAAAGTCGTTGAAGACCGCGGATTTTCTCTGTCATTGGTGGCCGACCACCAGACTTTTGGATCGACCGGGACACCATTCGTGGCCTGGGAAAGGGCAATGAGGGTTCGACGAAATGCATCCTCTGGCAGGCCTTTCCATATAGAATTTTCTGGTTTGGCTGTCCGGAGAGGCTTCCCGCCCTGCATCCTAGAAAGACGATGTCATGTTAAAAAGTCTTCTTGATCGCAAAGTGTCGCAACCATCAATGCCCACATGAGGCTGAAGGACGATATCCTGTGGCGGATTGAATGAACAGCCAGTGAGGATATGCCAACTGGCTCAGCCAATCATGTAGTCGTAACATTCTGATTAGACCGTTCTGCATGTCAACTATCTGAACCGACAAAAGAGGAGACAGTCTTCGTTCGCAAATCGCAGCCAGCTTAAGACTGTCCATTGTTCCAGCATTGCAGACAGCTTGAGCCAGTAGGGAGACTGGGCTGATGTGGTTCCGGATAATGGTGTTCCGTTCGAGGCGCAGTGCCCAAATCCTTCTTTTATAGAATTCCTACCGATACTATCTGCATTGCATAATTTCAGTTTAGCCGCTGACACTGAGCAAGGGGTTGATGGTTCAGTTGACGAGGTTGGTGGCGATGATATGGTGGGCTACGGAATATAGTTAATCCGAACACCCCAGCATACGGGGAACGCACTCGTTTGCACTCCTGGGTGACTCCAACTCCTCCACCAAACGTTGGTGGTGCCAACTTTTTGAGACTCAGGCCGCGCAATACCTCAACAGGAGCTCTTGGGCTCGCCAACTCTCGTTTATTGTATCGAATCTCCAAGGGAAATCCTCCATTCTTTTCGAAAACTCCGACCCTCGGGCTCGGTCCCCAGAAGTCGCACACTGTGTCCTTGTCGCTTGTGAACTACCCAGTCCTCACCTCAACGCCGAAGCAATTCCCCGAACCTGCGAGTTGAAGCCATTCCCGTCTACAGGCATTCCTCCTTCTTTTTGTACTTAAGAGTCTCCCGGGACTGTTGCCGCCCGCCACCATGCCAACCCGTCATCTATCCAACCTTCGCCAGTGGCTTCTCTCCTCACCGCCGGCAGAATGGGCCATCAATCAACTCCGCGAGCTCTTAATCGGTGCTCTTCGTCAAGGCCCTGTGCCTAGACATGTTGCGTTTGTCATGGACGGAAATAGACGGTATGCAAAGAACAACAGGATTGAAACGGTTGAGGGGCATAATCTGGGATTCGAGGCACTCGCAAAGGTATGCTACCCAATGCGCTGGACCTCAACTACATTTCTGGATATGAGCTCCAGTTCGCGCAGGTGGTGAACAAGGGCTAACAATGCTACCATGATAGATACTGGAAGTATGCTACAAATCTGGCGTGCACACCGTCACGATATACGCCTTCAGCATTGAGAACTTCAAGCGCAGCAAATACGAGGTTGACGCTCTGATGTCCATGGCCAAAATCAAACTGAAACAACTCGTGCAACACGGCGAGCTGCTCGATCGCTACGGCGCGAGAATACGGATATTAGGCCAACGCGAATTGATCAAACCGGATGTTCTCGAGGCCGTGGACAAAGCAGTCGAAATGACGAGTAGGAACGAAGGGAACTGTGTCTTGAACGTGTGTTTTCCGTATACTTCGAGAGAAGAGATCACAACTGCCATTCGGAGCACGGTGGAGGAGTGGACAACGCCTTTACCAGATGATATCAGTGGCCAGGACAGAAAAAACCCATTCAAGGAGGAGAGAATCGCCAGTACGATATGGTCCGAACAGTTTGCCCAACAAGCAACATCGAACTCACCCTCGACGAGGACCTATCTGTCGCCACCTGGGCCGGATTTACAGTCCCCCTCGTCAAGTACAACGAGCTTGTCGTCTTATTCACCCGACCCGTCTGACCGCGACCACGACGCCTCGTCCGTCTCAACCTCGACAACTTTACATCATGATGAGAATGCCACGTCTCCCTCACCACCACTGCGACCACTAACCACACCACAAAAGTCGACGCAGCAGTCGAAACCACAGTACCCTTCACCCGAACTGATCACCCCGGCCACCATCACATCCCACACATACACAGCCAGCTGCCCACCTATTGACCTGCTCATCCGCACCTCGGGCGTGTCACGGCTCAGCGACTTTATGCTGTGGCAGTGCCATGAGTCGACGCAGATTGTGTTCTTGGACGTTCTGTGGCCCGATTTTGATCTGTGGTCGTTTCTCCCAGTGCTGTGGGAGTGGCAGTGGCGCAAACGGCGCGAGCAGAGGGATGCCCAGGAAAATGAAGATCGGGCAGAGGAGAAGAGACGAGGGAAGTCGTCCAGCGCCAGCAAAGCGAAGAGAGCTGCGGATCTGCTCCAAGGGCACGCTTCGTGATGGAAAAGATGTTGATGATCACCCTTACGTACTGCAAGGCGGAGCTGCCAGATGGACTGTTGGAAGCAGAGTGGTGAAAAGGCGGGGTTAGCCAGGGTGCATCTAACCCGCTCGGACTCTTGTTCTGAACCTGGAGACCTGGATCGAGATCAATGTGCCTGTTGCGACCTTGATTCCTGTTCTAGGCCACGGCTGCCACGCTCGATCTCTTGCGCGAGCCTTGACGGTTTATCCTGGAGGGAGCTGTACTCGGTGCACCCACAGCATCACTACACCGTGTCCATCTTATGTCACGGCCTTCTTCTGCTGTACGCCTCTCTCGGAGGATCCTCTCTCCCGCCCACAAACAGACAGATAGACAGACATGTATATCTGTGTATCTATGCGTAATCACGAATGCACGTACGTCTGGGCGAACGAACGGGTGGAGGATAGCACCGCACACAACACAACACAACGAAACACAACGCAACACAAAAGTACATGCTGAAACCGCACCTAGAGGAGAGAATAAGTCGGAGACTGGACAGGTAGGGTGAAACAGGGAGGGAAAGGTGATAGGAAGAAGTGAGGAAAATAAAGATTAGAGCTAGATACCCACCCCTACCTACTTGCTACCTGCCATCGACATGGCATTAAAAGATTTGACTTGCTTTTTATTCCTTCTCTTTTTCTTTTCTCGCAAGTAGGTTAGTTACTAAGTAGAACGGAGGAATTGATCACGACAGATAGATCAAGAGGGATAAAAAGGGACGATAACAATCATAAAGTAAAATAGTTCATCGAATCTCCCGCGGACACATGCAGGCACGCTTGAAAACACAAGGCCGAAACACAATGGGTCATCAAGGTCCATCCCTGACGGACCACGTACATACTCTTGTTTGAGTTGCACAGTTACGCTAAACATGGCTGGCTGACTGTTTTCCAGTCCACAATCCCAAATTGGGTGCCAGTTCCCAGCTCAAATCCCTTCGGTACACGCTGTACCTCCCTCGCCCGTTGACTCCCGCATATAAGCCTGAACCGGATCAGATTGGACAGTGGGGAGTTTAGCTGCAGCAGGTTCTCCTTATATTATAGTCCTTTTCTTCCTGGTGGCGGAGTGTCATCAGCGACATGCTCGTCCCTCGACGCGGAAAGGTCCCCTAGCGAAAGCATTCGGTAAGCTGTTCATCTCTATCCTTCACAATCCTCGCGTCGCTTACGGCCCGACGAAGAATCGACATGCCTCAATGATCTCGGGATCGTCGTTGGCAAAGTCCCACCCGACGATCCGGCTGTCTTGCGAACAGCACACAATTTGACGGGCGTCGAACTGCAATTTGAACACTCGAGACACGGCATTTTGGTTGGTCCCATTCGTGGCATTGGCCTCTGCATTGCCAGCTATCGGTTGGTTGTTGGCTGGAGCCTGAGCCTGGGCCTGGGCCTGGGCCTGTTGTTGAGCCAATTGCTGTTGCGCTGCGGCGGCTGCCGGAGACGTTCCTGGTTGAGGTTGAACGGGAGCCGGATGATGCGGAAGGAGATTTTGTTGCTGTTGCTGTTGCTGTTGCTGAGCATTGTGTTGACCAGCCGTTGACGGTGCAGCGTTGGCATTTGATGGTTGCTGACTCTGCGCTTGCGCTTGCTGTGACCGGGCTTGGATGATTGCATTCTGCACGAATTGAGAAACAGCTGCTTGGGTATGCGCCGCAGTGGCCCCTGCTAGGGTTTGTGCGTTGTTCCCGTTGACCGTGGAGCTGGAGCTGAAGCTACGGGTGAGATTCAGGCTGTTCCGCGGAGCTCCAGGGCCAGCTACCCCATTGAGCACTCTCCCGATGCTCATCACGTTGGAAAGACCAGTGCCGAGAGTGGCGATTGATGCCCCCATTGCTTGCTGGACAATGTGCGATGCTGATGTAACAGCGGGAAGGGCTGTGCCCGCAGGACCAGTGGTGGCAGGAGGTACAAGTTGGAGTGGTGGTGGAGGAGGATGCGCCGTCGTGGGCGAAGCCAAGTTTGGAGGAGGATGCATCACTGGCAGCGGATGGTGCTGCGCAACAGCGTGACCAGCGGCAGCGTTGTGCCGTGATCGAGAGTGATTGTCTTGGTTCTGGGACGATGACTCTTGCCGTAACACCTGTCCAATAACCCAGTCTCCAGAAGCATTTTTGCGCCATATAATGATGGTCTCGTCGTACGAGCCGGAGACGATCCGGCCCCATTTGCTGCCGCCTCCACCGGGTGGTAATCGAGAACCCAGTGTGAGTACAGACGTCGTCCCATTGCCCCCCCTATCGCGCCGGCGGTGTCCTCTCTCCTCGACAACATTGCCTTGCTCAAGATCTTCGAGATATTTCTTCTCAGCCGCCCTTGCTTGGGCCGGGTCATCCTCGTCACTTCCTGGGAGATCACCAAATCCGGCTTGCACGGTCCGCACAAGGTTAGTGTGCCCTTTTAGTTCAGCCACCTCGCCGCTGGTAAAAGGGTCATAGATTCGCACGGTGTTGTCACTACTCCCACTGACGATCCGTTTGCTGTCAAACTGGACGCAAGCGATTCCCTTTTGATGTCCCTGCAGCGTTCGGAGCAGTCGTCCAGTCTTGGCGTTCCAGACCTTGATAAGCCTGTCGCCCGAGGCCGACACAACGATATCGCCGTGGATCTGAATGGCGTTGACGGCGGCACTGTGTCCTTCAAGGGTCATCAGCAACGTGAATGGTTTCAGGGCCCGGATCGAGCCGTTGGCGAGGCGGGCTTCTAGAAGAGATGGCTCCATGTCCGCGGTGTTGATGATGTATGATGGTACTCGTGCTTGACATTCGCCTCCGATCTCAGGATAGTCTTTATCTGTAACGGTCAAGGCCTTTCGGTTCCAGATTTTAATACGTCGATCTTTCGAACAGGTGACTAGATACCGATGGTCGAACCTCAGGTTCAGAACAGACTCCTCGTGTGCAGAGAGGATCTCACTGATCTTCTGGCCTGTCGAGAATCGCCAGATAATGACGCTGGCGTCGCTGCTGCCGGAAATAATGACATCTTCTTTCTCGGTCGGGTCGAATTGAAGGCACAAAACTGACTGAGTGTGGCCGGTTAAGGGCTTTCCCCTTAACCGACGAGTCTCAAGATCCCAGACTCGCAACGTCTTGTCCCGACTGCCGCTCACCAACCACTTCCCATAGAATTGGACGGTGTAGACACACTCGGTATGTGCTTCTCGGGGATATGAGGGATGAGGGAGTTGGAAGGTAGTATACCTCGCTTTGGTCCAGTTCTGTTCGAGCTTCTGCCGTTGCTTGTAAAGATGAACCCAGTTCAGTTTTTCCTCCCCATTGCCATCATAGGTTATAAGTCGTGTTTTGATCGGCGGGTCGAGGTAGCGGATGCTTCTACTACTCGAATGAGCGTCATCTCTGAGAATCGTATCCGACGAATAGTCCATCTCGTCGCCCGAATCTGCGCTTTGTCTCTTGTTTGGCCGTTGTGGAGAGTTGTGGATGCTGGTGGGAGCGTCTTGCATTTCCTGGTCATCAGTCGATTCGGATTGCATATCGGTGTCGGCCTCAATTACTCCATGCTGCTCTCGCCATTGAGAGACATCTGCAGAAACTTTTCGTCCTCTCGACTCCAACCAGTCAGATGTTGCCCGTTTCTTGAGTTGGGGCTGGCCCGACAGCTGCGCTCTTGCCTTTTTGAACTCATGTCGCATGAGGGCGCTTTCAAATTGCCTGATCTCCTTTGTGTTGAGGCCCCATCCTTCTTTCTTGTACAAGTCCTGCCACAGCATCGTATCCATGATTCGTGATCTCCATGTCTTTGACGCCAGGGAAGCAATCAACAGGGTCTCCGCGTCGAGGTAGGAAAATATTTGTGAGGTGATCTCTGGAGGCAGTTTCTCCAACGGGTCGATATGGAGGAGCGGCGTTAGCCTCTCAACTACAGCCGCGATGTTGGAAGTGCGTAGTGTTCGTAAGACTTCATATGCAATCTCGGCACGTGCCTGTTCATTCTGTGCCATGACCCATTCTTGAAAGCGGGCAGCCGTGGCTGTAGACATGCGCCCGTGTTCATCTTGACTCGACGCATCTTCCGAGAAGCCCTCGTCTAGACGGAAGGGAGCCATTGCAGGGAAGGAAGAAAAGGAGGGGTGGCGTGGTCTGAGGTGTTTCGGGTTGGTAGGATGGATATATATAGAGGGGTTGCCCGTGGTCGGGCTGAGAGGCGTATGCCGGGTATCGAGAGGCAATTGTCAGGTTGTACAGTAGTAGCAGGCCAAAGAGGCAGCGACTCGTCCAGAACTTCCGCTATTTAGGAGGAGCAACCAGCAATCGAAGTATCGTCGTGCAAGGCCTGGACTCGGCGTGGCATGTATCGGGTGAATGTCGAATGGCGCAAGGCAGAGGTTATAGGATTGGGTGACTCAAAGGGAATGTTGATTCGGCCAGGACGGCGGCAGCATGGCCCACGTATGCGAAGCTAGCAACTGGCCATGTGCAACAAACAACAAAATACAGGAAGAGAAAAGACGGAGGTGGGATGTTTGCCTGGCGGTGTCGATGAGGTGCTTGGTGCTTTGATGCAGGTTTGCGACGGGCGATCGCATGTGTTTTGGCTCCACGGGTGGCGCACCAACTGACAACGGGAAATGATGCAAACAAGGGCACAGGCGTCCAGTGGCGTCCCCCATATTCTGGTTCTTGTTTATTAACTTGGATTCCCCCACGTCGATCGTCTCGCTTCAGCACTCAAATCTTGTTTCCAATTAATTATGGTGACTTTGGGGTCTTTCGAGACCCTTATTGAGTGCTCTAAGGTGTAGCTGTGCCGCTTAACGCCAAGTCATTTCGTATGCATCTACCAAAAGGGTATCGAAGTAATAGCCCAATGCAACTTGTAAAAGACCAGGACGACAGAAATTCCCCGTCCTTCTGGCGGCTTCGTGTTCGTGCTTATATGCCTGTCATTTCCCTCATGATCGTCGTGGTGGCGTCCATCACTCGCATCATTACCGATCCTTCTTAGGCTCCTCGTCCTCGGTCGTGGGCGTTATTCGTTCATCATCAGCCATGTCCCAACTGCTTTCCGTTCCCGTTTCTGCTCCTTCGCTCTCCCGCTTCCGTCCTCGTTCCCGCATGGCCCCACGGATTCGTTTGCTGACTTCATCATGGTCCAGCGTGGTGAACTTCAAGCCGGTGGACGAGGTAAGTGCCCCACCTGCCGAACTGCTCCTGCTGCGACTCTTAGGTGTCGCAGGACGCGACGCAAAGAAGCCAAACCCCCCAATGTTGTGGAAAGCTTCGTTCGAGGGCAGGAACCCGAATGGCAACATCGATCTCGACCCGGGGGACTCAGGGGTCCGCTCATCAAAGGTCCCAGAAGTCGGCGTGGTGGGCTCGGTTGAGTCGATCCTGGGCTCCTCTGGCATCTTCTTGTATTTGGATTGGTACGCTCCTTCTCTATACCCATCCGGCACAATTCGTGCAGCGTCAAAGTCAGGGAAGACTTCGGGTCCCAATTCATTGATCACCTTTGTCACCTTGACAGACAAGGCGTGGCGGCGCTGTTGGAGCTTCGCAAAGCGGCTGGAGGAGCGTGGGTTGAGTGCCACAAATAGTGGCGGTAACGACTTGACCACATCCATCCCTATTTCTCCGATCCTCAGAGCAGCAAACGTGATGAGGATACACAAAATCAGGAAGAGAATGGCAAAAAGCCAGACCGGAACAAAATCAGGCACGTAGGTGCGGGCCACCATCCACCAGGGGACCTTGTGGGTATAGTATCCGTCTCGTCGGTTGTAAACGAGCCATAGGGATACTATGGCTGTGTAGTAGGCGTAGAGTGCGGGAGCAAACGCCATAGCCACGAGCAGTTTCCAAGTGGTGATGACATCTCGACCCTGCAGTTTCACTGTCGACGCTGCAAGAGCTTCCTTGGACTTTTTGTAGGAGATGACTTTGGTGGTAACAAACACAGGCCAAAACATGGCGAGCCCGGGAAGAGTGCCGATGCCCAGGAAGAAGAGCTCTCCCAGCCGATAGATCAGCGTCCCGAGAATGCGCCACCAGGGATATTTAGCAGGGTTGCCCCATTCCACCTGGTGGTCGCGAACTCCAAGTGCCCGTAATTGACGATTGTACTCGAGCACATCTTTCTTGAGTTCGACAACGCGGGGGTCATCCTTGTACGTCGTATACCCTTTGACGAGACGTCGGTTCAACTCCACCACCAGCGGTAGAGGCAGTTTCTTTCCCAACGGATTGTATAATCGGCGAGCCGCTTGCACCAGCATCAGGGTGTCGTAGTCAGGACTTGATTGTGTCACAGCAACCAAGCCCTGAAAGACGGTTTCGAGTAGCGAGCCCACCGCGTTTCTTCGGTCGCCCGCCTTATATGCTTCAACTTGGTCAGGATGAACCTCAATGGGGTGACCAAATTCGATGACCGCCCTCGACCGGAATTTGTGCGCATGGAAATAGTTCATGCCAATGGGAATAATCTTGACACCACAACCGGGGTGTCGGGCTTCAGCTCCTAAGGCCATGATGGCCACGCCTGCTTTTAGGGGGAGAAGATCTGGTCGATCATGGCTGCCACCTTCCGGGAAGATACCAATACAGCCACCAGCGTCGAGCTCGTCAAAGACTGCGTTGTAGACCTTGGTTTGATCCACATACGGAGCGACCTTGAATGAGCAGCCTCGGGATTCAATCTGTTGTTCGTTCGTATCGCCGCCAACGGGGCCATTACCGGTCAACGACTCCAACGCCTCTGGCGACTTGAAGGGTTTCTTGAGGCGGATTTGGGTAGGAGAGATAATCTCCGCGATCTCTGTGCTGGGGGTCTGGCCTCTCACTTTGGGGAGGACGATCAATCCACCTACCTCGAAATCGCCATTCGTGAAGTCGGTGCCGACGCCTTCAATCAGGGTAGGGTCGTTATCTTGGTCTGGGAGGAATATTTTGCCCTTGGCCGGCTTGACTTTGTCCAGGGCTCGGCCCACGGGAATCGCCCCGATCGCTGTTGACAGAGTCCCAATGAACTTGCGTGTCGTCGACTTCTCCGCGATCAGATATGAAATCCTTCTCTTGGCCTCGTGCTTGAGGATTCTCATGAGAATCAGGGAATCGACAAACTATGCGTGTGAGTATTATCCCTAGCGAGATCAATTGTTCTTGTGCCTACCTGATTGGCGTGAGGTGCAGCCACAAGAATGACCGGACCAGTCTTGGGGACCTTCCAGGCTCCTCTGGGATGTACCTCCCGGAAGAAGAGGTCAATCAAGATGGAGAGAGCCCATAAGACAAGATCATAGAGCCATGGTTTTTGCAGCTTGTTGCCCTTCTTCTTGCCTCGCCCCCGTTGGGTGGTCTTGGACAGAGCCTCCTTGGACGATCCTGGCTGAGACGGCATCGTTTTCAGCGGTCCGGGTGAGTCTTCGCGGGAGACGACGGGAGGTACGGCAGGGTTGGCTGAATAGATTCAACGACGGCGTTCGTCCAACGAGGGAGAGGTGAGCCGGACCATGCACAGAAACGCAGGCGGGTTGGGGATCCGAGGACGCGGCGTGAAGTAACGCCAAAATGAAGGATGTCCAGATGAAGGGAGCAGATAAGAGAACAAGTTTAACGAAGAAGAGCCATTGCACAATTGACACTGAAAGTCACCGGGAAGAAAACGTGGGAGGCGGACAAAGGCCAGACTGTTGTTGAGGGCGCTTTGGCACCAAAGCGGGTTTTGTTGTATTGCAAGTGTTGAGAAACCTGCGTGGGGTGAGAAGCTACGAGAAGATCTGGCTGGGGATGGAATGAAGTCACCGACACCGCGATGCTTGTTTTTGGCGATGATGCCTAACTCTGGTTGGTAGCCGCCATGCCTAAAAGCGCGATCCCCCAATGCCCGTCCGCATCCCCCGGGGGGAGGGGCGAAACGCCCGCCAGCCCTAGCTTGTAGGCTAGTAGGCAGCAGTCTTTATTTTTTTTAAGTAGGCTCTGCTTTCGCTCCAGGCTTTTAACAGGGCCTAGTGAGCCTCCACTACATTCCAAATGCAGCCAACCAACGCCTAACAAGAGCAGGCGGGGTCACCAGTGCGCCACGGGCTGTAGAGACTTCGCACGCTTCCAGCCTCCCGCCCGAAACTGTGCATTCGGCGAACATCGGAAACACCATTATTACAGCAGATTGTATTTGCACATCTCTCAATTCGTATATCAGGACCATGCTCGCCTCATTACCTGCAGCAACCCGTTGTCACAGGCCATCGCTCGCCCACATAACCGGCGGAAAGGAGCCTTGTCCTCCCCCGTCCCGCTCCTTTCAATCGTCAAGTCTTTTGCCATCTCTGGTGGCGCGGTGTATCGCAGAAGCCATCCTACTCGTTACTCGTACTCTTCGGCTCTCGTTCCGGCTGACCTTGAGAAGCCCTCACGTGGTCGACCGTCTTCTGGGCCTCCTCCTCTATCCGTCTCATACGCTCCCGCAGGTGGAAGTCACGGTCTTTCCACCGCGACTCCCACAGATCTTCCACTTGATGTCGGGCCTTTTCTAGCATGACCTCAACGTTCTCCTCCAGGTTACTCAGCCGTTTCTTGAGGTCGTCGATGATAAAGTCTTTGGCCCGCAGTTGCTGTCTGAGCACAATGTCCTTTTCATTTAGTTTCTCGCGAAGCTCTGCAATCTGCCTGTCTTTGAAGAGGAGCGCTTTGCGGTGCGTGGAGTCCAGTTTCCGCATCATTCGCGCGTAATGGAGAGAGATGTCGTTCTCGTCGTCCATAGGTAGAGGTGTATTGCTTTCCTCTGGCGTCTCGCTCATGTCGAGAGGGTTTGCTGCTCTGGCTAATGATTCGCCATTTCTGAGAGCACTGGTATCCTGGGTCGTCGCCGAATTGGTGGGGACTGGGAACCTGCCCCTTGCGTGTCTCCCTATGTAGTCAGGAGATCGTGGTTCATGGTCGATGCGTAAGTCATCTAGAATTGCGCCAGCAGATTGGATTTGGAGTGAACGTCCTCGTCCTCGCGATGCGTTGAATCGCTGCCGATGGTGTTGGTGTCGATGGCTGGCTCGCGACATGCCTCTCGACGTGATAAGTCGGGGTAGGCGTCCTTGGTGCAACCTCCTTAATGGCAACGATTGTGATATCTCATCCACCCTGTCAAACGTGAGATCTTCTGAGGCCACTCTCCTTCCGCGATGGTCTGGCCTTGGACCAGGGGGAATCTCCGAGTCATCTTCACTGTAGCGACTTCGGTTAAGCCCGCTGGCAGAACCAGTCGTCCGTTCGCTGGTGATGACCGTGGCCGAAGATGAGCGACGGTACAGCTGATCATGTGCCAATGGTGACGGCAATTCAAGCTCTGTCGGGTCGAGTATGTTGGCTCGCACGGTAGCATCATGATCGATGGCTGTGAATGTTGACCTCGGAGTGACTGCGCCGTCCTCCAGATCGTCTTCGTCGATATCTTGACTATCCACTTCAAGGCGACTGTCCAAGCTCACGACGTCGCTTGTTCGATCCCCGTGGAAGTGTAGAGTATCGTCCGGCCCAGTATACGGCGGCGGAGCATCCGCTGTAATTCGCGAGCCATCCCGACTGATCCGAAAATACTGGCCGGCGACGTTGATGTCGATGCTGCGAGCATCTTCTTGCAGAGTAGTCGTGGTGAACTTGGACTGGGTGGACACAATCGACGAGGCTCGACTGTGCCTGTTGGCTCGTGCATTGTTCAGTTCCCTCGCCCAGGAAGGAATATTCTGAGTGGGCGTTGTCTCGCTATTGCTGCTAGAAGATATGGCGCTTAACGGGGCGACCTGGTCCTCTGCTTCTCCTGGAGAGTTCGCCTGGCTCTCGACCGGAGCATTGGTCGCTCCTCGAAGAGAGGGGATGGCGCTTGCGAACCGAAACATAGCTGGAGATGTTATTGTATACTTATAGACCGAGATAAAGATTCATTTACTATCCAATATAAATTGACTCCGATCGCCCGCAATAGACGTCAACAGGAAAGGACTGTGCGGGCGTCCCACCAGGAAGTACGTCTTGTATACATTACTGCAAAATGGGAAAGGACACCATTGCACTGTAAGTCGGCGTTGAAAGACAAAGTGTCCAATAGCCCTGTATCTTATCTCAAACAAAGAGGATGAAGACTCGATTGACGAGGAAGAGGACGGAGGGGCTTGAACACCAACAACCGAGTTCGAGGCCAGGCAGCCTTAAAAAGGCCGGCACAGCCTCAGCCTCACTAGCCCGGCCGTGAGCCGGGACGCTGCCCCATTCAGTGCAGCATATTAATATTATTGTTCTTCGTTCCCTGCACGCTGACGGAAGTGGCTCTCCTCATCAATCAGGCTGCCACATTTCCTACATCGTCCTTCAGAAACAAAAGGACCATTTTGGTTTTTCCAAGCTGCCGGCAGCACCATGAACAGTTTCAGGGAGACCAGATTGACGGAAACTATTTCCAGCCTCGAAGGACACGCGGTATGGATTCCGGGCAAGCCAAATTCAATGGTTTGACATAACCACATGAGACCATTGCATCGTTCGCAGTCTCGGGAGCTCTCTCTCAGTCTGCCCATCAAAACAGGTGACTTTTGTCTCACATCTTTCATTCCTAGCACAAACGGGGACTTCGTCCCTAGACTGACAGACTGTCACGGTCAAAACTCGTGACTTTCATCGCTCGCTTCGACACGTTTAACATCGTACACGGCGCTTATCCCGTAAGCGATAAAAAATGCTCATAGCATGGTTCAAGATTGGTGGATATGTGGCAGATGCATACAAGAGAGCTGAATAACACCGACCGAGGGTCTTTCTTGTTACAAGAAACTGCCACCCCTTCTCCAACACTCCCTGCCTCGCTCAAGGATGCGCCCTGGGGATGCTCTCGACAGTAAATGACTTGTCGCACCTGATCTCATGCAAGCCGGCATCATATCGCGTGGAGTTCGTCGAATCGCCATCGCCCTGTGTACTCTCGCTGCGGGTACCGCCACCGTGGCCTCCGAGGTCACTCTCCGCCGAAGTGACCATGGACTTGCTGATCGGGTATGTGTCCAGGTCGTAGTCCAGGTCCTTGGCGTCGAAGTGGCTGCGGTTGTGTCTGGCGGGCTCCGTCCAGTAGGGGGGCTGTTTCTGGTTCTCGACGGTGCGGGAGTTGGTCGGTCTCGTGGCGGGCCGGCTTGTCAGACGCTGGATGATGGGGAACATCTCCTTCAGGAACACCCAGATCCCCGGCAGCGTTGTCACGTAGATGGACACGGACGCCTCGCGGAAATACCAGTTCATGTAAACGTAGGAGATCAACGACGGGACGAGGCAGTAGATCGCCCGCAGGATGGCGGCGACGATCACGAAACCACCCATTCCGAAGATGATGCCGAGGATAAACTTTTGCTGGAGGGAGAGGCGCGCCGACAATACCGGAGGGATACCCATGAGCATGATGAGGACGTCAGTTGAGATGTTGAAGACGGCGTTGACGATTTGATAGTATTGATAGGTCGAACATTGGGCTTTTTGTGAATTGTGTCAGCGCAAGGGGTCCTAAGGCGAATAGACTGTCCGAATTACTCACAATTCTGCGGCGGAACAGCCCAATACTGCGAAAGGGGTCGGCAGATGGTAAAAAGGGCCAGTTCATCTCCCACGAAAGCGCAGCACACCCATGTTGAGACCGCCCAGAGGAATCGGCGCTGTCGAGTCTTGTCAATCAACTTCGCATACAGGACCAACATGGCTGGATATCTCATGTTAGTCTCGCTGCGGCTTAAACGGGGCCCATGACGATAGCCGCCTTTTGTCACAGGGAAACAGCCTTTCGACTCACCGGCCTTCATGCTCCAAATGGTGAGGAGTTCCGCATGCTCAGACACAAAGACCCATTTGCTCCCGCGAATGCGCCCTGCTTTGATCTCGGGTGTAAGTGCAGCTTCCTCCTGCGGCGTCATCAGATTGGACCCCGGGCCTTCCAGCATTTGGTTAAAAGCCACCACGAGGATGGTGTAGGCCACGAATCCGAAGGCGATAAGGGCGTCGTCGATTTCCAGGTGCCTGATGCCCACCCGTTTGATCTTGCCGATCCTGTTCGAAGCACGTCAGAGAGATTATTCTCATCGCACGGTGATTTGCAGGCCACCGTTACGGACAGTCGCAGCACGACGAAGAATGCGCCCACGCCATATAAACTCCATGACTCTGGGACGAACCCAGGATTGGGATTCGTTGACTGCGACATGATTGCTGTCTTCCAGAGAACTGCAACTGCGCACAGCAATCAACGTCGAGAGACGAACGACGACCTTGAAAAATGGGGACAAAGTAACAGGAAGAAGATTTCCATGCGCGGAGGAGCTTCGTGGACCCTATCACCAGTTATCATGTTTGAATAACGTAACGTCTCGGAGAGGCTTTTGATTCCCTAGTGCCAAGTCGACCCTGCAATACCAGTCCCCCAAAGGGACGTTGCAGTCTGGCCCTCTAGCTCAGACAGTTGGTGGAGCGATGTTGAAATTCGGTGGGCGGAATCCAGGAACAACGGTGGGAAACGGGAAAAGGGGGTGGCCAACGAAATCGTGCGTTCACTTCTCGTTTCCTCGCATTTGATGCTGGAGATGCACCTGTGGCCAAGGAGAAGCCCACCGCTCTGGCATCTCGGAATGGACACTGCCGAGAGCCTTGAAGCTTTGCAGCTTGGAAGCATGAAACAGCATGGCGTTGTTGGTCTGGTTGGTTGCTGCATGGACGAACGCACGAACTAGTTCGATGGAGCTTTGAGGAAGTGTTTTCTCATGGGTCCTTTCTTCGCCACCGGCCACATGGTATCATGTACACTAGCTTGCGACATTTCAGGTACCGGATCTCGCGATAGTCCAATAGACGGAGACGGAGACGACCATAACAGCACCAGTTAGGGAGATTCGGTGGCCCCCTGTACGTGAACCAGGCCGGGAGGACCATATATCAACGGATAATGGTTCCTCAGTACCCTGATTGAGGGCCCGGTGCAGTTGATCAGATCGGTAACACTCCGATAGCCAAGGTCATAGACTCATGGGTCCGTTGACACATGGATTGCTCAAGGGAGGAAAGGCCGGTGGTGCTGGGAAGTTGCAAAGAAAATTCTGAGCGAGCTAGGGCGGAAAAAACCCACCGGATGTCTTGGCAAGTCTCCGCCGCCCATGTGGCCATTCCGGTGGGAGCAGCTGCTCCACGGGCTTGGCGGGTCCAGCGGGGACTTTACCGTCCAACCAGCTCACTGAGACTACCTACTCGTTCCAAACCTCCACCATCACCCAATTATAATAGCCAACACCAGCCATCGGTGGCGCGACCATCATTCTATTACGCGATGTAAGGTACAAGTGCTCGAAGAGCATTGCGGAGGTGCCACCAGAACCACAACAGACGTCGCCAATTCGCTTCCATTGGTGGATTGGTGGTTCTTCTGGACGTCTTCCATGGTGGAGCCAAGTCTGACTTGTTTTCTTCATCACTTCCTTTCCCTGTCATCAATTTCTTTGCTGCTGTTCTTGTCTGCTTGGTGAATCTTTCATTGCCCTGTGTCTGGTGCTGGTATCCAAGATGGCCGACAAGAACGAAATCCCAGAGAAGGTCGCGACAGAGTCAGAGGCCTCGGAGCCAGGAAACCTCATCAACGCCTCCGGCCATGCCCAAGAGTTGTCACGAAACTTCAGTCTCGTGTCTCTTGCTGGTGTCGGGCTCGTTGTTGGCAATGTCTGGCCAGCTATCGGAGGATCGATTCTGGTGGCCATCTTCAACGGCGGTCCACCTGGTGCGTGTACCTCTCCCTGGGAGGATGCAAGCTATGGCTAACGCATCATCTAGGCGTGCTCTACGAATTCCTCGTCGTTTCCGTCTTCTACTGGATCGTGGCGGCATGCATAGCCGAACTTGCATCTGCGATTCCATCTTCCGCCGGCGTCTATCACTGGGCTTCGGTCACTCCAGGAAAACGATGGGGCCGCGTCGTGGGATTCTTTGCCGGATGGTGGAATTGTCTGGCGTGGATCCTGGGTGCCGCGTCGATGACATCTATCTTTGTGAGTCGAGATCAAGCTGGGAGGCAGGAGTGGTGACGGCATCTGCTAACTCGTGTGGCGCACAGTCTAATACAGTCGTTCAAATGTGAGAAGGCTCGGCTCGCAGCGTTGTTGCACGTCCTAACCAGCAGCAGGTATGCCCTGAAGCACCCAGACTTCGTGTCTCAGCCGTGGCACGTGTTTGTCACCTATATCATTGTCACCTGGATCGCCTGCCCCATCGTGTGCCTCTTCAACTCGGCCATGCCGCATCTGAACAAAGCGGGTATCTTCTTCATTCTCGCCGGCTTCCTAATTACCATTATCGTGGTGTAAGTCCCGTCTTATCCGAAAATATTCCGCCAAAGGGCAGTAGATACTGAAATTCCCAGGACCGTTATGCCAGGCCGGGACGGCCGACCGGGCCATGCGTCTTCGTCGTTTGTTTGGACCGAATGGACTGCCGACATCGGGTATCCCAATGGGGTGAGTGTGGCCGGCTGCAGAATAGCAATGGACACTCATTCGCCGCTTCAAATACTGACTCGGGGGGAATTCTAGTTCGTCTTCGTGGCAGGCATGCTCAACGGCGCGTTCAGCGTGGGCACGCCAGACACCACAAGGTCAGTAGCCGCCTTGGAGGGAGATTGTGTGACTGAGGAACTGACGTCTGTGCTAGTCATCTTGCGGAGGAAATCCCCTACCCTCAGCGGAACGTGCCCATCGCGATCGCGTGCCAGATGAGCATCGGCTTCATCACCGGATTTGCCTACCTGATTGCGATCCTGTACGCCATCAACGACTACGACGCGCTGTTCAGCTCCCCCTATCCGATCGCCGAGATCTACCGTCAAGCCACCGGGTCGGCCAACGGCGCCATCGGCCTCCTGACGCTCGTCCTCATCTGCATCGGTATCTGCGTGTGCGGCCTCTACATTACGTGTGGGCGGACACTGTGGGCTCTGTCACGCGACGGGGCCACGCCCTTCCCCAAGGTCTTGGGCAAGGTGTCGCAGAGACTCGGCATGCCGTTCAACGCGACCATCGTCTCGGCCATCTTGGTCACAATCCTCGGAGCCATCTACGTGGGCAGCACCACCGCCTTCAATGCCTTTGTCGGGTCTTTCGTCCTGCTGTCGAGCTCCTGTAAGTCTCCCTCCCCAATTTCCCCGTTAGGGTGATGGAGGACGGCTGTCCCACCCGAATGCATCTTCATTCTCATAATCTCCACGTTTCGATACTAATATCGCACCACAGCCTACATCGCCGCGATCCTGCCCCACCTCCTGACCAAGCGGCGTAACATCGAAGTCTACGGCCCCTTCCACCTCAAAGGGGCGCTAGGCTTCGTCTTCAACTTCATCGCGTGCGCGTACATGATGGTCTGGTTCGTCATCTACTGCTTTCCCTACTACCTCCCGACGAGCGCGCAGACCATGAACTACGCGTGCCTGATCTGGGGTGGCTTCACCATCTTCGTCGCCGCCTGGTGGTTCCTGGGCGCGCGCAGAGGATACCAGGGCCCGCCCATGATCACCGACGGCGGGAAGGTCAACTTGGCCGACACACTGAAGAAGGTGGACGTTCAGGCCGTGAGGAAAAACAGCCTCAAGGGTGTCTAGCAATCCCATCCCCCCTCCGGCAAAAAGAACATGCTGGGTTGGTATCTCACGTTTGGCACAATGCTCTCAGATAATGGCTCAGTTGGAATCCCCATTTTGGCTCTCAGTGGTGCGTGCATGCTGCTTGATCAATCAAAGAGAGCTTTTTGATATGTTGGGTGGACCCAGGTTGTTCTCGAAGCTCTGTTGAAATATCGACTACTAGTAGTTTACCCAACATGCTTTGACCTGGTTTCGTTCTTCTTTTTCAATCCCGCAGTGTTTCGTGGTTGGCGGAAGATGGAATGCTACATATCCTATTTTTGGGGCTTCGGTACGGCACAGAGAAAAGTTGGGGACATGGGAAAAGTCAATGATTGGCGTGACTTACTGGCTTGAGATGCTCTGCCTTCTTTTTTACCACATACGAGACCAACCTGGCTGGCAGTATTCCATCTGATCATGTCAAAACTAATTCCTGCGCAGGAACTTCTCTCGGGGCTCTTGATATGACATTGTCATTCTCAGAGGGAGCTGCTTTGCTCTGCCAACAAGGTCTATCACATCCATCCAAAATGCCCTGGTGGGAAAGATCACCCGCTCCAGTCTCCTGTTACCACAGGCTGCCCTGGTATCTTCCGAAGGTCAGCCCATGATGATGGTTGGCTGCTGATGCCGCAGGGAGAGGTTGAAGCTGCAGTATATCATCTCTGAAGTGGCATTAGCAACAGACTCTACCTACCAAAGCGGTTTGCAGTGACTGCTTGATCTCGTTCTCAGCATTCGCATCCCTATAAAGGTCTGAATTCGACGAGCAAGATGCTATTTTCCTTCACCAACCGCCTTGCGCCGTGCACATGTCATGTTGGGTGTGTCGCCATCGCGCGAGTTCCTTTTGGATGGTTTCTCGAGCAAGTAGTGTCTGTGTCGCAGAGGCAAAGTCATGCGTGATTCTGAAAATCTGTAGCAGGGACCATTACATCCATCCCCCTTTCCATCGAAATCCTTGCCCTCTTCCTCTTTTCCTTCACTCACGGGACCCGGTCAACCCAACACCGACTGCGGCGAGACCAGCTGCATCGTTTCCGACCTTTGGTTGTCTGCTAATATCCAGCCACGTAACACATCCCTCAAACGAGCAGTATCTTCCTGTAACACCCAGCATCCGGACCTCTTCAACCCTCTGAGCTTGCTTCGCTGGCCCCAGATCGGGGCATGAACTTGGCTCATATCACAGAGGCGTCCACTTTATTGCCGGTCATTCTGCCTCCCGTATCAGTCATCATAGACCAGGTCAACTTTGAAATATTGTCAAGAAAACTGGAAGGGAAGATCAGGAGCAGAGGGAAAAAATATTAATACTGTGTTGTCCTTGGTCGAGGCTCGGCGCCGAGCCATGAATGTTCGTCGTTTCCCGTGAAACCACAGCTAAATCCAACTTCTACATCCAATGCAGTCGTAATCATCCCGTCTTTCTCGGGATCACCTCCATTAGCTTCTTGCCTCTTGAAATCAGTCGCTTCTGGTTCATCTGTTGGTCCTCGTCGTTATCTCCACGCAGAGGAATGTCGCGAATCCATAAACATCCCACGAGACACAGTCCGATGAGTGGTAAGAACGTGATGAAAACTCGGTTTATACCCCTCATTTTGGCGTCTAGAACAGCGTTATCCCAGGCAGGTGGCCCGTTTCCAATGACCCAAGTCCCATTTTTGACCGCTGATGCAACGTCTGGCGGAATATCTGCTGGCAGCGAACTGACGGTCACGGCGTATTGAATGGCGGTTGAGACGGCCACTCCGACTGCAGAACCTAGTGCCCGGACCCAGTTTCGCGTTGAGGTGGTAACGGCGACGTCTGCCTTCGTTGAAAGGGCTTGTAATGCCACAAGAGCTGGAGCCAGATTGGAGTTGTCAGCCACAAACCATGGATAGGTGAAGAAACGAGTGGAGAATAGGGCAACGAGAACTTACAGGGTTGGAAAACGAACCCTACCCCAGCACCTTCGATTAAGGCAGCTACCACGTATACTCCGAGGGGAGTGGTGCGTGAAAACAACAGCTTTAGACCTGCCCCGATTGTCCAGAGAACGAATCCTAACCAAAGGACCGGCATGTACCTGGAATCGCATGTTAGACACGCTCACTTTGACGATCGAGGATCTCGCGAAGACGTTGCACGAACCTTGCGGTAAATGTCATGGCAGGTGCCGAAAGAACACCGCCGAGGCTTTGAGCGAGAAGTAGCGGCAATGTGAGATATGCGGACCTCAGTGGCGCGAAACCACGGACGTCTTGATAATAGATCGGCAGGAAGTACAGGTCTGCTTGCCACACGAATCCAAAGAGAAAGTTCTGCGCGAAGAGCGTGCTGCGTGACAGCGAGGAGTACAGCCGAAGTGGCATCATGGGCAATCGTGCCAACTTCCACTCAACAAGGCAGAAGGACGCGGTCAGCACCGATCCCACAGTCAACAACGCGATGACGAGCGAGCTGTGCCATGGGAAAACGCTTCCTCCAGAGTTCACAGGGATCTGTGGACGAGACCAAAATGGTCCAGGTCAGCAAGCGATCGATTACCAACCGGGGAGAACATGTGTGATGGGGTATGACAGTGGAAAAAACCAGAGGGCCGTACCAGAACGAATAATATCCCCGTCACCGCAGTCAACAGGCCCATCCAGTCCACCTTGCGCACCTTCTCCTTCCAACTTCCGACCACAGGCTTTTGCGGAAGAAGAATCACCAGTGGCGGGATGCACAAAGATGCCAATATCGCGGGGACCCAGAAAGCCCAAGGCCATCGTCCATCATGTCCTTGAACCAACGCCGCGGACGTAAAGGGGCCAACACCGGCTCCCAGCCCGATCGCTCCACTCAAAAGACCCTGATATTTGCCTCGCTCCTTCAGAGAGACAAGGTCGCTGACCGTGATCTGGACCAGGGAACTGATTCCTCCGCCGCCAATACCTCCGATAGCTCGACAGGTGTAGAGCCAGGGACCATTCTTAGCGAAGCCGCACAGAATATCCCCAACGATCAAGCTGAGCACACAGCCTATCAGGACGGGCTTGCGTCCAAAGATATCGGCAAGTCGGCCATAGAGCACTTGGAACGCGCACTGGGCAAGAAGATAGGACGTACCGACCCAAGTAATGGTGCTGGAGATCCCTAATGAACGAGCAATTGCTGGCAACGCTGTCGTCGTGGAGTTGACGTCCAGAAAAGAGACAAAGAAGCACATGGCAAGACATAAGTATACGATGATCAGCCTCGCAAAAGGAAGTCTTTGGGATTGGTCGGTGAGTTCGATCTGTGATTTGCCTTCTGGTTTCGTGCCGCTGGTGACGGTGACTGGGGCTGATTTGATCTCGAGTTCGATCTCTTGAGCAGTCGTGTGGGTCGTCTGCAGCTCATGGCGCTCTTTGGAATCATTCTCCGAAGCAGACTGCGACATGTTCGTGAAACGAGCCCTTCTCGGGGCAAATATCAATTCGTTCCTCGCCCAGCAAAACAATTAGAGGAGATGGCGAGGAAGCTCCAGGAGGCGGTGACAAAAGGAAACACACGCTACGCGTGATACCGCAACTGACGCCGTATATATGCACCACCAATGCCTATGCCGACGACAACTGCTCCGTACGAAAGACCGAACACGCTGGACGGAGTAGGAGGGGGCTTAAGAGCGAACGAAGCTGTCCAGCCCCGGTTTCCGACAACCCCAACAACACATCCTGGCAGAAGCAAAGCCGCCGTGGTTGACAACCAGGAGCAATTCGCTGCAGAGCCAATCGATCAATCCCATAGTGGATATAGGGATGTGGTTCTTTTCTGTCATGAATTTTCAGGAAGCCGTGACGCCAGCGGCCAATTGCGATGTGTCGCCAAACGCTCCCGGGGTCTGTCTTTGCAGATCAGTACCGGAACGCAGCGAACGTGATCGGGGATGCTGGGTCATCTCTGACGAATGCGCTTCGCATTTGCCGAAGCGTACAGTACATCTCTGCAACTTGGCTCACATCGGCACTGCCGAAAATGACGCTAGGGCCTGAGATAGGAGGAGGACCGCGGTACAGGCAGTCTCCGTTCGGCAAATTCCTATTGGTGTTAGGAAATGCCGATACCTCACGCCTTTGCCGGCAACGTATTCGCCTTGTCGGAACCCAGGATGGACCGATACAGACGCTGGTACTCGGTACAAGCGGAATGGCAACAATCATTGTTCGATGCCCGAAGTGAAGCAATCCGGCGCGGACTTGACAGGCACGAGTCCTCCCACCACGAACTCGTTGACAAAGCGCTTTCTTCTGCCATTTGAGCCCACATCTCACGTGAAATCGGCGAGCTTGAAAGGTCGTTCTCGAGGGCAGCAGCAAGCTATAACGAGATATAAATAACGCCCAGGGAAATAGGACAGTGTGTATAGGCGCCAAATCACAAGCCACGTGATACAGAACACCGGCTCCAAATGGATCTTGTTATCCGCAATATTGCATTACGCCTCTAGTCAACAGTGGTACTCTATTCTCGACGCAGTATCAGCCATATTCGATGACACAGCATGCAATCCGTCTCTATCCGTCACTCTTGCCTGCGTGCGACCATCGCCTGACCGGCGAGCAAGGGTCCTTTCAAGCCAACGAAGTGAAAGTGTGCGCCACATCCTTCTCATTGGGCGGCGGCATCATCTTCTCCGCAAAGGCCTCCTGCTGGTGGTGCCCACTGCTGATGCCGTCGATCACGTCGTCCTCAAAGTATCCGTCCGTGCGGCCGAGGAACTCCAGGGTCTTGGGCATGCCACGACGATCCGCCGGGTATGGGACGATCGGCCAGATGCGTACCAAGATGTAGTACACCAGCCCGCCGGTCAGAGACGCCAGGATGAAGCCCATCGTGTACATGTCCTTGCTGGCCTGGTTGAAGTGCGGGTTGTAGTTGCCCGCGAGTCCGTGGATCACGATCACTACGCCGGCCACCCACGCTGCGAACATGCGTAGATTGAAGCCCTTCCAGTAGTAGTAGGGGCTGTCGGGGCTGTCGTCGTACAGTGATGGCACGTGGATGTTGCCCTTGCGAACGATCCAGTAATCGACACTGGGGCTTGCAGTCAGAACGGGAACAGCCCTTCGACAATGATATGCGAGCAAATACTCACATCATAACGGCAATCACCGGCGCGATGAAGACCACGTAGGACCCAAGAAAGGTCAGGAAGGTCTGCGCCGATGCCTGGAGCTTCCAGGGTACCACGGCAAGACTGATGACAGCGCAGAAAACCTGGCCGCGCGGAATACTGGGACGTCGCTGTCAGGTGGCCGTACAGAGAAATGTGAACCGAGACTTACTTGAAGTATCTAGGGAACAATCCAGTCAAGTCAGCGCCCACGGGCAGACAGTTCGACGCCAGATTGGTTGCCATGACAGCAAGAGCCTGGATGAGGCAGACGAGGAAGATGGCCGTTCGCGCGCCGGCATTCCAGTTATGGTCCAAAATGGCACCCAGGAGGTCCCACATGTTCCAGTACGCAGTCCCCCAGAGGTTGAGCGAGGCGCTGGAGCACGCAATGCCCATGAAGATGACGAAGGTCTTGCTGGTGAAGATACCCACGGCCTGCGCCCACGCGGCGTCCGAGGGCTTTTTGGCGTAACGGGCGAGATCCGCGTTGGACATGATCTCAGGCGAGATGCTGCCACACACCGAGTTGATGCCATTCATGAAGGCCCAGCCCAGCACCGTGGTCGTCGAGGTCTTGGTGATCTGCGATGAACCCGACAAGCCGCCGTTCTTACCCACCACGTACCCGAACACCGCGATCAGCACAGGCGGCGCGATAACGCTCTTGATCGTGTACAGCCATTTGGCCCGCTGTGGGTGAATCAGCATGAAGGGCAGCTGGATGGCCCAGTAGAGGAAGAAAGCGGCGAGGCCGCGCGTGGTGATGCCGGCGCTTTCGGGCAGGTGGTTCGGGATATCCTGCCAGTTGTGGCCAAAGGCACAGCGGAGCATCACATCGAACAACTTCCCGGCGTAGAATGTCTGCGTCGCGAAGTAGATGATGGCGACGCAGCCGCGGAGGAAGATGAACCACAGCGATCCGAACATGCCCGCACTGGCCCGTACGAAGGCTGGATAACCGATGTGGTAGACCGCCGGTCCGCGAGATTGAACCACCAGGACGACGGAGCAGAGCAGGTTTCCCACCGCAATGGAGAGAAGAGCTTGCCACCATTTCTGGTCGTATGTCAGCTGGCCTTGTCGAGTGGTCTTTTTTTGGTGGCGGGACTCACAAGCCCTTGATTCACCAGGCTTGAGCCCGTGTTCCATTGGTTGGGATTGAAGGAAACAGCCCAAAAGAACATAAAGTAGTTCCAGTGCCTCCACGTTCTTTCCTCAACTCTGCATGGCGCATTAGGAGGAACAACAGTCGTCAAAGAGAAGGACGGAGAGCATACGGTGTTGGGTCGAGATCTTCGTTTCCCCATTTCCTGGTCCCCTCCCTCTTCTGAATCCTGCTTTCTTGAGTCTGGATCCGCGCATCAAGCCGGCGTAAGAACGACGTGACGGTCATGTTTGGGGGAGGTGTCAGAAGTTCTTCCCGGCACACTTCAAAGGGCTTTCAGAAAGTACTTGTCGAAGCCGCGACGAGACGGCAAGCGAAGACCCGTGGATATAGTTATAGCTGCCGTTCCAGGCAATGATAGTATCTCTCGACCTGGAAGTTCTTTGATATCAGACACCCCAGTCGAATATAGCCAGAGACGGGATTTCCGAAGACTCAATCATCGGCGGCGGCTGTTGCTGGTGCTAGCAAGGCTAGGCTCCTCTCCAGAGCATCAGTTATGTCCTTCTAGAGACGACATAGATGAGCTCTCCTTATCTTGAAAGTATGCGCGATATCATGTTTGTTAGTTCCGTCCCAAGGCTTGGTATATCGGCTGATATTACAGTAGTAAGACCACAACCATCAACCAGGATATTCGGCACACCCGCGCACATCACCACACTGATTGACCTTAGCAATGGTATTACTCCTGTTCAGCTTCATCGGAGCCTTACGCCAGAGGCGATAACGCTAACGGAGTCAGCCAATGGAACAAGGCACGTCGAATTATGATTGGGCAGTGTAGAAATGAGAAACAAATCGCCGTTTGGTACAGAGTAGATACCCGACGTGTTGATCGCAGTATCCGATCTCTCCGGCTGGGAGAGATGGCGGGTATCTCCTAAAGAACCGGATCTACCGCCTGAGTGGCGCATTGCATGCCCGGCTTCTACCTTCCGGCGGCGTGGGATTAGGAACGATAATAACTGTTGACTTCTCCCACCTGAAGAAAACCTCAATAGCCTTATCATAGTTCGATGTGGCGCCGCATCACGTGCTTTCTATTGCCCGCGTTAGGTAAAGCCAAGATGATAACGGCGGGTCGCGGCCTCGGGCAACTTGCCACTTTGACACGTCAAGCCACTAAAAGCCGCCCGAGGCTGACTTCTCCGGAAGCAATGGTCGGGAGTCCAAGGGATCTCAGCTATCCAGAAGGCGGTCCAGGATTGATTCTCAAATGGTCAATAGATTCCGCGGTGTCATCTTTGTGGACGGAGAATGGATACTGTTGCGAGCGAAATGCTGCTGAGAAGTTGGTGAGGTAGGCTCAAGCCGATCTTGAGCATCTTCAATCTCAACCGGAGACGCAGTATCGAAAGTGTGGAGGGGCCCAGCATGCATTCGATTCAACACTTCAGTCCCGCCGAGGACGACGCGCAAGAGAGACCGGCAAAACGACGAGCTCGGAGCGCCGTGGCATGTCAGCGATGCAAAGGCCGAAAACAACGCTGTGACAATGAGTTCCCATCTTGTTCAAACTGCCTATCCGCTGGTGAGCCTTGCTCTTACGGCGTGAAGCAAGTCTATCCGTCAGAATACGTCCGGTCGTTGGAGAACCACATCGCTCACCTGGAGCAGTCGTTGACCTCCGTCGACCCCAAATTGGCAGCAGACCATCTCGCAAACATGAACAACGATGCGGCGGCTCCTCGGTCTTCGAGAGTCTCTGTCGAGCCACAAGCCCAAGACGAACGGGAGGAAAATTCAGAACCGAGCCTGGAACTGGGGGTCGGCTTCGTTGCACTGTCGCCCAATTCTTACCTTGGTACATCGAGTGGATTTCAGCTCGCGAAACTGGTCAAGTCTGCGATGAATGTGCCGGCCCTGGTCTCGACCCCTACACGAGAATCACGTCTGAGAACAGACCGAATTGCCGCCTCAGAGAATTCCACTCAGCAGCCGGGGTCCGACACCCCTGTTTTCGCTGAGATGCCTACGGACGAAATGGGGGAGGAACTCACCAGTACCTATCTCCTAAAGGTGTACCCCAAGCACCCTTTCTTGTCGAAGAACAGGGTCCATGCTTTGAATAGAGATCGAGCGAGCCTCATGGCGGCTCACCAATCACAGTCAAAAGAAGCCCGATTGAGTCGCTTGGACTATGCTATTCTGCATCTGGTTTATGCCATTGGAGCAAGGTATCTGCAGTTGGCGGACGACAACTCGTACCCATCGCCCGAGGTCTGTACGCCCAGGTCTATTCCAAAGACTTGACAGGGGATGCTAACATTGTTAGTCGCACTACGCAGCTGCATTGACAGAGATTGATATTATCTCAGATGTGCGAAGTCTCGAGAACTTGGAGGCGATGCTTCTCCTGTCCATCTACCAGTTGCGATCGCCTACTGGTCCAGGAGTATGGTACGGACACGGCTCCACACGTCTTAGGCCACTGCTAATTCCTCCCAGGTGGATGATAGGCACAACAATGCGCCATTGCCTTGACGGCGGTCTACACCGAAAGACCAACAACTTATCCAATTTGCTCGATCAGCGGCGCAAACGCATATTCTGGACCGCGTACATGCTGGAAAGGTCTGTGGCCAGGACCGTTGGCCGTCCGTACTCCGTGTCAGACCGGGATATCGACGTCGCCTTACCAGCAAACATCGAAGACTGGTACGAAACAGAAGAAGAAATCACAGCCGCCATCGCGCAGTCGCTGGCAAATCCACACCGCATCACCTCTCTGACAGCTGCCATCCACATCATCCGGATCCAACAGCTCGAATCCAAAATCTCCCACACCGTGTGCCGGGTGGACAAGCCGATCTCGGAACTCAATCCGCACAAGATCACCAAGCTGCGAAACGCGCTCGAGGAGTGGAAGGCCGCCATCCCCTACGTCTCCCATCCCGAAAAGGAAGGGAAGCTCCCCTACAGCACGACCGACTACCACATGATCCAGTACCACAAAGCCCTGGTCCTGTTATTCCTACCCTTACTCCCTTCCCTGTCCCCCTCCCACCCGGACTTTCGCCTGTTCGCATACTCGGCGGGACAGATCTGTCAGATGTACAAACGCCTGCACAACAACCAGTCGTACATCTCATTTTCGCTGCTCGCGCTGCACGCCAACTTCGTCGCCGGCCTCGCGCTGGTGTACTGCTTCTGCCTGGACCCGACGCTCTTCGACGCCAACTTCAGCAGCGACATCCGCGCCTGCAGCACCATGCTGTATGCCATCTCCGAACGCTGGCCGGCGGCGCGCAAAGTCCGCAACGCATTTGAGAGCCTCGTCTCCGCCACCATCGAGGGTAATCATGGCGTTCCCTCGTCGTCGTCGGCTGCCTCGTCTTCTTCCGGCCGGACCACGCGGGTCTCCGCGAGGATCACCCCGGGACAACACGCCGTCGACGAGCAATCAATGTTGACTCACGGTGCCGGTAACGACAACAACAGCAACCGATACGCGGAAAATAGAATGCAGGACAGTGTTTGGGATAGCTTTGAGACGGTGCTCGGGGACTACCAGATCAACGAGAGTTGGATGTATGACGGCATCATCCAGGCCATGGACACGTTTCCGACGGACGGCTGGACCATGTGGGGAGATTTTTGAGCCAGGGACGAATGAAGCGACATGAATGTTTCTCTTCGAAAAGAATAATAATTTTTTTCGAGTTCCAGCAAGAAAAGGAATGAATCAATCCTTTACCGATGCAGGCTGATACGGAAATCGCTCCCTCCAATGCGCCGCGATATCTGCTCGCCTGCACACCCAGACGTCCGGTTTCGCGCTGATATAGTTCAAGAACCGCTGCAGCTGCCTGGCGCGGCCAGGCTTGCCCACGATCCGGGGGTGGATGCCGATGGACATCATCTTGCCGCCTTCCTCGTACAGCATGTCGAAGGCGTCGACGAGGTACTCGTAGAACGAGGCGCCGCCGAATCCGTCGGCCGCGAAGTGGAACTTCATGTCGTTGCAGTCGTACGAGTAGGGCACATGCAGAAGACCTTCTTGTGGCTTTGCGCTGTCGCCCTGTCGAGCTGCTTGCTCTTCCTGCACACGCGCCAAACCAGCGGGCAGATGCGTCCAGGTTGGCACGTCGTCGCCGTAGAAGTCACTCTGCCACTGCAGATGCAGCCCCATCTCCGCGAAAGCCTCCCACACCACGCCGACGCTGTTCGGACTGATCCGACCGACATACCAGCCCGTGGGGTCCACCCCGGACGTCGTCTGGATCGCCCGGATGGCCTTCTTGACGTTCTCCTTCTCCTCCGCGGGCGGGAGATCTCGACAGTCGAGCCATCGGTATCCGTGGCCTGCAATCTCGTGGCCAGCGGCGACACAGGCCTTGGCCACGGCAGGGTTCATCTCCAGCGCTTGTCCCACGGATAACAGGGTGAATGGGAAGGAATGTTCCGCGAAGAGGCGCAGTAGCCGCCAGATCCCCGAGCGGGCGCCGTATGCGTATTCGGATTCGACGTTGGGCTGGCGGGCGTTGATGAATGCGGGGCCTCCGGCTGCAGAGAGATAAAGACGTTGCTTGTTAGTCCAGGTGGTTCGGGTGATATGGATGGCCCAAGTGTCATTGTTCGTGAAGCCATTTCCATCCAGGAATGCTCGAAGAGTTCTGATTACCTTTTTCCCAGTTCTGAATCTCTGATTGAGCATCTCCGTTCAACACTGTCGATTCTGCACCTTCTCTTTTGATTACATAGTTTCAGTTTCTGGTCCAACAAATTGAGACAGTAAAAGCCCTGCAAGGCCATGCAAGCGACGAATACCACAGTGCATGTGTCGCCATCCTTCTCCCCAACGCCCCTTTTCTTGTGCCTGCAAATCACAATCTGCTCGAAAGGATCCCACTTACTCATAATTCACACATATGCTGACCGCGATACGGGCTCCTCCTGGCCATTCCGCGTTTCTGCCTTGCTGGCCGTAGCCGATCAGGTCACGGTCGAAGGAGTATTTCTTGTCCTCGATCACCATTCTGTGCTATGTCGGTGTGTGGGATGGGTTGATTGGTGAGAGAAACGACCCGGAGTTCGAATAAGAACAATCTGGCAGTCTGAAGATCGTTCGGAGCGGATAGAGCGCGAGCAGTATCCGTAATGTAGAGAAGATACTGTCCGGGGGTGCAGCATGCCGACCTTGCTAAGATTGGTATGTAGATACAAACGAAACCGCTGGGCTTGAGGATCGGAGGTGTCTGCGATACTGAGTCCTACGGTAGCCACCTGCAACGGAGTTAGTAAGGTATCGGTGTCTTGCCGAGTTGTTGGCAACTATACGGAGAACGGCTCTTGCCGATGATATGGAACGGCAAACGCGGCCGGGAAATCCGATAACGGATGAAGCATTTAGGTAAGCGACTTTGTATGGAGATCCACGACGACATGATCGACGAAAGGCTCTCCCAGATTCAGTCACTGGTTGGCAAGAATAGTCCCATTACCATGAATACCGCTGCTATCAAGTTAGAGGAAATATGGAATAGATAATCGACGACAGCAAAATGCTTGAGCAGCTTTAAAATCCCAATACACACACCTACACATATACCCGAATCACAATGATCATGCCGACAGAAGCCCCTTACCTCGAAATCAGTCGGCGCAAGGTGGCTGAGAGAGACAGCAAAATCCCAGCAGAGTGGAGTATATCGATCCCAGAGGACGACGACAATCTGCTCCAATTACCGCGGACATGCTCCTTATTATCGCAGCGAGAATTGGAAATCACGGAAAACTACGACTCGGTGGCTCTTTTAGCGAAAATCCATGCGCGGGTGTACAGCAGTGTCGAAGTGACGAGAGCATTTTGTAAAGTAAGTGATCATGCGAAGGCTCAGTGCTATGAACATGTGTGGCGGGTACAAGCCTGAGATCTACAAGGCTCAGACAAAACCTCAAGCAGCGTGAGTGAGCAAGTTTTTGTTGGGGTCAGGCTGATATTAAGGGCCTCCCCTGCGCACAAACAGAGAGCGGCAATCGCGCAACAAGCTTTGAATTGTCTGACGGAGATATTCTTCGACCAAGCCCTCGAGCGGGCGGCATACCTTGACGACTACATCAACCGAACAGGAAAACCGTTGGGTCCTCTGCACGGCCTGCCGATTGCTCTGAAAGACAGTATCAATGTAGCGGGCATTGACTCCACCATTGGTATGGCGGCATTCGCCTTCAAGCCGGTCAAGCAAAATTCGGTCATTGTCGACATGCTCTTGTCGCTGGGGGCTGTTATGTATGTGAAGACCAACGTCCCACAATCTATGATGACGCCCGATACGGAGAACTTCGTGTTCGGGCAGTCTCGAAATGCCAGATCCAAGTACTTGACAGCGGCTGGGAGCTCTGGTGGTTTGGGCGCTTTGCTTGGTATTCGAGGAGCCTTGATGGGGATAGGGACGGATGTGGGAGGGTCAGTGAGGTAGGAGCCTACCCCTCTACATCCCTGTTGTGAGAATGCCTGAGTGGTTCTGATTCTGATTTCATGTGACAGGATCCCAGCTTATTGCAATGGAGTCTACGCGGTCAAGCCGTCCTCAGGTCGTCTTCCCTACCACTTGCTCCAAGGTTATTTGACGGACGGAGCCGAGACGGTCGGCATTCTGTGCGTTAACGGCGTCCTGGCCGTCTCAATGAGAGACTGTGAGCTTCTTCTCCGCTCAGTATCGGATGCAGAGCCCTGGCTTTACGATCCTGGGTGTAGCTATTTGCCATGGGAATCACAGCCTTTGCCGGAACGACCGTTGGTATTTGGTATCATTCGGGAAGACCACGAAACCACGCCTTTGCCGCCTCTGCTTCGGATCCTTCGAGAGACCAGCGACAAGCTCCGAGCAGCCGGTCACGAAGTTGTTGATATGGAGTTCTACAAGTGCGCCGAACTTGCCCAAAACGCGGTTGGGCACTTCAAACTCGAAGGCGGAAAGGTGGGATGTGCAGGCCATGAATTTATACGAGAATAATACTGACATGAATAGGCTCTTGACGCTGCTCGCGATCTCACGGGAGAGCCGTACACGGAATCAGTCAAACAAGGTGGCCTATATCCCTGCAAGGAAGGGACCCTGGCCGATCTATTCGCCTTGAGTGCAGAGCGGCTGCAACTGCAGACCGATTGGCTTCACTATTGGGCGTCGACGGCGAAACGTACCCGTTCAGGTCGGCCGGTGGATGTCATTCTCTGCCCACCGCAGAGCTGTCTGCCACGGCCGCACGACACTCTGATCCGCAGCCACTTTTCGCGGATCTGGAACGTGCTGGACTATCCTGCTGCTATTGTGCAATGCGGCGGCGTGGATCTGAGCAAGGACGACGTGGAACTGCCTCCGCCACGTGGTCCGATGGATGAGAGGGTGCAATCAATATGTGAGTGGCTTGTATCTGTTTCGCCAGTTGGAAAATGTATGTGAACCCAGATCTGACTCTGTTGCAGACACAAAAGAAAAACGGCAGCGGTACGAAGGATTCCCACTCGGGCTGCAGGTGGTCGGACAGCGTCAAATGGAAGCCAAACTGGTCAAAGTAGCACGTCTTGTCGAAGAACTGGCTCGGTAATGTGGATGATGTCCATATAACTGCCTTGAAATGCCACGACATGTTATCCTTCCCACATGAGTTGCCGAGAAACACGCAGCGATGAGTTCCTTCCAGATTCCCTGGTCATTGCTGCTCTTGCTTCTTGGAATACTTTGTTTTTCTCTCGTTCTTCAACAACCGAACTACAGCCCTACTAGTGCTCAAACCTTCTCGGGGCTCTGCAAACGTTTATATCCTGGTTTCATTGCTCGATTATCTTCCTGCTGCAGTCCTCCATTTATGAATCAAGCACCCATTCCATGACCTCTTTGGTGCCTTCCTGAGGCTAGGAAGGCTTGAGCTTATGCCAAAACTCAAGGTTTGAGCATTCGTCCCCAAAAAGACAGTTCCATCGCGTGTGAGAATATGAGTGGTGCTGTGACTTGGACTCGTAAGCTCCTTTCCTGGCTCTCCCTCACAGAGAATCCGTAGCTCACCTTCTTTTTCACGGCACAGACTGAATTTTCTTATGGTTAGAAGCTAGAAAATGTCGATCCTCGACCTTACCCAACCCTTTGTGTCTGGACCTACTCACCACCACCTACTAGCGACTCACACCTCCTCCCAGTCATTGCAAAGACGCTTGCTTTGGAGACAGAAGTATGCCCATGCTGTTGGACGTCGGGGTTGACCACATCGGATGGAAACAAGACCTGACCGCTAATCTGAAAGTGTTCGGGTCGGGGTTCTCTAGATCATGGTAGCAAGCCAATAAATTGAATGTGTATTTACGAAGCAGTCTCTATTTGATTTCTGCGGCGACTTCCTTTCGTGTCTTGATTTTCACACTGCTCCCTTTTCTACTCCCTCTGTTTTTTTACGGCACAATCCGCCATGCAGCCATCACATTCACCCCCTCGGCAGAGGTCTCAGTATGGGGGAGGGTCGCACCCAGCAGCCGCGGGATCCGGCCCCGGATGCAGACAGTTATCTCTCTGTGCTTCCGGGACGACCACGCTGAGGATGACCTTTTGCAGCAGCTCCGGCCAGTTCCGGTATAGGACGTTGGGCATGTCATTCGGTGCGAAGCCGTGACACGGGATCCCGGTCGCATTCTCGCCGGTCGCGTTCTGGTTGACGATATTGGCGCATACGTTGACTTCAGGCAGGCTCGGTCGGCCGAGGGAGGCGTTGACGGTGGTGATGTTGACATCGATGAACTTCATCCCGGGGCACGGCACGAGAGGCGAGCAGTGGATGACCGAGGCCACGTCGAAATGCGATGTTCCCGTGATGTTCTCCCAGGTGACGTCGGAGATTTGCAGCTGTTTGTGAGCAGTTCATTCATTAGCCAGAGAGACCTCCAGCCTTGGGGACTTGATGACCACAGAGGGTCGAGTTTGGGAGCGGGGAGAATATACAGGGGCCACGTACCTCGCTCGTGTCACACACGCTGGGATCATGCCCGTACACGCACTGCGTCACGCTGATGGGCTGGCCGACATTCTCGAGCACGAAGTTGCGGAACGTGACATTCTTGATGTAGCCGCCGCCACCGCCACCGCTGCCGCCGTTGTTCGTCACCGACTGCGAGCGGCCCTGCCACGCCTTGATCCACGCGCCGTTGGTCGAGTTGATCAGGTGCACGTCCTCGTAGACGATGTCCTGCACGAAGTCCGGGTGGCCCGGCTGCTGGCCGACCGAGCCGATGGGCATGCCGTGCGTGTGGTAGCATGTGATGTTCTTGGAGACGATGTTGGTGCTGTTGCCCTTGATGGCGATGCAGTCGTCACCTGATACACGAGCCATATTAGTAAGAGAGAGCCTGTGTCATGAGAAGACACCCTGGGATATCCAGGTGCACGGTGTCTTCGAGACGCACGTACCTCCGAGCACCGTCCAGTTGGTGTAGAAGACGTCGCGGGAGTTCCAGGTGTCGGACCCGTCGGTGTTGACGGTGAACCACGTATCGTCGCTGGTAGAGTTCATGTAGATGTTGGTCATGCTGACGTTCTGCGAGTGCGACACGAACGAGTGCCAGAACTGCGCCTGGCTCCACGACACGCCGTCCATCCACAGGTTCTTCGCGTTGAGGATGGTGAAGGCGATCGGCCGCCCGGGCTGGTTGCTGTTATTGCGGTTCTCGTTGTACCACGCTTGGCCTGTGTCGGAGAAGGAGAGGAATTAGATCTAGTCTGTGGAAATATTGCAATCTCCACCCATTTACCACGTTGACGAAGCCATCTCTTCCCGTCTCAATGGTCACGGATGACAACGACAGACTTACCATTCCCATTAAACCTGCCCTTCCCAAATCCTTTGAAGGTCACGTTCTCGCCGCCAAAAAACCACGCGGTGGACAAGTTGGCATAGACAACCGAGTAGCTGTGGCTCAGCCAGTAGGGGATGTTGTCGCTCCAGACCATCTCGCCGTGCAGCTCAACGTCGCAGTTGACCAGACCCGTGGTGTTCATGACCTGGTCGACGTGGAAGGTGTTGTCGGTGAGCACGACCGTGCCGTTGGTCCCGCACAGCTCGAACGCCCGCAGGATCGACGGTGTGTCGTCCACCGGCTGCCCGAAGTGTGTCAGCGACTCCGGGTACACGTAGCATGTCGTCCCGTTGTTGACCACGTACGCGTGGGCTGCGGGAGAGGCCGCGACGATGACGCAGAGAGCGGATGCGAGGAGTGGCTTCGGGTGCATTGTGGGAGCAGCAGCAGGGTGTTTGGGTCGAGTTCTGAGTTCCGGGAATACTGACAACGGCAATGCCCACACGGCCGGTTTCAATCACCCAGAATCGACAATTGGGAGGTCAACTGTACCTCGCTGCACTCTTTATGTTCACCAACTCGTCTTTCCGAGCAGCCAGGTACATTCGACCACGCTCAAGCGCCCGACCTCTCCATCAGTTCGGCGAACCTCCGTGATTGCATCTCCAATGACGCATCGCAGCGGTCGAGATGAGCCTAAAACCGTTCAATGATCTGCACGTCAGTCGCTGCAAGGCATTAGCATCGCATTGTGGATCTGATCAGAGCCAGAAGGCTATGGTCATGGCGGCATTGGACGGTACGTATATGTCCGTTAGCAGACCAGCAAGCCACAAAATGCCACCAAGCTGGGGAAGGGGTATTTTTGTGAGGGGAACAAATGCGGGGGGTGACAGAGGTCGTTATACCATAGGTGAATAGATTGGTGATTGTCGATATACACCGAGTACAACCTTGGAGGTGGGTATCCAACGACAGGACTATGGCGGAGAAATCCCGCCGGGGGAACAGAGGGACCAAGGAATCTCCACAGTCCAGATCGACAGTGCAGTAACTTAGTAACTGTTGTCACTTAACCCGACTACAGAATCCGTGGTTTTAGGTCTGGTGTCTAATGACATTGGTGAAACAAACCTAACTGACCCCAGGATCTGTTTTTAGCCTAATTGGTAGCCATTTGGAGCTTCTGAGAATCCTCCTCATTGCCATGGTCGATCCATTGCCGAAGACAATGCTGAACATATCCCAAATGCCGTGTGCAGACGGTGTTCCCTCCAGCTGGGGGTTCTTCGGAGCAGGAGGCCGCTGGGCTAAGAATCATTTTGTAGCCCTAGATGTCTTGAGCCTTTTCTCCCCTTTTCGGTTCTGGAGCAAGTCGGCACTTGGTGTTTTGCTCAAAGGGCCTCGCAGGCCACCGCCCCATTCCATCGTGAAGTCGAGAGTGGGCGTATGGCCCTGTCTGCGAAAGGTGGAGAGAACACGACCATGTCGCCTGTCACGATCATGTGCTGCTCTTTCCTGGGCTAGTAGGGCATGTGTCGGGTACTCGTAGAGTTCTTTGACCCGACTCGATGACTCTTGTCGGATAAGGACTTGGCGAGCGGAGATGTAGACCTAGACACTGACTGAAGGAGGGCGAATGTAGCTGTCGATCCGCTTGAAGTTCTGCTCAACGTCTCTCGATGTGCGGAACACCAGATCCACCCGGGACAGGTACCATGGACACATTGAAAGATTGTTCTAGCTTTCACCGGACGACAAGCGAGAACTGCCTCGGCCTCTCAACCGCTTCTTGGTACTCGACCACCGGCCCAACCGTGTCCCAACGAAGCTGAATCACCATGCACAGGTCGAAGTGACCCGTCTCCGTCATAAATTCTGGTAGAGACGTCAATCAGGGGATCTGGACCCAAACTGAGTAGAACCCTAGAACAAGTGCCTCAGTCGAACCTGTTTGTTTTTCATGTCCAGATGGTTCACTTTTCTTTCTCAACTTGGGCGTTGTTACCCTGGGAATCGCCAATTATGTTGTCAGATATCACCCCCAAAGGATCTCAGGCAGGGAAAAAACCTCCCCCCGACCTTCATTGAGCATATACGCCAAAGTGGGCCGCCAGAATCTAAATAAGGTGTTGGACTACTGTTGAGCTGTCGCTTCCATCAAAGTTCGGATAGCACCGGGTGACGTCCTTGCAAATAGTGAGGGTCGAGATGGGAATGTCGCCGCCGAGAAGCCAGCCAGAGCTGAAGTCTTGGTGCCAGGCATTATGTGCAAAAGAAGTTGACTGGTGGTTTCCTGGGACGCCTGAAAAAGCCAAAACACCATCAGGCCTCAGCTCCAGGGAACTAATCAGATCATCACCCCCTGTCGTGGCTCGTTTGGTTATAACAGCGCGCCGAGTAAGTGAGTAACGGTATATTCAGCAGTGCCGCGCACGGGGAGGATTGTTCTGAGGGATAAGAATGGCGTCGGATTAGGAATAATGTTATGGGAAAAACGAGTAGAAACTTCCTTTTTAGGCCATGGTGGGTGAAGCCACTCCACTGTTATGTATATACACGCTCTATTGAGTCCGTAGATAGGCTGCCACTAGGTCGTATACCGTGCAGTGTACGATGCACTGTCAGCCACTATCCGCCTACAGTACCAGCAACGACCACTTGCCCAGGGCGTGCCACACGGATAAACAGGCAACTTACACGCCTCGCGACTGCATCATCAGGCCTGCCGTCAGGCGGCCAAGTGGAATAGAGGTACGATGACCTTATTTCGCTGGTCAAACTTGGGTCCGGGGTCGGCCCCCTTGTGCAGTCTGCGGACGTCTCGGTGGCGCCAAATGACTCAACGTCAAGGCGACTTATAGATATATGCGCTTGGATTTCATGGCAATGGTCCTGGATAGACAAAAGAACTTACTAGGGAACGTGATACCGTACACCCACTTAGGATATCTTCCGCCATGCGTGTGCTGATTATCGGCGGCGGGTTTGGCGGCCTCTGCCTAGCCAACGGCTTGCAGGGAGAGCCCGGCATCGAAATCCAAGTGTTCGAGAGGCACGTAGATCCGACCCACGAGCTCGCAGGCTACGGCCTCCACGTTGGCGCCGATGGTGCGAGAGCCCTTCAGCGGTGTCTGAGTCCCGAGAGCTGGGGCCGATTCCTGGCTGCCACCACACCCGCGGGCGCGCAGTGGGCATTCCGGGACACACAACTCCGCCTGCTGGCCTTGCGCGACGATGCGAAGATCTCGGGCAAACCGCAGGCGGCGGTCGAGCGAAGAGCTGTCCACCGCGCCGAATTTCGCGACATCTTGCTGAAAGGCCTGGTCCATCCCGGCAGTGGCACGACAGTCACGGTCCACTGGGCCAAGTTGTTCACCCACTATGAGCACCTCGATGATGGACGAGTTCGCGCTCACTTCGCCGACGCGACCAGTGCCGACGGCGACGTCCTCATCGGGGCGGACGGCGCCAAATCCCAAGTCCGTGTGCAACGGCTCCCAGACCTGAATCGTGAAGAGCTCGGCATCGTCATCATTTGCGGACGGTACCAGCTGGACGAGCAACGCGCGCAGAGCTTGCCGACATTCATGACCGACGGGTCGCTGAACAACATCGTTCCATACGGTAAGGGCTGGTTGTTCATCGCCTCTTTTCCCTCGACGGAAGGGGAGCGTGGCCCGGTGGAGAACTACACGCTGTGGGCTTACGTGGTACCCAAGACGGAGACGCCCACAGATCCCCGAGCGCTCTCGCCGTCACAGCTACGCGATATCGCCCTCGCTGGTGTTCGAGGCTGGGCTGCACCGCTGGTAACCGTGGTCAGGGACACGGATGTTCCCACAGTCTCCCCGATCGTCCTGCGCTCCATGCCCCATTTGTCCCCGTGGGACACAAACAATGTAGCGCTTCTCGGTGACGCGATCCACAACATGACGCCCATGGCCGGAGTCGGCGCCAACATTGCCTTGCGCGACGCTCACATCTTGACCGACCTCCTCATCGGGGCACAACGAGGCGAGACCAGCCTCCTGGATGCGATTGCGACGTACGAGCATAAGATGAGGCAGTATGCAAATGCCGCGGTGGCGCTCTCACGGCAGATTGCTGAAGGCGCGAGTTCCAGCCAAAAGCTACAGAGATGGGTGTTCCATTGTCTCCTGCGGTTGGCGCAGGCGAGTCCGATGGTGATGAAAGCAACGATCGGCAGAGGAGGTGTGGGAGATTGATTCCTCCGTTACCACCAAATCCAAGTAGACCAGCACATCCAGGGAAGCGGTGGGAGGGCGTCCTGCCACGAGGCCAGCTTAAACCATATTGTAAATGTACCTTATCGATCATTCGAAGACGGTGGCCAAATAGATATATTCAGGTGTCTCTGATGACTATAGGTCTCCGGATCGACCCAGAGAGGCAGCAGCATTGGCGTGATCCTCACCCATAGCCCACTTCGACAACATGAGACACCCTCCATTGTCCCGAACTGACAACCTCGCGCCCGGAGGCCCACTGTCTAAACTCACCTCGGAAGGTTGAGGGAAGCGGCAGTGCAAGACACGGCAATGATGGCTGTGCCTACCCATGCGATGCCTGGATGAATGTATTTGAAGAACACCCTGGGCGATTTTCAACCTGACCCATCACGTAAAGCACACATCTCGCCGAGCAGAAATATGAATTTCCCGCCGGCCGAGCTGAGGTCAGGATGACGGCTTTGATAACCGAGTCAAGGCATATGATGCCAGCATTCTTGGCCAGCCCAGCCCAGCGAGATGCCGCAGCACTCTTCCCTCGGGAGGCTCCGATCTTTGCTCGACACGACAATTCTGATTGTCAGAGTCTTGAGAACGTGGAAAGTGGCTAGGCGGTAGAGAGATATCTAACCATCTGAAGCCGAATTCTGTCACGGCGACTCCATTTCCCATTTGTTCGGGTGACTAGTTCCGGGTCTAAATCAAGGCAAAGGCTAAAAATGACAAGGTAACGGCCACAAAAAACCCACACTGACGGCCCAAGGCACCAGTAGTCAAATACCAGCTGGCAGGGCTGGGATCTTTCTGGTAGTGAAAGCGGGGGTGGTTTGGGCGAGCACCAGAGATAGGAACTGGTGCCGTAGCCAACGGACTATTGATCTGATCACCTTCAACAATCCGAAACAGAACTCCAATCGGGCATACACCTTGAGGGGAACGCGGTTCAAGCCAATGGTGACAAGCATAAAGAGGGTGATCCATACAGTGACAAGCGCCGAGGGATCCTAGTATTGAACGACACCACTCGCAGCCGTGATTTCAGCTGGCACTGTGATGGTGAAGATATACCAGTACATGCCCCTGTTGATTTTTTAGCACATTACCACACAAGCAAGTGGAAGTCCAAAAAGAGGGGCCTAACCCAAGGCAAAGCCGGTACAACCAGGATGATGGGGTGATGCCGGCTCGTTGTGTTGCTTCTTATTCCACCGGTGCCACCGCTCCGAGAACCGTTGTGGGGAGAGAGACCTTGCAAGACTTTAGGCTGAAGCTTGATGCTGGCTTCCTTGTGACCGTGCAGAGTGCAGGAGGGAGATTGCCTTGCAACAGCGCGAGAGCAACAGCGAGCATCGAGGATACTGAACGAGCAGGAGACTTCGAATACCAAGCGTAGAGGTGTCCGTCAACCACTCGAAAATGGATTGGCGCGGAGTGGCCTTCCCTTTCAACAAGTAGGAAGTCAACGCGTCGGGCATAGCCCAGATTTTGATCTTCCCTCCTCTTAAACTTCTTCTCCTTGGCTTACCGAGTATATGTCTCAGAGACACATACAGATAGCTGAACTCGTGCTCAGCAAGGCCCTAGGGTGAAGTAAACAATCTTTTGAAGAGAAATTTGTTCTAGACTTTGAGGATGTCGGAATTGATCAATACGACTCTTTGTCTTGTCAGGCACGATAGAGGTCGTCAACAGAAGAAAAGCCAACGAAGCCCGTACTAGCTCAGTAAGACCTGTATATGCCAACACTTTTCCGAATGATGTCGCTGGCACATATATCAATTGGCTGAGATCATGGACGCACCAGGTGATAACAGATGCATCAGAGCGAAGATATCGAATGTCGCTGCTTGTCAGTGTCCAGGGCGGTGAGTCACGTGAGAGTTCAACAGTGTGCTGGCGCTTATCCATTCTGGGGTTGGTGTTGTCGTCGCTGCTTTAATCTTGCGAGATTCTGGTCACAAAGACTGCACACTTACAAAATGGCTCTCTCGCCGGATGATTTGAATCCTCTAGCTGCTCGACAAACTCTGGAACGACCCTGTGAATGTGTGAAAGTGACTGGACTGTCAAATATCGTGGTGGTAAGACACAACGCGCCTTTTGTTCTGACCTCCGCAAACGGAGCACAAGGCTCTCACCCCCCTTGTCGCCATGGCGGACAAAACCCAGTCGAAGATCATCCAGGCGATCGTCAAAGAAACTTCTCTCGACAAATCTTTTCACGGTCTTCGCATCTCGTTCAAGCTGCTGTGTGATAAGAAAGGTTTGTCCTGCACATCAGATGTGCTGGGTCAACTCAGCCAAGATGGTAGGTAACTGGGCCCCGACGTCGTTCAAGCTGTTTTATTGACAGTGTTTATGCAGATCTCCGCACTCTCGCGGTGCCCTTCCTATCCTCTGTCCACGCTCACCCAGTGCCAGGTCTTCTTCCTTCGACACAGACGACGACGACGACGGGCCGTAGCTGCCTCCGACGTGATCTCCTTTACCTCATTTACGCAGCTTCCTTGAATGACTTCAACTTCCAAAATGTCATACCTCTCTTGATCACAGCCCTTAACCGTAAGTCAGATAACTCTCTTTTCTGGGATCAAGTCTACCATGCCGTCACCCAGCTGGACCAAGCTTGTTGGCCGGATTTGAATGTCGCATTAATCGAAGACCTTTCGTGGCTGCGCAATAGAACCATATCCTCGACCTGTCCAAAACCCCGCCAAGATACGGATGGTATTCTCAAGCAAGTCATCGGTGCCTTCCAGAACGGACCTCTGCATCTCAGCGGAACATTCTTTCAAGCCTTAGGAGCCCTTGTGTCGGTATTCCGAAGCGTTTTCACGAGGTGGCCAGACGGCAGCGATCTACCTCAAGAATGTATACGTTACACAATACAGGAGGGCTGGGCATCTGACAAGATGGGCGAGTATCGGTTCCGGCGCGAAGTCAACAACGAGAAGAGGGTTGTCTATGTTGAAATACATAATCTCACCTTCTTTCCGAAGCCGGAAATGGCCTGGAGCCATACGATAACTATTAAGCACTTATCGCAACTCAGTGGATGGTACGATAAGTGGGACACATTGACGGTTTTGAGGCTTGGAGATGAGATCTTTTGCCTTCAAAACTATTTCACGCCCCATGCGATACCATCGGAGCAAGTGGTGGGAGACTATCCATTCTTTGACATTCTCGATCTTCAATTCTGGGACACCGCGCGGCACTCTTGCGCCGAATTGGTCCATAACGGATCGGAATTGTGCCATCTGCACAGAAGCGATTTTCGTAATGGCATAGACGCGATTTCAAAAGAGTTGAAAGCCTATCACATCCTGGCAAAGAGAAAACCAACGCTGGCATCTGCAATCCTGGGGTATGTCTATGAGGGACCCGCTGGTCGTGTCGTCGGATTTCTTTCCGAAATACTGCATGGCCGGTATCCCGACATCAACGATCTCGAGGAGTGTGAGAAAGCACTCCGACAACTCCACAGCTGTGGTGTCGCTCACGGCGCCATCGAAGGAAAGGACATCGTGATCACTGCCGAGGGCCCGAGATTTATCTGTTTTTGCTGTTCGAGGACCGTCGATTTTGGCGAGTCACCCCTGCCATCACGTCGCTACCTCGAACGTTGGGACGCCACAAGAAGGTGGGACTTCCGTTGCCTGAAGGCAGCCTTGCTTGGTGACACTAGCATTGGCCGGCCTTGCTTGGGCCCGCCTCCGGGCTAGCAACATTAAAATTGCCCTTCACCCATCGCCCTTGTCAGCTGCCGCCCGGGAGCTCATTGCGGCTCTTTTCCTCCTGCAGATGAAGTCAACATGAATACCACTTGCGACGGATTGGATAGCCAACAAAATACCTCAGCTTTTAGACATGGCTCGCATATCTTTCGTCCACCCTTGTCCTCAACACGTTGCAAGTCACCGTTCTTGCAGTGCTCACCAGTGCCATCGTGGCGCTTGCAACGTTTAACGAACGTGACTGTGTGGCCGCATGAATATTTTTTGTAGCGCAGGATGCACTTGGATGGTATTGTCATTTCGAAACAAAGTTGTATGCGTTCTTGTGGTGCGGATCGGAATTTTGGCTTCGATCACGATGTGAATCGCTGCGAGGAATAGAATGGTATGGGAAAGGGGAAAAAAATTGTCCCATATGTCGAGAATCCCATCTTTTTAAATCCTGGATGTTGCACTCGCGACGGTGGTAGAACACTGCGCGCACCATGAACAAGGACCCAGGACAGCTGAACAAGTGAAGAAAACATCTTCGCGATTTGCACAAAAAGTGTCATTCGTACACTCTATGAATCATGGGGTGCGAAGGCTCGCGCTGGCTGTATGTGAGACAGACCGCTTTGTGGATATCGCGAATGGCACGACACGCATACAAAGACCTTTATCCCCCTTCACTGTCGCAATTGAATCAATTCGATAAGAGTTCGCGCTTGTTTGATTCATGCTTATTTGCTCTTGTTTGCTCCTCGCGTGGGAAATGACACCCACCATGCCTCTATTCACTGTAGATTCACCCAAAAGCCACTCTTTTCCTATTGACAAGTTTCTCTCTCCAGCGTCTGTGTGCGGACGCGAATCTACAACTTGTGAAGTTGTCTCCTGGCTCCAAGGAAAGCGTGTGCTCTCACCAATGGAACGTCATCTGCACATTAGACTGCTGTCAGTGAATGGTACCGGGTTGGCCCATCCCAAGCAGCAGGGAAAGACGAGCATGTCAGTACTGTACAAGTGCCATTGTGGCGGGGAACTCCTCCAATAGTGGCTGCAAGCCCAGATCGACTCCTGGCTGTCCGTCGTAGTGTAACAACAAGACTCATTGAGCAACAGGCAGGCTGGTTACAGCAGCAGCAGCGGTGGGGATCAATCCCATAGACGTTTGAACGTCGTCGCGATAAGCACTTACAGCAAGCCCCCAGATTGCGATTCGCCCGATGAAACAGCGTTGTGCCCGAGGGTAATGGCTTTGAAGATGTCGGAACCACGCCGGACACCTGCATCGACCGCGTTCTGGCTTCGCCCCGGCATATTCGGGCACGCTCTCTCAGACCATCCAGTGTGGCGGGTACAATCCACCACATGGTTCATGACAATCTGGACTTCGGCCAAATTGAGGGCTTACTGCAGTATGTCAGCCTTGGGCCCTTGCAGTCTTCGAGGGTGCAGCGGGAATGTGATCTAGAGTCAATTCGACCATTGGCGACAAGAAATGGTGGTCGATGTGTCGTGCTGGCTGTATTCCGTCCAAATGTGGTAGAAGATGGAGAGTTGTTGAGTACTAACGCAGCCTTCAGAGAGGTCAGATCCCAGCAGACTCTGGGCTGGAAACCCTCGGCATCAACATGAGCAGATCTGAAGCCAGGCCACTTCAAGCCAAACAACGGAACTTGAAGGCCATAGGGTAACATACACATGCTTGTTAGTTAGGCTGTTATGGAGGCTCACAAGCCGGGACAGCGAGGTCAGCTTGCGGTAAATATTCGTGCTAGTCGAACCTCATCCGCTAAGACTTTTCAGGTAAGTGATATACTCGAGAAGCTCACCTCGGCGACTTCGAAGACAAAACTCTCGGGTATGGGTACAGTGCTGATGTACCCCTCGCCGAAAAAGGTCGTTTGCCACTATTCGATGGGGTGTGGATGTTTGTAAGCCAAAGCTCCTCATAGTTGCGTGTCCCAGCGCGGCTGAAGTATGCGGTGTATACTTTAGATGCGATAGACTTCGAAAGCGGTCACTGATGATTTAACTAGCGGCGAAAGCATTCTGGCTTGAAACCCATGCCAAAGTGCCATTCCTGCTCCACGGCAATGACTGATTCGACAGGCAGTTAGTCTCGAAACCAATGCAGGCAGCCTGAAATCCCCTTCATCTCTCAACCACGGTGAATGGTCATGCCTTTCTATTGCGACGCAACCCGTACTGTCATATATGTGGCGGTTTTCCCATGAGGCAACAGAAGTAGGTCCCGAAGAGGAAGTGAGTCTTCGTCAAACCACCATACACTCACGGGTCTAATTGGAGAGCATCTTGTTCTACCCTCTTTCGATGATGTTTTCTAATCGATGGTGCATGGCGGTCGACGAGGTCCATTGAATGCGACAAGGGTTGAAATAAACTCGTATAAGCTCGCACCACCATTCTCATGGAAGAGGCCCTTGAACTCGGACTCAATGAGCTGTAGCGAAGTATCTTTCCAAGTCTAAATCATGCAAATTGCCCGGATTCCGAACTTTCGTCTTCGAAGCCTTGTAGCCACCTCTCGGACGTCTTGCGACTAGGATGACCGGGGTCGAGGACTCGTTGATGAGTTTCCACGACATGCCTCATCATTTGTAGACCTGCAGAATGTTGGCCCAGATCCCACAATATGATGGCTAGATTGTGCTGCGATACCAGTCGAGAAGGATGATCCTCCGCTAGTGTCTGCTCTTCAATCCGCACCACCTCCTCCAGCAGTCGTACCGCCTCCGTCACCTGTCCATTCGCCTGATATGCTCCTGCTAACGCGTGCTGCGATCCCAGTCGATCAGGATGATCCTCCGTCAGTGTTTGCTCTTTAATCCGCACTACCTCCTCCAGCAGTCGTACCGCCTCCGTCACCTGTCCATTCGCCTGATATGCTCCTGCTAACGCGTGCTGCGATGCCAGTCGAGAAGGATGATCCTCCGCTAGTGTTTGCTCTTTAATCCGTACTACCTCCTCCAGTAGCCGTACCGCCTCCGTCACCTGTCCATTCGCCTGATATGCTCCTGCTAACGCGTGCTGCGATCCCAGTCGATCAGGATGATCCTCCGTCAGTGTTTGCTCTTTAATCCGCACTACCTCCTCCAGCAGTCGTACCGCCTCCGTCACCTGTCCATTCGCCTGATATGCTCCTGCTAACGCGTGCTGCGATACTAGTCGATCAGGATCATCCTCCGTCAGTGTTTGCTCTTCAATCCGCACCACCTCCTCCAGCAGTCGTACCGCCTCCTTAACCTGTCCATTCGCCTCATATGCTCCTGCCAACGCGTACTGCGATGCTAGTCGATCGGGATGATCCTCATCAAGATGCTCCTTGCGCCAATCATAGCACTCTTGGAAATATCGAACCGCCTCCGTGATACGACCATCAACTTGTAAACACTGCCCCACCTTTATACATAGATTATATCTGACCTCCATATTAGCCGTATCGTCCCGCTGGAGGAGACGAAGTGCATGCGGTAGGTACGCCCGCCACCGATCTCGCTCGCTATAGTCACTCGATGGGAACACACTCGTTACATGCTGCACGGCACTCTCTTCCACCTGAGCCGCGACCCCCTCTCCTCGAACCCAAATCCGCGTAGCTAAGTGCACAAGGCTGTGCATATCGAACGTGTCTGAGTTTCCCCGTCGGACCACGAATGCGTATGCATCTAACGTTCCAAGGGCAAACACCATCGCCTCTTCGGACGAAAAGACAGGCAGAATGGATTGTGGAACAGCCTTCGGGTCGATGTACGAGATAAACATCAACAGGTCGGCGGCTGTAGGGTCAGACTCTTGGATCTGATGGAACGATACCAGCCACGTGGTGGCTACGGCATGACGTGAACCTCTGGGTCGAGTGGAATCGTGAAACTCGCGACTCATCAATCCGACCACGTCCTGGTCCGTTTTGCCGAGTAGTTCCACGTATTTCCTAAGGGGTACTCCGGTCGTGTTAATATATGCTGCCGCCTGCGTAATCGCCAGGGGAAGATGGGTCAGCTCGTGGAGTAAGTCCGCAACTCCCTTCTTGTCGCTTAGGAGATCTTTTCGAAATAACCACCTCTCCAGTAAACGCTCTGCCTCTGGCCCACTCATCTCGGCTAAGTCGATCATCTCGCCTCCGATGGCCGCGGCTACCCTCCTAAAACGGGTCGTAAACAGGATCCGGCCGTTGTCGCTCTGAGGTAGGTACTGAAAAATCCCGTCGGGGTTCTCGGAAGAGCCGACCAAGACTTCCATATCATCCGCGTTGTCCACCACGAGTAGCCACTTTCCACTTTCGTCGGACTCGAGCCGCCGTCGGACAGACTCCCGAACATCTTCGTCTTCCGAGCTCTTTCGCACCGCCAGCTTCTTCGATATCTCGGTGTAGGCTTGTTCAAAGCTCGCGCCGCTCATAGCCGACACCCAGAACACAGAGTGGTCCGGCTTATGCTCTTTCGTCCAGTGGGCGAGGCGGGAAGCCACCTGGGTTTTTCCCACACCACCCAATCCCACAAGAGAAACCTTCTCGCCGCCATCGGATGTGAATAACTGCTGGCGGAGCGTCTTCACCACTTCCTCCCGGCCTACGAACCGATTGTTCCTGGGAAGAGGGATGTAATAGGAGGGAAGGGTTGACCGGCCTGAATCTGAGTGTGAGCAGAAGTCCATTCCATCTCGGATAGGTCCTTATACTTGACTGGTTTCGAGTACGCTGAATAATGTATTCCTAGCCAAACTTAGCATTTCCTCCCTAACGACAAGATTTGTCTCACCTCGACTTCACCAGCTAATGAATTCTCCGCCTTTCCTACCACGAAGCGTTAGTATAGAACAGCCACTGGCTATGCGAAATCTTCTAGGTACACACTCTGTTTCTGCTTCAAGTTCGCCACACAGTGCCGCACGCGGGAGGTCTGATGCTGGTCGTCCAGGTACTGGTGCGTCGCCGCCTCGATCCGACCTTGCTCTCTATACTCCGCCAAGCCGACATCCTGGAGTCCCTGCTCGACATTGAGACGGAAATATCGATTCTCGTCCAAGTGCTGCCTCCACCGACTCACAAACCTTTTGGCCGTCTCCTCGGTCTCCGTTGTGATCTGGACCAGCGTTTTTGATAAGAACTTTAGTAAATTATCTTCAACCGTCTTCTTGCCGGGATTCCCCGTCCCGATCGAGATGAAGCACTTCACTAGCGGTTTGACGTCGCCGGATTCAGCACACCAAATATCGGCCGCTTCTCCTTCCACCTCTTCCACCGGGTTGTTCACCCCCAACGCGCCATCCACGAACTGTCGGGCTCCGATGAAGACTGGATCGAAGAAGACGGTGGCGGCCGATGTGGCTAGGGCGGCCTCACTAATGGTCGCCGGCACACTCGGTTTCTGCGGTAGGTTATAGCTTCGGAGGCGTGTGATTCCGTATAGGTCCTTCGCCGCGGTACAGACAAACCTAAATAACCGTTGAGGATATAGTGTAATCCGTCTTCTCAAGCGCTTACACGTACACTTTACATCCGCGGGTTGTCCCGTCATTAAATGGTTCCGTCGGAGAGTAACCCTGACGGGTGATGACGTCGTCGATGACGGCCTTGAGTTTGTTGCTGTCGAATCGTGATTGAACTTGTCCAGTCCAGCTAAACGGTGTCCACTGCGCCCTCTTTTCAAACACAGCCTTGGTCAGTCGGTTATAGGCGGTAATGCACTCGTCCACGTCCATCTCGAGCCGGCCGAGCATGATGGCGATGAGGCTGTCGCATTGAGTGTTAGCACGAGAGCCATAATGAGCGAGGGAGCGTGTGCTACGTACCCTCCGGTGCTGGTCCCGCCGATGAGGTCGAACAATTCGCATGGCTTGAGCGCGGGAGCTCCGGCCTTCTGGCGTTCGTGATTTAGCTGGCCCATGAGGCTCTTGAGGATATGAAGGGTCGACAGACCACGCACTCCACCGCCGTCGAGCGACAGCAGGCAGAGCCCGGTGTGGTCGACCGGGTTGGGCGGCCCCCCGGTGGCTCGTTCGGCAGAGACTGGTTGCTGCATGGAGGTCGGCCGACGCCGGGAGATATAGGAAGGTCGTCTAATTGAAAGATAGAGTAAAGAAGGAAGACAGATAGAGAGCGCATCTGAGGCTGACGCCTGCGCTTGAAGATGTCTACGCACAGCATCGTGAAGGGCGCTCGGTCAGGCTGAATGCGTAGATCTCGACAGCGCACGCAGGCTACGTGAGGCAGTGGCGCGTACAGGGCGAATGGCAGGTGGCATCACTGGGACCAGTGCGGCGCAAAGCGCTGCACCGCCTCAGCTCTTGGAGAAGTAGTGCAGTAGTCTGTGAGCGCAACTATTCCACGGGAGGTCCGAAAGATCACTCTCGCCGAAGCGCCGGCACGGTGGACTGCCAAAAGCTCACATACATTTTCTGCGTGTTATGGTCCACCAGATTTAGTAATTTTGTATAAATATCGAGTCTATGGACAATTCAGTGTCTATGCCATCAGTTCTGCTCCCTCCCGTGAGCGACCTTCGCTGATGTGGTGAATGGACAAGCATGTGAAATAAAAGTGGATGGCACCCAGGGCATTTCATCGCGCAGGGATGCACGTTGGTAAGCCTACTTTTGTTCAAGGAGCGGGCTGTTTGCCTGCCACACCAAGAGCTTTGAACACTAGCTCTAGCCGAAGCGGATCAAATCACGTGTCTCAAGCTATGTCGGTCTGTGACTCAATGGAGGAATATGGTGAATTCTACCAGGTCCTGGGGACCGTCTGACTATATACCTTCGAGTAATTTACAGGGTCCTGTCGACGCTAGTCCGAAGGCCTTCGGCGAAGACCTAGCGTGACAGTCATTACATTGGCTTGGCAACCCTGTCAGCACAGGTCACGTAGATGACCATTTGGCTCTGGACCTCAATCTCCTTGGTCTAGGCATCCGCTACAATAGACATATACACTTAGCCCCATGGTTAACACTCCTCTACTCACTACCGCTATCGATCAGGCACAGCGGGTGGTGTGCTATCCGGCTCGTGGTAGATTTTCCGAACGTCACCATCTTTAACGACCCGCCTACACGCAGGGCAGGTCTTTTCGCGGTCGCCGGGAGCGTCATCGCCCTCGGAGGTCACTGATCTAAGCAATCATCGCAAAACCCGTGGCCACACTTGGTCACAATATTTTTGACGCTGTCAAAGCAGATATCACACAGCAGATATCTGACCCGTTCTGACTTCTCCCTTTTGGCTTCCAGCTCGTTGCTCAGTTCTTGGTGGCGGAGGTGGAGCAATCGTTTGCTTTTTGATACTGTTGCAGGTTTTGGTTCTGTCTTCGAAGCTGTTCTCGAAGAGTCGTAGCATGTCGCCGGAGGCGTGACAGCTCTTGGTCGTGCTGAGTGGTGAGGTTTTCGATTTCTTCTTGTTTAGCGAGTAAGTCGGTCTTCCATTGTCGCTCCCGCCTCAGAACAACTCCAAATGTCCTCCTAATACTCAAAGCGGAATCTAAAATGCCGCCGCTCTCATCCCTGATGTCGTAATCAGAATCATCGACAGACTGACAGGCTTCGAAGGGCGATTGTGCTCTGGGCATCTAGGAGGATCATTATGTGACGACAGAGTTGGGGGTGATACAGGGAGAAAAGTGTTCAGGCTGAGAGGGAAGACGATCTGTATAATTGGGAAGATCAGTCAAGTCTCGGAGTAGGCATACTACCTCGACCCGTGTCAGTCCAAAGGTAGATCCATGTCTCAAGTTCTGTCTGCGGTTAGACACCGATGAGCTTCGCTAATCCACGTTCGAAGCAGCCATTCGCCTTTGTCATGCTCTGGGATGTGCGCAACGGGAACACGCATTGCCTCCATGCCCCGTTGGGCAGTGTCTCGGTCATTCACGCGCAGATGCTCTCAGCATGCCTATGTTTGAAGGCGGAGCAACCTTTAGCGAGGCACAGACCGGCCTCCTTAGTAGTCCTGCACCGAGGCCAAGGGATACTCACTCATACGAGAGTGATCCAACTTTGGCTAGGGCGGATTGAATCGTGACGATGCCCGGGGGCAAAATTTCTCTCAATAGGATGCGATAGGAGCGAGCTTGTGGCAGACGTGTTGACGGACCACGGACCGCCGCGATTCGCGTCTGGATGTTGAAATCGACCAACAACAGGGAATATTTTGTGGCAGGCCCGGCTCAGTGCTTCTGCTGGACGGCTGAAACCACCGCCGGTTGCTAACTGGGACCGGATATTGCAAGACAACGGTGATGGTGGTGGAGGCAGTGCCCTAGGCACAGGGGTGCGACAAGTATAAGTACGGCCACCATCTCCCAAAATCCGTCTGTCTCACCCTCGTCCCTATTTTCTCCCTCCATCTGACTTCGACCATTCGATCATTGTCGTCCATCATCGCCATCACTCGTACCAGGTTCCTCGCAAAAACTTCGCTCAGGCAACATCATAGCTAAAGCCTTACCTTCGCGCCGTGTTCCCAAATCATCTCCCTTGTCGTCACCAGTCTCGAAGCAATCCCGTCACACAAGTTCGACCCCCATACCCAGGCAAAGTAACGCGCGTAATTTGGCACTGTATGACGGTCCCCAAACACAAGTCTCTGCGACGAATACCTATCGTGAGGGAGACAGCGGCCAGAGTATCGACGAAGCTGGTCAACACCTCATCCTGCCATCATGTGATAACCATTACCGTGGCGAAGGTTATGACCATCGTCTCGGTCCGAGCTCGCCTCAAGATCGCTTCGATCCGCCGAGTCCTCACCTCTCAGTACCGTCACCGATATTTGGGCAATCCAGCTCGGAAGCGGATGGCGACGGTGCCAGTCCGAGTTCCCGAGAACAAGCAGTTCAGGCGGTGGCTCTGGAAAGACGCGAGAGCCCCCCTTCTCATCTTGAAGACGTTGGACTTCCTTCCGATGGGCTCTGGGATCAAAGCGAAGCGTATGAGCTGAAGTGCTGTTTCGAGCATAGGGAAGTAGAGTTCCTGCTCAAGACTCCTGATCGATGGATGACTACCAAGGATTTTGACATGCTGGACGCAGAACTGGAGGCCCTGTTTCAACAGCACCAGGAATGTCCTTCAGAATTCGATCCGCATTCACAGCATTGCCAAGGGGGATGCTATAGTACTCTGTTTTCACAGATACATAGCATCATCGATAAACGCCACATCGGTGACGTGGTCCAATATTTGATTCGATGGAAGGTGTGCTGGACTCCAGAGAGCTGTGTGAACGAAAAGGATTGGATTTCAGCATCACTAGCAATAAACAAGAACCCGCATCATCGACGGAGCGAACGGGTATCGAAAGTTTTCGAATCCAGAATTGAAGGATATAGGAAGATGCTGGTGGTCTTTTGGCGTCCAGAGTGAATCTTGAATTCTCTCGTTGCCTTTTAGACCATACTTTCATCACCGTCGAGCAGCCCTTTCATATCTCCGAAGGCGTATGAACGAGTAGATACCATCTAGGTATCATGACTTTGAAGTCCACACATTCCCTTCTCTCCTTTGTTTTAGCGTGTAATTATGAGGATTATTAAGGGAGTAACAGTCTTGACAAAACAATCCGTAGGACCCTCTAAAGACACGCGGCGATGAGTAGCAGAATAGCCGCATTTCTCGCAATGATGAACACTGTATTCCATGTGGTAATTGTCGAGGTATACGCTTCCAAAGTTGCGGAAGCGTGCGACACTAGAGCCACCTCTTCTGTGCTAGAAGAACCGAGAGGCCGACAAAGGGTTCATCTGGAAGTTCCTCTCGGAGCGATTCTAGAACCTCTGTGAGCTTTGTAGCCTGCTCTTCAGTTAGTCGGACCGAATCTTCTTCGAAAGGCGTTGGTATATTGCTTTGGGTTGCAATATGATTCAAGAGATATCGGGATAGCTCCCGATATACTTCGGAAGGGTAGTGTCCCAACTGAATTCCCTCAGCGAATGTCGGGATAGGTCGTGTTTTCAGACTATTGTTTAGTGTAGGATTCGAGATAGTATTCGTTCCGTCTCGTTTGTTGATCAGGAATTGTATCATCCTGTAGATATTAGTAAAATACCTTTGACCATGGAACGAGGACGAGTACGGTGTACTGTCTCCAACCGATTGTTGCGTGACTACGCCGTGTGGACCAAGAGCTGTGCCTCCAGGTCTGAAGGCGCACAATGGTTGCGGGCATTGAAAATCGAATGGGCGAGCTCGTGCCAAAGCCAACTGTTATTGAACTGACTTGCCGATGTTAATAGGTATAGATAGATCACCGGAAAGTGGGACTGGGGAGATTCTGTATCATGTAGCGACCCAGCGACCCAGCGAAAGTTTGTACTGTAATGTAGTTAAGGTATCCGGTCTTACAGAATAACGAAATCACCGACAGTTCGAAGGTGACACTCAATTTAGGTATAGAGAAGGAGACTAAGAGTCTATACCCAGCCACCTATTCTCGTCATAAAGGTTATTTTGTTAATGGTGTAGACACTTCGGGAAACCGAGTCTCTATGACAGTAAGGCACATTCGGGGTGGAAAAGGCTCCAAGGATGTGTATTCCTATTGTACAGATTGTGGATGGAGGTCCTGTAAACACCTGTGCGGAGACCGCATCTGCCAAGCCGCACCTGCCGCAGCAACCAATCAGAACGTCCCACTAGTCCCGTACGAGGTACTGTCAATCAGACTGATCTGGGTGGCCCGTCCTTCACGGCCGTGACATCTATCACCACTCCTAGTAGTGAGGAAGTGTATGCTAGGGGCCAAAGTCAAAGTTCGAGCCAAAGTCGATTTTGCGTTAGAAGATGAGGAGAGATTAGTTTATTATACGTTCATATGCCAAGGCTCGGGGGGCCGTGCATTCTCACCGCTGCCATGGACTGAAGTACCGCCGAATCACCACTAACCCTCCTCTAGGCCAGTGCAAGTCGGACACGATAGGGTGTGACAGGCCGGGGTAGTCCGTCACGTATGGGAAGAAAGTCAGCTGAAGGGTCGTGGTGTCTTTATGCCGCACCAGCTTGGGCTGACGGCGTGGGGCTGACTTTCAGATAGTATAGACCCTCAAACCGGCCGAACAATTGTACCAATAGTTGACTATCCCCATGTTCACCGACCTTGCTGACTACAAGATCACGAGAAGCATGAGAAGAAGGATGTATTTGTGTGAAAGTCGGGTAGATTCATACGCCGGCTCCCAGGCAGCGATTCCTGCTGGGACTCATGGCTGGCGAATCTCAAAGCGGTCATGCAGCTCTGCGCAAAGATTGGCAGCCCATTTCGAATACGAGGTTTATAATGCAACATGGGGATTATGTTTTAGAGCCGTCGAACACGAGGCTCATTTGTGAAGGGAAGGGAGTGCTTTGGGCTGAAAGAACAAGGCCCGGTCCCCGAAATTTTGGGCGATGAACATGATATAAAAGCAGTCGCCCAACTGCCTCTGCGTTATGTTTATTTTTCATCCCTCGCTCTTCTCTATATCTGATACCCAAAAATCCCTTATCGGCATACTAACATCCAACAACTTCGAGTCAAATCAAGATGTTTGTCAAATCATCCGTCCTCTTCTTTGCTGCCGCTTTGACCGCGGCATACGCAGCCCGGATCCCAAACCCTCACAACTACGGGACCGTGACAACCGCGGAGCACGTCCACGGTGACGAGGGCCGACAGTTCCTGGTCACGGATATCATCAAGCCACACGTCCTGGCTGGGTTCCAAGCCAACTTCTTCTCCAATTCATGCAATAATGGCTTCATCGGCCAGGTCACTGGGTCGGGCGGCGCCACCTGCGTCCAGTCGATTCCTGGAACCAAGGCCATCGCGCTTCTCAGCCAGCCAGCGGGATGCGAAGGTAAGAATTTGACCCTGAAAGGTGGTGGACTGCAGGTCGACTAACACGGTCTCACAGTGACGGTGTATACGGACGAGAACTGCAGCAACGGCGCCACACTGCTTACCGTTGGACAATGTCTCCAGGAAACCGAGACCGGCATTCCGTCGTATTCCATTGATGGTAATTGCTAGACAACTTCTCGGCCCATTACCCTTGCCCGTCTACTTGGAGCCAGCACTAGGTGTCATGTTTGTTGTGCTTCAGCTCCAGTCACTCGCTTTATGTCTGCAAATAATGGTGGCGATGACCCAAGCATTGACTAGCTAGGGCCATGGAGGAGGTACGCTTTCGGCCAGTACTGGGAAAGAATTCATTCCTTTAGGTTGGGTTAGATGAGAATATAAGTGCCGTTAGGGGGTGGCTATGGAGATTCAGATGCGGTTTCTTCTCGTGCTTTCTCTCTTCTCGTCCTCTCTGTCTTCTCGTGCTGTCTGTCCTCCACACTTGAAAAAGATGCCTGTATCAAGATGTACTCTACCATCATGTAAAATCCACATAGCCTTGCCGTTTCGTGCGTCGTGGATCCACCCCCATTAAAATTTTCGACACGTCCAATGAAGGGGCCGGCCCAGTTGGGATACGAGCGATACTTATGAGTTCCATTGTGAAATGCTTCTTTCATGTTCAAAGCTTGACAAGAGAAGAAATCTAGCATGTATTCAATAGCGAGAGCGTCCATACTTTTGGCCAAGGGGGAAGTTGAAATGTGGCGACTGTGGCTCATTTTTATAGAGACTCCGCAGGCTTCTTCAGGAGGACGATTCGGTGGCAGTTTACTTCTTCATCCCCGCGGCGGGGGAGGAATCAATTCCCCAGGTCCCGGCTTAGCATAGCAGCCCTCAAAGCGTCCCCAAGATCGTGGACATTCGCAACAGCTTGCTCACTAATCCTAAATAAATCCTCCCGGAAGAGCTGTAATCCTTCCGCGGGTCATATTCGTTGTTCCCCATCCGCCTCCGGACCATATGCTTCGCTGGTCACGCAATTTCTGTACAAGAACAAACCATCGACTTGTATTAGTAATGCTAGACTATTAGACGACATATACTTGCTCAACTCTCAGATCTTCGTTCAGGGTCAGTCTATCAGCTTTTGCCTTTATTCCATCGCCCCTTCTTCATATTTTGGAGAACGAGAAAAATATATTCCTATCCACAAAAATGGTATCGAACAAATTCTTCGCCATCGTCGCTGGTATCGGCCCGGCCACAGGGCGATCGATCGCTCTTCGTTTTGGCGAAGCGTATCCTGTTGTCCTGCTATCTCGTCGGCCGGAGAGCTATCAGGACGTCGTGGCCCAGATCAACAAGACTGGCGGGCGGGCGATCGGGATTTCCACGGATGTCACCGACGAGGCGTCTCTCGCTGCGGCACTCGAAACAATCAAGAAGGAGTTTGCGGGTTTGCAGCTCGCTGCAGCTATTTACAATGTCCGGCCTAACTTACGGGGGAGCCGCAAGCCCTTCCTGGAACTGACATTGGACGATTTGGACAAGAGCCTCAACGGCAATGTGTATGTCTTGTCTTCCGTGATGAAGACATCTATGATATCTAATGGACCCCATCATATTCTAGCCGCGGTCTCTTCATCTTTGCTCAGACTGTAGTGCCGCTGCTTCTCCAATCTGTGGATAGTTCGCCATTGCCGCCCACTTTCATACTCACCGGGGCAACTGCATCCATGCGCGGCTCCAAACTCTGGTCTGTGATCGCGGCAGGGAAGTCTGGGGGGCGTATCCTGACGCAGTCCCTGGCCCGGGAGTTCGGCCCGGCGGGAGTCCACGTCGCACATGCCATCATCGACGGCGGCATCGATGAGCCCGATGCCGCGCATGCTGCCAGTAATGACGCAACTCCGGATGGAAAGTTGAGCCCTTATGCTGTGAGTCGCCTGAACATGACCCATGTGCTGTTCGGGTAGGGATTGACTTGATATCAGATCGCTGAAAGCTACTGGAGTCTGCACACGCAACACAAATCAGCCTGGACGCAGGAGATCGACTTGCGACCTTTTAACGAGAAGTTCTAGGCCATGATGGTCGACGAACGGAAGAGGATCGATATGCTACAGGGGGCACCATATGTTGTGGCTGGCATGGCGAGGAGGGTCAGTCTCTGATATGAGGCAGATAAGGTGCCAGACACTCTCGAGGCAATAGCCAAGTGTAAAGAACGCATCCAACTCAAGCATTTCGATTACTACGCGAACAAGGGACGACTAAGACTACTCGCACCACAACAAATTCCAATGTGTCCTATCCCATACGGCCTTTTCTTTCCTGGATAGGAATGAGGTTAGCTTCGTACCTACGCCATTCAGCCCGGGGGGCTTATGAGCAGGGTTATACAGTAGGTCCGCAAAAGTCACCGGACAAACCCCATTTCCCACCAAAACAGGTAGTTTCCAACAGCCGATATCTCAATAACTTATTATGGCGACCCCTAGTTATTTGTATGGTAGAATATACTGGATTATCTTGGCTTTCTCTACATGGTAATTATATATCTAAAAGCGTGGTGTACGAAAGGTTATACTATATAAAAGAAAGCATTAGGTTAAGTCCCATAGAAAATTAGATTTTTTGTATGATAACTAAACTAACTGTTCCTTATATAGAAGATAACTTTTCGACTATCGCGTTTTCAGATATATAATTAATAATTATAGAAACCTACTGTAGACGCTCGTGATAGCGCAATGCCCAGGCGTTCGCCACTATATATCCTGATTATATATTCAAGCCTTGTGGGCACTGTGAACACTATAAGTACCGAACAAGGTCAAGTTTCATGGCGGTTCAAGAGGAGGTTCTTCGACGCCGAGCTCCCCTCGCACCTCACCGCCGCTTTTAAACACCACTCACCCCCTCTCACCTGCCCTCACCTCTCCCTCACCCTTCACTCACCTTTCACTCACCACACTTACCCACGACCCTCGCTCTGCCTCCTCGACGGCCATTTCTGTCCTCGCGCTAAACATGGATCCGCAGTCTATGGCCGTCCAGAGTCACTAATCTCGGAGTCTGGCACACGGGTCGGTGGGTGCCTTCCCACCGACCTGTTGTCGACCTGGAAATGGCCCCCTTCTTCGTCCCATAAAAGGGACCCTTCTCTTGCAGCTCTCTTGGTCCGGGAAGGCCTCCACGGACGTTCGTCCCCCTCGTACCCCCCCTGGCCCTTTTCCTTCTCGGGTCTGATCCATCGACGGGCTCTAACCGACCTCCACACCTTATATACCCGAGATCTCACGGTCCTATATCTACCAGGCCTTAATTCGCGTGAGGGAAGGTGCCCGGTAGCATTATGCTAAGCGTCGATAGACAAGTGAGTTGAACCTCCCCGACGAGTCCTGTGTTTCACTAACACGCGAAAAACTAGGCTACCTAAAAATCGACGTAACCATCACATCTAGACGTGCACTCGCAACGATATGGCGCAGAAACTTCACCACCTAGTGTCTCACATTCACTATTATCACCTTTGCTTTACCTGGGTGGTCGGAGAGGATGAATAGGAGTTACATTACGCCTCACACCTCGCGTCGCTGGCCACCAAACGGTGCGGTACGCTCTCATATGGCTACACCCTCGTCCGTCCTACGTATTCTCCCTTTCGTCTCGGGAACACGAAACTCCTTACCGCTTAACGATTGCAGTCGTGGACCCGAGACTTTGACCTCTGGAAGGAAGTGGATGAGTAGCTCGAAGGTCGTCGTTGGCCGATGCTGTGTCCCCATCCCTTGTGCAAGATTAGACTCGAGGTTGAGGACGATCTCCGGTTCCATTTTATGGATGATTATCCCAGCCGTACTGCGAGCACGGGTTGCTCTAGCCCTCGCGGGTGCGACCTGCCCGGAAATCCGACGAGCCAGCCCCTACCGCCAGGCCGCAAGAGGAAGGCTGCCAGTCAGGGTGAGCCACCCCAGTGGCGATTCATCGAGGCCGCCCGGCCGTCTATTCGCTATCGGAGCGAGACTAATCCGCCCCTCGCAAAGAAGGCTCGTGGAACGAGTTCGACAATTTCCCCCTCGCTCCTATCCGTTATCGACCTAACCGAAATCTCGTCCGAAGACGACATGGACGCTCCTCTCCCTTCGGCGGCCGGGGATGTGGCGATGTTCCATCCCCACAACTCAGGTGCCGAGTGAGACCCTCTTACTCTCCGACCGCAAGACCGCCAGACTGACGATACTCGATCGATAGCGGAACCGTCGACCTCGTCTGAGAGCTCTAATGTCTTCGATGGCGTATTCTCGCCCCTCAAGAAGTCACGCTCTTCATCTATCTCGTCCAGAAGCGGATCCCATACTTATTGTGGCGAGGAAAAGGGCCTAGGTCGAATCTGGGAACCGACGAGTCCCTCGGACGTCCTAGACAACGACTCGAATTTCGACACTCTGTTCGATCAGTATATCCGGCCGCTCTCGCCTTCGCCCTCCCCCGCCCCTAAACCCGCGCCGTCTTCTCCGCCACTCAACGATGCAGTGAGTAATCTTAGCGGATCGACCATCGTAGATGGTCCACTCGATCCCATTCGTGGCAATGCGGATTCTCACCCTAAACAACTCGACTCTTCGACCATAGAAGACATACCAGGGAGGGCCTGTGCTCGGGATCGAGGAGACGCATCCCTCGTTGACGGCACGCGTCTCCGACTTCGTGTCAGCGAACCTAAGATCATCCTTCGCCTGAAGCTACCGGCCACTACGCGAGCGGGAATGGAGAAAGGCAAGGGAGGGAAGTCAAGGGATACAATGGTGCAAGGAACTCAACGGGGGAGGGTAAAGAAGGGAACCAAGGTCGAGAAGACAAAGAAAGGAACCAACGTCGGGCAGGCAAAGAAGGGGACCAAGAGTGAGAAGGCGAAGACGGAAAAGAAGAGAATTATATAAGGGGTTCGAGCGGTAGGCAGGATAGATTACAAGGTCCTGTGCTCTCTCAACACCACCACTACTCCTCTTTTAGTCATCAGCACCGGATACCCCTCATCTGTAGAATACCAAGCTAGCTGGTCCACTCTATTCATCATTAGGATGTTGCCTCGACGCGCTTGATTGGAAAAGCTTGTAGAGCCGCACTATCAGTTCGGAAGCCGTCTCGATTGGGCAGAATAAAGCGTGGAGGAAGCCGCGTGGTGTGCGGAAACTTTTGGAGGTCGGGCTTAAGATCTCCTGCATGATCAGCCTCTCGTCAGCACGAGTCGAAGGTCGTTTTCATGATTTTGACCTTGTACAATATACTCTTCTCACCGTATAGAGTCACGTGTGACCAATGCAAACGTCGCCAGCTCGCCAAGCCTGTCTGCGCTCCCTCGACTGGCTGCCCATCCCTCAACCCCAATCCTCTCGATCATTCTCTCTTCACGCAGAACACTCGTCTATCTCTCCCGGATATTCTGAAAAAGACCTCGCTTCCTCCTGGCTGCCGAGACCAGTACATCACAAGCGTTATAATAATGACCCAATTTAGCGACCCAGTCTCTCAAGATGATCGCCCTCTCGGGGCTTAAAGTAGAATCATAGCCGAGGAGAGTGCTTAAGGAAGGTGACTGATCGACACGTCGGGCAATCTCAATCATCTTCTCTATTAGTCGTCGATAGGTTTGTTCCTCTTGTGGATGCTTGTGACGTTGCTTCAACAACCGGTACGTGTCAACGAGCTCTCGGACCTGGCTTTAGATATCTCGAAACTCGTCAGGGATGTCGGTCCTCGAACGATTTACAGCTCTATAGAGTTACATCACCAGAGAGGATTTGACGTCCTGCTTCTGGCGTAGTTGTAGTCGTGCACTAATGCGAGAAATGTCTAGTGAGACGACGCGTTGGAACAGCACGTCCACATCGAACTGTCTCATATTTTTGTCATCAAAACAACAAATGAGCACAGCGTGAATCAAGAATATGACGATTAGCTTACCACTACGGGAAATTTACTCGAGTAAAGCATATATCTGCCGCAACCCTTCCTCGGCATAGAGCGTCGCAGTATCGCTTACTGCCAGTCGAACTACGAGCCCTTATATAAAGCACCGTCTCCAGCAGCACAATCGATGCACAACATGCCACCGCGAGTTTGGAAGTGAAAATAAGCTCTTAATGGTGAGTCACAAAGAAATGGGACTTCGCCACGACGGCCAGTGCTGAACCAACATCATCGATTAAAGCACATGAAGTCCCACTCACCTCGGGTGGAAGAATGTTACGGCTGCTACGGGAAATTCAAAAGTTTTTCTAGAATCCTCATTCATCTCGAGTCGAGGACTTATCCCTCCGAGGTTACGCAAGAGGATATGTTGATAGGTGGGCCTTCGAATGCTACCACAGTCATCACTACACCAACGGTTGGCAGCATGACTACAAGTACCGATGTCCGAGCTGCGATGAAAACTTTACTAAAGTGAGCGGATTGTTTCAACATGTCGAGACACCGGCCTGTAATTCAGGTTATAATGGCAGTCTGGGAAAATTGCTGAAGTATGTCCAGAAGAAGGTACAGAGTTTCTGCGAGGGATGAAACCGCCCGGTCTCCTGCAATCCTAGTCGACAACATGACTCCCTGGAGTCCAGCAAGCTTTCCACCGTACCATTTCCATGCCTCTGTTCCTGTCCTCCTCTCCATCCCTCTGTTCGTCTCCCCTACTCCCTTTCTTCACTCTATTATCGAGTTACGACACTCCCAACAATGCATGAAGTACAATCCTACTTCGACGCTAGTTGACTTCTTCATAATGACGATTGCGACATTATGGACGAGTATAACGCCGCGGCGGAGTAGATTAACGCGGGTAGAGAAACGAGGGTGGGCGGAACTGGGTATGTCACAAAGAAGCATCTCGGAGTCAATAAGGGCCATCACAACTCATAACTATAGCATACTGCAACAGGAAAGGACAGCTCCGGCATTCGAAGTTGTCAAGATAAAGCGGATATAAATTGGGTCAAGTGAAGCAGAAGACGACGGCGTGGAGCAGTATACCTTCGGCATACCTTCCGTATTTTCGACAGCCAATCCCCTCGCCAACAAAGTGGAAATCATGGCCATTTTAGTTGTGATGTTGCCTGCGGTGGGTATCACGTGATCAGGACTCAACTATTCACGTGATCATACGGAACCGCCAAGGCCCATGCCTTTGTCTTCTCCCTTGCTTGCTCCACCACTTCAGACTACCAACTAATAGACCAAACAGACTTCGGCAATCATCCAACGTCGTTGTCCCGTTTCCCTCCCCGATGGCACAGTCACCACCAGTGAATAACCGAGTACTCTATCGCCTGCTTGTGGTTATCGCCGTCAGACTTCTCAAACGCTGGCGACCGCACAGTGGCCGCGTTCTCCTCCTTTCGAAGCGAATCTGCATCAAATACGGTCAGCTTGTCAACCTGTCTGAGGCATCCGCCATACGCTTCATTTCCGAACACACGTCGATCCCGGTACCTAAGGTCCTTTGCGCATTCACTCGCCATGGCCAAACGTATATCGTGATGGAAAGAATTGAAGGTGACATGCTCGGCAGTAGATGGGTAGATCGCAGCCCTGAGTCACAGACAACAGTCCTTTCGCAGCTAAAAGAGATGATACGAGAAATGCGAAGCATTCCACCATCACAAGGCCAGGGTATTGCAAATGTTGATGGTGGGCAGCTATTCGATTGTCGCCTACCAGGTTCCTCGTCACGATTCGGGCCGTTCAGCTGTATCGCCGATTTTCACAGCTATCTACGGCATGGTGTTTCCTTCGATCCGGGAAACGAGCCAGAGATTAATGAGCTCATTAAACTTCATAGTGGACAATGGCCCTTGGTCTTTACGCACGGTGATCTAAGCAGTCTTAATGTGCTAGTGCGAGGAGACCAGATTACTGGGATCATTGACTGGGAAAGCTCTGGATGGTATCCAGCTTACTGGGAATACACTACTACTTGTCAGGTTAATCCTCAGAACTCTTTTTGGTGTTATGAGATTGATCGATTTTTGGATCCGCAGCCACAAGAGCTTTCGATGGAGCGTATCCGTCAAAAATACTTTGGTGACTTTTGAGAAGTATGTCTTTCATGGTACTGTCTCCTTCCTCTCCACCGAGTCATATGTCGGAACTTTATTCATGTCAAAATTTCCTTTGCCGTCAAAACGATGCTCGCTCTTCCTTTGGCAGTATGATATGGCCCCATCCCGAACCTTTTCCCACTCAATCACCTTTGTGCCCAGTGCTTTGGGATCTCCCTTGAGCTTCTCCAGCGCCTCCTTGACCCAAAACACACAGTTCCAGCCTTGTTCGCCTTGCCTATGCAAGATGCTTGCAGTTCAGCTTTACAGCGAGGGGGTGATAGGGCGAGGTAAGTGACCAAGATGTCGCATGACCCGCAAAGACGAGGTCTCAAAGCCAATCAAATTCGAACAGATCATTACAGTCTTCGTAAGTCCCAGTGTCCTCAAGTCCCATTTTGTCTTCTCATAACCCAGATTTTTTTCTCGAGGGCTTCATGCAAGTTCGCCCAAGTATTCTCGGCAATTGACAAGACGAGGGTTGATCAAGTCGTCTCAACATTCAAAGCACTTCTCAAAAAGGAGTGGACAAAGTCCAAAAAACCCCGTGGGTTTAAAGCAGCGTACTTGAGGGCGCAAGCCCTACCTGATGAAGATCCAGAAAGGATCTTTCTGGAGACCGGATTTACTGCCTGGCTCGCATATTATCTTGCCAGTCCCCGCGCGAAACACTACAAGGGGCGCAGTGCCAACATCAGGGCAATCAAAACAGTTAAGGAACTCACTGTTGAGCTCCAACGAGAGATTGCTGCAAGGGTCAATGATACTACGGCTCATCCGACCGTTACCAGGACGTTATTGCCACCACGAAGCCCGACCCTCCCACGCCTGAATTCAACCACGGATCTGCAACAAACCCAGACTATCATGAACAACGCTCTACCAAGTGCCCCTACGGATGGGTCACCTACTGAATCAACGGCCGTCTTGGTGCAGAATCAAACTCAAGTGCGTCAACAGCAAACCGTCTCAAACCCGTTCAGCAGCGAGCTGATGTCCACGTTTCCTCCATACGCCTGTGGCGCAATCAGAAAACACACGGGTCGCGCCGCTGTCACGATGGTATTTCCCTAAACCATAGGCATGGTCTGCATGAGTCTTGGCGTTTTGCCAAACAAGATCCAATTCTTTGCGATGGAGCTGTTCGGCGTGCACGTCGAGATAGAGAATGGATTCAGGGTTGTTATTCTGAGTAAGGGGGTGAGAATAATTCCTCAGCGAACCTTAGTTCTCCAGGGAGCCAATGTTGAAGCTATTAGTGTCCTTCTCGGGGTAGATGTGAGTAGGGGTGTTAAAAACAGCCCTACGCGACAAGAGGAGATACACCAGGCGAGTCTCAGTACAAGATGTATCACCATGGACATCACCAGTGACCCTGGTGAGGATGGAATTCTCAACCTTAATATGGGAGAGGGTGACGCATATCACATGAAAGCGGTGACGCAAGGCTACGCGATAGTGGGGACTCTATCTTCGCTGCAAGTCAAAGGTGCGGTAAGAAACCCGTACGTGCTGCAGAGAGTCATGTGGAATGCTTTACAGGATCGGTCAGTGTCGGTTCTGGGTGAGGGTGACGGCGAACGAAAAGCTGTACGGTCTGGGACCACATGGTCGCACTTGTCGTCGAGCCAAGGGCAAAGGCCTCGTATTCGAAGGAAAATCCACCCCATTCATAGCTTTTATTTGGAATTCTTCACTGGTCCCCCGCTCCTATTGTCATCAGAATGCACAATCCCGGGATGCGCTGGGCCCCGAGTTCGACTGGTCGATTTGCAGTTCTCGGTCGAGTTTCTGCTTTTCCTCGTGGGGTAAGCTGGACCGATCATCTTTCAGTGTGTCGATAGCGATCTTTTGTTCATCTTCCAGACATCTAAGCTCTCGCTCCTCTTCGACTGAAATTTCGAGATCCAAGCAGTGCTGTCGCAGTCTTGCTAGCTCCGAAAGAGCAGTTGGGGACTTGAAGTCACAAGGAGATTGGCTCATAACGTTGGCGAGTTCGACGCTGTCTGTCCAAATCCTGGTCAAAGTCTTCTCCATGGTGTAATCGAAGAATACTTGGAAGTGTCCGTATTGCCAAGGCACCCATCGGTTCATATCCTCGTCCGATATGATTTGCACGCCATCTTCGTGGAGGGACTTAGATGCAAGTAGGATGAAACTTCCGGAAGGCTGAGCTGGTTCGTTGGACTCCTCTTAGGTAACTTCATCGTCCGTTGCATCAGTCTGTCCCGGTCTCACGAAATCGGTCGATATCGAGGGCGCGGTTGGAAGCGGCGAGAGGGATTCTCTGTCAATATAAGGGATTCTCTGTCAATATATCTTCTGTCCACTTTAGAGGGGTGAGCTCGCCGTCATTTTACCTCGTCTTGGCTTCGACGCTAGCAGGTATCCATCCAGACACGGCCAACCTCGAGGTACGTGTCAATCGATCGCCCAAAGAGCGGCACCCAGGAATGATATGATATGGTAGGGCATTGACGTGCTCGGTGCATTTATTGCGTGCTCGAGAGATGATCAGATTACAAATTGATGCACTGCGATGCGGAGGAAGGTCTTTGCCGAGGGAGCGAAAGGGGGGCATCGATAGATACAGTAGGTCCGCAAAAGTCACCGGACAAACCCCATTTCCCACCAAAACAGGTAGTTTCCAACAGCCGATATCTCAATAACTTATTATGGCGACCCCTAGTTATTTGTATGGTAGAATATACTGGATTATCTTGGCTTTCTCTACATGGTAATTATATATCTAAAAGCGTGGTGTACGAAAGGTTATACTATATAAAAGAAAGCATTAGGTTAAGTCCCATAGAAAATTAGATTTTTTGTATGATAACTAAACTAACTGTTCCTTATATAGAAGATAACTTTTCGACTATCGCGTTTTCAGATATATAATTAATAATTATAGAAAATATCCTACTATATAAATAACTAAGGGTCGCCATAATAAGTTAATGAGATATCGTCTGTTGAAAACTACCTGTTTTGGTGGAAAACAGCCTCTGTCCGGTGACTTTTGCGGACCTACTGTATATCGGCCGTCTTGCGTCCCGGGAGACTCAATGTCTCGAATCCCCAACCCTTTTTCTGGCAGCTTCTTTTGATACAGCAATCAGTTTCTCCGGGGTGCATCAATCACTATGGCTACCGCTGCGGTCCAACACGCTCCAGGCAACGCAATCGGGCAGGTCGTCGAGCCTCTTGCTGCAACGAAGAACAAGCCTGCGAAGCATGATGTCGCCGCGGAACTGTACTACTACAAGGACCCAGGTGACGGAACCGCACCTGCTCCTTCTTACGTCGGGTGAGCCTAGCCTTTCCCTCATTCTGATGTTGGGAGACCACAAGAAATCTCGAATCTAAGACGAGAGAACAAACAGAAAGCCCACGTCCTATCTCCGTCCCGCCGTCACCCAGAATGTGGTCATCCACAACATCTCTGGCGACGAGGACAAATACACCATCGACAGTCACGGCTTCCAGTACCTGAAGCATGAAAGCAAGGAGAAGGACTTTGTCGACAACGACAAGATCAAGGCCGAATACTACCCGGAGGTGGAACAGCTGCTGAAGGATGCGTGAGCACTCCTCTCTCCATCGCCCCCCGTTGAATCAATAGAGAACCGGGACGCTAAACATATGTATGTCTCCGTGTCGCCCACAGCACCGGAGCATCTCGCGTCTTCATCTTCGACCACACCATTCGTCGTGCGACGTCAGACGTCCGCGATCTGGCCGGCCAGCTGCGCGGCCCTGCGCGCCGAGTGCATATCGATCAGTCGTATAGTGCCTCGGAGAACCGTGTGCGGTACCACCTGCCGGACGAGGCCGACGAGCTGCTGAAGAAGCGCTTCCAGATCATCAATGTGAGTCCTTGATACTTCGGATTTTGTCTCTACCAAGCACCCTCCAGTTGCGACTGACTCGCCCGGGCAGGTCTGGCGTCCGATCAAGACCATCACCCGCGACCCGCTGACCCTCGCCGACGCCCACTCTGTGCCGGACAGCGACCTCGTCGCCGCCAAGCTGATCTACCCGGACCGCGAGGGCGAGACGTACGCCGTCAAGCCGAACCCGAACCACCGGTGGTACTTCAAGTACGGCCAGCGGCCCGACGAGCCGCTCCTGATCAAGTGCTACGATTCGGTCGACGACGGCCGCGCCAGAAGGATCCCGCACACGGCATTTGTCGACCCCGCGTACGAGAACGATCCGCCCAGAGAGAGCATCGAGGTGAGGACGCTGGTGTTTTATGACTATTAGGTTGAGACGAATGAAGCTTGGTGACGTTTAATTCGCGGTGGTGGTACATCCGCCGTCGTTTCCTCAGAGGATCACATGGTTATTTATAATCCTTATAGTAAACTATCTTCACTGCAGCCGAATGTTGCTTGGATGTTTTGTCTCGTATTCTGTAGTGCATTGAGTGCCTGTATCATTTTCAACGACCTTGCAGCTCGTTTGCACTGATCCCCTCCGCCAAGTGAGAAGGGAGATGTTCACGCATCCAGAGCGGCAAAGAAATATACATCCATACCATTTTGTAGCAAAGCTAAACATATCTATTTTCTCTATACATAATCGTCATTCTTGATGGACAACCGTCCTGTCGCCGGGACTACTTCTCCTCGGGGCGGATCCACCGCCGCCGGAGGAGCATCGGCATAGATTCGGCGACCCTTCGAGCGAAAGCTGCACGGGCTTTTCCGAGTACTGAGGCAGCGTAGCACTCCCGTCCAGCCACCGGCACGTCAGGATCTGGATGGGCATCCTCACGCGGATCTCAAAGTGTTTGCGGCTGCTCTCGGTCACTTCCACGAAGGCGGAAATGGTGATCTGCGGGAGATGACGGAGGGTGTCAGTTGGCCTAGATAGAGACGAGGGTGGAAAACGAGAGAGTAGCTTTCGATGAATGGGAGAAAAGGCAGATAGGGGAATAGGGGGATAGATGGATATCTGCTCACCAGCAAGTAATGCCGCACGTAGAGGCACTTATACGCCGTGTCCGCCTGGATGCGCGAGCACGAAGGCATTTGCAGCATGGCCGTCTCGTAGAGGTAATTGCTCTCGCTGTCCTCGTGCACCGACATGGACCGGCTGCGGCGTGGGACGTCTTTCTCGATAACGGCGCTGCTGGCGTAGGACACCGCCATGTTCTCGCCCACGGCACTGATGCGCCGGAAGGCCCGCTGGTGAAGAGGATCCCGTTTGATGCGCTTGGTGTAGAGCACGGCCTTGGACCGTGACTGTTCGCGACACGCCAGCCCATTGCGTGTCTGGTACTGCACGTCCTCGACCATGGCCACGGTGATCTGCTGCCAGCAGCGGTCGGGCTGGGTGGAGATTTTCATGCGCAGGGGTAGTTGGCCGCCCACGGGACAGGACTTCGCGGCCAGCGAGAAGTTGTACCCGAGCCCGTGCAGCATGCCGCGGACTTCGTACGGCTCTATCATCTCGAGCGAGCACATACATGGGATGCGCACCAGCACGACCGGCTGCTTGAAGGTGGCTGAATTGGAAGAGCGGCCGGACTCGACGGCCGTGGCAGTCAGATGATAGAACACCTTGCCCAGAGGAAGGTCGATGGTCTCTGGAAACGACGATGCCAGCGGCAGTTCGAAGTTGTAGTGGTACACCCCGGGACTGAATGTCCGACCGGCCTTTGCAGGATCCCTCTCATGGTCGAGAAAGTCCCATGTGTGATGGACGATGCTTTCGTCGTACACCTTCTTCAGTCGTCTCGCTCTCCACGCCTCGGGCCAGATCGTCTGGCTGACTCCCTGGAAATCGAGTGACAACTTACTCAGTGTCGTCTCTCGTACCACGTCCAAGTGTATCACGCCTCTCAGCACCGCCGACGTGTGCTCCAGATTGTGCGGGAAATCAAATCCTTCCAGGTACATGACCGGCTCGGCCAGATCGAAGATTACGCCGAATGCATCGGTGCGGGTGGACACTGTGTATTCGACGTCTTGCTCGTTGTTCGTGGGCAGGCTCTTGCTGGAGCTCTTCAGGTGCAGGCGCCGAGAGCTCTCCCGGGCACTACCGGACACCTTTCGCACGGTCTTGGAATCATCGGACTTGGTTTTGGCTGAAAAGTTGATCGGGTTGGCGAAGGGAGACAACCAGGAGTCTGCTGTGGGTAAGGACACAGGGCGACTCTGGAAATAGGACTCATTGCCCTCCTGTGTCTCGTGTACCTTTTGCGTTGAGAGGAAGAGACGTCCCTCGATGGCGGAAGTTATCTCCTTGTACCCTTCCATCGCCGATTGGGCGTTGAATTCTCGGTCTTCGGGTCGATATCGTCCGTTAGGCGACCACGGGCGTATTCTGAATTCTAGACTCACACCCTGTGCAACCGTCTGGCGTTGTCAAGCACGGACATGCTGCTGAACTGAACTGCGCTTGATTGTGTGTACGTGTGGAGCAATGTACTTCGTACGTTTGACAGCCTGGATAAAAAGGAAAAGATACCCAGACCAGAAACCGTTGATACCGGAAGAATCCGAATGGGGGGATAATAAAGCTGACCAGGAGACTAGTGAAGCTGAATGTACCTGCCTCGGGTCCGGATGAGTGGGAATTCAACCGGCCGTTGCAGGGTCTGGGCTCGTGTAGTTTCAGTGTCCAGGGCGCTAAACAGCCCACACCAAAGTCTTGATTTATATTGCTGATAAGATGAAGAGGGGGGCTTACAATGATTGTGTAGTCACCACCACCTCATCGAACACGACTTTCTAGAGAGGGATAAAGGGTCTGGCACTGTCCACCGTGCCGGGTTGGGATGCCCTTCATCTACATCTCTTTTCTTTTCTTTCCTGGTGTCTGCCTTGAGCTCACGTCGATGATCAGGCGGGACAGATGTGTTGCATGGGTCCCAGAGTGGCTGTGCCCTGCCGCGAGGATGCGCTGCTACCATGGTGAGACTGTATGTGCTCCAGTTACGGTTTGTGCCTTGCTCCGACACTCCGAAATCTCGTCCGTGCACAACACCTCGAGCCAAGCCCCAAGGCCTCTCGAGCTCGTATTCGGGACTTGATTTGCATGACTTGGTCCGAGGTGAACCTCTGTTGCAACCACGGCTTGGTACCAACCTAAACGGGACCTCAGTGCTCGAGCTCACGACACATGGCAGAGACGGCCATGTGGGGGATCGTCTAAAGACGGTACCTGGCATCTGCATCTGCATAACCACTCATAAATGCCTTCCGGCCTCCTGCTAGTGACATCCGGGGTTGCTACGTAGGGGGCTAGTGAGCCCGCCTAGGTTGCGGACAAGCTCCACGCCAGCACCCGCCATCCATTTGAAGTTCGTACCAGTCAAGGAATAATATACGAGGGACTGCTCTTGCCTGACTTTGCTGCTGGGAGAGTCAGAAAGGACCTTTTCATCTCATGGATTGTGTAAGTTACCTGCTGGTCGAATTGATTGCCGGGCGATCATTGGCAATGGAGCCGCCGTACCCTTTTTATCCAACTTTGCCGCATAGCCGCGCTCCAGCAGCTCTCGATCATTATCGGGACATGTATCAGTTTCTGGCTCGAATACGGCATGCACTTTGTTGGGGGTAGTCACTCTGACCCAGCAAGAGTTGCGCACACCTTTTCTTCAACTGGGACTCTCCAACTTTCCCTGGCTCATGGACATACTTGTCTCGGCGAGAATGCTGTCTCTTGGCGGGTGCTATTGACTCTTCAGCTGATCCCTGCGTGGATCCTCTTCTCTGGCATGTTCTTTCTCCCATTTTCTCCTCGGTGGTTGATGATGAAGCACCGAGAAGATGATTGTGTGGCGGGACTGTCTACGCTCAGAGGACTTGATCCTTTCGATGCTCTCCTGATCCCCGAATTCCTGAGGATCCTGGCGACCGTAATGCTCGATGAAGAGACAGAGGTTGAAACGAAGGGTAGCGGCAGTGTCCTCGCTCCGTGGAAGACGCTATCGCACCAAACAGGTTCAAACGGTTAAGCATTAGGTGTTGGATCATGATATGAGCTCCTTATCTCGCTCTCACGCGTCCATTAATACTAACCGCAAGAGCTAGATTCCAACAATTCACAGGTATCAATGCCGTCTTGTAAGTAGATTCCGCAGCTCCCTGGGAGACTCACAATCTAATTCAATGTCAGGTACTATACACCTCAGATCTTCGGAAGTTTCGGCTTCAGCTCAGTTACCACCAACCTGCTCGCCACCGGTGTGACCGGCATCCTGCAAATCCTCTTTACGCTACCATCCGTGTTATTCCTCGACAACTCTGCCCGCAAGACGTTCTTGATTGTCGGGGCGATGGGCATGTGTGTCTGCCATATCGTCGTTGTATCGGTAGATGGTGTGTAGGAGGACAAGTGGGCTCTGGCTCAAGGCCTTGCCAAAACCCCCTGGTGGGTGTCGATCGCTTTCATCTGGCTTTTTGCCGTAAACTTCGTCTCCTTGTCATTCTTCGCGGTGCACACGGCGGGCACTGGGCTAAATGATCCGTTGTCATGGACATACAGGTTCGGCGTCAATCAGGATAGGGCGACAGGTTGAGCTTTGCGGGTGCGAGGAGCTTGACCTCGCCGTAGAGGACCGTGGGCCTTGGAGTCTGCGCGCAGCATCCTAGCTTTGGGGGATGGGTCAGCTAAACGTCCATGATTAAGGTGAGGTATATCGCAGGACTCACGGTGGAATGTTCAAGACTACGCCGAGCAGACGCTTGTCCACAGTTCCTGTTTGCCCTGGAGTGTATGGTCATGTTTAGGGGCTGTTGATGGGCCTCATCGAGACACTATCATACCTAAACCACAAGGATATCTCGACAAGGGCCGTGGTGATTCTTCCGGCAATCTCTGCCAGATGCAAAACAGCAATATTGATATTGAAGGCCGCCCAAAATCCAGGACAGTTGGTTTCTTCCACTTGTAACGTGATCAATTTGGAAGCATGCTCCGGAATCAATGACGCCGTCTTCTGGAGCATAGTCCTTCGATTGCGCGGAAGGCTTTGAGACCACGAGTGGAAGGCGGTTCGAGAACAGTGCACAGCGGCTGGGGCGTCTTCTGATGCTGTCAATCTGGAAGCCCAGGTCCCCATAGCCCTGGGATCGGTGCCCTGGGGCAGTTCTGGAAGATCCATGCGAAGGCAGCAGCCTCACCGCCTTTTCTTCCAAATATATGTTCGAGCCTCAGTGAGGGTCGTTGCGTTGGAGGTGTGGACAGACAGGGCGTTTGTAACGACGAGGAAATCTTGATCAACGGCATATTGGCACTTGCAGTCCGGTTCTCAAAGACAAGTTTCTTCGTTGGTACAGGCCCCGTCGCGTAGAGTGAGGTCTTTGCAGGACGGGCAGCAGCCATCAAGTATACCGCTCTTAGGGCCATCGAAGTAACGACCCTCGAGCTCGTTAGAGGCTGCGTTCTGCTGGCGTTTTACAGCATTAACACTGGAAAAGCTGTACCCGAAGCGTTTCTGGTGAGCGTCTCTGTCTGCTTCGAGTATGATCTCGGGCCCAACGAGATCGACGAGATGGACGGAAGCTTCTCGGATGCGGAAGAAGACCAGAATGCATGGATCGACAAATAAAAACTCCGCCGACTTTGGTGGGTCATCTATGAACTCGACTGCTTTGTTTCGACAGTCTCCCGCCAGCCTTATAGGGTTGGCCGGGAGAGATCGATGTTCTTTTCCCTGTGCCTGATCGCCAGTGGTTCAACGGGGTACCAGATAGCTCTTCCCAGCTCGTCCAGAGCCCTGGTGCCGTGTGGACGAGTCTTGCAGGGCTAGAGAACCAAAGCCTCCGTGCATGGTATCTGGTGACGAGTTATCCCAAGTCTTGCTGTGCCGATACGGCTCGCCAGCCCAGGCGGAACACGTCCGATGTGCAGGCGGCGCTCGAAATGGATCTGACATGCCTCAAGAATGCCTTACTGCCTCCTTTCTTTCAGAGATAGGTGTGAAGCTCTTTTGGAGCGTATCAGATCGTCTCCGAATAGATCAGGAATTACCCACGAACATCGTCCAAGAGGCGGCAACCTTCGGCAGGTGCTCTCACTCAACTATTGTTCCGATCGCACAGATATGGCCGCCAGAGGACATCCCGCGCCGCCACCCATTCATGAGCTGCTGCATGATGAATCCATGAGAGCTCTTATGTTACGACATGATCCCAATTTCCAATCCTACGAACTTTCCCAAGCTACCGCTAAGTCATTACGCGCGATTCTAGAAGATCGGTGGAGCCCTGCTCCGAAAGTGTGTCCCCATCTACCGGCAACATTCCGTTTGGCTGATCGACCTCGCGCCCCCTGGGTCTCCTTAGCATCATTCGAGAAGGCAGGGAATCGGTCACTTATCAGCCTGGCTCATATGAACGGACAGTGATCAAACATTTTCCCATCTTGTGCCCAAACCCTTCCAGGGGAAGAAATCCAGGGCCGGCACGGAAACCCGATGCACGCTTCACCTTCGACACTCCGACGCTCCAGCAGATACCCTTCCTGGTTCCGATCTCACCACTGAAGATTCTGGCGACTTTCAATGGCCTCTGACCATCCGGGATAACCTTCAAGCGTTGGATACCGACCAGCCACACCTCGGACTGTTGAGCATCCCGTTGTTTAACTGCGTCGAAGATAGCGACAATGCTCCGGTCGAATCAGCCCCCAGCGCTCAACTGCGCATGTGCAACTTCTCCCTCGCCTTCGCCGACTCTCCTGATGAATTGGTCGCTTATCATCATCATCAATGTCAATAATGACGCTGACACGAAGGGAATGTCTAATTTGGGAGGACCTCCGTATATGTATGATCCTTCCCCAACATAGCGCGATCTGGCCGTCATTCCAAGTCTTGGCGCCATCTCCGGGCGGAGGCCGGCTGGATGCTTACCGCGTGGCCGGACGCGGATCAAGCCCACCCGTTAGACGTGGTTTTGTGCTTGACTAAGTCTTAATTGACACTTCCTCTGATGCAATCTTTGCAGCCCCCAGCTAATAGTTAAAGGAATGAAGGGACATATTGACTTATACAGAACACCCTCCGCATCGGAAAGTGGTGTGAGGCCACAAATTGTCACTCCAGTCACGTGGTCGCTTAACGTTCTCTTCAGAGCCCAAGCAACCTGGGATCTTGCCCACCAGCGCCCAATAACAGGTCTAATCCGAACTGCCGACTCAGTCTGCCGGTGGTGATGTGCATCTGGCAGGCACCCCGGCCCTAGGCCCCACCCCAGATTTCCCGCGAGGACCCACGAGGCTCCCCCACGAGCAGCCAGGCTCCCCAATAATATGGGCGTCCCCGCCCCCCAAACGGCTTCCTCCACCCCGGAACGGCAGCTCCAGGCCTGGCGCTCAGGTCAAGATTGGGCAAAGCTTCCAACTCTCCACCCCAGGGTTTACAGGGTGCAAACCAAATAGAAGCAGTTCCGTGTGCGCCACGCAGTGGTCCCCGATCCGAGCATGATGTTGACGTATGTACTTAAAGAATAATCGGCCCCCTTCCTCTGTCATTTCCTTTTTCCAGCCCTAAAACATCCTCCCTCCTCTTCCTTGACCATCGGCAACTCCATAACTCGCTCGTCACCATGGAGATGAACTATGATGAACAAGTAAGGACTGCCTGGGCAAGCCCCTTCTGGCCACAGACTGACCCAGATTTCACAGGAGCTCTCGGCCATCGAGCGAGAGCTCAACGTCGAAATTCTCCCTGGCACCGAGTTGATGGCGGATGTTGGGACTCACCATTTCGTCAAGAGTAGCGGCAGGAACCACCGTGTCTTGGTCCCCCAACCGTCGGAGGATCCTCATGATCCCCTCAACTGGTCGACGTCATGGAAGATTTCGGCCATTGTGGCCTCGAGTATGGTCAGCTTTACTCAGGGCTTCGGTCCGCTCTCTCTGGCACCCATGTTCGGCGACTACATCGAGGCGTTCCACTGCTCCCTGGCCGATGCCGTGCAGTTCACCGGCGTCGCTATTCTTGTGCTTGGGTTCAGCAACTTCATCTGGTAGGGACTGTTGTGGACCATGGAGGAGAGATCGCGTGCTCACCGCCACTTAGGGTCCCGCTCAGCTCGACTTTCGGCCGCCGCCCCGTCTACATATTCTCCCAGCTCATCTGCCTGGGTTCGTCCATCTGGCGCGCCAGGGCCCAAACTTACGGTTCCTTTATGGGCGCCTGTGTGTGAGTAATCAATCATCGACCCAATCCAGAGAGCTATCACTGACGCAGAGTGCTAGTCTGAACGGTATCGGAGCTGGGCCCGCTGAGACCATCCAGCCCGCGGTCATCGCTGACATTTTCTTCCTCCACGACCGTGGCAAGTGGAACACGCTCTACTGGGTCGTGTACATGGGATCTCTGATGGTTGCCCCCATCATTTCGGGGGCCATGGCGGAGAACGTCGGATGGAGGAATTTCTGGTGGTTGTACACCGGTCTCATCGCGCTTTCGCTGGGCATGGTTATTTTCATGTTCCCGGAAACGAAGTGGCATCGACAGCACCCCAAGGAGATGATCAAACACTCCATGGCCGCCCAGGAGGGCAAAACCGAGGGCAACGAGAAGCAGACAGACGCCGTTCTCGAGCAAGTGCCGGTGAACAACGAACTCGCTCCGGTCGAAACCGCTGAGCGCGACCCGTGGCTCGGCCGTGGCTCGCCCAGCAAACGCCAATGGGGACTTTACACGCCTAACCCCGACCCATTCAGGGCCATCTTCCTCGATCTCTGGGTTCCATGGAAACTCTTTGCCTTCCCCATCGTCGAATTGGCGTCATTTATCGTCAGCTGGAGCTGCTCTTCCTTCTTGACGCTCAACTTGACCCAGACCCAAGCCTTCGCCGCACCGCCCTACAACTTCACAACGGAGCAGATCGGTTTCACCAACTTCGCGATCTTGGTGGGTGCCATGATTGGCCTGTTCACTGCAGGCCCGTTCTCCGATTTGGTCGCTGCTCGCGCCACAGCGAGGAACAGGGGCATTCGTGAGCCCGAGATGCGTCTGCTCGCCATGATCCCGTACGTCATCATCATGTACTTCGGCAACATTATTGTCAGCGTCGGCTATCAGAATAAATGGCCCTGGCAGGCGATCGTCATCATTGGATACACCTGCGCGGGTATCCAGGTCGCGGCCATACCCGGCATCGCATCGACCTACGCCGTCGACAGTTACAAGCCCGTTGCGGGCAGCTTGTTTGTCGCCATCACCGTCAACAAGAACGTGTGGGGCTACGGCTTCAGCAAGTTTATTACAGTAAGTCTTTCCAAAAAACTTTACCCCTATTGCTCTATAGGTTGTACAGGTTGCATATGCTGACGCTGGACCGCAGAACTGGATCATCGATGATGGTTATATCCCACCAATCATGACCAATGCGTCCCTGATTCTGCTGTGGTGCCTGTGTGCCATTATATTCTACTTTTACGGGAAGACGTTCCGCCGATGGACGAAGAATAGCAGCGTGCATTCGATGTAAGATGTTAGGGAAGAAACTTGAACGCCTATAGGGACTTACCCAACAAGAGATTGTGTGAAATTGTGGAAAGGGAATCTATTGCTATTCAGTCAAACCACCCAACCAACTGAGAATTCGCTGCTTCTTGATATAGCAGCATCATTTTGAGAAAAGGATCCCTTCTCACTGGTATATTTTCAAGAAATGGCCCTTCCTCGCCCGTTCTCCGTTCGTCTCCCTGGGACCTCCCTTGATATCGCGAAACAAGTGGCGTTTCCCTTCATCTCTCTATTTTCGGGGACATATATTGCAGTCTGAAAATACTTAAATGTGTTCTTCCGAGAGACCGATGAATCTCTGCTACCAGGACGCAAGGCTTCAGGGCAGGAAGCAGATGGAGCTCACAGGGACGTAAAATAGCAGTGCAGTGGCTGGATATATTCGAAGCAAAGGCAGCTCTACTCCTTTAGGAGCTTACCACGCCGCGGAAATCAGTCGCATTCGTATACGTAAAAATAGCTCAAAATATCCCGGTTTTGGGGTTGTCCGCATTGTAATTAGTTTCCACGTTTCGCCACGTTGTGCCACGTTCACGCAAGGGGACGGTCGATCCGGGTGTCTGTAGTATGAACCACATCTCCTCGGATACGCGGAGAAGCTCATCTCGACCAGTGGATGCATGAGCTCCGCAGCATGATGCAGCTTAGCTTGGGCTAGTGAGGCTCACTAGGCCAATGATGAAGCCCGTATTAGTTGCTTATTGATTAGCTGTGCTGGGGAGATTTTCGTGAGTTTCTCTCTCTTTTTTTCCCTCTGCGTGTCAAACATCCCTGGTTGCGTACAAGAATGTAACTTTGAGATCTGCTGATGTCGCCCGCGTGGACGACCCAGGCCGTTTTATTCCTTCCGATGCATTAATCCCTGCTTACCGATACTTCCTGCATCGAGGCGTAACGACTGGGTGAAAAACATGCCCAAATGTTCTTCCCGCGAGCTCCACTAGGCGTCTGGGCTGGTTACGTTTCGACGGGAAAGAGAGGCCTGTGTCCCCTGAACCTTTCTCTCCAGAATCTTAATCTCACCTGATGTCTCACGCACGCAAAAGCCCTTGTCATAAATTTGTGGCGGCTTTTGTCAAAGGAATGGCGGATGATTTCCATGCCCCTGGCTAGGTTTGGGGGCTTTGGCAATACCATGAAGTATATAAGTTTTCCTTTTTGTCTGTCGTAACAAGCCTACCAGAACTCCAATTCTATACTCGAAGAGCATAATGGCAAGCAAGGTGGTCCGAAGTCGAACATTCACCGGCTGCAATCCAGCCCGTCTGTTCCAGCGGTCCGCTGCCCTCGGAGCCTCAAATGGACCAGCAGCAAAGCTCAATAGAGATCGTAAACTCTTTACCACCTCCTCGCAACGGCAAGCCGAGGCCCTTAGCGAGCAGCAAAAGTCAATCGTGAAATCTACAGCGCCGATATTACAGGACCATGGCGTGGCCATCACAAGCGTCTTCTACAAGCGGCTGCTAAACAATCATCTGACTCTGCGCAATATCTTCAACACTGCACACCAGGAGACCGGCGCTCAGCCGGCCGCGTTGGCACATGCCGTTTGGGCCTATGCCAACAACATTGACAACCTGGGCGCGTTGACAGCCGCCGTCTCGAGGATAGGGAACAAGCACGCCAGCCTGGACATTCAACCGGACCAATACCCCATCGTGGGTCAGGAGTTACTTGCGTCAATCAAGGAGGTGCTCGGGGAGGCTGTGACCGACGAGATAATCGACGCGTGGCAAGCAGCCTATGCCCAGCTCGCAGAAATCTTCATCAATTTCGAGCAGGATCTCTACAAACAGGCCGAGAACACCACAGGGGGGTGGAACGGATGGCGGACATTCACTGTCGCGAAGAAGGTGCATGAAAGCGACGAGATTGTCTCGTTCTACCTCGAGCCCACGGACAAAGGACCTCTCCCTGAGTTCCAATCGGGCCAATATGTGTCGGTACGGGTCTTCCTGCCGGAACTCGGGGTCTACCAGCCACGACAGTACAGCTTGTCGGACATCCCAGACGGTCAGCACTTCCGGATTTCTGTGAAGAAGGAGTCTGCTCGAGGGCCGATTCCCGCGGGCAGGATCTCGAACGTGCTGCATGAGGATGTCCCCGAAGGAGCACAGATCGATGTCAGTATGCCGCGCGGAGACTTTTTCCTGGACGTCGACGGCGACACGCCTGTGGTCTTGATCAGCGCCGGTGTTGGCATCACGCCGATGCTGTCCATGCTGGGTACCGTGATCGGCCAAAGCACGACGCGCCCTGTCAGCTTCATCCATGCTGTCCGGTCTGGGCAGGTCCACGCCATGAAGGACTACCTCTCACAGGTCGTGGAGAGAAACCCGCAGGTCAAAAAGGCCGTGTTCTATGAGCAGATTGGGGAATCTGATCAAAAAGGGGTCGACTACGACTTCGAGGGTAGGATCGAGTTCGATAGGGTCAAGGACATCACCCTGCTCCCCGGCGCCCAATATTACCTGTGTGGGCCTATCCCGTTCATGCAGCTGCAGCGGCGGGCACTGGAAGCATTGGGCGTTCCCGGTGAGCGCATCCATTCGGAGGTCTTTGGATCAGGTGTCGCGTGAGGAAAGTAGGCATGCATGAATCACAAAACCGGAGCCCATCTCCTTGCCCCGGCGTTTTGGAATACTTATATTGTTCAGTGCGCTCGGAAAGGATGATCTCTGGGAGCAGATGGGACCTGAAGTATGCCATACCAGAGGTTGGTCAATGGGAAAGCAAAAGCGTCAACCTGTCAGGAGCGGGTGATGCTCGCACCAGAATCGACCATTGGAAGGCGACGACCACTATCAAAGCCTTAGATCCGACAAGGACGTCATCCTCATCTGAAGAAAGTGGACCGACAAGGAACTTTGGACTGGAAGTCATACCGAGAATGATAGGGCTTCAGAGCGAGGAGTAGCTGCATCTCAACTGCTTCTTTCGGCCGTTAGACTGCTTGTTTCCATTGCCTCTATCGAAAATGCTTTCATCGCTTTTGCGAATCCGAGTCGGTCATTCCCTTTCCAGCATAGATCCAGGTCGCTCAGACTCAATGATAAAGCGCCCTTTGTCGCACGGCAATAAACTTTAGGCAACAACGCCTCTCAGCCTTGAAAAGGTGCAAAATTCCTCCGTGTCTGTCCAATCATGGCGTGACGGCGTTTCCCCGTGAGGCAGCAAAGACGGCAAGCCAACCTCAAGGCGGGGGTTAGTCATGTGCTTTCGCGTCGTGGCGGCGACACTGGCGAATGGATGCGACGCGTGCGAAGACACGACGACAACCCTTGTTGGGATTCGTAGAGGAGACCAAAGTTGATAGGCAATGCATCGCCGATTCTTGCCTTGCTGTAAGGTTTCGAAGGGAGCGGGGAGCTCGTATAGAAGTGCATTTAAACACACGAGAACCCCGGGGAGACAATGCCTCCTCAACTTGCATCTCTCTGCCTTCTCACAAAAAAGATAAGAGCTTCAAATTCTGTTGATCCATCAAGCACTCTAACAAGTCGATTGCCTGCCACAACTGTTCGACAACATGTCTTCCGGAACCTGGACCCCGCCTGCTGAAGGGTCTCCCTGCTGGGTTGAGATTCCTGCCCGCGACATCGAGAAGCTCAAGGTAGGCCGGGCGACACACCGCAGTGAAAATACCTCATGGTCTCTGGGTATCTTGCTGATCGTGGCATTGAAAGACCTTTTATAGTAACCTCTTTCCCACCTGGACGTGGAGACCCGAAGTCAGCGATTCGGGACATCAGGTCGCCGTGTTCGAGTTCAAAGACCTCAAGGGTGAGCGAGACCCACGACCTCCTTCCACAAACGCAGTGATAGCTAACTAGGCCGGTGATTCCAGGCTTGGGCGGCGGGTTGGTCAAAATGCCCGACGACTGTGGCCCGAACACGCAAGCTCTCGGTTCGGGCATCACAGTCTACCACATGGTCGAGTCGCTGGAGAAGGTAAGAATCCCTCCACCCCCTGATATTCGAGAAACAGCGTCGAAGAATGTCTGACTGGAAATCAACTCAGACTGAAGCTCGCGTTCATGAACTGGGAGGCAAGACTGTCCTGGCAAAGACGGCCCAGGGTGATAGTGGCGTCTACATCAACGTCACGGATCCGGAGGGGAACAGGTTCGGCATCTATCAGCTGGTGCAAAGCTGTGGCTCTTAGGCTTGCCCAACACCACAGATAATATAATTATCGTCCAAACCATAGTCCCAGTGCAGCCATTTGATCCCAGTATTAATCATTCATCCAGTGCAGGAACCCAAATATAGTTAAGTTAACGACGCCGCTTTAAAGACCCTGTCATCAAGGTAGGGCGGCGTCATCGGCTTCCCCAATGCGGGGTGTGCAGCCACTGTTGCCCAAAGCACACCTTGGCGCCTTGACTTGCCATCCCGCACTTGATACTGCCTCCCGCTCTTTCACGAAGTCACTCATTCTTGCCACAGCCATTTTACCTGTCACGACCATTCATTGTATCACTCCAAAAGATGACACACGACTGTCTCAGCCTTCTGTTGCCCACTATGAGTGCAACCTGATCTCCTCCGGCCATACCGGTCGTCCCTTTCATTGTGTTGGAACAAAGGGGGGAGGAAAGTGTAACTCCTGCCAAAGAAGCCACGTTGAGACGCACCTTGTCGGCATTTCCACTGAAATCGGCGCCCCTCTGATAGAGGATAGCTCAATACGCACAGCCAGCCATGTCCATCAAGTACGCACCCTCACACTCCTCTCTGATAGTGTCTGTGCTAATGATGTCATCTCCAGTTGGGTTATGCTAGATGGCAGAGGGAGCTTTGTCCCGTTGCCATCAGAACGGATTATCCACAAGTCATCACCAAGAATCAGTCTCGCCATCACCACACCGTCGACATATCCGGGGAACAATCCGCTGGCGATCCACTGCAGCTCTGGCATCGTTTATCTGACCAATCAAAGGGTAAGCAAACACATAGGCAAAAATCATTCCCCAGTCGCCAGTCGCTCCTGACGCTGCGCATAGATAGTGTACCTACCAGAGAAAGCCACCCCAGAGTTCAAGTCCTTTTCTGCACCACTTCTCAATTTGCACGACACGCATCTCACCGTCCCCTGGTTTGGTCCGAATGCATGGCAGGCGGTCTTACAGGCGGTCCCCGGCGGCAATATCCCGGCAACGCAAGCAGCTGTCGAACTTAAATTGACGTTCAAAGAGGGCGGGGCTCCTGATTTTCATTCGACGTTCGAGCAGATCAAAGAAAGGCTCCAGCAAGTCGTGTCCGCAGCGAGGGAGAACAACTTGACCGGCTCGCGGCCAGATGCCTTTTTGGGTAATGTGAACCTGGATAACGTCCACCTTGACCAGTTGCCTTCATACAACGAATCTGGGCACGACCCCATAGCTCCCAACCACCCCAGCGCCCCCGGCGAAGTTGTGACTTCCCCAATGCCGATGAGCACTCGCGCGGCTCCCGAGTTGAGGCGAGCTGAAACACCCCAAGAGGAAGCCGAGGCACCAAGCGACGCGCCTCCGGGGTACGAAGAGACACAGCAGCAGAGTATCCAGGCTGAGCTGGATCGGAGATTGTCAGAGACTCGCGGTTGAGAGCCAATAAGGAAACCTCGCGAGCTGGCGGCCAGCTTTCTGTTCAGGTGTATGCAGATACAGGCGTTCTTCCTAGAAGCAATAGGGACGCTCTATCGAGAGATCTGAGGCCAGCCTCATTCAAACTTCGATTAGTGCTTTTAGCTCCAACTGCCAACATGATAATGCACTTTCATCTTGGAAAGGGCTTATTGCAGCTACGAATTGGATGTTGGGAGAGTCTGTGACTTGTACTTGTCCGCGTAGAAGAGAATGGCTTGGCGTCCTTAGCTGGCTGACCAATAAGGGGCCTTGTAATTTTCCTCCGAAGCTCAAGCTAGCTCAGGAACATCAACTTGCATCTCCTTCCACCACGTTGCAAGTCTTCAAAACTCTGCGAGACAACAGCAACGGCCTCGAGTCTCTAGAGTGCCTCGCGACCATCTGGTGCTCCTCCTAATAGTCAATCACTCTATTCCACCTCATCCCGCGATCTAGTCCGAACCTCACGATGGGGATCACCGATTTCTTTTCCGATCTTCTGAGCTCCGTCTCCTTCGTGCAGGAGGTCCAAGCCGAAGCTCCCGCCGACGACAACGAAGACTCAGGTGACAGTAGCGAGGGAGGCAACGACGAAGAAGAAGACTCAGAGGATAAAAAGGAAGGGGAGGAGGAAGAAGGCGAAGACGGAGGCGAGGAAGAGGGCGGAGACGACGAGGAAGAGGAAGAGGAAGAGGAGGAAGAGGAACCTGTCGACCCCAAACCCAGACTGGAAGAAGGTACGTATCCGCCTGCTACTACAATGTCAAGGGCAGGGCTGTCTCGCCGTCACCTGCGCAAGGACCTCTGAGATGATTTAACACCAAACAGAATGCGCCCGATCCGCCCAATGCGCAGGCTACAAGCACCATTTTGACGAATGTGTTGAGCGTGTCACGCAACAGGAGGAGGACCCCGACCACAAGGGCCCCAAGGAAAATTGTGTCGAAGAGTGTACGTACTACCATTACGAGATCCCTACCCTTCTCTACCGAACTGGCAACGTCATGAAGAGAGGACATAGCAGCTAACCAGTACGCTAATAGTTTTCCACCTTCAACACTGTGCGACACAGTGCGCTGCACCCAAGCTCTTCAAGCAACTGAAATAGACCTCCTCCACGCCAGCGGCCATCGAGGTCGACCTGAAGCTGCAGTCGACAAAGGATTTGGAGTCAGGAGACAGTAGCCCACAAGCAGGTTCACTGAACAGAGCCCAAACGTGGACAGAAGCTACTGCAGCAAGAGAAGGGCCAAAGCAGTATCTCCTGCTCACATGCATACAACCGTCGAGGCCTTCAGGTGTTCAAGTTCTGGCCGCCCAGTGCATCAATCTGCCTGTGCTCATACATAGTCATCACGCCTTGTATATACCTATCATTGCATCAAAGACCGAACACTTATCCTCGACCAGTCTTGCAAGGCAGACCCGTGTATCCCAGTCTTTTCCTCCATTGTGCCATCATTCTCCCGAGACGTACGAGCACAAACCTGGCTCTATTGACGCTCTACGAGGTGCATTGACTTTCAGCCATCCTGGTATTGGCTTGCTCATTCCTCCCCCATAACCTACTCATGATGGCCTATCCGAGCCGCATTTCTGGCGTACGATTCGAGTTCAATACTCGCACGTTTAACCGGCTGGCTGAAACGCCGCCTCAGTCCTCCAGCCACGCCCAACCAATCCGCTCCGCCGAGCCGCGACCTCGACTCCAGTCTACGCGGCGGTCTCTTTTTTTTTTAAACACTTTCCTATTCCGGAATGATTTGCTTAGCCCTCCATCCAGCCAGCCTCATCTAGATGCTGGGTAGCAAGATTCTCTTCGTAGGACCAATCGTGTGAGAGTGCTCGCTTAGAGCTTTCAACCCGGTTTGTGGGAGTCTTGATTTTAATAATGAATTCCTTCCCCTGGGAGGCTACTTGTTCTCCAGATCATTTCTCCAAAAGATTCGTTCCCAAGTATTCAACTATATACGACTATCTGTCCAGCAGTTGCTTTCAAATTTGTCCACCGAGAAAATCATCGTTCTCTTTCATATCCCTTCCCTTCTAGATATTGCTTGATATATACTTCCCGAACTCTCGTCTCATAAATCAACGACTTCTCACGCAGATCGGGACTCCGAACCGCGCAATGCTTGCTCGTCATCTTCCACTCTGTCAACATAGGTCTCCACCACCTGCTCTGCCGTGCTGCGATCTGCTTCCCACCGCTTCCTTCTCACACGGCCCTGGCGGCCGAACAGCCCGAGACACAACGGAGCCGGCATCACCAAGACCCCCAACACAGCTTGGAAGATCAGAGCTCGTTTCATGTTATGGGGCGGATGGGCATGCGGACCATCCTTCAGCGCGTTCATGATGACAATGAAGATGGCGCCCAAAAGCTGTCCGCCGCACCAGCAGAGACTGCTCTCCAACTCGGGGCCGAGGGGGTAGTGGATCTCGACGAGAAACTCCAGCGCCACGGGGACGAGGCCGAAACTGGCTGCCCCAAGAAGAGCACAGACGACAAAGACGTACGCCAATGAGCGGGACTGCGGCGCCCAGATGAGGATCACATAGCAGATCGCCAGCACCGGGATGGCCACCTTGATGTACGCGAGGTAAAACTTATACTTGTCGATGAAGGGGCTCAAGATGGCCGCACCGACGAGGCCCACCACGATCAAAATGGCGCCGGCAATACCGGCGTTGGTCTCGCTGAAGCCATACGGCTCAAAGATCTGGTTGAGCAAAGACGAAAAGGCGTTGAAGAAGCCCACGTAGAAGATGAAGGGGAGAAAGACGAAGTAGAACTCGGGGGAGCGGGATAGCGTGCGGAAATCCTGACGCAGAGATCTGCGGTCCATGTGGTCCGCCGCCGACCCCGCCGATGGTGGAGAGGGTGGTCTTGAAGGGATGAAGAAAGCCGGTACGCTCGCGATCGAGGAGATGATGGAGATGTACAGGACCATGCTGGGGATCTCGTGCGGTTCATTTGCCCAGAAAGGTGAGATGAGCTGGCCCAGCGCGGCGCCGAAGGGGTTCGATAACGATGCTAATGCCGTGGCGGTGGTGCGGCCGCTGGGGCTGAACCAGAGGTTGGAATAGGTCGTGGGGGAAGACAGGACGAAAGGCTGCGCGAAGCCGATGATCAACTGCCCGAATATGACTCCCCCGAAGCTGTTGGCACGTGTCGCGCCGTATTTCACCCAGTTGCCGACAAGCACCAGGGATGCGGCTATGATGATGGCCGTCTTCGTGCCATACCGGTGCAGGACATAGAAGGTAGGCGGCGTGGTGACGCAGTAGGCAAAGAGGAACACAGTCGAAACCCAGTTGATGTTTGTCTCGGAGGTGTGGAAGTACTGGGCCGACGTTTTCGACACGGGTGCAAAGGCAATCCAACCCCAAGAGACCACGATGTTGAGGAGTACTAACTGGGCCAGGCCGAAGAAACGTCGTTTATATACTTTATATTCGATCGTCGAGGTTGTCGAGATTCGTGACAGTGTCCGGGTTGATGGACCGAGGGTCCGTCGGTGATCTTCCACCGACGTTCCTGGAGAGTCGAGGGACGAACTGCCCTCGCCGCTGACGGCCTCTCGGTGTGAGACTTTTGACTGCTCGACTTTGCCCATGGTGATCATTTAGATCTTCCACAATGCTGACTCGCTGCTCGCGACAAGCGATATCAGAAGGTCACGCGCCTACCCCGCGATACGAAGAAGTTGCCCTGGAGAGTGTCGACGCAGCGGCTATGGGAAGGCCAGAGGCGAGAAAAGAAGCTGGGCTCATGTGCACTGGCAGCCTCCAGGTGTCGACGTGTCCCGATGGCGACGACACATCTCACGGGCAAAGACTGTTATCAAAGGGGAGGTGGGCGGCACCTTGCAAGGACGTTGCTTACTTTGCATCGACCATTTCGCTGCAGATCGACGTCCGAAGCAATTTTGGGATGCGACCTTGCTACAACAAGTCTAGCCTCGGGGCCGTACCGGATATCTGCCGGGCCGCGCTTTAAGCAACGAGAAGGAAGTGTCATTGGGATAAGGCTGGCATGGGGAGGGTGGTATTATGCGTTGCATTTTCTGTGTCATTACTGTAAGTACGTGCGTAGACATGCATCTATCTCCAGGGAGTGATGTGTGATTCGATGGATGGCATGCGAAATTTGGGGTTGGGGGGCTGATACAACGAGGGTGCAACATGCCTCGAATGCAGCCCGACAAAAGAGATACCATGAGCCTGCAGGTCCCTACGTCTCTCTATGGAACCAAAAGGATGCCCCTTGACCAGGGCATGCAGCACGGTTACACAGGAAAGGTCAATATCGTACACATAAGGATGTGTTTGCTTGAGAGATGCCTGATTCAAAGCAAAGACACCTGCTAATTTGGCTCGAACGTGCCCGTCTCAAGGGGTTGACCTCCGAAAGAACAAATGACTGAGTGTTCGAATTCTCCGGACGGTTCAGTGCGGAAAAAAGGGGAACAACGTCAGTCTTGAAGCACGGGGAGATTCTCCGTACAGAGGTTCCCTAACCCGTCAACGGAGAGGCTGCCATGGAGGTCGTGGACTCGTGGGTACACAATAATAGGCTTCGCTAGTTGCTTGTGGCGCCCTCAATTCGCTGGGACTGATCCCTAACGTGCTCGTATTTGCACGGGTATGGAGCCCCTAAAGCCCCGAGCAAACATTCCAAAGCACCCGCCGAGATCAACAAAGCAAGTGGCTCTAACAGCCCTGAGGCCCTTGGTGGGTTACCCCCCATACCAGCCGAGGTTGCCCAGCCCCTGTGCCATTGGCTTGCGGGCATGTCGGCGACCTTCGCTCAGCGCCCGTCTACCGGGACCACCCTGCCTGGTGACTGGGTCGCTACCCGCCTCGCCAGACCTAAATGAGCCTCGAGGGCGCTGGGCGACTACACAGTAGACTTAGTTATGCGCCAGTTTGACCCGTTTTTCAGCTCACGCCCAGTGCAGGCACGGCATCCCTGCCCTCCTGAGTCCTGAGTCCTGACTTCTGGCTCTCCCTGAGAGAAGCAAACGAAAGTTCTGAGCGCGTGTTTTCTGTCTCGGCTGTGTAGAAGCCTTTCCCACGTTGCTTTAACCCGCCCTGCCTGCCTGTCTTTAGACTCTGCTGTTCTTGCCCTCAGCCGCCTCTCCTGCTCCTCTTCCGGCCACACGCGGCGATGATCCTTCGTCACCGAATATAGTTAAACCAACATGCTCAGGTATACGCAGCGTTTTCCAGCGATATCTACCGTCTCACTTCCCTAGCATTGGCCGATTGGAAGGTATTTGGATATCTAAGAAGAGGAGGGAGATTGAAAGTCGGCGCACGAAAATACCAGCACAATGCAGGCGATCAAATATGGCATGAGGGAGCCCTCGGTGGACAGCCTCAACGACGGTCGCAGCCGCTACGTTCCCAGCTCGGTCTACAGTGGTGCAGGGCCCGTCGAGGACTCACCGGCTCTTGCCCAGGGCCACAGCTTCATGTCGGGAGCGCTGAGGGGTCCCTTTGAAGAACAGGAGACACCACCAGCCCGTTTTACGCAGGTATGTGAAGTTGATTCTTGAACTGACAAGAGATGCTGAGACCGGAACAGTCATCCCAGACGGCCCCACGAAATTCTACCCTTCTAAACATCAATGACCCTGTGGCGATGCATTTGTTGACCGAGACGGCGATCAGCGACAGCAGAGAGTTCGAGGTGCTGTCATTCGAGGAGGTGGAACAACTGAAGAAAGAGCGGAGTTTTTTGCGGGGGAAGGTCGAGACGACGAGACGGAAGTTGGCGCTAGAAAGCAAACTGCGAGATGCTGCCCAGTCCCTAAATCGTCTATATTCGACCCGCGAGTCCCCTGACGCCTCATCACCAAAGAAAACGCGGCGCAGTTTACTGGGGGGCAGACGTGGAGGCGACGAGGTGGTGCATCGTGCGGACGATGAATATGCCGCAAGCATGAAAAAGGTGGAGGAGCTCTCACGCGAGCTGTTCCACCTGGAGAAAAGGCTTCAAGAAGTCGATCGGCGCATCCTTCACCACACGGCTGGCATCCTGCAAATGACACACAGAGGGCTGAAGAAGAACATTCGCAGAAATGAACTGCCCCGAAGTCCCGAGAGCATGACCAGTCAGCCGAACGGGCGAGGTTCAGCAATGGACGCCAGGGACGATTTCGACGAACGGAGTCTCTACCAAGTTCCAGACTATGTCACCGACTTCGGACAGATTCCTCATGGCATGAACAAGGGCAGAGCTGGATCCCGGCCGGTTGATGGATTTGTGACCCGCCTGCAAGAAATAAACCAGCGCCTACATCTGATGATCACCCAAGCGAGCCTGCAAGAGCATTTTGACCCACCACCTCAACCTTCTGACGAGCACATGGCTGGAGGCGTTGATGCACAGATTCAAGCGTATCTCGGCTACATGTCGCAGGGATTGGACGCAATGGAAGCTGCTCAAGCTCGCTCCATTGCAGCTGTTCAGCAATCGATCTTTGACACCGAAGAACAACTTGAAGACGTTAATCTTCGACTACATGATATGCTGGAGAGAACCAACTCCGTGGGCCATAGCCCTGTGTTGCTGCAAGATGAACCCCGTGGCAAGGATCTACACTCGCAGTTGGCTTTCTCTTCTTCTGTCATCGAGCGATTGAACAAACGTATTGAGACCCTCGTCGAACAGAAGGATATCTTGACGCGCCAAATTCAACAGCAACGCGAACTCAACAGCAAGTCCGACGCTCAACGTGATGCCAAGATCCACGAATTGGTGGCCGAATTGGAAGAGTCCAAACGCTCTCAGACAAATAGCGAGCAAGAGGCCCAGCATTCCCGTGATCAAATCAACTTACTCATGGAAGAACTCGACCTTGCGAAGCAACAAAGTGTCCTCTTGGAACATGAACGAGGTGCCGACGAGAGCAAAGCTCTTGAACTCGAGCGTGCAGCCCGCAAGGAGGTGGAAGAAAAGTTTCTGGCCGAACTACAGTCCAAGCAAGAGGAGCATAGCCGACTGCAATCCGAAATACAGCAGACACGGATGGACCTGGAATCTAAGTCCATGGAAGCAGCTAACCTAGCGACAAGTCACGCTCAAGCACAAGCGGCACAGGAGGAAGTGGTCAACGACCTGCGAAAGCAAGTGGACGCCTTGACTAGTTCAAAGGCTGAAGCAGAGTCGGAACTCTCGAAACTCCGTGCGGAAATGCAAGAGCTTGAATCCGAAGTGGTACGGGCACAGACAGAGTTGACCGTGGTCAAGGCTGAGTTAGATGGTGCTTATGGAACACGTGCTCAGCGAGCAGCCGATGTGTCCATGAATCCCGCCATCCAAAAGGAAATTGACCACTTGAACCTGCGAAACACTGAGCTGGAAAGCCAAGTGAACAACCTGAGAAGGGAACATGAGGCCAAAGACGCTGTCAGCGTCGAGCTGCAGAACAAGGTCGCCGCTCTGCAGAGAGAGCTGAAAGAGACCATCGAGGAGTACGAAGTCATGACGCGACAGAGCATCGAGGACGAAAAAGAGCGGGAGCGGCTTGAGGAGAAGGTCGACGTATTGCAGCAGCAATGCGAAGCGCTCGAATCACAACTCAACGAAGAGAAGGTGAAAGGACTGGGTGCCAAGGTTTCGTCGCCCACGGAAACGACGTCCACAATGGTCCTGAAGAATGAATTCAAGAAAATGATGCGTGAAACTCGATCAGAGAATCTCAAGATCCTCAAGGTAAGGCATCCCGGGTCGCTGCCATTTCGAGGTCCGAGGACAAGAGGCTAATGATGTTGTTAGGCCGAGCAAGAAGAACGACGCCGCTTGGAAGGCATCATCAAGACCCTGAAGAAAGACCTTCAGCAACGGCACTCTCAGAAGGAACCGCCCTCAACACCAGTCGAAGCGATGGAATCCCGCTAATGTTTTTTTCATGACCCTTATGACCTATCGACGACCAACACAGGCACTCATGGATGGTCAACTTTTTACAAAACTTGGAGGTTCTCCCCTGGCTCTGGCACTGCCACTTGTACTACGCATATCGCAATTTTGGGAATCTTGTATCAATAGAAGAGACAAGCATTGGGAAGGGGTATGTGAAGCATTTCCTCGGCGAGCTTTTGGACTTGGAAAACCAGTGTCTGCTGTATACTTAAACCAATAGGACTCAGGAAAAAGTATCTGCATGGTGATGGAAGGTCTGCATAGCCAGCAACTGCTGTTTCAGTCCTCTCGAACCTGTACCCGTTCCACCGCGACTGCCTGCTCAGGCTCTTGCCTTCCACTATCCTTCCCAAGAATTGGCACGACTCAGCATCCATGACCTATGTTAAATCTCGACCTTTGGACTGTCGAGGTCATCAATCGCTTATGGTACACATTCTTTTTGCATACTCTGCTCGGCAAAACTCGTGAACATCCATCCCCCTTGCTCGTGTCAGGGTGGGTTGCTCCGATGAATGGTCTGCCGGGTCGCCTCTGATATCAACCGCGTGTTCGGAACGAAGCCATGGTTGGGATTTCCTCACTGAACTATCCTCGAGGTCTCCCTCAACAAAAGCCAAAGGCAGTCCGCAGGGTACATTCATCGCCGTCGTTACCATGTGAGCCAGCCTCGTCGGACGAGTCTGCTCCAGAGGATTCGATATACAATGCCGAACCCGTCCGTTCGCGTGAGAATCTCCCATGGACAGCAGCGATAGACCCGTCTGAGTTGCAGGATCTGCCGGCACCCATGAGCCTGGCTTCGTCGTCTCGGATCCCTCTCGGCAGTCACTCTACGTCGCACAGCAACTGGCCAACCCCACAGCTCAACCCGATCGTCGAATACAGGACGTCGCTCAATTCAGTTCCTCATGGCAGATCCCCTTCGGCTCGCAAGAGCAAGCAGGCTTCGCTCGAGGCATACCGTTGTCGCTCTTTTTCGGTCAATGATCTAGACTGCATCCCGAGACAGGACATCGCACTACGCAATTCTACCAACTCCACTTGCTCAGAAGAAAGCCTCCATAGAAGAGGTGGCTGGTGTTCGGCGTTTCCCATCAAACCTCCAGTGTCACCTCCGGCCAGAGTTTCAACGCCTCCAGGGTTGCCACAATTTGGCACCGAGGAGGCGACCTTCCTCCGGCTGGAACAGCAGCAGTCGACGGGCAGACTGTCATTCTGGAATCGCATTTGGAGACGTACTTCGGAGGGCAGCGATGAGCAAGCTGTCGGAAGCCTCAACTCTGAAGGCTCTCCAAGGATGTCGCCACGGAACCCATCCCGTGGGCGTTCCAATTCAGTCGAGCTCTTTGAGCGAACTTTGGCGGCAATCGGTATGGCGACCATTGTCGAACCTCCGCGTGCCGCCCCTTCGGGGTCTCGGGCATCTCTGCCTCGTGGAGTTTACAGGGCCAACATCCCTGGACCACTCGCACGAGCCGATGACGGGACATTGGTGAGAGGGAGGTTTGGACCTCGTGCCAGCGGCCATGGTATCGGTTCCCGTCATCTTGAATTGCACCCCTTGGGTCGGTTGAATGAGTCCAGCGCGATCCAGGAGGCGATCAGGGAGATAGACAAGGCCTGCGAAAGGAACGATCTGGAAACCGCCATGCTTCAGAGTGGCGTTGCAGGAGGATCACATATGACGGTGGCAAGGGATGCGTGGGCCAGTAACCAAACCCCAAATCCGCCCGTGCGCAATCTTCATCTGACGAGTGAAACCGAGGTTGGACTTCCCTTGACTTCCCCATTCCTGGGCGGCAATTCGACCACAAACCGTCCAAGAACCGCTGGTAATCGCGCACATGCAGAAGTTCCGCTGTTTTCTCTGCTCAGCGTCGACAGTGCCACGGGCGGTCCGCGCAGTGCAAGTATCGTCGGAGTCCACGAGGGCGGCTGGACAAGGGGCAAAGGGCGAGCGTGCAAGAACGCGTGGCGGCGGACGTGGCAGGCGGTCAAAGACTGCTGGGCTCGCTGCTGGCGGGCCGTTTGGGGGAATTGCCGGGAGCGGACGCGAGCTTACCAGGGCTCGACAGCAGAGGAGGTATGGGTGTCTTAGATATCTCTGTGCATAGAAACGAGTAAGAGTGAGCATTCATATTTTCGGTCGTCCGAACAGGTAGGCTGTGTGTTCTCCACCGTCTTGCGTGCCTCTGGTCCTGTGCTCCTGTTTTGCTTGTCTTGATGGCTGGACCTTGTTTCTTCTTCCGTGCGATGGGTCCGGACGTTGGAGATCGGGTCGAAGGGTGGTTTCTTTCTTTCTTTGGAATCCTTCGTTCGAGACACGGATCAGGCAGTTCCTAGTCCCATCACCACAAGACCGCTGATGAGACCGATCCTGTGGTGCGAAACACGCTGGAAGAGAGCTTTGCGATAACAAGAATGCGCGGATAGATAATAAAGGAAAGGCAGCGCCCAAGGACGCATCAGCCTCGCCAGTCAGGCTGATGAGAGTCACGCGGCCTGTTGATGAACCCAAATGCAAGTTTTTGATCAGGAAATGGACCCCGTATCCGCCGACAATTGAGCCCGCAAAATAAAGGACATCGAACTCTTTCCATCCATCACGAACGCCAAACCACGACGAGGACACAGGGGACAGGGGTTTGGTTTGCTCGCGCAGACCCGGGGATCGAAACATTCGCAGAATAACGCCGATACCTGCAAGATCCACATTCAAGACAACAATCAAGGGCCTGCCCAGTCACGGGAAGGTGTTCGTCCACAGTGGAAGTTCGGCCAGGAAAATGGGCCCAACGCAAGATCCGTGAGTACACATCTGCCAACATGAATCAGCATTGGTCGAGTCCTAAATTTGGCAGAAACCCTCAGACAAAGAGGACCGCATCAACCACAGCGGTTGTTGGGGAGTTCACATACGTATTCCTCAACCGTCCAAATACTGATTTCATTGACTGGATCCGCTTCAAGGATCCACAAAACCCGGTTCGAGGGACAATCGACAACATCATTGCCAAGCATGGTCCTATCGCTTCGCTTGTGTTCTCTGACAATTCAATCCGACTTTACTATAGCGGTGTTTCCGAGGACGAGAACTTCAAGGGCAAGCTATTGGTCCGCGAACTCAAATTTCCAGCAGCGAATGCCACAGATACCTCGAATGGATGGATCAAGCCAGCCACCGACGCCTCGGCCAAAAAGTCGGAGCTGAACTTTGAGGAGAACGTCAGTGAGGGCACTCGCCTCCTCAATGCACTGTCCTTCCTCTCCTGCTCAACCAAGAACACGCCCAACGGTTTGATTCCAGTTGTGACTTACAGGGACATTAGCAAGGACCACTACATTTATGCGGAGAGGAACAATAAAACGAACTCCTGGACCGCTTCACAGCTACAACTGGAGCCGACAAAATCTTGAAAGGTGTTCAGGGGATGGAGGTGGTCAGAATCGAGATCGTGGACTTGGACCACAGGTTTCCCATTCAACTTCACAACAGTGGCGCAGAGCTGTGAGAAATTAGGGTAGGGTACACTCGTTTAATGCAGGAAATGATGAAATGGTACTACCTTTGTGCAGACGCTCTGGTCAGAGCTCACAGTCCGATTCTACTTGTGCAACGCGATAGCCGGCGCTTATGCGATCATGCAATTCCCGAAACCAGTAACAGTCAAAATCGGACATCCGTGTGGTGCCCTTGACACAGCGAGACCTTGCAATTTGAAAAAAAGCCCCGGGAACGTGGTAGTCCACTCTCGTCGTTCATTCTCTGAAAACGTTCGCGTGAGCTGCTCTTGGGATGACCGGCATTAGACGGCCGGAGACCTCGATGCTTGTCATCACCACCACTGTGCTGTCCAAGTCGCAAGCCGGTAGATACTCTCGTTTCCCACATTGCGGTAGTGGTCAGGGATCTGCCATGGTCGGATCTTGGCTTGTCGCTCCAAAGAGCGTTTACTTGCTCAGCGTAACCACGCACACTGCCCGTATCTAATCAAAAAGGGGTTGACAATCACTCGTATTGATAGCTGTCTTGCTGTTGCGGATATCTTTGTGGCTGATATTGGTGGACCTAATTATTGTTTTTGGCGACCAAGTCGGCCATCCAAAACCTCGCGGTAGGAAGTGAATGCTAGCCATCGCCAAGTCGCCCCTAGTCCACCCAGCCAAGCTCGACGGTGGATGCGGGGGTCAACCTAACGGATGTCGACATCAGGCTGAGTCCAGACCAAGTCCTGCACTGTGTGGCTTTTGCCAGCTCTCAGCTCCAGCTCTTTCCATTCCACTGGCCATCTTCAACGAAAAGCCGGACGGCAGCACTATCACACGCCAAGAAGAAACCATGGCTGGCTGATTCGTATTGACATATCAACAAGATCGTCGGCCCATTCAGGTGGTCGTGATGTTTCCGTGATGCCATGTCTACAATAATCGACACGGTGCTGCAACAGGAAACAAACGTCCATTCCCATCCTTTCCCAGCTGAAATGGCTACACGAGGTTCCGGACGAGGATCATGGGTTTCCTGCTGATCAGCCAGCCAAAATCCCGGCGACGTCGCTTCCACCAATGGGGGGGGGTTCTGAACCTTCACTATGCCCGACGTTTTCACCATCCAAGCTTCGTGTCCGGAAAGCGTGTGGGAAGACCCTGCATGCTTCAACCTTGTTCGCACCACAGCACGCTGCGCACGCATGAAGCCACGCGATGGTCGAGAAGAGTCGTTTCATGCAATATCTCCTGGCAGAGGCCCAATGCGGCTGCAGTTTCGCTGGTCATCGCCAGCAGTCTGCAACGTCTACCTCGATGCGGATAGTCAAAATGCCTGCCGCTTTCATTTTCAGCTATCCCACGGCGAAAGAATCTTTTCAGCCTGCCTCATTGGGTTGACATACAGGCAGAGCCATGTCGCTCTCGAGTCTAGACGTTCCTCTCTCTCAGCCACCTAGCGTCCAGCCGCGTTGCTGGAGCTATTTACGCCGTTTCGGCTGCGTCCAGAGCAGCAACAGCTTCAAGAAAATCGTCCCGATCGAGTCAATCCCGGCGGTGGTCATCAATCGTTTTTCCTTTATATGGGGACCACCTTGCTCTTGTTTCTGGAAACCTTTGTGTCAAATTCGTCCTGACGTCTCCTGCCAGCCTACTTCATTGTCTGTCTCACTGATCTACCAAAATCAAACATTTCCAGACGAGGTTCCAACATGAGGTTCACTGCAATCACATGGTGGAGCTGTCTTTTTGCTATGGCTGTCGCTCAAGACAAGGTAATTTGTAAGCATCCATCGCGCATCAGCATGACTTGGGGTGAATCAGACTAATTCGATAGCGATAAACCCTGACTATGTCCCCAGGTCAGAGGCAGGGACCACCATCACTACTACAGTACCGGAGTCATTGCGAACCGTGTTTGACTTCAATGGGACAAGCATGACCAGCTGCCCAACGGGCGTCACCTGCCAGCCAAACGTACTGGTGGAGACCGTCCGTGCATACCCGACTACAATCACCGTTACAAATATCAAAACCATCACGGAAAAGACTGTAAGACCCACGCCTCTGCCGTCCTCCCAGCTACACGAGTTTTAATCTGCTGTGTAGACCCTGCGCGAGATTTTCACGTCGGTCATCGTGGAGGTCATACCGTCCGTAGTTGCTCTGGAAGGGATCTGCCACGGGGTCACGACAAGCACCTACGCGACACCTTTCACCCTCTTGGTTGAGCAGAATTTCACGACGACAGATTTCTATCTCTCCAGATCCACCACCACAACGACCTCGACGAGTACATTCAATATCACGGACAGACAGGCTTGTACTTTGGAGATGCCACAGCCTTCCAGCCCTCCTGGGCCGGTTATTTCAAATCCTGCGCCGGTCATTTCCGGTCAAGTACCTCTGCCAATTTCTTCAGACCCTGCCGCCTCTGCGGCTTCTGCTGCCTCTGCGGCCGCCGAATCTTCAGCCTCTGCCGCTGCTGAAGCTTCAGCTTCTGCCGCCTCTGCTGCTTCCGCCGCCGCCGAAGCTTCAGCCTCCGCCGCCTCTGCTGCCTCTGCCGCCGCCGAAGCTTCAGCCTCCGCCGCCTCTGCTGCCTCTGCCGCCGCCGAAGCTTCAGCCTCCGCAAGCTCTTCCGCCCCTGCAGAATCACCATCCCCCTCCGGCTCTTGAGAAACAACCTTCGCAGCCCGGTGACGCCGCAGAGCACCGTAGAGCGTCGGTACGTCAGATGGGGCTGTTTTGAGATGCCTCATGGTGCCGTCCTCCATCCATTGCAGAGTACATCACGGAACCAAAGTCGGTATCTCATCAGACTTAGCCCCGGCGAGCTGGAATTGCTTGTCAAGCCTCGAATTATAGTATTTCAATCATATGGGATTAGTTTAGGGGATGTGATTTGCTAGGTAATCCATGCATGCAAGCAGACCGAAGTCTTTTGACCTCGCCGTACAAGAATACAAAGATGCTTCCTCGTCGTCGCGATCTCGACGCTAATCCACCTCCTGTCCTACATGACTTTGCGACGCTTTTGCTCAGGCTGGCTCACGCCTGGCTCGATTTCCGCGCCAGAGCCTCGATGAAACCGCACTGTGCTGTTATGAACCGACCTTCAGGACGACCAGGTGACGAACGGCAAAGGGAGGACGACCGAGAAGCGTCAGCCTCGTTGGCAAGGTCGGTATCGGTCATGTCCGACCACGTGACCATCCGACAGAGGAAATATTGGTATGCTGGTGTGACGGTATGTCGGCTGGACATGTGCTGCATCGTGCCTCCAATTTATGTGATTCATCTCGTAGTACGTTGCAAGTCAACAGTTTCCACTGTCGAGCTTGGTATTATTGTATTTATTGCTAGAAAGATGTTAGTTAGACACTGCCCCTTCCAGGCACCAGCGCGGCCAGACAGGGGACCCCACGGCACTCTTGCAACAATAACCTTTATCGCCAGCGACAGGGGTATAGTGTCGGGATGGCCCGACTCTATATTATTTGAATCCGGAGGTTCTAGTGGCAGGGATGTATACCTCCACTTCCACCCTGAGAGGTCGCATGCTTCGCAGCAATCGCCCTGGCACAGATGTGGGTGCGATTAATCCGCTGCTCAGGCCGAACTACACCATGCTCAGTCACGTGCAGGAACATCTTAGGTCGAAGCAAGGCTCAGGGCCACGCTCAGGCCCAAAAGATGGACATGGAAAGGACTCGTGTTGAGATTCCGACGTCGAACTCCCTGTTTCCGCGTGAAATATGCCGTCCCTCCCTTTTTGTTCTTTGCGGGGAGGACCTCGTGACAAATTCAGTTTCATCGCATCTCCATCAGCTCGTCCTTGCCCAGCAAGTTCGCCATGGGATCATCGGCCGCCATGCGATTGCGCTTGTACGACTCCAGTTCCTCCTCGGAGATGCCGGACTGGAGTTCTTGCAGGGTGCGCTTTTTGGAGGAGGCCTGCTGCGGCGGCGGCGGTGGTGGTATTGAGTTCGCACCGCCCGTGTCGGCTTCGTCGAGCTCCTTCTTGCGCTTTTGGATGTCTTCCCCGTCTTGTTCGAGGCGGAGGCGTTGGCTTGCGTCGTCATGGACGGCCACTGTTCTGGCGGTGGTCGTGTGTTCGTCGGAGGCCACGTTCTCGATCTGGAGCAGTGACTGGCCCGTCCTCATCCCCTCGCTCGCTTCCCACGCCTGCCGGCCCTCTTCACCTGTGCAGTAGCTGTTCTTCACCGTGGAGTGGCAGCACGCGTACCCCCACTTGAAGTCCTTCCACCATGATCCCCAGACCGATGTGTGGTTGTTCTGGAAGATGTCTTCCGGATACTTGGAGCGCGCGACCGTGCGCTCGGAGCCCTTGATGTGCCCCGATTCGTCGTACTCGACGTACCGCTCGTTGGCGACGACGTTGTGGTGTTTGATTTTCTTGGCCGGGTGGTGTTGATGGTTGTCGCCGCCCTCTGTTAACAGATATTCGTCCCCGCCGTATTTCTCCAGCAGGGCTCTCCGAGCCGCCGCTTTCTTCTCTGCTGCCTCTTGGGTTTGCTTCTTGCGCAGGATTTCACCCTCGGTCGGATTGGCTTGCAAGTGCAGTTTCTTCGCCTGCGATAAGTTCGCGTTGTTCTCCTGCGTCTCCCATGCGTAGCGTTGTGCCCGTTCGAATTCTGCAGCGTCGTCATTCGTGGCTGCCGGCCGGATAAAACCTTCGTCTACGTCGGCATCATCTGTTACCTGGGCAGCGGATTTGTCCATAGACCGTGTCTTGGGGTCGTAGCGGGCGGAGTCGAGATCGAGGTTCTTTAGGTAGTTTGCTGTGTCTTCACGCAGGCGGAGCTGGCGGGTGGAGGTCGGTTGAGAACGGCCCATGTCTGTCTCTTCGCCGTACTGGGTGTCAGAGAGATCTGGGGTACCGGAGCCGTCACCGTTGTCCTTTTGACCTGCGGCGGCGCGCTTGATGGCTTCTAGCTCCTCGTATTCCTTGACCACAGCACTGTACTCTCGACTGTCGTACCCGTTCCACCGGTCTCGTTTGGCGTCCCATCCTAATTGTACGTCCTCGACGACCTCGTCCGCTTGAATGTCCTTGCCGGTCCACCTCGCACCTTGTTTCCTCGGCCGGCTGAGACATTCTTTTGTCTTGTGCGTCAAGGCACCGCAGTTCTCGCATGCGCCTTTACGGAATTTGGTGGCTGCAGGCCCCTGCTTCTTGCCTCGGTCGTACCATTTGGCCTTGTCGAGGGTGTCTTTGGGAGCGGATTGCAACCGCTGATGTTCGAGGTAGTCGGCATCGGAATGGGTGGTCTCGGCCCAGAATGGACGCTTTGAAATGAACGAGGGGATGTATTCGTTACGGGTCTGGTCGGGGCCAGGAGGCTTTTTGTTCTGTTGCGCCATTGTCGCTCGGTCGGCAGAGGTACGGTTTGAAAGTAGCTGTCGCCAGGGAAATGGATGAAGTGGATGGCACTGTGATGTGCTCGGAGTAAAAGCGCAGTCAGGAAGTGGAAGAGGGACAAAGAGGCGAAAAATCACCGGCGACGAAGGCTGCGTCACAGCTTCGCCCAATCCGCGCCGCATGTCAATAACTCCCCCCACCTTGTAAACATGGAACATTGATTTCTTTCTTCCCACACCATGCCTCTCAGTGAGAGCCTTTTTGGATAGAAGATCTCTGATCATGATGCTTAGAAACCGAATCATCTGCCACCGAACACGCGACAATGCGCCGGCAACATGAGAAAGACGCGTCGATTACCTCACTACACTCATGGATACCTTCCGCATCCGCCTCAACTGCGTGGATCACTACCAAGCTGTCCCTGTTGACGGTCTAGATCCTCCCGTACCCCTCGGCACCAGTAACGAGAATGCCAAAGACAGACCTCGAGTGTCGGTCATCCGCGTCTTTGGCGCAACCCCGACTGGGCAGAAGGTGTTGATGCATATCCATGGCGCCCTTCAATATACCTACATCGAGTACAGCGGCAGTCTCGTCCCCCAAGATGTCGAAGTGGCTATTCGTACGCTGCAGCTCTCCATCGATCACGCTCTGGCCGTGAGCTACCGCAAGAATATCTACGACGGGAAGCATCGATACGTTGCCCACATCTCCCTGGTGAAGGGCATCCCATTCTATGGCTTCCACGTCGGATACAAGTTCTACCTCAAGATATATTTGTTGAATCCACTGCATATGACGAGGTTGGCCGATTTGTTGCGAGAAGGAGCGGTCATGAAGAGAGTATTGCAGCCATACGAAAGCCACATGCAATATCTCGCGCAGTGGATGTGCGACTACAATCTTTATGGGTGCGGCTATATCGACTGCGAGAAGGTCAAGTTTCGTGCGCCGGTCCCGCGATATGCCGATATAACGAATCCAATGCATCAATGGCACGATCTTTCGATACCTTCCGAGGCCATTTTTGATAATGCCCGACTACCTAAACAGAGCCACTGTACGCTCGAGGTGGACGTGCATGTCAAGGATATTTTGAACCGCAAAGACGTCCACGCTCGCACACTGCACCATGACTTTATCGAGCGCACTTATCCCATAGCGGCAGATGCCAAGCTAGTGCAGAGCATGGCTGGGCTCTGGAAAGATGAGACTCGACGCAGAAAGTTGAGAATGGGGCTCAAGGATCCGAACAGCAGCCCGTTCCCTCCTGAAGTTCTGGTATCTATGTCAGCAGATCCTAGAAATAAGGCTGACGGGGGTTGGATCCACGAAGATGAATTCCGACAGAAGGTGGCCGAGCTCGCAGAGGAAGAGTTGGAGAAAAGTGATAAGCAGAAGATTTCTTTCGACACCTTTGTGAAATCCACGTCCCTCGAAAACACTGTTCGTACGGCCTTAGAGAGTATCGACGACTTGTATCCGGATAGAATCCGGATGCTTCAGCCAACAAACCCGACTACCAGTGTCAACGGCAAGAACCCTGCGCAAGAAGAGCACGGACAGGCTGTCCGTGGTCAGACTCGGCCCGACAGTCTCGGAGATGGCTCAGGTTCAAGTATGGATGAAGTCGACCCCGAGGAAGGCTCGTCTGAGCGATCACCACAGACTGAAGGCCAGAATGACAATGACGCTAAAGCTACCGACAGGCCAGTCTTGACGCCGATCAGCTCCTCTGAATATGAACGATATGGCATTCGGCCTGTCAGTGGTATGGATCATTTTGACGAAGATGCATTTGAAATCCCGCCGGAATATCTGAACACTCCCACAAAAGTCATGAAAGCCACCAAGAGGGCACGATTCGGAGAGGCGCCAACATTCAAGCCAAGGAAAAGACAGAAACACTTGGTTGACGGCGAGAACATTTTGCCTGACGTGGGGTATTGGGAATCGGAGGAAGAGCCTGATCCCTCGAGCGAGGATGACAAGAGCGGATTAGGCGCCGAGCCGACCGAGGAAGAGATGCAAAACATCCCGCTGCCTCAGGCGATCATTGAGCGTACTTCGCTCATGAGCCAACAGCCCAGACCAAAGAACGCGCTTGGAAATGGACCGACTCTTTCCCAACAGTCGACATTGTCTTTTCCAACTGTAAAAGATCCCACCGATCCTGCTACAGTACTCCGACTAAGCCAGAAAAGCGCTGCTTCGCAAAACACCTCGAAAAGCCCAACCATTGTCCCACCCAGATCTCCTGCAACGCTGAAGACGCCCGCAAAGTCTGCGTCCACCACCTTAGGAAAAACCCAACTGCCTCTCACCTTAGGCACAAATATCAGGTCTTCCAATTTACTCGATACCAGTCTGCAAGGCCTTCCAAAACAGCGAGGAGGGAATAGTCTGCAATTGTATCAGCCTTGCCCGCCACGCTTCAAAGATGTCGAGTCGACTATGTGGCAGAATGGTCTACCGGATGTGATCTACCAAGAAGCATACTACAGTCGCGAAGAAGATGTCCCAAACCAGTCAAGGGAATACGCGGGTCGCGAGTTCAAGCTTGAGAGCGCAACGGTGCCGTATCTACCCGATTTTGATCCCACAGGAATGTCTTCAGCAACATTTGGTCGGAAACATCCCTCGCTGCTGGACTCTACTGCGGAAAAGGTCCGGGACAATCAGAGACGCAAACGCTGCACTATCCCTGAGTGGGTGATAGCGGCGACGCCTCCTCGAAAAGTCGATGTGTTCTCTTGGTTACAAGAAGAAGACAATGCAAAGGTCGACGGGAAGCTACCGGGCAATGTCCGAGCGCGGGGCAGAGCTCTTTCACAGATTGATGCACCGACGCAGAAGAATGAGTATGGCTTCAAATATTCTCAGAAGCAGCCCAGCACCAGCGTACATCATGAGACGCAGTATATGAACGTCATGAGCTTGGAAGTCCATGTCAACACTCGAGGCTCTCTTGCTCCAAATCCGGATGAAGACGCCATTGCTTGTATCTTCTGGTGCGCGCAGGTTGACGATGACGGTATTGACACCAGTGCGGGCAAGCCCGGGCTTCATATTGGAATTCTTGCCGTTGCTGGTGATTCGCAGACAGCCAAAAAGATTGCTCGCAATGTCCCGTATGACGTTGAGGAAGAGTCCACCGAACTTGACCTTCTTACAAGATTTGTGGACATCGTGAGACTCTATGATCCTGACATTCTTACCGGCTATGAAGTGCATAATAGTTCATGGGGATATCTTATTGAAAGAGCACGAGTCAAGTACGACCTCAACTACTGTGATGAGCTATCGAGGATGAAATCTCAATCTCATGGCAGATTCGGCAAGGAAGACGACCGCTGGGGATTCAACCACACCTCGACAGTTCGTGTCACAGGTCGACATACAATCAATATCTGGAGAGCCATGCGCGGCGAGTTGAACCTACTTGGGTATACAATGGAAAACGTTGTCTACCACTTGCTTCACCAAAGGATACCTCATTATAGCTTTGCTGATTTGACAAAGTGGTACAAAAGCAAAAATCCTCGCGATCAAGCCAAGGTCGTCGAGTACTTCATTTCGCGGGCACAGATCGACATAGAGATTCTTGAAGCCAACGAGTTGATCCCGAGAACAAGCGAACAGGCCCGGTTGTTGGGGGTTGACTGGTTCTCGGTCATATCGCGCGGGTCACAGTTCAAGGTTGAATCCCTGATGTTTCGCATCGCAAAGCCGGAGAACTTCATACTGGTTTCGCCCAGTCGCAGGCAAGTCGGGGGCCAGAATGCGTTGGAGTGCTTACCCCTGGTCATGGAGCCTCAAAGCGACTTCTATACCAGCCCATTACTGGTTCTCGACTTCCAATCTCTCTACCCCAGTGTCATGATAGCCTATAACTATTGCTACTCGACTTTCCTTGGCCGAGTCGTGGGCTGGCGGGGCGCCAACAAAATGGGCTTCACAAACTACCGTCGGGAACCCAGACTGCTAGAATTGCTCAAGGATTACATCAACATCGCGCCAAACGGCATCTTGTATGCCAAGCCTGAGATCCGCAAGTCCCTGCTGGCTAAGATGCTGAGCGAGATCCTCGAGACCAGAGTCATGGTCAAGAGTGGCATGAAAGTGGACAAGGATGACAAGACATTGCAAAGACTGTTGAATAACAGACAACTTGCCCTCAAGCTTATCGCTAACGTCACATACGGATATACATCCGCATCATTTTCTGGAAGAATGCCGTGCTCCGAGATCGCCGATAGCATCGTTCAGACCGGTCGTGAAACGCTTGAAAAGGCCATTGCTCTTATTCACTCTGTCGAGCGATGGGGCGCCGAAGTGGTATATGGCGATACCGACAGTCTCTTCGTCTATCTCAAAGGCCGAACAAGAGAGCAAGCTTTCGATATAGGTGAAGAGATTGCCGACACAATTACGAAGATGAACCCTCGACCGGTCAGGCTGAAGTTCGAGAAGGTCTATCACCCATGTGTTTTGCTTGCGAAGAAAAGATACGTGGGGTTCAAGTACGAAAGTCGAAACCAGACGGTGCCAGACTTTGACGCCAAAGGAATCGAGACTGTCCGCCGGGACGGCACCCCAGCCGAGCAGAAGATCGAGGAGACTGCGTTGAAACTACTTTTCCGCACGGCTGACTTAAGTCAGGTCAAAGCTTTTTTCCAGTCTCAATGTGCCAAAATTATGCAGGGCAGAATCTCGATCCAAGATTTCTGTTTCGCTAGAGAAGTCAAGCTCGGGACTTACAGTGAAAAGGGGCCTCCGCCTCCTGGTGCGCTCGTTAGCGCTCGAAAAATGGTGGAGGATCCGAGACTGGAGCCTCAATATGGAGAACGAGTACCATATGTGGTAGTCACTGGTGGACCAGGCGCAAGGTTGATCGATCGTTGTGTGGCGCCAGAGGTCTTGCTCAACGACGCGCATTCGGAGCTCGACGCGGAATATTACATTTCAAAGAACATCATCCCACCTCTCGAGCGGATCTTCAATCTGGTGGGAGCCAATGTCCGCCAGTGGTACGACGAAATGCCGAAATACCAACGCATCAGGAGGGTAGAAGCTGGGCTTGGTGCGGATGGGAAAGTGGGTGTGAGAGCCCAGAAGACTCTGGAGTCATACATGAAATCATCGTCATGTCTTGTCTGTCGCGAACGTCTGGACACTCCGGCCCCTTTGTGCAATAGGTGCTCTCAGCGAGCCGCACAGTCCATGCTAGAATTACGTTCAAGGCTCATGAAAGCAGAGAGAAAAGCGGCACAATTGGCCAAGGTCTGTCGGTCTTGCTCGGGTTTTGGGTGGAATGAGGAAATACGGTGTGATAGCAAGGACTGTCCTGTCTTCTACTCACGGACGAGACAGAAGACTGCTCTTGCGAATGATGAAGCCCAGATTCTGCCTGTTTTGGAAACACTGGAGATGGCCAAGTATGAAGGGCTAGATTGGTGAGGCATTGCATTTAGGAGAGGAGCGAGGCATTGGATCGGTTCTGGACAGCATGGGTACGGAATTGGGTTGCCTAGGGAGAGGGCCGGGGGACTGGGACTATTGCATGAGATACCCCGTTGGTTTATGAGGCAGCAACACAGGACACGAACGTGTGAAGATGTATATTATGGATGGTCTGGTCAACACGGATTGTATGAGCAGGGAATATTGCAGTTTCTCATGATACATCGAGGTTTCTGTGGGTATCGTCGTCGCCAGACATTGCCGGAGTATATAGGTTTTAATGCGTATTGGCGCCTTGGCAAGTTTGGTTCGTTTCCCGGTGCCGTGGTCGCTGTCTCTCGATCAGACTCAGCATCAACCACCTCCCTCACAACTCGCGCACGACACGAAACTGGAAGAGGAGGGTGACACTATTTGAGACATATTGCCAGCTGGTAGATACACTTGTCATCTCTCAGTTACTCCTGTGGTCGGCAATATGAATTCTACTCCTAGGCGGGCAAATCTCGCCTGCAACTACTGCCGCTACAGGTAAACTGACCCAAGGAGATCATTCAGGGATTGTCAGAAAGTAACCACAAGACAGAAAGCGACGATGTGATGGTAATGTTCCAAAATGCAAAATGTGCCGAGATAGAGGCCTGGATTGTGTGTATCAAGACGGCACGTCACCCAAGTGAGTTTAAGTCGTTGACCCGCAACTTGTACAAGTACTTAAGGATATTAAACCGTCTCAGAAATGACAGGCGTGAACCCTCTGATGCCCGATTAAGTCGCTTAGATGCGATTGAAGATGTGCTACGACAGCATGCAATGATCCTCAACTCTCTCCGCCAAAGTCCTCAACAGCCACCCGAGACGGCATCACCCACACCGACATTTGCTTACGAGGACATGCCCTGCATAAATACGGGTCAGCCTCGGCGGGAAGATGCTGTACTGAGAAGGTCTGCAGGCCCGGGAATCGATGCGTCGGACGACCCAGCAGAGCAAGCGAGCGATCATGTTCCTCCACTAACCATCCCACTCGGTCACCAAACTAGCACAAGCAATCTCCTCACACTACCGCAGATGCGCCCTCTAGTAGGTGACTTTCCAGAGGAGTTTCTCTTCCTGGTAGAAGAAAATCGACCGAAGTTACAGTGGCTGCAAGGCCTCAGTTCGGCGCATCACGAGTTGGAGCAAGGCTTTCTCCAGATTGATAGATCATTCGCGGACACCTGTTTCGACCGATATTGGACGCTGGTGCATCCGTATCGCCCCATCTTTGATCAAGATGATCTTGTGTCACAATATGAAAGGGCAATGAATCATGGCCTCGAGCAAGATTCGAGCTCTGCTCTCATTTTGTCTCTTCTCGCATTGGGCGCAACTGCTTTGGACCCGATTGACCCCGCCACTGTCAGACACACCGGCGACGAACTAATCAGAAAAGCTCTTCGAATACTCTTTCCTTGCTGGGCTATGACGTTTAGTGGAGATCTTGTTCTGTCTCAGGCGCTCATGCTCTGCGCACTCTACTTTGGCTATGTGGCCGACCCATTGATGGCCTGGAGGCTTGCACATATGGCATCGACAAGCGTCCAGCAAATGTGGGTTTGACCATTATCCCAAACCAGCTGATTCATGGTACAATTCTGACTAAGTCATCACAGGCGCCGACAGCGTTTGTCCAAAGACACCGATGAGGGTCTTATCAGGGTCAGTTGGGCCTGCTTCTTGATCGAGTGGTACGTCTATCTGCTGAAGCTATTGCCAAAAACCAGGCGTTGATAAAAGGTCCCGACCAGCGACATCCTTGCCGAATTTCACCAACCGAGAAGTGGTATCGAGCCGCTGGTTGATCGGTTGCCCTTTCCTACATACAGCACTATCACCGCACCGGAAAGTTTGTACTCATTGGCCGATATATCGTCAAGGTCCTTGCTTAATCGAATCCATCATACCATGTACTTCACCGATAGCCTCTCTCTATACGCAGGTCGATCACAAAGTTCATGCGGCATGCTCTCGTCTGACCCGGATGCATCACTACTAAGAGTATGCGAGGAGCTCGATCGTCAGCTTGAAACATGGCATGAGTCACTACCTGAGGCCATCAAACCGGATCTTTGGGGAAGGCCACCGGGCAGTGACCAAGCTTGTGTTTTGCGACTCAGGTATTGGTCTGCCAAACACAACATCTATCGACCCTTTGTAGTCTACGTGACCTCACGAGCTGCAAAACAAAAGGGAAGCATACCAGCGGTGGCCCTTGAGCGGTGCCGGCTTTGCCTTTCTGCTAGCCGCGCATTTCTCCTGACTGCTGGCCATGTTCTGTCGCAAAGGACTCCCTATACATTTAGTACAGCACAGTGGTAAGTTGTTTCCGCTTTGTCTCTGTTCAACTCTGAGATCGTTGGCTAATTAATATCCCATGCAGCTGTGTTGGCTATGCACTCATTATCGCGCTCGCTGCTCAGACCCCTGCACTGGCCGACTCAGTTGAGGATGTTTCAGAGCTGTTGGAAACAGCTGTTGGGCTTGTGAAACCCTGGGCACCAACTGGATCGAGCATTGAATGCGGCCTTGAGATCATAAGTTCCGTACACAGAAAGCAGCGGCTGCGTCGCCTTCGAACATGATCGGCTGCATTCATCATCACAAACGAACTTCCAAGGATATCCGTAAGTCTGCTTGCTGCTGCCCTGCTCAACTTATTAACAGGTAAAATAGTAGCTCGTGGTTGTCTGTCAGTTTGCCGCACATGCAGCATTCCGTAGATAATTTTCGAGAGGCATTACAAAACCAGAGACCTGTGGTCAACATGGACAGCTGCATGCAAAGTACAGGCTATTGACGGGCTGATGGGCGTCGTTCTTGAGAACGACACTTGTAAGGCACTCTCCATGTGACGTCTGCTTTCGCATTCAAAGCTTATAAGCCTTTGACCGCCATGACTTTTTCAATCGCCGCCCTGGCGATTTCTTCGGCCTCGAGGAAAAATTTACAAGCATCTCCGAACCTTTTATTTAGCACCGGGTTCTCGGCGATAAACTTGTCAAGCTTCTCGCCGTCGTCCACCACAAAGTCAGTGTCCATTGTGGCTAGCACTCCATTCCATTCCGGTCCGGAAAGCGGATCTAGGGCTTCCAACGTCTTCAAGCGCTCTGCAACGGCGAACTCGGCATACGGATGCTTGGGCTTCTTCTTAACTACCGGAGGAAGAGTGTCAGGTGTCTCCATGAGCTTCTTGAGGTTGTGGCCTTGAATGGTGACATGCTGACATCCCAGTTCGGCCATGGCAAGGATCTCGGCAACATTGAAATGGCTGTTGTCGCAGAAGGAGTCAGCAAGAGCTCTGCGACAACCCGAGCAAGGAGCTTTGGCGCGTAACCTACCTCGCAATCACCATAACCGGTTGTTCCTTTCCAGTCCGCACATAGGCTTCCGCAAATGTCTTGAGGATGTGTATTACGCGGGCTGACATGGGATGCTAAATAGAGGGTCAGCTATCTACATCTTTTGACAACAAAGAGGACAGCTTATACCTCGAGAGCTGGGTCTGTGACCTGTGGACGTAACGATGGATCGAGATGCGCAGCGATCTCTAAGATAAAGGTAAGATTGGTTCGTCCACAAACGACAAGCCGACACAGTCAATCTACTGACCATTGTAGTATGGGCTGATGAACAGACAGTTTGACTGGCTGGCTGCGATGGCTTGTTCAAGAGAGAAGACAGCGGTCGCCAGAGTGCGGATGCCTTGTGCATTGAGCTCTAGGGCCGCCGAGGCCGCAGCTCCCGAAAATGGCACCTTTATGGCGAAACGATCTCTTGAAACTCCAGCCCTTTCGAAGGCGTCGGCATACTCGTGACAGTGTTTGATGATGGCGGCGCGGTCGTTGACGTGACGGAGTGAGGTCTGTACAAGTACGCGGCCAGACAAGTAGGGGACATTTCTGGCACAAAAAGTGACAGCCTAATAAGACCTCGAAGCGGCGCGACCGTCAGAACTCGAACGTCCGGATTGTTTGTTCAGAAACCGAAGGAGACGTACCGCCATATTATACACCTTCTCCCAGCCTTCCTTGCCATACTTGTCGACGAGCTCTTCCAGCAGCGTGCTATTCTCGGGTTTCAGCAATTCGCTCGTTATGACCGCTTGATTCGAAGTCTCTGGCCGATTACAGTTTAGCAGGCCGAGCGAGGACGCTCTTACGGCAGACATTCAGATCGGAGGTTGACGTACGATTGTGCGGAGGAAAGGGCAAGCTCTTGATGAGCGCCGTGTCCACATCGTCGACGTCGACGTTGCAGAGTTCCTCGAGTCTGTCGAGGAGTGAGCGCGATGCCATGGTTTGTCTCAAGTGTTGATGCAGAGGCGTTCCCTAGAAATGTATGAACGAGTAAGCAAGCAAGCCCTGTGTAATGAGATTGTCCTGAGAAAAGGAGAAAAAAAACCAGTGTTTGCTTCTCAACACCGACACCTGGTCCTGTCTTATTACTGCTACTAGCCTGAGCGTGTGAAGAAATCCCCTCTTGAAGCCCGTTCTCTTTTCTCGTGTTTCTTCCCCCATCCAACAATCTCCATCCCTCCCCAATGCTTTTCGTTTCCCCGACTCGGCGTAAAGTCCCCCTGTCGGATCACTACACTTCTTCTTCTTCTTCTTCTCATGGGGACAGAAAATGACACTGCGCTGCTCTCCGCCGCAGCAGCGACCCCACTCACCCCCCCACCCAGCAAACCGGGTCTTTCCAAGAGGTAGGCGAGGTGGGTCCACGTATACATAGATATATAGAGTACTTAGTGCGTATCTCGTATACGAATGTAGTTAGTTAGTTTCTTCAGCCGGGCGGCGGCGGTCCGCCCTCCGCCGCTACCCTGGGTAGTGGTGCTGGAGTTCTCGACCAATGTCTCCGCCGGGTCCAGCTCCGAGCGGATGGGGAGAGCATCGCACGGCGAACTTTGTCAGAGGCCTGGCTCCCGATCTGCACTGTCGCGCCGAGTCGCTGCCGATGGATGGCACGCATGCCGAGTCGAGTCGAGTCGAGTGCCTGTCGGCAGGTGGAATTGGCAGCGACGAAGGGAAAACAAAAATCTCCGAGGCAACGAAGGTGTGTCGTTGGGCTGGCTGCGTTTTCCACTTCTCTCAAAAACTATTCTTACAATTCATCCGTCCATCTATTCATTCATTCGATCAATCAATAAACCACAGTCCACTGTGTTTACAACCCCGGATCCAGAAAGCACGACTTCTCTCCTACCACTGCGTCGTTGCCAAAGCCCTCTTGTTGTCCAGCCCTGATCAGCGGAATCCTCAGCACAATGATTTCAACTGAGCCATCGGTCGAGCCGGTAACGAACGGGCGGCATACGGGAAAAGAAGACGATTCTGCCCGAGACCTCTTTTCTCTCGACCGCAGAACAATCATCGGTACGTACGTGGTGGACACACCCACGGAGTCCGGGGTTAGGAAGAGGGGGGAGGAGACAAATATTGTTGCTGCTCACAGGCCAGCCCAACCCAACCCATACCTCCCCTCCTCTCCTTCCTTCATGCTCTGCGGCCAGCAAGTGAAACTGACTGGGGCGACGGTGTCGCGGCGCAGTGACGGGTGCGATGGGCGGAATGGGCGCCGTGGTGGCCAAAGCGATCCTGCAATCCGGCGCCGACGTGATTGCCATTGATCGCGAGGCGGAAGCGAAAGCTTCTCACAAGGGTGAGTAAAAGACCACCCTTCACCATCCGTCCAGATATGGTCCCAGGTCGACCGCGAGGAGAAGAGAGAGAATGAGAGAGAGAGAAGGTGTGTGTGTACTATGGGAGCTCATGCTAATGCTGCTTTGCCGCTGCTGCTGGCTTGTGCGTGTGTGCAGAAGACTTGGAGAGAGCTGCCGAGAGCAACGGGACGATGGTGGCCTACTACCAATGCGACATCTCGAACCTCGAGTCGACCTACGCCGTGTTCGAGGACGCCGTCTCTGCCGCCCGATACCCCCTGCGCGGGCTGGTCAACTGCGCCGCTATCGGTTGGGTCGGGCCCTCGATCAACTTTCCCGTCGAGGATGCGAAGCGCATCATCGAAGTCAACCTAGTCGGCACGCTGATCTGCGCACAGGCCGCCGCGCAGCTGGTCAGGCAACATGGTTTTTCGGCGAGCTTTGTCTTCATCGCCAGCATGAGTGGTTACGTGGTGAACAAGGTGTGTATGGCTTTTTTGGTCCCCTTGCAGCCCGTCGAAGGGTAAAGAGTCCAGTTCTGCCCTTTTTCAGCAATGCTGTGCGGAAATTGAAGACAAGAGGCAGTCGGTGGCTAACTGTGGTTTGATTTTCCCTTTTCCTCTTGGTCCAGGGCACCCCAAACGCAGCGTACGCGGCCTCCAAGGCCGGCGTGCACCAGCTCACGCGCAACCTGGCGTCGGAATGGGGCCACTCGAAGGACGGGGCCCCGTCGATCCGAGTCAACTCGATCAGCCCCGGCGTCATCCGCACCCCGATGACGGCCAGCGTGCTCTCCAACAGCAACTTTGAACAACTGTGGACCGAGGAGACGATGCTCAAGCGACTGTCCGCGCCTGAGGACTACAGAGGTCCAATTGTCTTCCTATTATCGGATGCGAGCTCGTACGTGACGGGAGCAGATTTATTGGTAGACGGGGGGTACACAGCCTGGTGAACTAAAGACGATAGAGCTGAGCTGGAAACGGTCGTCGGTGCGGACGCGAAGTTCGACAGTCAACCGATCGGGAAAGATTCAGAGTGTCAGGACATGTTCATGCGTGGAGAAGGTGTAACATAGCACAAAGAGAGAGGGAGGTTGACTCCTTGACTATTTGAGACTTTAAACCAAGGTCTGGTGAGAAGTCTTATAGTTATTCAGGTGGTTGATTTGAAGACCGTTGGCCCTGACTTGTTCTCCGAAGTCGAGCAGCAGGAACCGCAATGCCATGTCTAGCCAGCCATGCTTTGCACGTCACCTTTCAGACGGCCTTTGTAGATATCCCTGGCGGATATGTACGGTAGCGAGCAGGTAGCAATGATCGACATGGAGGGAACTTCTCTCCTCTCTTCCGAGCCCACAGAATCCTGAAGTTCGCCTAGAGGCCGAAGAAACCAGAAGGGGTTTGGCAAGTCTGGCAAGCTCTCAGTCGACTAACTTTTCTCCCGGATCGCATACGTACCTAGGCTTAGAATACGGGGGTTTCACGTGAAGAAAGCTATCTCACTGTGAGCATGACCGTGGACTGACCACATAGACTTCATCAAGGTTATGAGGCGCAACATGCGTGAGTCTGTGCTTAAAGACCACCCCCCGTCCGTTTTATGTGGAGCGAGTTGGTGCAAGGGATGCGTGCATAGCCCACGTCATCATTAACAAACATTGGGCGAGAAGGATCATTCTCTCGCCAGGCAGTGTCGACTAGACCGACTTTGCTTCACGATCCGTCCTGTGCTGCATCCTTCATTGCGTTGAAGAATCTCTCGAGCGTAAGACGACTTGGCCACCTGTGCAAGATTTTGCGTATATCGAAATCTGTTTGTGTATTTCATATTCGAAAATCGTGACGGCTTTTGAACCTCGCCGTCTTCAATCCCAGATCCAAGTAGAAGGCGTGCACCTGTTTGAGTCGGTTCCGCACTTCTCCTTCAGGACACTGATCAAGTCATGCAAAAAGGTGTGAGAGGCTGCTTCACACAGGTTTTCCACCTTGGAATGCGTGGCTCTTCAGGTTTGCTGTATTTCCTGACTCGGGCAGTGTCTCTTGCAGAAGTCTCCTTTTTTATCAAATTCTCTTTTTCCCGCACTTCGTGTGATAAGCCCAGATGATTTCCTGTATTTTCTGTGTTGTCAGTTAGCCAATCTCGACAGACCTATGGCGACAACTAGAAACCAAAAGAGGGAATGGCCATAGGTTTTCTCACCGACACAGGCCTCGTTTTGAACGCCATGCCTTGGTAGGGTTACGTATCAATCCTGCTAAGCGAGTAGCGGTTTCTAAGTGAACAACATTCCTGGTTCGTCCAGTTGTCGCCATAGAGCGCGTTCCGCAGCCAGCTCATCATCGTAGCGAGTGACAGCCTGCTCAAATCTGTCCCACCAGTCCACGTTGGGAAACGAATAATGCGCCTTAGTGTATTCCCAATATTCCGGATACCAGCCGGCGAATTGCCAATCAATAACGGCCGCGATCTTGCCATTGCGCACAATGAGGTTCCGGGGACAAAGGTCGGCGTGAGAGAAACACGTTCGGTACTGACGAGCATGACACCGCGTGACCACGTCACCGAAGACTTGCGTACAATTCTCCAACGGAATGTTCCCCCGGAGAAAAGAATGGAATTCTCCGTTGCTGTCGAAAGGGCCAAAGAGCCGGTATCCCACTCGGTAGTCAAGACTTGGGCCAAGGTCTGATGAAGCCACGGCCCATTTTGCAGGGGGATCGAGTTTTCTAAGTTGTTCAATATAACCAGCAAGCTCTTGAAGAATGGCTTGCCTCTCACCCGCGGATAAACTGTCGCCGTACCATAAATCTCTGAGGGTATCACCGTGGATGTATTCCATCTCGATATAGAGGCGTCCGTCAAGTCGATGGGTTCGATGGACCTTGGACACAGGTATGGAGGTGTGTTGCCGAACGTATTTCAGTGCTTCAAGTTCAACAGGTTCACACGGGCCTTTGATGATTCGGTTCGAGCTCACTCTGACACTGCTAGGTCCTAAAAGACCGAAGCGCTTCGTGCCCAACCAGAGTCGGGCACGAAAGAGGAGGGATCTTAGCTGTTCCGAAGCAGGCATGACGATGAACGGTTAGAGGGAGAAGTTGATGAGGGGCGCGAGACCAGAAACGGTATGGAGGTGCGGTATCACGTGATATCTTGGCACTTCTCGATTGGCTTCAGTATTCCATCAACTTGCTTTTCCGTACTAGAAATCATATGGACTTCCTGTCAGCATAGTAGAAGACCATTGTTTCCTGCAATCGATTGACCACTGATAACGTCTGTCCCCTCTTTCCTTCGATCTGTAGAACGTGAATATAACAATTGGATCCCGCGTATCGTCAATGAGATGTAAGACCGGGTCTGTACAGCCAGAGAATTCGCATACGGGAGTCACACAGAGGCCTTCTCTGCCTCTCGTGATGGTGTTCCTCTGCGCCCAGTCCACCCAGTCCAGTGAGAACACTGTCCTTGCCATGTGGCCCGACCCTGCCGTCTCTGGGGTGCCCCCAAGCCGTCGAATGATGTCTTCTCGTGGCATGACACGCGCTAGACTGTGCTGTGGCTGGCCTCCCTACTTCTGACTTTGATGTGATCCCTCTTCGACGTGAGATTCCGGGGCTTGTTGACCGCTGCGCTCAAAGTGATACAACGGCTCCAAGGGCTCTCCGCGCCTGAAGAGGAAGTAGCGCCTCAATGTCCACGGCAAAACCTGGGTCTGGATTAGAAAGAGAGGCCGCATACAATATGTACAGATGGCGTATGACCTACCGTCCTGATTTGATAGCTGATGAATCGTCTCGTCGGGACCGCAAAGACGTAGTCGAGCTCTTCCAGTGTGTAACCGCTTGTGTCCGGGACGAAGAGGAACATCAAGATGAAGACGAACAAGTTCATGCCACTGGGGAGAGATATCGTCGTCAGTACCAGCCAGGTCTGCGGATTACGACCGGGAGGGTGGGGATTGAAAACCATACGCGTAAAATCCAAATGCCCCCGTGGCTGTAAATTTGCTCAACATCAGAGGAAACGTTAAGGAGAGAGCCGAGGACAGAGCAAACGTCGCCGACACCGCCCAGCTGTTACCGATCTCTCTGTGTGACAGTGGAAAGGCCTCGGCGGAATACACAAAAGCGACCGGGCCTAACGTAATCACAGGTTAGGTTAGTTCCGCTGCCGGACGAGCTGGAATTCAAGCACGCGGCTGAGACATACCCTGGCCGACCGAGTAGAGTGCCGTAAATACGTAAACGAAGAAGGCAATCATGCCAACGTGCGCCTTGCTGGACTCGGGGATGTAAAAGCAGAAGCCCGCGGCAAGGAGCGTCCAAGCCATGTGTGGGAAGGTCGACAGCAGTAGAGATCTAATTCCCAGGGTCAGTGAGGTTCCACCTCTGCACAACCTCGGTGACTTTTACCTTCGACCAAACCTATCAATAAGAAAGATTGCTGGTATGGCAAAGGCGAAGTTGACGATGCCATAGCCCAGCGAGGTCAGTAACGCTGTATGCTCAGAGGCGCCAGCTTGGACAAAGACAGTCGACGAGTAAAAGGCAATGATATTCATCCCTGTGGAGAGGAGAGATTAGCTTCAGACACTGGGGCCATCGGTACGAGAGGACGTTATGGACTCGATGGCCGTGCTGAACAGTGAAAACATTCACAGCCTCTTGATGGACTCCATTAACGGACGGGAAATATGTAGCTTACCGCAGAATTGCTGGCCCATGAAGACGACTAAGGCTGCTATCGTGCTTCTTCGGATACGAGGAACCGTGACGAGTTCCCGGAGTCTGACCATATAGGTCGATGCCGCCGCCATCTCATATTCGACGACCAGCTGAGCATGAACATAATAGAGATCGCGTGCGGCTTGTATTCTGTGTTTCCGTAGGCGGCAGAGCGACTCGAAAGCTTTTCGGTAGCGATTCTTTTTCATCAACCAGCGCGGAGACTCTGAGAATCCATTAGCAGCCAGTCAGAAACACGATTAGAAATAGTTTGTTTTTACCTGGACAAAAGTAGATGAGGAGGGCGAGCGGGACAGCGGGAATGAAAGCAGACCCAATCTGCAGTCTCCACGCGATTTTTCCTACTCGGTAGACAATGAGGTTGGCGGCAAACCCGAGAAATATACCAAACGCCGTCCACATCTGCCAGCCCATAACCAGGGCACCTCGAATAACGGCGGGAGAATTCTCTGCAGCATACATGGGGATTGTCGCGGCTGCACGAAACAAAAGAAGTCAGTATGGCCTGGCCATAAACATGCAGAGTCACCTGGAAATTTACCTTTAAGGCCCATACCGAAACCCATAAGGAGCCTTGTCACTAGCAGCTGGTGCCAGTTTTGAGACAGTGCACCACCAATGGGCGTCAAGATGCAAAAGATTGCGGCCATGAAACTCGCCCCACGACGGCCAAGGAGAGAATTGAATGGATCAGAAAACCAGCATCCGCTTCATGTCGTCAGTATGCTCCTCCGGACAAGGAAGTGCGTGAGCTTACAGGAAGGCAGAAGAGATATAGGGAGCAGCGTTGACCAGACCGATTAGCCAGTTATCCCTGCTGGAGCCAGATGCAATGCCAAACTCGACAGGGAAAGTCAAGTTGGCGCCGTTTGATCCCGTCTGGTCCCAACCCCTTGTGTGTGTATATGTTAGCCTTGTGTTCGTCCAACTGAGGTTTTATGCTGAACCTACTGCACTGCCGCTCCAATCGAGCAGACAAACACGGTGGCGTAGAGGGCGAATGGATGGGTCCACTTGTGCTTCAGTTCATGCTGGAGTGCCTCATGCTCATCGGGATCGAGCTCTTCAATCTCGGCCAGCGGTACAGCGGCCTGGGCCACGTACGCCCCTTTCTTTAGGAGAGGCAGGATGTCGAGGAGGTCCTTTTCCGCGGCAAAGCGTTCCACTTGCAGCATCAGATCAGCTTTCACGATTCCGGCCAGAGGGTTGACCAGTCTGTAGGTATACGTATGAGTCAGCTTGCTGTCCCTAGACATGGTGATGTTATGCAATCGACGTACCTCGCTGTGCTATTCTCCTTTAAAGCCTCGACGGCAATTGGCGACGCGGAGGGAATACGCTCTGCCTCATCGTGAGAGGCATATCCAACCTTCTCGGACGGAAGCTTCTCAGCCATGCTCAAGGACAGGTAACAAAACGACGAAGACTTCGATCAGCGGGTTGAGATCTGGAGAAGATGATGGGAAGATGGTTCGAAGGAAACGTAGTCGTGAGCCTTGGAGAGAACCAGGTGTGCATTTATATTTATGACACCAAGCACGTCTTCTTCCAAACCCAACCCAGTGATTCTATTCGAAGTATAGCGCAGACCCCACGGGGTAGAACTAGAACCGCTGGGGTTGCGTGAGACTTGGCCATATCCGAGGACCTGAGCACTGAGGAGCAAGAACACGTATTGGAAAGGTCATTCATTCGTTAGTGTCACACTTACGATAGGCGAAATGCCTCGCTTCATCAGACACCAACCCGTTTTCTCAGTAGAGGTCTCGAAGGCGAATTGCGTCTGGCAAATGGTATCCACAGGTGAGCAGCCAGCCTTCTTGTTAATGAGTTAATGATATGCGTATTTCCGTCTTCGTGTTAGCGGCGGCCATGAGTGGCTGTCGATACCGCCAGCAAGTTCCCCACGGGCGGTCCGCCGGTGCCGCCTTTCACTACGATCAAGGGACCAAGTAACATCCCAATCGTATGCAATAAAATCTCCAAAACTTCGCCTGTCAAAGGTCTTCCTAGAGACAAACAGGACGGAGTGGTGTTGGCCGCCAACATTAGCTTTCATGTTCTAGACCAAATTGCTGAGTGGTCTGTTGGAGGGCAGGAGAAATCATTGTTATTGCCTCCTTTTCCCTTCCTGTGTTTTTTCTTCAATTTCTGGTTTTCTTCGTTGATTGGGGCATCGGCCTAGGGAAAGAGACAAATCGATGTAGACGAGGTAGCAGAATTCCCATCACAATGAGATAGACGACCAGGTGAACGATGTGGCTGTCCGAGACCCTGATTGGGTGGCCACGACCGCGGCTCAAACTGCATGGTGCGAATACGTCACTCGATTCGCTGGGGCGTCACGTTGTCACTCACCGGGCTCCCAAAACTCGCAAACTGCGCATGGTGGCGTCTAAACATGCTACACTCCCTGCACTGCGACTACATTCGTTCCAACTCAGTGCAATAGCTTGGTCACGCAGCAGCTTGCATCTTGTTGCTGCTTCTGCTCCCCTCATGGCTCCCTCCTGATTGTGCGCCCCCACGCTGCGTGTCTTCGATGCACCGGCTGCCAAATGGGTCCATTCAAATGGTTCCTCTTCGTCTACGTCCTCGGTGGTCTCACCTTCGTACCGCTCCTAGCCGTCCTCGCCCTCCTCTATGCCTACTACACGCTCCCTCCGCCGGAAGTGAAGGCGGAGAAGCCGAAGTCCCCCGACGACCCAGCGCAGCTGCTCCGTCCCGAAGATGACAAGATTGCGTTCAAGACTGGCACCGATGACCTGGCCGAGAAGTTCCATCGCAAACACGACTCTGATGTCGCGGCTGGCTACTTTGCCGTGTGCAGAGAATATGTGCCGGGCGGTGTTCCTGGCAAACCGCCGGACAAGCTGACACCGGCTGGTGAGGTCGCAGCCCAGGAGTCTCCGAGCGTCTACCAGAGCATGTACCGCAGCATCTTCGATCGGTCACAGAAACCAACAATAGAACCTACTAAAGATGGGGCGGGGAAGAATGTGAGGAAAACAAACAATGTCTTTTATGTGGTCTTGAGGTGGGTTGCGACATAGGTGGCACCAGTTTGGAGGACGCAGTCTGACTGATGGAGCTAGACACGGACATCTCATGCTTTACGACGATATACAGCAATTGGAAGTCCGTTATGTCATCTCCCTCGACTACCATGATGTCGATGTGTACGCGGGCGGAGAAGAAATACCAGAAGGAGAACTCTGGATCAAGCGAAATGCCATCCGATTAAGGCGGAAAAAGAGCCAAATAGGCGACAAAGCCACTTCGTTGCCCTTCTTTCTCTTCGGGCAGAGTCAGTCGGATAAGGAGGACTTCTACGATGCTATCCTGAAGAACCAAGAGAAAAGCAGCTCCGAAGAACCACCCCCGCCACAACTGTTTGATGTCGAGCATATTGTGTTGCTGGTGCAGAAACTGCACTCGTCCGAAGAGCACCTGCAGACAAGATGGCTCAATGCCATGATCGGCCGCGTGTTTCTCGCCATGTACAAGACCCCTGAGCTGGAAGGCTTTATCCGAGAAAAGCTGACCAAGAAGATTTCGAGGGTGAGAAAGCCCACGTTTATCACTAAGCTGGGCTTGCGGAAGATTGACTTGGGCACGGGTGCGCCCTTCTTCACCAACCCGAGGTTGAAGGACTTGACTGTGAATGGGGATTGTACAGTCGAAGCCGATGTCGATTATTCCGGAGGGCTCAGGATTGAAATCGCAGCCACCGCACGCATCGATCTGGGTACGCGCTTCAAGGCCCGAGAAGTCGATATGGTATTGGCAGTCACGTGTAAAGCCCTTCAAGGCCATCTCTTGGTGAGATGCAAACCGCCTCCCAGCAATAGATTCTGGTTCACTTTCGAGAAGCTGCCCCAGCTAGAACTGGACATCGAGCCCATTGTCAGCACTCGACAAATCACCTACACCTTCATTCTCAGGGCGATTGAAAGCAGAATCCGCGAGGTGGTGGCGGAGAGTATTGTCTATCCCTTCTGGGACGACGTACCCTTCTTCGACACGAGGCATCAGAAATACCGCGGTGGCATCTGGAAGACGGAGGCCGCATCGACGACGACCACGGAGATCCCCAATGAGGAACCTGAGGATGTCATTGAGGCACCTAGTTCCGGAACAGACACCCCGGTGGAGCTCAAGAAGGATGAGAGAGTCATGAGTATGCCAGTCCTGACCGAGACTAATGGCGTGGGCAAGATTAATTCGGCGAAGAAATCCATGGCATCCTTGAACGACCTTTTCGGGAAGAAGAAATCGGAAACGGTGGACAAGCCTGACTCGTCGACACCCAGATTAATGCGGTCAACCTCATTTGCGAGCGCCGCAGACCCCACCATCACTACAAACCATGCCGACGCCAACACGCCGACTCGAGGAGGAGATCCAAACACAAATAGAGAGAGCGTTGCCACGATACTCAAAGACTTGTCCGCCCGGTCAGTCTCCGGAAATGGGTCAGAAATGGGCTCACCGGCACCATCTCCTTCTGTAGAGTCGGCCATGGCTGCAGCTTTGAAGGGCCGGTCATCAAGCAACGCCTCGGGCGCCGTATCGGAGGAAGACGACCAAGACGGTCTGAGCTCTTTTTCGTTGCCACGGACCCTGACAAGTACAAGCCGTGCTTCAACGCAGACTATCGACTCGACGGATCAAAAGGATAGTACGCCAGCCTCGGCACAGGAGGGAAACAAGCCTTCAAAAGGCTTCTCGCTCGGTGCCAGGTCGTTGACCGCTGCGGACAGGAAACAAGCATTAGCATCAGTCAATGCCGCAGCTGCAGCTGCGCAGAAATGGGGCTGGGGCGTGCTCGCAAGGAATCGACAGCGGGAAGCTCAAGCGGCGGCAACAAAGGGAGATGTGGGTGAACCATCAGGGAGCCCTCCTACCCCTCGAGAGCCGATGGGGCGTGGAAGACCACTACCGCCTCCTGGCATTCCACTGCCTCCCCCCGAGAGACTTCGACCGAATTCATTCCTGGCACCAAAGCGTAAAGCGGTGCCACCTCCAATGCTACCAAAGCGCCCCGAGACGGGTGGATCCCACGAGTCTATATCTGCCAAATCATCACCGAAGCCACCGCTTCCAGAAAGACGCAAGAGAACAAGCTCTGCGCAGCCTGAAGATGGTGCCGAGGACGAAGTATTTGTGGTTGAAGCCCCAACGGAATCGGCTCCAACGAGTCCAGTTAACGATGAACACCATGACGGCTTTTTTGGTCATGGCGAGCCCACCGTGACGACAAAGGAGCAAGTGGACCCCTCACCACTCCCGAGTAACGGTAGCGAGGGTGACGAGCCGGTGGCAGCGGCAATCAAGGAGCATCTCAATCCGGAGTCATCAGATCCAGGGAGTGACAGCGAGGCACCAGAAGTAGTGCAGGGGCGGATACGCCCCCCGTTACCTTCCCGTGGCAGTGCAACTCCCGAACATCTTCCGCAGGATGAGAATGAGATGCATAGGCAAGAGATGGGCATGTATACATAAAGGGGGGATTGGCCCAGCGAAACGGCCATCTAGATATAATTGAAGTGCAGTATTATTCTTTCGGGCACACAATATGATCCCAACTGACGAGCAGTGCTCTTGGTTCGTCCTCCGAGGCATTTTATTTATCTCAAGCTCATCAAGTCTGATATCGAAATCTTGACTCTTTGTACAATGATCACGAAGAGCGCTGCTGGTATGTATTAAGGTAGCACTGGTAGCAATGATTGTAGCCAATGCCATATGTGCCGCTTTAGGCAGCTATGCCGACCGTTACCTCTGCAAGGCTGCATCTCTTGACGCGGCTCCATCAATGACCATAGTTGAAGCTCTTATTACTCCATCCTGATCCTGTCCTTACATCCTTCCCTCAATTCTCTCAAAACTCCCTACCAGTCTTTCGCCGTGATGAATCATTATCCTCAGGCCTGGGGACGAGTAAGTCCTGCACCTTTGCCTCAAAACGCGACGCAGCTAACCCTTGACAAGCCCCGAGATGATGTGTACGGGCCATACGATCCTTCACACCTCCAGACTTCGATGCCTCAGACGCACACGCAATCACCCGCCGTGACAGGAACGTCGGTGCTCGGGGTTAAATTCAAAGACGGCGTTGTAGTGGCCGCAGACAATCTTGGTAGGTTTCCCACAGGTGCAACGCTTCCTCGGATTGGGCTAACACATTCTCTCCAGCGTCCTATGGCTCCCTGGCGCGGTTCACAGACGTCAAACGTCTGCGGACGTTTCCTCCCAACACCGTGGTTGGCTTTGGTGGCGACGTCTCAGACATGCAATATCTCGACCGGCTCTTGCAGTCCCTGGACATTCGAGAAAACTATCTCTCGGCCACGGGGCACACGCTGAACGCACGAAATCTTCACATCTATCTCTCCAAGGTCATGTACAAGAGGAGGAGCGAGTTCAACCCGTTGTGGAACATGATGCTGGTTGCGGGCCTGGACGAAGACGAAAAGCCCTTCCTGGCCAGTGCCGATTTGCTGGGGACCACCTTCTCCGCCCCCACCCTGGCGACGGGGTTTGGTGCACATCTGGCCCTACCTTTACTGCGGAAACTGATGCCTCATGACGAAGAGAGTGTCAAGGACGTCACGAAGGAAATGGCCATCGACGCCGTCAAGCAGTGCATGAAAGTCCTGTTCTACCGCGACGCCAGGAGCTTGGACAAGTACAGCATTGCAGTAGTGACCAAAGAGGGTGTCGAGCTCAAGGAAGACGAAAAGCTGGAGGATCAAAGTTGGGCATTCGCTGATCAGATCCGGGGGTACGGGACGCAAGTCAATTAGGGGGGCTATGCAATCGAGCATGACCGGTGCACGGCGTTCAGTTTGGGACGGAGGGCACCTGAAATGCAGGGCGGTTACCAACGGCGGGCCTTGGGGATTCCACAGAAATAAAGAATCCTCTTCTAAACACAAGACGTGAGAGTCATAATCATGTTAACTCTTGAGTTCCCTAAGTGTCATAGTCGCCTGATAGAAGCCACCAGGGGAGGCAAGGACGAAGCCTGGACCATTCGAGAGCTTGAGGATGATTGGCCACACGTGTGGTTGCTTGGCACCGGTGAGTCAAAGGCGGAGTTTCGGTGCCGCTGACGTGCCTGCGCCAGAAATTTGGAGAAGGCGAACTGGTGCCAGAAAAGTCCCTGTGCTGCTGCTGTGTTGCCCGCAGCAAACACACATAACTAACTACTTATTTTCCACACCTGGTGTCTCTCCTTGCACTGGACTTTTCCTCTTCCTAATAATTCCCGTGGTTGGTAGCCCCAGAAGCCCCAGTGTGGTTCCCCTATCGTTTTAATCTCCTACCTGGAGTCGACCCTGTACACTCTCTAGCGCCCTCAACTCAGTGCCACCACCATGGAAGGCTCAGCCGTACAGCAGGACCCTACGCCGCACAACAACAGCAATGCTCACAGAGGGCAAAGACATAGACGGAGAGGTGGAGGCGGATCCAACAGACCGTCACACTCTCGACCAGAAACCACAGCTCCCATCAGAATGACGGCTGGTAGACCCTTCGAGGGACGCCTCACGCGACTACACGCCGAAGCACCACCTTTCGTCCCGTCCTCTCTACCACCGCCTCCTCAGTCGAACACGCAGTCTAGAGACTCAAACGCTCGCCCCCCTCGCCCGGGTAACAAGAACACTTCTCCCCGGACGTCGCAGCGGCCACAAGGGCGGAGAGGCTCGGTCGGCCGATCGACAGCCCCGGACATCGCCACCAGAACTCACGAGGACATCTCGCACAACCTGTACGAGTGCCCGATCTGCACAAACGAGATTGGTCGATCTTCAAAGGTCTGGTCATGTCGGACATGTTGGACGGTGTTCCACATTGGCTGCATCAAGAGGTGGTCAAAAAACGAGGGTTCGGCCGTGCCTCGTTCCGCAGGCCAGAGTGATGAAGAGACGCAGCCCGGAAAGCAGTGGAGATGTCCTGGCTGCAATCTACCAAAGGAAACCTTCCCATCGGTATACACTTGCTGGTGTGAAAAGGAAGTCGACCCGAAGAATATCCCTGGTCTGCCTCCTCATTCCTGCGGCCAGACTTGTGGCCGGGCGAGGACATTCCCCAAAGCCTGTCCACACCCTTGCGATCTCCTGTGTCATGCCGGACCGTGTCCACCGTGCTCAGCCATGGCACCCAAGCAGAGTTGCTACTGTGGAAAAAAGGAAACAACGAGGCGGTGTGTCGATACAGACTATGAGACGGGATGGAGCTGTGGTGCCGTGTGCGGCGATGTCATGCCATGCGGCGAGCACACGTGTCAGAATCCCTGTCACGAAGGGCTCTGCGGCGCCTGTACCACCGAAGTCGATGCACGATGCTACTGTGGAAAGGTGGACCGAAAGATATTATGCAAAGAACAGGGTGAGGAGAAGCCAAGCGGTGACTGGATTGGACGCTTCGATTGCGGTCAACAGTGTGACAGACTCATGGACTGTGGAATTCATCACTGCGAAAAGTCATGTCATCCCCAAGATGCGACGATACCACATTGCCCCAGGTCAGTCGACATGGTTACACACTGCCCCTGTGGGAAAACGGCTCTGTCTCAACTTGACAATGGCCTTCGGAGACTCTGTACCGATCCGATTCCGAGCTGCGAAAAGGAATGTGGACGAACATTACCATGCGGTCACAAATGCACACAGATTTGTCATACTGGAGGATGCGGCCCTTGCACCCTCAAAGTCGCCAAACCATGTCGTTGTGGTCGCAATTCATTTGACGTCATCTGCCACGAAGCGACGGAAAAACCACTTCAGTGCACACGTTTGTGCAAGGCTACCTTGAATTGTGGCCGGCACGAGTGTGGTGAACGATGTTGCACGGGGGAGCGCAAAGCATCTGAGCGTCAGGCAGCTAAACGAAAACTCAAGCCGCTGGGGGGTCTCACACGGGCATTCGACGAGCATATTGAGGCAGAGCATATTTGCACTCGCGCATGTGGCCGCAACCTGAAGTGTGGAAATCATGTTTGTCAAGATCTTTGCCATCGTGGACCATGCGGCAGCTGCAGGGAAGCCATCTTTGACGATATCCCGTGCAGCTGTGGGAGGACCGTCCTCCTGGCGCCGTTACCATGCGGCACCGGTCCGCCGCCGTGCATTTTCCCGTGTAATAGGGTGAAGGATTGTGGCCACCCTCCCGTTGCACACAACTGCCATTCGGACGAGGAGGAATGCCCGAAGTGTCCATTTCTCACCGAGAGGCAATGTCTTTGCGGCAAGAAGACTCTAAAAAACCAGCCGTGCTGGAGGGTTGATGTCTTGTGCGGGTTGGTCTGTGGCAAAACGCTCAAGTGTGGCTCCCACACCTGCCGGAGGACGTGTCATAAACCGGGTGAATGTGAAGACGCTCAACAGCAATGCCAGCAAGAATGTGGTAAAACGAAGAGAACCTGCGGGCATCCTTGCGAGCAGCCGTGCCACGCTCCTTCGACGTGCAAGGAAGACAAGCCATGTCCGTTCAAGGTGATGATTACATGCGACTGTCAACGCAAGAAGGAAGAGGTCAGGTGCAATGCGCGGGCGCATGTGCCCGAGCCTCCGGGTCGCCAAACTTCGCTCAAGTGTGACGATGAATGCGCAAGGCTGGAGAGGAATCGCAAGCTGGCACTGGCCCTTCACATTCCAGACGATCACACAGATGAGCATGTCCCTTATTCGACCAACACCCTCAACATGTATCTGGAAGATGTGGCATGGGCTCACAAGCAGGAGGAAATCTTGCGGCTCTTTGCGGCCGACGAAAACGAGAAGAGATACCGCTTTCCACCAATGAGACAACGACAGCGGGCATTTATCCACAGCCTGGCCGAAGACTTTGGTTTTGATGGCGAAAGTCTGGACCCTGAGCCACATCGACATATTTTATTGTTCAAAACACCTAAATTCGTCGCGGCACCCATGAAGACCCTGGCTCAAACTGCACGAATCAAGCGAGCTCAGCTGAATGTGTCTGCCCCAGTCTCGTCTACATCGGACCGCAAAGCAGATGAGGTCAAACACGACTACAACGGGCTGTTGTTGACCAAGCCTAGATTTGCACTGACCGAAGACGAGTTGAGGCCCCTGATCAAGAAGTCCGCCCCAGCCACAGAGTTCGACATCATCTTTTTATCCCACGACGAGGGTGTGGCGCTTTTACCTACCCAGTCCTCAGACACTCCTGAGCAGTTGGTGACTCTGCTTGCCGGTCTCCAGCCTACCATTGCCGGGGAGGTGAGCAAACATGGTCTCGGCGGATCGGTCGTCCTCTGTCAGTTCGACACTTCAGACCTTGAGCCGAGAATCCTTCAGCAACAAGGGAGACCGATTCCATCACTCACAGATGGATGGTCTCAAATCGCGGCCAAAAGAGCAGCACCGGCTGTAGCCCCTCAGGTCAAGCCGGTCGGTCAACGCCCAGTATACACTGTACTGGGGAGTCGGCTGGCGGAGGCCAAAAAGAAGAAACAGGAGAACGAGGCTAAGCTGCGGAAGAAAGCCCAACGGCAAGAAGTGGTGGAGGATTGGGAAAAGGAGATGGATCAAGAAGAAAATGAGGAGGCCGCAAGAAGGACGAGTGAGGATGGTGTCGAGCCCACCAACGGGGTTGCCGCATGATATGGCTGCCCCATACAGATGTGGCTTGCAGCGTTTCAGCTTGCTATGTCCGGCACTAAATAGAACGTAGGGTGATGATGGACATGGCTGTGCAAAGTAAGTCCACCACCTAGGCAATGCAACACGCCAATGTTGCAACACGCAACTCAACCACCGTTGCACCTGAACAAGTCTCAATTACTCAGCTAGCACTCTCGTCTACATGGGACACGTCTATTCACGCTTTAATTGGGTCGTTGGAGATAGCATTCCTGTTGGTTGTAGACGCCGTCGCCGCACATGAATGCCTCTTTGGCTGTTTGCATCGTCTAAATGCTAGCAAAGGTCTCGTTGGCACCGTTAGCCTTTCCCTTTTGCCTCTGGGCCTTCGTTCGATCCAGTTGAGCCTTCAGGCTAGCGAATTGCCTATCCTTGTGTGATTATCCCACTGTAAACGATCAAGTTGTTTAGCAGACTTTCCCACGAACGTTCGAGAAGGTCCTTAAGAGCAATTCCTGACAACTTGCTCCATAAACTGAATCGCGGGAAAATTCGCCTATTAGCAGGTGTATGATAGACGCCACTGTCGCAGGCTTTTCGCTCGCGAGAAGGCGGTGTTCGTGGCGTGGTCTGAGCGATTGCGGTGTCCTTCAGGATCCGACTAGATCGAATGGCATTCCACGGATTCCATGGATAAATACTGCTCGCCTTCCGGCCATACTTGATATTGGCGACACTGAGACCTTCCTAGCTAGCCTTCTGATGTATCTGTAGGAACGTAGTCTTCTTTACTAGGCTGGCATCGTCGAATCTAGCTAGATCAGTGATCTGCGCTCGAGAAACAGTGGAGGTGGTCTGAGGCAGGATCGAATATCTGTCGCACCTTAATCGATTGTCGATCGCGAACCCACGCCTCAAGGAGCTCGGGAAGGTGTACAATTGACGCGCTTAATAGAGATCGTTCGGCCTACCTTCGAACGGATACCAGGATGTCGCTGGAGAAACCGTGGTAGCCAGTTGTGTCCGACGAGACCGGGGCCGCCAGACGACTTGTTGACTATCCCTGCGAGAACTCGCACTGCAGAATAGCTAGGCGGGTGACCCTGAGCCGCCAGATCAAGTATCCATCTCTTCAGTAGTTCCTCCTGTGTGTTCGACAATAACTGCTCTCGTTCGTGGGCGAGCGTGGCCGATTGCGTGCCTCTTAATCTGCGACTTAAGGTGGCGTGGTTCACGTCGTTCGCGGCCGCGGCCGCGCGAATCGAGGGATATTTGCGTGTTTCAAGGTCTTGAATGGCCTGCTGGATTCTGGCCTCTCGATTTGACGCCATTGACGCGTGATTGATGGCGGATTGGTGGAGAGGTAGTTGGATTGATTGAGATGGTCTGGTGTTGCATGGCCTGGTGTTGCATGGCCTGGTGTTGCATGGCCTGGTGTTGCATGGCCTGGTGTTGCATGGCCTGGTGTTGGACTTCTCGGTTCTCGCTTGTCGGATATGCAAGTCTCGGGTCGCTCCTCAGCTGAACTGCACCGCTTCCGCATCAATGAATAACCCGATCCGGCTTGGCCGACGTCACCGGCTGCGTTTCTCCCTGCGCCCCTCCTGTGGCTTCTGTTTGCTCTCTCTCTCGACTCACCTCTCCAACTCTCACGATTGCCCTGTATAGCTGCTCCCTGTGGCTATCCACCAATTGTCTCACCCTGAACTCTCAGATCCCTGCTCGCTTGGATGCTTCGTATCACTTACAGCTGCACATCAAGCCGGCCTTGGCTGCATCCTGAAACACTCCGGACTCCTCAGTTCAGCTCACAGGTGACGCTTCTCTGACCCACCACCAAGAAGCTGTTGTTAACATCCTCGTGATTGACGGTGATTTATATCTTCCTTCTCCTCTCGCTCTTTTTCTGATTTCTGACTTTGATTGTCTCCTTCTCCTTCATCTCTGTGTCATTCATTGTGCAACTGGACCACCACACATCTCCAGAGCCAATCCATCACTGACCTTTTCTTCCCCAACTTCGCTCTTCCTTCTCACCGACCATGGACCAGCTCAAAGGTGCCTTAAACAGCTTCACTGGTGGTGGCAACAGTGCGCAGCATCAACAACAACAGAACCAGGGCGGCGGCCAGAACGCTTCTGGCAGTGGGAGCGGAAGCTTCCTTGGCGGACTGGGTGACAAGATGAATGCCGCGGCGGGTGGTGGGCCGGAAAGTGAGAAGAACGAGGATATGCTCGACAAGGGTGAGTCTGTCTGCCACAATCCTAGGTCCAATCGATTTGATCCTCCTTCTCCTCCTCGCCGCCATCATCATCATCATTATCATCATCATGACACTGTCCGTATGCTGACAAGGGCCCTCATTCGCCGCCACTCCAGGGGTCGACTTCGTGCAAGAGAAGTTCCTCGGCCAAGGTCCGCAAAACAATGAGTCCGCTCTCGAGCAGGCCAAAGACGAGCAGATCAGCGACTTCATTCGAGACAAATGTGAGTGCTTGCTTGCTTCCTTGCTCGTCACCCACCCTCTTTGCCATCCGGGCTCGATCGAGAATGCCTGTTGTGCCTGTGCGGCTCGCTGACATGGAACCTTGACTTCCACCACCCACAGACAAGTCGAGCACCGGCAAGGACTTTCCCGTCAAGGACAAACCGACACAGTTCTGAAGGACCACTGGCGGGCAGTGCCAACGGCAGCGGTGATATTGCATTCTTGACCCGGTTGAGCCATGACAGATCTGGGGAGGGGAGTGAAGGCGTCAACCAACCAATCAATCAATCAGTCATGCAGGCAGACAAAGCGTGCACATGACGGGGAAAGCAACAACAACTGTAGCTACATACATAGGTACGGGACCTGAGGATATGATGCTCGCGGGATTGAGCACGGGGTGAAGCGAGCCGCGGCCCTGGGATACGGCATTGACTGTCCTCCTTGGGGGCATCATTACAGGGTTAGTATTAGCTAGTTGAGCGGGCATTTGCTTCCGGCACACACGCACGTGTCAGGTCATGCCATGCCATGTCAATCAGAACATGCGACCCATCTTTCAACCACCCCCAGACACGCCGTGCCCCCGTTCTTGCTTGTTTGCTTGCTTGTTTGATTGATTAAATAGTTCTTCGCGGGATATTGCGGAGCGGCGGGTTTATGAATCGCCCAGGGCAGTATCATAGGGGCGAGAATGGGCGATTGATTATCCCGGGGATAGAGTGTGTGTATAGTATAGTACATCACAAACGTACACCACACCTTAGGTAGGTAATATAGACAGATATATGGATATAGATATAACTCGTTATATGTATATGTATAAAAGAGCACTAGTCCGCTGCCCGGCCGGCTCCCTCTTCCTCCTCCTCCTGCTGTGCGCGCCTCTTCTCCATCTTCTCCATGGCCTCCTGCGTCAACTCCTGGCGATTCAGGCGTTCCAGCACATCGTGCTTGCGCGTCCGGCGGTCGCCGATCCAGATCAGCAGTCCCGCCGTGGCGTTGCAGGTGATGGAACAGCACAGGATGACCGTGGTCAGCGCAAAGGGCCGGCGGTGGTAGTCGATGCTCCACGTGACGGTGCCCAGGGCGATCTGCAGGAGCGAGTGGCAGTCCAGCAGCACCACGATGGCGACCAGCAGGCGCAGGGGGAAGGCGTGGTGCGTCTCCGTCTCGTGCGGCTTGTAGAAGGTGTGCGACTTGTTGAACTTGGCGGCGTGGTAGTCCAGGAGTCGCTGCTGCGCGGGGGTCAGGACGCTGTACTCGCCCGGATCTTCGGGGTGCTCGTTGCGGACGCCGAATCGTCTCCGTAGGTGGAGTTTGGCGGCCGCTTTGTTCAGGACGCGGTCGCGGCGGCGGGGTGGGGGCCGGGGCACCGCGGGCGGCGGCATCTCGGTGGGGAGGTCGTTGTGGTTTCGCAGGTCGGGCAGGTGGCGCTTCTTGCGCGTCTCCCAGGTCAAGTGGTGGTAGTGGGCAATGAAGACCATGTGGTAGGTGTCCACAGCCCGGAAAGGGGCGAGGCCATCGCCGACGATGGCGAAGAGGGCCACCAGGACATTGTCAATCACGTTGATGATATACAATTGCTTCCCGCCGACGTTTATCCAGCCTGTGCTCGGTGATTTGATCAGTGCCCATAGATTTGAAAGGAGGGGTGGCAGGGCGTACCGATGAGGAAGAGAACCCAGGCCAAGCCAAAAAGCGTGATCAACGTCGCATAGAGTGTGATGCAGAAGCCGAGAGCTGCGATTCCAACAAAGTTAGCAGTTTGCAGAGAGTGGCGATCGAGGTCCCCCGGCCCGGGGGGGGGGGGCTCACTCACGTTGGCGAACATATTGCATGAACCCTTTCAGGGACCTTTTGAGTTTCGACCGACGTGAGTGCAGCATATGTCGAACATGATCGTTGAGCTCCAATCGATCTTCATACGTCCACCCGGACAGCGACGCTCCTTCGGGAAGGACCGCATACCGAGAGTCGCTGAGCTTCGAGTCGATGGTACCACCGGTAGGAGCTCGGTATACGGGTGCCGGGCGTGCGACCTTTGGTGGTTGTTTTGCCTGCGTGGGCCTGTCCTTCTCTCCCGGCTTTAATTTCTGTTCGACGTCTTGCAAGAGGCTCGTGAGGGAGAATGTCGGCCTTCTGTTCACGTATCTCCCAAGGTTGGGGACGAACAGCGAGTTTTGCACGTTGGTCAGGGAGACGAGAGTTTGAACTTCAGGATCTGAACGATACTGGTGAGCACAAAAGAAAGGTCTGGGGAGGTGATGGGATACGTACCGAGAGCGTCGAGTGCATCGACCATATCCGTATTGTAGTCCCTTCCAGACTGCGGCAAAGAATCCCTCTCCTCGCGCCCAAACCCCACTGACCGACGAGCTTTGTTCCACACGTTCCCTAGTCTGCCATGATCGGCCCGGTCTGTTTCTGTAGGGGTCGCGGCGTAGTCGTGAACTGCGCCGATGTTCGCTTCAGGCCCCGAGGCATGAGTTCCGTGACGAACAAGTCGAATGCTGGGAGGGTAGAAATTGTCATCTCTCGCCGCGAGCGCTTCTCTCACGTCAGGATGTGGCTCGTCTTGTAAGGTCGGAGGGGGACTCGCTGGCGGTCTCTCGGTCGGTGGTTGCCTTCCTGTCCTGGCAGCGGCAACTGGCCGTGATACATTTTCGGTGGTGGCTATTGCAGCTGGGTCGCTACGTTCCCGCCTTCGAGACGCGGCGTGGATGGCATCACGCAAGCGGTCCATTCCCGAGCGATGCGAAGCTGTGGCTTTTTTCACCAGGTGACGGTGCGTTTGGCAGCGGCGGCAGTCCTGCGATGTACGCAGACAGCGTACTCACACAGGATGAAGCTGGCATCGTCGAAACTGGCGTGGCGGCGATCGAGATTATCAGTAGCGATATAACCTGGGACTCGGGACCCTGAACGCGTCTCAAAACTTGGAAAAGGACATGAATGCCAGATGCGGAGTGATGTCATGGGCTGCGGCCCCCGATGGACTGAGATACCCTAGGGCTAGTGTCTCTGGAAGGAAATTGGGGGCGATGAGGGTGGTGGCTGGGCACCTGGGGGAGCAATCTCGGCAATCTGCAGGCACTAGATCTGCCTAGTGAGCCCCTAAAACTCCAAAGGGACCATTTAATTGGCACATGAACTGATCGGGACACTCGGCGCTTGATCAGAATCGGGATAGCAACACGCCTGAATCGACAGTGGCGCACAACAAAAGAAGAAAGATGACGACGAGGAGCTGAGGATGGGGCCCCTCGACATATCCAGGACACATCATCAAGAGGATGAGAAGATATAGAAGGAAAGCGTGGTGCCGAGATGGGATGTCCTCATCCAGCGTGGGATGAATGCCTTTATCTGCGGCCAAACAGAGGATGGAATGAACCATGCAATTTCTTGACAGGCGCTCGTTCATGACTGCTCTGCTCTTTGGCCTTTGCCCGACTGTACAGACAGGAAGTGTCCTCCTCGCTCCACCGTGAACACTCCTTCAAGGGCTGGGCAACCATGGCCTTGCATCCCTCGTGGGAACAGATGCTGGGTAGGCTCTGTGTGCCCCAAGCCAACCGTCCGACTCCATCAGTTCCACGCCGTTATTCCCCTGCTGAGTGTGCGACACGTCCACATGGGTGGACTTCACAGAGTAATCCCGAGTTAGGTGTCCCGAGAACTGCGATTGAGGATGATGATGATCGGATGCACTGGGCTGGCGAATGTACGGACCTGCTCGGGACTTGGACGTCCCGAATCTCGATGGCCAGGCTCTTTGCAAGAACAGCCGTGCGGCCGGCATGCATGCGCAGACGATGCTGATGTCCAGTTCGATGGAGCTCCAGAAGGAGATCGGCTGTAGGTGAACTGCGAGGGATTGACAGGAACGCGAATCAGTTGAGGTTCTGAATTCTAAGATCGTCGAACCAAGACAGAAACGGGGGCAGAGGAGGTGAGAGTCACATACACGTAAGGTTGGAATTCTTTGCAAAGTTGATCAGTGATTGGAGTCTGATGCAGCTGACAACGGTGATGCTATAGAACCATCGAAGAGCCTGTCAGCTGATTGATGGACTTCGACTCCTAAGGGAGATTTTCGAACGAGAGGGGGGTGCAAAAACGACTCACAACGATCCCACTCCAAACATGCTCAAGATCTGGAGCTTCTGCTGTCGAGAGATCTCGAGCTTGAGGATGACAGGCACCGGCAGCGCCAGAATTGCGAGGTCAAGCCCAATGTTGATGCCCGCCGCCGCCCAGCCCCCAGCATTGATATCGATACACGTTCCCGCGGTGGGATCACGCCATTGCTCCCAGAAGAAGGCCACGGGACTGCATTCGAAGCCGAGAACGAACATGTACGAAACAAAGTAACAAATGCAGAGGCCGATGAGGACGTACGCGCCTTTCCGGAAGTACGGCTGGGGGAAGACGGACAAGTAGAACGACACGACGGCCAATTTGGTCAAGACCGAGATGAAGATGTATAAGAACTCGCCGATGAAGAAGTTCTGCGCCGTGTCTTTCGTCAGCCGTCAGGTCAAGGATACCAGCCACAGGCCACATCATGGCAACACCACCACCACAAACTACCCTTGGTCTTACCTTCAAAACGATATCGATGTCATCGGGTGGGACGTTCCACAGGTCTTTCCCTAAGCCAAGGTGGGCAGCTGCGTAGTATTGCGCGACAAGCATGTGTCAGTCAACGAACCGATGACTCGAGGGGGATCGTGGATTGGGACGGTCATATATGTACCCTGAAAGTTGATTGCCGTGAAAACAACGACGCTGAGCTGTTGGAATCTGTCAGCTCTGCCTGAGTCTTTACGGCTCTTTTTTCTCTCTTTCAAAGTCAGATAGCACGTACAGTTGCCACCATCATAAGCCCGTCGTCGACTCGGAACCCCGGAATGAGAGGCGGTCGCACAGAAAGCCTCATCAGATAGAAGACGACGGCGAGTGCCATGAAGATCGATGTGACGATGATGTAGGTTTGAGACGTGTTGTTCGGCGTCACACCGCATGCTTTTCCCGTAAGGTTGACGGCGCCTGTGCGAAAGATTTCGTCAGATCAGGTAGGCAGGGCTCTCTCTCTCTCTTCCTCCCTCTTTCTCTTTCTAGTCATAGGCGATAACAGACTGATAACTCACGTAAAGCCTCGATTACGGTGCAGTTCGCGGTGTTGCACTGCTCAATGCGCGTGACAAGAGATGCATCGGCGCATATGCATGCCAGGTCGGTCGTGGCGCATGTCGAGGATGGAAAGAGGGATTCGGCGCATAAAGCCTAGAAGCGGGCAAGAAGGAAGGCCTAGTGTCAGCCATTGGCCATCGAAGGAGTCCAACCAATGCAGATGGAATACGCAGTGATATCACCATACCGCACATTGCGGGACTGCAGACAACAATCCCTGGACCGACTGTCCCGTGGCCATATTTGAGAACACCAACAACAAAAGGACACTCGCAGAATTGAAGTGACAACAGTGACAGGATGGCGTGGGGAATTGGTGGTATGTCGTTTGATATAACGTTCATAGAGCACCCAACAAAGCTTTTGAGGGTTGCGGACCTCTTTCTTACACTCTCTTTTCTCCTGCTGCTAGAATCCTTTTGACAGTTCAAGGATTTTCGGCGGCCCGTCGCTGCCTTGCCATGCCTCCGTCCCATCGTCTGGGTCTCCTTGTGGAGAAGTGGATGTCAGAAGGCTTCCCTTCCATGGAACGATGACAGAAGAAGGATCCATAATGAAAACTATGAAACGATATGCGGGGCCGTGGTGGATTTGTCGGATTGCCAGGCAAGGGCAGGAAGGGTAGGCGAGATCCTGGGACTGCTGAGGAGGGTGTTTGTTGAGTGAGTAAGGAACGGTCCAGGTAGACGGTACGGTCCTTCAGATTGCAACATGTCCTTTGGAGGAAAAGAAAGCCCCGGAGGGCGCGAATGAGCGCAAGCCAAAAGGGCCACGCCGCATCAACCGCACAGTTTCGGAGTGTTCCCACCTCCTGACAATGGAGGAGCTCAAAAGCCGTTGGGCTGTCGAGGAACTTCCGGGGCAACATGACCATGTGGGAAGTCATACGGAAGTCTGAGCCGGAGAAGAGGGTATTGAGTGAGTGACAGACCTTGACAAGTCCGGTCTAGATCGTATTGCATGGAGTTGATTTACCACCCGACGTTGGAGTGGCCGTCTCAGCTTCCTGCATCGCTGTTCTCAAGCAACGCCTGGGCCGACATGGGGAGACTGGGATCTCGGTTTCACAAAGGCGAAAAAGCCGTGCAGATCATTTTGTAAGGTGCTACTGTGAGTTGCCCCTGCATCGGCGACCTGGACTGTTCGAGCCAATGGCCCCGACGAGGTCGAGGCGCCACCGGTTCGTCATTCTGCAGGAACAATAGCCGACACCTATCGAAGCGAAGGACCTTTGCCTGATGGAGACATTTGGCCCGTGATGAGATCTGAACCGGGCAGGGACGGGGCGTGTGTAAATCTTCGAGACCGTCGGCTTCTTCACCCGCGCCCGTTATAAATCGACAGGGGGAGTGTCATGGTGGGAGAACCAAAAAATTCTGTTGACTGGCCCCCACAACCACTGCTACGCCGAAACGAAACCAAAGCAAAAAGCATGTGCAATTTCTGTTCTCCATATACAAAGTAGTACTCGGTACTTGTTCCTGGGTCTGGAGTGATAATAAGTCAGGGGCAAGTCGTATTGCTTATCCAATAGTACAAGTAGTCCGTCCACCCATCGTCACGGAGGTTACGCTGATATTTCTATATGTGCCACAATGTATATTCCTCGAACAATCGTCGTCCGTGTTAGGGATTTCTCCTAAAGACACCAAGTAGGCTAAGCATGATGATAGGCGATTCGGCACGCAGCGGATATGTATTATAGAGCATTCGGTCCTCTCGCAACTAGTAACTATCTCGTACAGTTTCCTCTTCTACATTACTTGTTCTCTTCCTCCATGGCCAAGTCCATAAGTCAGTATAAGCAGTCGAATTTTCAAGGAGACACTCTTCCCCCAGCAGTCAGTCTTACAAAACCACTCACGATAATTTCCCCGGCCGACCATCCAATAAATTCCCAGCTTCCAGTTCACTCTGGGCGTCGCCGCTCTTCTTGTGGTGGTGGCCTTCTCTTCTCTTTTTCGATATCATTTCTTTGATGTCCCGAGCGAACAAGTTCCACCTCCGAGGTGGTGGGCCGGCGCCGCTTTCGGCAGTGGCAGCGGCGGCAGCAGTCATAGTGTTGTTGGTATCAGGAAGCGACGCATTTAGCTGCAGCACTGTTCCTGTCTTCCCACCGGCGGCTTTTGATGGTGGTGGTGGTGGTGGTGGTGGTGGTGACAGTGATGACGAAGAATTAATTTTATTCGGATTTTCCCCTCCAGAAGATGATGATCCGGGAGGCGAGTGCAACTGACCGCCGCCCTTCTTTCCAGCCTGCTTCTTTGGCGGAAGATCACTCGTCTTCCAAGGGGGCCAATGCTTGTGTTTGTAGTCGCGAATGGCCCTGAACATGGGCCTCAGGATCTCGTCAAACACCGTGGGTCCGTATGCCAATGCAAGGAGCGTCGGAATGAAGATAATAACCGCAGCTACGAACATGTCCAAGACCATCTTGCGGCTCGGCAGCCCGCTCGTGCTCATCGTCGCCGCGCCGAATCCTAGCGGGAGGAACACTACGGTAATGTACGTGAAGTAGCGGACGTTCTCGGCGCTCTGGAAACTCAAGTCGTCACGGGTCGACCCCAGCCGGCTGGCGAGGGACTCCCGGAGGGACTGGATCTTGGAGTGATACCGCTCAAGGTCCCGAATCTTGTGGTTGTTGGCGGTCGTCATCTTCGTAATCACGGAGCGGTACTTGGCCTCGTCGTTGATCGTCCAGCGCGGCCGTTCGGGTTCCCGGTCGCGTTCCCGAGTCTTCCACAAGCCCACGGTGTCGAGTGTTTCCTTCAGATCTTCCTCCATGATTTGAAGGGTGTACTGGAACGGAGGCCACTTTTTCCGGAACTCGAGGTAAGCGTAGCTGTCCATCTCTTGCGAGAAGATGGCATTGGAGATGGACAAGACATCCGAGTGAACAACCGGAGAGCTGTCGCCGTTCTCCTCCTCATCCGACAGGAGATCCCTCAGCTCTCCGTCCACATGCTGAAGCAACTCTTTATATCTCCCGATGATCTTTTCCAGCATTCGATCAAAAAGGATGAGCTCCAGGACCTTTCGCTGACGCCAGGGGTTTCGGCCCCGCTCCATTTCCGGGATTCGATTTTTGATCAGTGTGTCGAAGCATTGCTGTAATTTGTCAGGGTGATGTGCCTTGACCTGAGCGTCTCCGACATAATCCTTCGGCTCGTATTCAAGGACGTGACAGGTCCAGAAGCGGTCAAAGAAGTCGCCCACGATGCGGAAGCCCGTTCCTGCCCTCCGGATCCATTTTTGGCCACCCAAAAACTTCAAATCGGTGATTCCATCATTTTCATCCACCAGCTGGTAAGAAGATAAATGAAATTCAGTCGTCCAGGCATTCAAAGCGGCTGTTGTGTCATCGGTGAAATATTTCTCTCGGTGAAAGTGTCGGTCGAAGAAGGATGCAATGAATGCTGCCTCGGCCCCGGGCGACGCCATCGCGCAGAGTAGACCCAGGTCAGGATTCGCCTTGAAAGACCAGATCAGTCTTTTTTTGGCTTCTTCGGCGGTCCTCAACTTATCCAGTCTGCCGTACATACCGTGGCTGGTCAAAAGTTCAATCTTGTCAAGTGGATTTCCAGCAATCGCCACATTGGGATCACCGGCCATATGCTTGCTCTTGGGAACATCGATTATGGCCCCTTCCAGGTTATGTCCCTTGGCGTCCATGAACGAGAAAGTTCCCCTGCGGAGTAGAGATCGAGGTTCAAGGTCATAGAATAACTCAAGGAGAGATTCGAAAATCCCGTCGTTAGCGAAGTATTGGAAAAAGTCTCTTATGCCCGTCATGTTAGGCTTAAAGTCCAGGAAGGGTGGGGGATTGTATAACCACTCATCTGAAATTTCCACAATACTTTGCTGGTCTATGAGATCGTTGTGAGGCATCGACTTTTTCATTTCTAGGTGCAGGTGATGTGAAGGTGATCCTTTGGCCAGTTGGGGCATAACGGCGTGAGGCTCGCCCGAGTCATCAGCGACGGTTTGTGTAGAAATCGCTTCGCACTCGAGAGTTGAGCGGACTTTCCAGAGGATGTATGGAGTTTCGAAGCAGGTATGCCAGTAGAAGTCTCTCCGGGACTTGACCTGAAAGATTTCGGGGTCCTTCGTTTCCATGTTCAATTGCCCCGGCAGCATACCACTGGCAGACGAACTCTGAAATAGAACTTTTTTGGCGGTCTTCAGCATATCTTGGGGTGATCTGCCGTTGATCTGGAGGCCTTTGCTCGCCATTAGCAGTGCTAATGCGTAGCGCAAGGGACTGTCCCAAGTGGCGTCTTGATTTTCCTCGTGATATTTCTGTGCATTGATTGTAGCCTTCCAGAGATCATCCGTCCGGTCGAAGAACGCCGGCTTCGTGTCATGGAAGAAGGCAGTATCTCTGGTCCGGAGTAGAAACCGACTCTCTGACCAACAACGTGCAACAGCGAGCATGCGCTGTCTAGCGGCACGGTTCTGGACAGTGAATCTTCTGAGAACATTTCGTCGAAACTCTGCAGGAGAGTAACCCCACTTCAAGATATCCTGCTGCGAGCTCTCTTGCTCCAAGCTCATCGAGTCGACTTGAGACCTGGATTGCTTCCTCTCACTCTTCTTGCTCTCTTTTTTCTGCTTCCTTTCCTTCTTTAGCTCCCGACCCAAGCCAAGCTGATCGACGACTTGTAGCGCACTCCAGATCCAAACATGATCCTCTAAGCGGTAGTTGTGGTAACCTTCACGTGGGGTGTCTGTCGTGCGAGAGAAGGCAAAAAACCCTCGTTTGTTTTTCTGGTCCAAATGTCGTATCCAAGGACGTACACAGTGAAGCAAGTACGACCGGACGAGAGCCTTGTCGTCATCGTCAAAAATAGCAGCAAAATCGGAAAGCTTGAGGATCTGGAATGGTGTATCGGTCAAGATCTGGAATGGCATATCAGTCGACGTCGAGATTGATGCATCGGGCATTAGTGTCGTGTCCCGGGCATTAACACCATCGTCAGAAGACATCTCCTGCCCAGAAGCCCAATAGTGAGTTTTGAAACGTCCATCAGCGAATGTGGCTTGTCCTATCCAAGCCACGTGAGCCCTGCAAGTATCCTCGATCCTTGTGGATAGACGCCTGCGCATCTCAAATCCACAGGCTAATCTTTCCGCGCTGTTGCATTGACACGGCTGGAAATGTTCTTTCTCAAAGTCACCAGCTCTGAGATACGTCAACATCGCCAGCAAAAATTTGAATGCAAAGCTGATTCCGTCAGCAACGTGGCAGAGATCACAGGCATTGGAACTTACTAGCTGGCTGATGTGACAATCCGATGTCCGGAGAGGTCCCCGCATGTTAAAGCGACGTCGTAATTCTTGTTGCGGGTCCCTTGTCCATGTTCTGCTATTTCCGCTGGAGGAGGGTCAACTTTCTCGCCTTCGGACTGTGGTCGTGTTACTGGTACTGGAATGCTGCATACTGAAAGAATGTGTTCCAGATTCCTGCGCAAGATGAAGTCGAGGTGTGAATCACGCGAGAACGGCAATTTCCGAAAGAGGTTCGTGGTGAAGGCGTCGTGGATTCCAAGGAAATCTGCCTGAGAGATGACACAATCTTTCCAATCAGCCTCCCTCGGCACCAGTTGCAGTCTGTACGCCTCTACTATCTCCACCGGATGTGCTGGAGTGACCGTGAAATTATCTTCCCCGCTGCTTTTCACCCGATAACAATCGCCGTACCAGTCTTGGGATTTTTCGAGCTCTCGCACCTTGCCGTTCACAGAAATGGCAAAGATCAAGCAAACGGCGTTCAGATACTCATCGCCTGCTTCGCTGGGATCACCAGGCTCGAAGCCATTGTTGATCAAGATCACACTGCACTGGTTCGGACCAGGCTCATGCGACTGCTGTTGGGAGCTAATGTTGAAAGTGCTTGACGTGTTGAGAAAATCTAGTTCTCGTATGTGATACTCATCTGGCCGAAGCTTGAGGCCAGAGAATAACGGCGCATTTGTCTCCAACACCTTGTTCACATGAAAGCGTGTTCGAACGAAAACGATACCGTTCGAGACATAGTGTTGACACGTAACAGAAAGGCCGTCGTCGAGCTGATGAGTATATCGAGGCCATCGATCATGGGTAAAATCGAGCTTCCATGCGTCATTAAACATATCATTCAGTTGAGGAGAGGAGTCCTCAAATATGGCTCCGATCGAATCGTCGTTTTCGCTCGGGTCGATGAGTCGTTTTGCACGTTCTTGCACCTGGTACGGTGGAGGGGTTGCTTTTGTATCCAGAGTGAAGAAGCCGGAGCGGCCGGCTCCTAGATAGCGGCTAATTTGTGTGAGAAGGCCATGGGAATCGACGCTTGCAGTTGTGCCATCATGCCCATATGATGCAGACGTGTCTTCTTGTGTTTGATGAGCCACGTCGGGAAGTGCGACATAGTCGTGCTGTCGCAACGGATCCGTCGGAACCCAAGGATCCGAAGACCCTGGACGATACCTATTTAGTACATCGAAGAACACCCAGCAGCAGTGATAGTATAGGATAGAGACTAACCAAAGACGAATTCCTTGAACTTTTTGTATTCTTCTTCATTGGTTGAACTCGGCACGGGCTCTCGATACGTGATACTCAGCCTTGGGACAACGGCCTGTGTTGGAGGAGTCGAGGATCCAGCATCGGATTCGCGAGAGACTCGCGGTTCGGGTCCAGTGGTCTCATCCATGTTCTTGAAGATGGTAACAGTATAAGGTGAAGAGAACTGACGAAGGTGGAATCGATCGAGCCACTTGAGGGGGTCATTTTGAAGATGAGGCTGGAAAATTTGCCGAGTTAGAGCGCTGAAGCTAGGGCACTATGTGCACATCCAAGCTAAGCCTGACCCGTACCCATGCCCCAATCTTTTGCAAGCGTCTGCTTTTGGGGGGGCTGGCAAGGCCTGACTGGGCCATTTCGGGATGTCTGGATGATTCAACTCCCGCGTAGTAATAATCGCGAGCCTTCACACCATCATTGGACCTTGATTGACATCGCAATGACGAACGCAGAAGTCCTGTGGGGGACCCGAGTCCGGTCTCGTAGCTCCTCGCAAAGGACAAGACAAGGTCACGGATAAAAAATTGTGTTTAGATACGGAGCATGTGCCCATCAGAGGTCTGCGATGAGGTTCCTGCAGTTCGCTTGACACGTGTCGCAGAGCGAATGGGCGCCACTCAAGCTGGGGGGACTGAGATGCGGGATTGCCCATAAGGGCATGGCTTTACCGGATAAGGGAATAAAAGTGATGATCGCAGGACTTGGACACTGATTGGGCTTCGAGAAGAGAAGGCGTTTGTAAATGCGTGAAGTACAGTACGTGATCGGGGATCAAGAATTACAGCAAAGGTGAATGCCAAGATCCAATCCCCGTATCTCGTTGGCGGCCCGGGACTTCCCCGCCTCCTCACCACCACAAACGCTACAAATCTACAACGTCGACTTAAGCTAATCACGTAAGTCGGACCGGTTCTTGAATCAGAGCTCAGTATCACTCCTGCAAGTCACCAAATTCGAAGACGCTATCGAAAATGGACGACGACCCCATAGAATTGGATGATGGACGCATGGTCTGCTCGACCCACCACCTTATCGTTTGCCACAAATGCTGTGTCGACTACAGTTTCATGGATGAAATCCTCGGCCACGGCACGGAGTCAGAAGGAGAAGACGATGAAGGAGAAGACGAAGACGAAGAAGAAGAAGAAGGAGAAGAAGAAGAAGAAGAAGAAGAAGAAGAAGAGGAGGAGGAGGAGGAGGAGGAGGAGGAGGCGAAAGAAGAAGAGGGAATGACTTCGAGGAAGCTTAGCTAGATGACAGGAGGCGTATGTGGTGAAGGACGGGGTTGGATTGCTCATGTGACTAAGGAGACTCAGCTGAAACGAGAACGAAGGAGAGTGAGAAGGTTGTAGTGTTGTTCGACGGGGATACGGGATGTACATATGTCATGTTCTGTGACATTACTCCCCTCTTCCGGGTCTGGGCCTCTTACAAGAATACATCTCTGGGAGGAGGTGAGAAGAAGGGTTTGAGGTCCAGCACTAGGGGGTTCCTGTGGATAGTATTGGCACGTAATGATCGATGAGAGGACCAGACTGCAAAGGTCGACCGATCATGGATTGCTTGTAGGTACTGCATGTCATCCCGGAGGCAAATGACCATACTCCTCCCACCTATTCAGATTCAATCCTATGCATCGATTGAGTTTTGTATTCAAAACTAGCTAGATCTATCCATGCATTGGTCGATCTTCCCAGGGTTCCTTTGTTATATAGGCACAAACGACTCTTACCTAGCGCCTTCGCTGTATTCCACAAATACCTAATTGAGACGCTGACTGACTGGATCTGATCTGATCCTGTCCTTCACAAGTCGACAAGCAGAACAAGCAGAGCAGAAAGGGGAGCGCAAAGACGAATGGGTATGAAAGCCTCGAAAGAGGTCTGTTTGACAGGAACATCCGTTGGTCCACCACGATCTGATCGCGGCATAAGTTTGCTTTATAATGCGGTAGGTGGAGACCTTTGTCCTATCTCGACCTCCAGTCAACCCGGGGAATCAGGTACGTCAATGGCAGAAGCCTGGCACTGAGGGCGACATCATCGACACAAGGTGTTAGCGACGAGTGGGAGGCCAGGCGCACAGTAGGCTGGGTATCTTCATCTCTAGCAAAAGTCCTCCAAACACTGCGCAGGAAGTAAGCATTGCGACCCCAGCGGCATACGCACTCTTACTCAAACCCTTCCCCCTCACTTACCGAACCGATTTCCATTCTTTGTGACTGCCCGTCTGCCATCACGCTCCGGAACTTGCTTCAGGCCCTTCCGACTGCCCCTTAACCCTACCCACTGGAGATAGAGGTGTTTGGGGTAGCTGCTTGTGAAATAACAGACTTCGGCTCGTCTTCGTCTTGCGAAGCATGGTCGACACTAGATGATTCTGACAGCAGCCTCTCCATATCGTGTGTGAGACCGGTTGCCTCTTCGAATGGCACTTCAGACCCTTCAAAGTCAAGACTCAACGGTAGCTGGTCGACTGCTGAGCAGATTCGTTTGAGGTGGGTCGGCATCCAGGCATCATAGACATTTTTTGTAAACCTATACCCCGTCCACTTATCTTTTCCCTCCGATGTCCTGAAGCTGAATTCATGGACGGGATGACGATAGTAGGAAACGTCGTCCCCCTCCATCACAGGGTAGTGACCGTAGATCCGAACCGATCGGTGGTCGTGGGATACTGAGAAGGCGAGGATCTCGCGGTCGAGCTCCTTTTCTCGCTTCACGGCTTTGTAGAGCTCAACGACGCTCCTCACGGCAATGGTCATGCTATGAGCGTTCTGCCGATCAGCAATGTCCAGCGCCGCAGGGCCACACTTGAACTCGCAGGTAAGAAATGGAAAATACATCCGAGAGGTCGCAACGAAAAATGAGGTGTCGAAGGCGTCACCAACAAGCGGACCGAGCTTTGTCAGTTGCTCGTTTGTGAATGCGGACCGGTCGAACCCAACAGCATAGTCCGGCTGGGGCCAGGGTCCCTCCACCGGTATGCTACTTAACCAGACTTCATTTGCACTTTCGATCAAGACATCGAGATGTGCGTTGTGAATGGCGAGATTCATCGCCGATGGAACAATCAAGTGAGTGAGGTCTTGAATAATTATCGCTTCGTTCTTGTCGTGTAATTTTCCGCATAATCTGCCAAAACGGTTATCAGTGAACAACGAATTCTGAGGCACCATCTGGTCGTTAGTGAGTAGCTGGAGGCAGATGTCCGTGGTGGCTTGAGGGACTTCATGGTCGAAATCGCGCATGAAGCTTCTTTTGGTTTCCAGCATCGTCACATAGCGTGCATCTCGATATAACGTGCTCCTGCTCTCCCTCTCCGGTTCCTTCTGATCGCCAGATTCGTTGAGGCTCGAACCCGATCGCTTGCGGCGCAGTGATGTAGCAGATCTTTTAGCAGGGCGTGGATATCTGAACCCATTTCTTTCCACGTATCGAACGGCCGGAATAGGTGGCTGCGCCATGATATCGTCTAGCCAGCTGTCGCGTTCCTGAAGCTCTTCCCGCGCCTGATCGTCTGGTTCAAAGTACTCACGGGGCCACTGCTGATTCTGTACCCAGCTCCTGAGCGGATCAGCGGCGCCTGTGACGAGTTTCCGTTCCGATCCTTCTGCCTCGCATTCTGCCGTGCTCCAGGCCGCCTTTCGAGGTCGCTTTGCGGCGGGTGGACATTGCGTGGGAATTGAGGCAGCCGGGGCCTCCTGAGCTCGCTTGCGTTTGGACTTTACGGGTTGCTGGAGCGCAATCATGATCAGTGACGAGGCGGCGTCATGGGGACCAGAAAGTTACCTACCACTAGATCCCGCGAGGTGTCATCCGACGACAAGCCAGTTCCCCATTCATTTCTCCGGCCGCTAGCTTCGGACTGTAGGACATCTCTCAGGCGCGCACTTCTGCGGACCTCGCGTGGTTCAGCTCTTGTCGTCCGCTTGTCTGCACACAGGATTAACGGTCTGCTACCGTTAGCATGTCAAAAGGACGTACGTATTCGGTGAGTTGAAGGAGACTGCGGCCGTCTCTGAGAAGCTGAGGACACTCGACAGTGATCCATAGCTAGACAGATATTGCACCGAGTCGAGGCCCATCGCACAGAGCGGGTAGGGTTGTGGTCAGGTCGAAGTATGGCAGCGCCAGCACAAGACGGCCCAGTTCCGCTGCCACCAGGGGCTATTACTTTGTCAAGGAAAGTTACAGTGTCAAAACCGGTTTCCACCCAAAGGACAATGCAGGAGTATAATTCAGGGGTGGAGGACTAGCTCGTACATCATTGGCGAGTCTGAATAAGCATTGAATCGCAATTGACCAACGACCAGAAATTACGAAGCATGGTTACCGTACTGAACGAGCCCCCTGAAATATACCTCCCGTCCTAACAATGTTGTTGCTAGTTTTGGTTCCCATTTAACGTCATTTACACGGGTTCTGTCTTGTTCTGGTCAATATCACGTACATCAGATGTTGCCCTAAAGTCGGCCACCCATGTAACGAAGCACTCTCCCCACCAACCCTCGACGCGTCGCATTCATTCTCATTCTCTCTCGTACGGAGTCAAGCTGTATCCGTTTCCTCTGAAACTTAGCCAATATGTCCTCTGAGACCCAGCAAGCCATTGAGGCCGCGATTAGCGCGTACGAAAGCGGCCAATACCCCTCGATTCGAGCCACCGCCGTCGCCTACCAGATCGATCGAGTCACATTAGGTCGACGACTAAAAGAAGGACGTACACGACAACAAGCAAGAGAGACAACAAAACCTCTCCCCCTTACAAGAACAGCTCCTCGTACGATGGATAATCGACCTCGATATTGCTGAAGCCCCTCCTACGTTCGCCCAAGTACGCGACTTTGCTGGGCTTATTTCGAATGCCTCTGGCGGTCCGCCTTCAATCGGTAATAATTGGATACATCGCTTTCTAAAACGTCACCCAGACGTACGCTCTGAGATAGGAAGAAAGATTGAATACCTTCGGGCCAAGAATACATCAACGTAAGCCCCTCAGACCTTTGATCACTTTCTTCGGTCGTTACGCGTTTCGAAATCTGTACGAGCAATATATGGAATTTTGATGAACATGGACTTGGAATGGGTGTCTGTATAAATTAACAAGTCCTTGGATAGAGTATCATAAAGCCCTCGTATAAGAAAACCACTGAAAATCGCGACTGGGTGACCGTGATTGAGGCCTATTCGGCTGGTGGCCGTACGATTGATCCATTGATCATCTTTAGGGGTAAAGATTTACAATCGACTTGATTTCCGGAGAATACTCCGTCGAACTGGCACTTTCGTACGACTGAGAGCACGTTTATAACAAGTAAGGTCGGTTTGGACTGGTTACGAGAGATTTTTCTTCCCCAGACTACCTTAGATAGTAGCGTACGACTTCTTCTTTACGACAATGCCAGTAGTTATTTATCGATTGATTTCATGTATGAATGCTTTATACACGATGTTCAATTAGTCTATATACCCTCGCACTCATCGTATATCCTCCAACCGCTTGACGTTAGTGTATTCTCGGTCTTGAAGCGTACATACCGTAAGGAAGTCGCTAATTTATTAAGATTCGTCGAAACACGACCCGTACAACGCAGTCAGTTCATTAAATACTACTCGACAGCGAGAGTAAAGGTCCTTCAACCTCGATATATCGAAGCCGGCTAGAGGAGAGGGACAGGACTTAGCCCGTACAACCCGAGTAAAGTACTAAATTTCTCTCAAGTTATTTAACAAGCACAATCTCCTCAAGAAACTCAGCGAATTCCGCGTACGAGAAAGCGAAAACACTCTCTCACGATCACTACGATAACCCCGAAGAGTGGACGTCAGTTTCAGAGTCATGCGTACGAAGTCTTTAAAGATATTCCAATTCGAAAGGAAGTTCGTCTTGTCCTTCAAAAGCAGCTAAGGCAATCGATCAATTTTCGTGGCAATCAACAGAGAGATCGTACGAACTAACGGAGATCTCAAATCTCTTGAGGGAAAAGACTATAACAAGGCGTACGAGAATTGAGATCGACTCGAATAAGACCTTTGCGACTTTCGAGGAGGTAAAGAGGGCTCAACTACAGGCGGAGCAACATCAGGAGTAATGGGATTGAATAGATAGGGCTAGGCAGGCAGAACTCTCGTCCGAGGCATTACAGAAGGCTCAATTCGCGAATCTGTGTATACATTGGCACATCAACGGCGTTACTGACGCCGTACGAGACGCTTGAATGAATATATCATGGTTGTTGGGGAGAGTGGTTCGTAAACGGGGTGGCCGACTTAATTGATGGCTTGTGAACGGAGAGTGAATTGTCAGACTAGTGAATTTCAATCGCAAATTATGGGATTCTCGCTCTCGCGATAAAGCTGTGCGGCTCACAGCTGAAGCCTTTTTTCTCTCTCAAACTGCTGGAAAGAAGCAACTAACTTTTATAGTACATATTTGCCTTCCAAATGGTAATTCTGCTGCAATTGGCGGCTTGGGGCCTGGAGCCCTAAACGGCATGGACACTTTTTACTAGCCTTAATTCACTGGTCCCAGATGCTGTGAGCGACCGTAGCATGGCGCGGAAGGAAGCGCACAAGAGTCAAGTCGGAGGCTGTCCACTTCTATCGAGGTGTTGAATTTGAGCTAATATTATGTACTATGACCATGTTGGAACGTGGGGAATGCAAAGATCGCTGGCGCATTCGTACGTGTCTCTAGCTTTGGCGGCGCCGCGCGATCTGCCGATTTATGCACGGCCAGGGCTCGGTGAACTCACAGCTCCAGCTACACTGTTCAGTTGATTCACTTCTGCAAGATGCCTAGACCCCCAAAACAAAACAAAGGGCTCCAAGTCATCACATGTCAACTGTAACTTAGCTATTATGTTTGCCTCGTCCTCTACTACTGTACATGCCTTATCGCTACCACGGACACAGTCAGGCTGCGACAGTCAGATGTTCCATTAGATCGCCTTACATATCTTACTGCGAACTGTCCTCCTCTCATTATTTTTTCCTTTCCTTGAATCGAGAACCTCCCTACCTTGCGAAAATGAGGTTCCGGCAATCCCCTTCTCCAAGCATATACTGGCACAGCGGGCGATGTTACGCCATTCGCGGGCTAAAGCTCTTTCCAATAATAAATGGCTTAATGTGCAGTCATTGGTGATGAGAGAACGACAAGAGGAGGAGTCAAGCTATCTATTTCTTTGTGTTGAATTAAACGATTATGGAAGAGAATGGAACATGTGGGGATGTTTGTGACATCGGAAAAGTAATGCTCTCTAGGCGCGGGAGACTTAGTGAGGTGGCCACTTCCCCGACCGCAGCCAGGGCCCATCACCATAGATAGCACCTTACACCCTCTTCACCGGACCGCATTCCATTTACTCTGGCACCAGTCCTCAATGCGATGGAAGCCGACCGCGGGAATGGCGAACTTAATTTGGAGGAGATCTTCAATTTCTGGCATTCGCAGAAATCGTCCCAGTTGGCAGACACCCCGTCGAACACCAAACTCGTCGAGACCCCCTTCCTAACCCCATCGGTCATTATTCCTCAGCATACGCCACACCGCGAGCATTCAGCCGGCCGCAGTCGAGTGCCAGGCCACTGACATTTATTGAAGAGCCGGACTTCCGGAGAGGAGATACGACGAAGACCTTCCTCTCTAAATCTGCTACTCCATTGAGTGGAAGGTGATAGCAAAACTGAGAACACTGAATCATAGGAAGGTTTCGAGCGATATGGAGTTGAACGTAGTGCTGGCGCCAGGCCGGTACTGGGAACGCGGCTTACAAGCGCATCTCGCAGATCTGGTCGGACAAAAGTTTGCGGAAAACCCTAACGCGCGCCCTGACGACACTGAGGTTGTCGTGTCGATGACAGGACGAACACAGCAAAAACTCATTAAACGCTTCCCTAGAAGCGACATTGACTGGTTAATCGTTCAAACACGGCTCGAGGCCTGGAGCCCATATTTACACAGTGGTAACATGCTGCGCGTTAACTTCTCGTTCAACTATGTCCAGGTAGGTGTCCTGGCAGCTGACGTGGGTGGAAAGAGAGGAGATAAGCGAGGACGAGTGTCGAGCACTCAGCGAATGCGTAACGAATGGATTTGCGGGTTGATGCAGAATGGGCGACTTCCGGGCAACCGTCGACCTGGCAGAAAGTGTACGGGCTCTTCCGCTGCCCTGGATTGCCGTGCCGTTAGGTCCCCACTGATGGGTTGACCCGGTGGGGAAGAAACATTAGAGGCTGCTGACTTACCATCTTAGAGAACTGGTCATGGGTGGTGGGTCAGATTTGTTGAGCGGGGGCGGCGGGCTGGAGACCCATGATAACGTCCCCCTGTCTATCACGCAACAATTGTATGCCGAAGAGCAGGAGAGACGTGACCGGAAATCAGGCAAAGGACCCGGGGTCCCTAGCGGCTCGTCTGCCGTTACTATCAATACCCTGCCTAGCCACGTACAACAGGGGAAGGACTTTGAGCGGACAGGCACACTCGGTTGGTCCTGTACAGGTCTGGGACTCGTCGCTGGACGACGATCTGAAAATTGAGGGCCTTCGCGATGTCGCGGTAAGGGAATTTCCCCACTGGCTGCAGGCTCAGTACCGGGGTCCCTCATACCAGGAAGAAGTTCGAAAGGCCGAGAAGGCTATATTAGATGAGAGATTTGGGCTCCTGCAAGCATATAGAGGCCGCAATTCGGATTTCCTAGCCAGTAAAGGGGTGAATCAAGGCGTTACTGACAGTTTTATGAACGACATTCCGAGTTGGAATAAGCGTCGGAAAACAAATCAGTCAGGAACTGAAAGTGGCTCGGTCAACGAGCAATTTGAGACTAGCGGTTCGCCTGGCATCATGTAAAAACGGGTCAATAGGTTGGTGTTTTACGGTAGCGAGTTAGGGGATTTTCTAGAATACAGTGATAGCATTGGCTTTCTCCGTCTATTCGGTTTCCGGCTCTTCAATCCTCCATCCTGCATGCCGAAAATGATTTCTCGCACTCTTCTGGTCCCCCCCTGCGGTGTCCACGCACCATTGTAGAAACTGGCGGAAGTCTTGGCTGGAGCTCTCTCCATATCTATAGAAATTCTTTTTGATGGAGGCTTTAAGCTGGGCAAACCATTCTTCCACAGGATTCAAGTCCGGAGAATACGGGGGGAGGTAAAGTAGCTTCACACCTGCCTCATCACACATCTGCTGAATCCGTTCCCCACGATGGAAGAATTGTCCATGATACCGTTGCCCGCGCTGGAACCGGGCGATTTGAACGCGGGTCACCACCAGAGGAGACCATCCTGTTCGTCGATACCCCACTTTTGTATTGCAGCCAGCCTTATCCACGTACATGACCTGGTCGTCTTCAAAGGAAGACAGATCATACAAGTATATGTCACGCAGGTCTACACACTGTTGCTTAGCTATTCGCGAGCCGCCTTCTTTGACCATCCGGCCTTATCCAGAGTTCTACTAATGGTAGAGGCCGACAAAAGTCCGTCAAATCGATCCCAAAGGAAGACGACCATCTCATCCTGCTGTAGATAGGGCTCTTGGCGAAGGAGGTCTAGAAGGGCATCGAGTATCGGTATAGTCATGGATCGAGGGCGTCCTGCACGGCCATTGTATGGGGCTTTTTGTGCTGCCGAAGCGACGTTAGTTCGTTCGCACCGTACTGATCGTCCGAGAACTGCACCTAGCTACTCTGGCTATTTCGCCGCCTGTTAGCATGCCTTCCAAGATTCGGTGCCATGGCAGGGATCCGGATACACAGGGGGCAGGACAGGGTATCCCGTATTCAACGCATTCGCTGTCTACGGATGTGGATCACGATCGGGCAAAGTGTCTCGAACCTTCCACAACCCGCGGTCGCGTCCAACTGAAATAAACGCCAAGAAAGCGCGGATTCACGTGATTAAGTGGTTCGGAAAAGTCACGTTACCTACGGCTGAGCGTACACTTGCGCATGCATCTTTCTGCCAGCGCATAGACCTAACACTTCGCTGGCGTTTCAGCCTCACTTCACCAAGGCGGACAACTCGATTTGAATTTTCTAATGTCTCCCCATATACACGAACCCTACCTTTCCTCCCCTATACCACTAGAAAGACCATCATGACTCTCTCGAAACCGGGTGGGAAGCGCTATAAGCTACGTCAATGGCTGTCCTCTTATGGTTCCACTCCCGCCAGCAGCCAAACTCTACCGCCTTCCGCACCTGTGACCCCGCAGTCTCCGACATCGACTACCTTGACCACGGTGGTGCAGGATTTCCACAATAGAGTGTTTTCCTTTCTCTCCCAGCAGGATCGAGACACTATTCGACAACATAGTGTGACGAATGCGACGAACGTCGATGAAATCGTTCAGCAAATCCTCACGGCAGCAAGACAGAAGCAGACGATATGTCAATCGAAAAGATGGACCGTCGCTTTCCGCGGGCATACGGTTGTCCTGCGAGAGAAGGCCGATAATATTGTGAAATGGTTGGATCGGTTTAAGCAAGTTGGAGATATTGTCTCCAATGTCGACCCGGTGCACGTCGGACTTCCGTGGGCGGGCATTCGTCTTCTCCTTGAGGTGAGCGTTGTAGAACATATGACAATCGTTTACAGGACGTATATGGTGTCAATGACTCTTGTGCTGATGGTGAGTAGGCAGCCATCTCCGAACAAGGCCAAATGGAAGCTCTCGTCCTCGGCCTCGAAATGACCCTCTACCTGTCAAATCGACTCGAAGTGTATATGAATTATATAACTGCGATTCCTCCTAGTCAGGCACGTGCGAATTTCGAATCTTGCTTGGTTGAGTTTCACGCTTTGGTATTGAGGTTCTTGGCCCAGGCGATCCGGATCTATCAAAAAGGCAGCGTTGCTCGGGGGTTTGACGCATTCTGGCGGCTGGAAGATGTATCCACCTTTGAGGATGAGTGTAACAAGTTGGCCAGCCGGGCGGAAATCGAGGCGAGTAACTGCGATCGCCGGATTTTGGATACAATTCTGAAACAACTGGAACAACTGAAAGACCTACGTCTTATCCATAGTAGGATCCAGCAACTGGAAGCGAAAGTCGACCTCGGTAAGCTCCCCGTCGCGGCGGGTGCGGCGTTCGATTCTTATCAAGACGAACTCGATGCTCGATGCTATCCGGATACGCGTGTCGACGTACTAAGGGACATCTACGCCTGGGCCAACGATATTAATGCCGAAACGATATTCTGGATTAATGGCATGGCTGGCACAGGCAAATCGACCATATCTCGAACCGTGGCACAAACCTTAGCCGATCGGGGTCAGCTGGGGGCTAGTTTCTTCTTCAAGCGAGGAGAGCGGGATCGAGAGAATGCCAGCCTTTTTTATCCCACTATTGCTCACGAGCTCGTTCGTCGGATACCAGCATTAAGACCTTTTGTCCAGAAAGCAGTCGAGGACGATCCTGGCATTGCTGGCCGGGCGCTGAAGGAACAATTCGAGAAGCTAGTCTTTCAGCCCTTGACTTCTGTTAGCCCCATCCAGGCAGAGAGTTTTGTCCTGGTGATCGACGCCCTCGATGAATGTGGCCGAGAAGGAGATATAGGCATCATCATCTCTCAACTAGTCCGCACGCGTGAGCTGAGCACGAATCGCTTTCGTGTCTTTCTCACCAGCCGGCCCGAGCTTCCAATTCGGCTCGGCTTCGCAAAGATCAACACCAGCACGCATCGAGACATTGTTCTGCAAGATATTCCGCCGGCCACGATTGAGCATGATATTTCCGTCTACCTAAGCAAAGAGTTTACTGACATTCGAGAAAAACACCAGTGTCTCCTACCGCCTAGTCAGTCCTTCGCTCCAGGTTGGCCAGACCCTCAGGATCTGAACACTTTGACTCGATTGGCGGTGCCTCTTTTCATCGTAGCAGCGACGATCTGCCGGTTTGTCGGTGATGTGAGAGGTAATCCAGTGAAACGGCTCGCTCAAATTCTCAATCAACCCATCGGACAGAAGCCACAGCTAGAACTCACGTACCTCCCCGTACTCAGTCAGATACTGGTAGGAGTCAAGGATGTCGAAGAGCAGAAAGAGCTCTTGCATAATTTTCGTCGAATTGTCGGCTCGATCGTCCTCCTTGCTGATCCCTTATCTGCCGCATCGTTGGCTAGATTACTCGACGTGGAGAGCACGGAAGTTTACCTTCATTTACGCTTTCTTCACTCCGTTCTCTGGATTCGCGATGACGACACACCAATTCATTTACTTCATCTCTCCTTTCGAGAATTCTTGACGCAGAGAGTTCCTTCGGATGCTAGCCAACCATTTCAGATTGTCGAATGCAAGTCACACAGATATTTGGCCGACAGGTGTCTTGTGCTGCTCGGGAGTTCAACCGGCTTACGGAAGGATATCTGTCGGTTGGGCGATCCTGGATCGCTTCGGACAGAGATTGATGCTGCACTCATTGAGCGCTGTATTCCGCAGCATCTCCAATACGCATGCCGCTATTGGGTCTATCATGCTGAGCGGAGTGGACACAAAATTTACGACGAGGACGACATCGATCACTTTCTCCGCCAGCATTTTTTCCATTGGCTCGAATGCTTAAGTCTACTCGGCAGAACCTCGGACAGTATCACGTTGATTGGCACATTACAATCACTCGTGGCCGAAGAGGATAGCGAAATATCTACCTTCCTCCGGGATGCGCGACGATTCGTGCTTACATTCCACTTTATTATCTCGCACGCACCGCTACAAGTGTACGGAAGTACTTGGCATTTCAGCCCTTTACAAAGTAGAGTCCGATATTTCTTCCAGGACCAGAGACTGCTAAATATTGACATACGGGGCGGGCTACCAGATCAGTGGAGTGCATGCTTACAAACACTCGAAGGCCACTCGGCCTCGGTCAGCAGTGTGGTATTCTCGCCCGACGGGTCGCGTATAGCGTCAGGCTCCGACGACGAGACGGTGCGGGTGTGGGATATACAGACGGGCGTATGTCAGTATACGCTCGAGGGCCACTCGGACTGGGTCTGGATTGTGGTGTTCTCGCCCGACGGGTCGCGTATAGCGTCAGGCTCCGACGACAAGACGGTGCGAGTGTGGGACGTACAGACGGGCGTATGTCAGTATACGCTCGAGGGCCACTCGGACTGGGTCAGGAGTGTAGTATTCTCGCCCGACGGGTCGCGTATAGCGTCAGGCTCCGGCGACGAGACGGTACGGGTGTGGGACGTACAGACGGGCGTATGTCAGTATACGCTCGAGGGCCACTCGGACTGGGTCAGGAGTGTGGTGTTCTCGCCCGACGGGTCGCGTATAGCGTCAGGCTCCGGCGACAAGACGGTGCGAGTGTGGGACGTACAGACGGGCGTATGTCAGTATACGCTCGAGGGCCACTCGGCCTCGGTCAGGAGTGTGGTGTTCTCGCCCGACGGGTCGCGTATAGCGTCAGGCTCCGGCGACAAGACGGTGCGAGTGTGGGACGTACAGACGGGCGTATGTCAGTATACGCTCGAGGGCCACTCGGACTGGGTCAGGAGTGTAGTATTCTCGCCCGACGGGTCGCGTATAGCGTCAGTCTCTTACGACAAGACGGTACGGGTGTGGGACGTACAGACAGGTGTTGAGTTACTGTACTGTGAAACTGATACCTACGACAATCATGTTGAGTTCAGCGACAATGATTCGAATATCTCGATCAATGGGCAAGTCGTCACTATTCCTGGAAATTCACCACGAGCCACTGTCGCGAATCTATCATCTACCTCTAACTCGGCACCCGATGGCAAGTTGGGAATCATTGGTGACTGGGTCATGTGGGCTTCGCACAGGATATTGTGGCTACCTCCTGAATATCGTCCCGGTTCGTGGGTAAGTAAATACGATTTGTTGGTTATAGGGAGCCGTTGTGGTCGTGTCATTTTCGTGCACCACACCAGAGAGTCATCCTAAATGAGAGAAAAAATGATACAAAACAGAACACAATGATAATATTTTTCTGATGACGTTACTGAGAAGAGGTCTGGAGAATTGGTTTCTTATGTGTTCCAGTAACGTTCGACTATTAGAAGCTTCTCCCAAAGAGTTCTCCCAGCGTAAAGTCCTGTGAAAAGTAGATTATCAAGTGATGTGAAAATAGGCAAAGGCAAAGGCAAAGTCTGACAGAAAGATTTTCAGTCTGGGCTGACCAGCGAGTCTGGCTTGTGAGACTCATAGCGATATTGTATAGCTATCAGATACGGTACAGTGTATTGACGAGTGGCCATGTTGCAGCAGACCTGTCGCAACGATGGCGGTAATCTGAACTCTGTTGAGGTTTCATAACCTTGCTTGCAGTAAGCAATTATGTTTGGCTATCTTGCCATCGGCGTTCCTTCAGCTTGGCCAATAGCGCAGTTCCTTTTTCTTCTTGGTAGAAACCAGGTTGACAAGACGCTGTAGCCTTTCACCATTGTTAACTGAACAGGGCTGGTGACGTTATTCTGACGGCTTAGGTAAGGACTGAGTGATCCTACGCAAAGCAATTGGCCCTAATCCCGAACGGGCTTGGCCGGGACTTGACATGCCGCGTCACGTGTTTGATGAGAAGCAAATGAAAGTGCTATGTTAATAATCTCATAAGTTATGTATGATACATTCAACTCCGTCTACTCGGTACTCCGCATTGATCTTCGATTCATCACACATAAGTAACCGTGGGCTTGAGGTTCTCGACCGGTCTCCCACTGGCGGTATGGACCTGGGCCAGGCCGACACGGCCGGTCGGCTCATCGGCCGAGGACACGTCGCCGATCTTGACCTTGACGTTGCGCAGTAGGCGAGCACGCTGCAGGCCGGTCAGTGTCGTGCCGTTGTCGGGCAGGGCGACGTGCGGATTGTCGCGAGTCAGGCTGGACACGTAGCCGAAGATGTCCGGAGCGAGGGTGTGCAGACGCAGCCAGCACGCGATGACTGCGGCAATCAACAGGATGATGCACGACACAAAGTCTACGGCGATCCACCCCCACAGGATCGCGTAGTGCGGGTCGTACAGTGCGCCGTGGATGTGCACCGCCTGGAACTGCCCGTCGTCGTCGGAATAAGTAGGCGGCGCCCCCGTCACCTCCTGTGACAGCATGTAGTATGTGTTGAAGTACTGCGTCAGTGGCAGATCGAGGGCGCGCAGCGTCTCCGCGGCCAGGAAGCCGTCGTAGTTGGTGGGCACGTCGCCCAGTGTGCCCGGGGCGGCGCCCATGAAATTCTGCAGGCCGAGCGTTAGAGTCTCGCCGGCGTCGGTGAGCGCCGAGACGTTCAGCTGCGGCCCGCGCGAGAGGAGGAGGGCGCTGAAGAAACGCGCGGCGAAGGCGTCGTCGTCGAAGGGGGTGCTGAACGACGTGGCGTTCCGGCGCGGCATGTTCTTCGCGTACCGCATCTTGTTCGGGAAGCAGCCCGTCACGCCGCAGTGCACCTTCATCTCCACCTTGACCGAGGTTATGTTGCATGTCTGCCGGGAGCTGCCGTACGAGAAGATGTTTTGATCGTTGTAAGGGATCCAGCGCGTCGACAGGTTGAACTCGCGCAGCGGGTGGCCGTCGACATCTTGGGGGGCGTCCGATCGCACCTGGGTCATGTTGAAGCTCACCGACTGGTTCATGTAGGTGCCCTTGGGGAACGAGTCGTACGGCAGGGTGGTCGCACGGCCGCAGCTGACGGCCAAATAGCTGGTCGGCAGCGTAAAGTCGCCCAGGAAATTGTTGACCTGAACGGACATCGGGCCGTAGGCATCACTGGCTAGCACGAAATAGGTGCCGCGGCCGAGGAAGGCCGTGTAGTCGTCGGACCCCTTGAGTTGCGATTGATGGGCAACGTTGACCCAACCATGGCGGCCGGGATGAGGAGGCACGTATCCAACATTGTCGACCCACCAGCCTTGATCCAAGATGGCATTGAGGTCCGGGAGAATGGCCGAGCCGATCGAGTCGGTGCCCTTGGGGACCGCTGTGCCCGCATCGTAGTCTGGTTTCGTGAAGCTCACCGTGGAAATCAGGGCGGCATTGAGTTCATCGATGCTGAAGCTGAGGTAGGTATTGTCGTAGGAAGAACTGAAGCCTGACAGCGGCCCCGCGCTGGCAGTATACCCGACCATTTTGTGGTACGGGCGCGAGTCGACCCTCTGGAATTCCAGCTTGCTGGCCTGGCTGCCAAGGTAGTAAAAGGACCAGATAGCGACCAGGGCGGCACTCATGGTAGTGAAGGCGCGCAGCGACCAGATCAGCTTGAGCGTGCTGGGCAGACTGATGCTGCCTTGGAGCTGCTCGAGGTCCGAGACGCGGGCTCCCGTCTGCGCCTTCCACAGCGCGTATCGCCGCACCAGGGTCGAGATGACGGTGACGAAGACGATGGTAAAGGCCGTCGTCATCTGGCCGTTGAATTCAATCAAGAAAGTGGTCAGCTTGCTGACCAGGTCAATCTCGTCGCCACGGTGCTGGCGGTCGAGCTTCCACGCCCCAATGACCAGCCCGATTTTGGCAATGAGCACCAGGGGCACGGCCAGCAGGATGCCGTCGTACACCGACATGAACATCTGGTCTTTGGTGTCAGGGACCAGGGGGACGGGTTCTTTGGGCCATGATGCCGCAACCGGGGCTTCGACAGGCTTTTCGTGGTTGATCGGCTGCCGCGAATGCGAGGACGTTGGCGGCAGCTCGATGGACTCGATCGTGACGTTGTCGTCCTGCTTGGGCCTGTCCATGGTGTCGAATACGTCTCCTGCAGCAAAAGTACAGTACAGCGGCCACAGTCAAAGGAGGGTCCTGCAAGAAAAAAGGTACTTACCTCTCCCTTTTGAAGGCGCCGGCTTTGGGAGGCTTCCACGAACCCACTCACCTGGCGAAGTCTCCGGCTAATCGAGACCTTTCAAGGCGATGTCGAACGCACTTGGCACGTCCATGTGGCTTTTGTGTGCCGGGCAAGAGAATGGGGACATCGTTGTTGGCGTCTCCGATGGAGTTCAAGCAGGAGACTTGTCTCAGTCGAGCGCCATAAAGGGAGATTCCATTACTGTTCTGGCCGAAACTTCAGCCCGCCACAGCAGACGCCTGTGGATTTGGTCGCCGTCCAGGGCGCAAAGCCAGCGAGATTTAGGTTCGGCGGATCGCTGGTGGATTTGGCTTCAGGCACGTCGGGGCCTTTGGTGGCGCTGTTCGGCGCGACACGCGATGTTTTGGGGCACGACGAAAACAGATTTTGATCTCGACGGTATCGCGTGCTCCAGACTCCAGTTTTATAAGTGGCATCTGATGCTTCTCGTGGTGGATACCAGCAGTTACATTCAAAAGCTGTCTTCTGGCATGTCGAGACAAGCCCCTGGCATCTATCTCTCTTTTTTGCGGAATCTCCCAGAAGACGTGACATGTCGTGGAAAGAGGGAGGTAAAGATACCTATGTATCATTCAAAGATGAATGTCGAGGAGCGTGGGAGCAGCTACTCTTTAATATGCTCGGTACAATGTTTGTCTTCCATCCGTGGCAGATCTGTCCTTTTTTCTCTTGGCATTTTCTAGGCTTGCTTAACCCACGCAATCCAACTAAAACTTCATTGGATCGCCCCTATATAACCACTGCCTAACTCTGGAGAATGACGCCCATAAAATGTAGGTAGTTATTGTCCGCACGCTTCAAACTACCAAGATCTATGCAATATGTAGACCTCCTATGTCTTGGACACACCCTCAAAACAGCAATTTATCTAGCATGTTCAGGCACGTGCATCGTGAGAGTCGATGTCTGCCAGCTCTGGACAAAAAGATCCAAGAGCTCGACGCTGAGGCTGCTTGCTTGGTCCTGGCCCATGTTTTCGGCATATCCAAACACAGACCTCGGTTCTTCCCCATAATAGCTCTTGGCACCTATTCGTAATTTGGTATACGATCCTCATTAGTCAGCCTGAGGGGAGAAGCAGCTCTGTGACAGATGCCGGAGACAAGAGCGAGACTCTCGAAAGCGAACGAGCTGGTCCATTCAAGACACACAACTCTGCCATGTTTGGGGCACCCCCTCTCACCCTCCCGCCTGCCTCACAGATTCAAATCAGACAGCATTGAAACCGCTTCTTGGATATATACCCTTGGTCACAAGGTAGCGAGGCACATTGAATCGCATTGAGAGAGCGAGAACCAACCTAGGAAGGACCAGCGAGCTGTCTCTTTCACCGACCCCGAAACAGAAGAAAATCAGCCCCGAGAGCGTGGTCAGAATGGTTGGAAAGGGAAAGATCACCCTCTACGTCGACATTGTCAGTCCCTTTGCGTACCTGGGATACTATTTTCTGCGCGTAAGCAGGCCAACCTCTCCGTTCCGTAACCCCTGTCTGACAGCCTCGAACAACAGCACTCGCCCATTTTTCAGAATGTGCAACTCACCTACGTGCCCATCCTCCTGGGTGGCCTGATGAAGATGTGCAACAACACGACGCCGCTCGAGATCCGCAACAAGGACCGCTGGATCGAAGTCGAGCGGCTCCGCTGGGCGCGCCAATTCCACATCCCCATGTCCGAGAGCTATCCCGCTGGGTTCCCCAAGCCGACCATCCAGCTGCAGCGGTTCCTGACCAGCGTCTGGATGGAGAACCGACAGCAACAGTCTACCCTCATCCGCGCCCTGGACACGCTGTATGCCGCACTGTGGACGGAGCCGAACGAGGCCGACATCGCTGACCCCAAGTGCTTCGCGCGTGTACTGACCCCGGTGCTCGGTCAAGACGTCGTCGCTAAACACGTCAGCCGGCTGGGCGCGCCCGAGGTCAAGCAGCAGTTGATCGCGAACACGGACCGCGCCATGAGTGACGGCGCATTCGGCCTGCCGTGGTTCCAGTGCGAGAACGCCAAGGGCCAGGTCGAGGGGTTTTGGGGGTTTGACCATCTCGGCCAGGTCGTCCGTTTCATGGAGCTGGATGAGAAGGCGGAGGTGAGGGCGTTGCTGTGACGTGCAGTGTCGATGCTGGATGTACGGAGGAGGTGCAAAGAAGCCGCGAAGTCCTCTTTTCAAGGGATGGATCGAGCTTGAGATGAGAAGGGTTAGTAAAGGACGAGAGCAGGCGTCAACCATGATCCAGGGCCTTGGGAAAGGATTCCCATTACTGTTTGTCGCCGTGATTTGGAGCGCAAGCGTGGCAAGGTCGACTTGACCTTTGGATGAGCTTTTGCCGCGAATGATATTGAGGAGGTAATAAGATGCTCATCGCCCACCTCACTATTTCTCACCTCGGTGTGTCTGTATTGCTCTCCTTGATGTACCTCTCATTGCGTGAAGAGCTCGGCGCCTGCACCAACGGCCGCATCGACCATTAGATACAACATTCCCTTGGTGGAACAGGGTCGAACGAGGGACTCCATTGCCGCTGGGACACTGTCAAGCACAAAGTTGAGCACGACGAGGCTTACTATTCAGAGGAAAAGGATTCCCTAACTTCAATTCCCTTAAATGGAATTCGTTCTGGGCCCTCTCTAGAATGCAACTGAGTCCGCTGATACCTTGACGTTTACCTTGCGTACCTGCTTAGGATCATGTCGGAAACTGTAGCAAGGAGAGACTGGAGCAATCAGGGTGGTCGGAGTGGTAATAATGACAAGCGTGACTTGAAACATCATTAAAAGTACTTCGTCGGATTTGCTCCATCGCAAGCTCGGATGGAAGCAGGTCCAAGAACCGATCAATGTAGTCACGCCATAAACAGTTTCGAGGATTCACCTGGCAAGCAGAGGTCTATTCCCAGTACGCTGGATACCAGCCAGAGGTTTCCCAGTCAATGATACCGACAATCTTATCTCTTGGGACGAGGCAGATTGAGGCCGCTGAGGTCGTCATGCGTGTGAAGACCAAGGCCAGTGTCCGCGGTGAAGATCAATAAGCTGGTTGACCTCCGGATCAAGCCTTGGGTCGGAGCGAATGCCATGTCATAGATATTTATGGATGTCGCAACTTAATCGAATGGTCCAAAGCGTGGTGAGGAGCCGGCGACACGGCAGTGAAAAAGGTGGCCCCCATCAACATTTGCCATACGCTAGTTCGGCGACGGTGGGATAGCTCGCATTTGTTTGATCATCTTATAAGGCCAGCTGCTGTGGTAGGCAAGGTGAGACTGGGGATGGTGATCTCGGAGATAACATGGTTACCCGTCGCTTGGTTGTGTCGTCGACACGTCTGGGAGCCATCTTTGATCTCTCCACGAAACTCTGCCGCCGGGCATCATCGTCGCCACCATTTTCGCTGTTCTTGTGCTTTTGTGAACCGTCTTGTCGAGTTCTCGTCCAGCATCACCCTATCTTGTCAATTTTTAGCGAGCCCTTCTCTTCCTTCCCGCCTTCTCCTTCAAGAGCGATGAAGTCCCCTTTCTCTAGCCTTCTGATCCATTTATCTGCTTCTCCCCTCGCCAGGATAAAAGTCAGCCGAGCACTGGCCTTCTCCATGGCACTAAAGGCCGTGCTGGGCAGCGGCGTGTATGTCCAGCGTCCAAATGCCCAATTCAAGACATACAGACTTTGTCCCTCGGAGTCGACCGCTATGCTGGATTTCCGATCGCCTGTGGAGTCTGGCGGTGGCCGGGAGGAAAGCACGAGCCCCTTGATGCGATAGACCTCGTCCTTGGGCGCAGAAAGGAGCAGGTCCTCAAACGATTCCAGCACCACCCCTTGGGGAGGTTTGGTCATGTCTTCGTTGGTCACCACAACATTCAGCACTTCGACTTCTTCTTGGTGATGGTGGTGATCTCCGTGCGCGTGTTCTTCGTTGAATTCGATGGCTTCCCGCAAGCCTTCCGCCCGAACCATGGCCCCGTCAATGCCCATGATGACTTCCACATCAACCCAGCCTTTTTGACTTTTGACCCAGGCAACTTGGACGTCCAGATCGCCAACCCGATCCAGGGCATCTTCAAACATGCGCTCGTCGACGAGTTCCCATTTGTTGAAGACGATCAGATCCGTGTATTTGGCCTGCATCTTCGCCGTATAGCTGGTGTCATCGTAGCCCCTCCAGTTCTCGACGTCGATGACGCTGATGACGCCGTCGAGGTTGAACGAGCCCGGGTGCTCTCGTGAAACACGGTTCACTTCCATGGCGAGCGTGGCGGGGAAGGCAGATCCGGACGTTTCGATGATGATTCTGCTGGGCGCTACCGAGTCTTTGAGCTGGAAAAGCGCATCACTCAATTGACCCACAAGGTTGCAGCATATGCACCCGTTCAAGAGCTCGCGGACGCCTGAAATGGAGGCTGACCCGGCGAGCTGTGAGTCCACGGCAACGTCGCCGAACTCGTTCTTCAGCAGGGCAAGCTGTGCTCATTGTTAGAACTTACACCAAAGGGGGTGTTTACTTATTAAAATGGTCCACGGCTCTTTTCCACCATGGCGAGTGGTTGACCGCTTACTTTATAATCCTTGGGGAGTTGTGGGATAAGATTCAGGATCAGTGTCGTCTTTCCGGCACCAAGGAACCCAGTAATAATGGTGACCGGCGTTGGCGACATTGTTGGAGGTGCGTGAAGAAGTGTTGGGAAGTGGTCAAGGACCGGGGAAAGATGGCTTGGGGGTTTTCTAAGGCCAAAGAAGATGACACGCAGGAGAATTCAGACCGAATAGAGTAAAGTCGGGCCAATCTGATGACAATGATAGACAGCAACGCTGATATATCAAGGGTGAGGAACAGCCGATGACCTTTTTTTTCACTTGTCATTTATTGTCCCATTGACTGCGTCTGTCGTGACTTCCTTATCGATAAGGAGCGCAACAACTGACGTCATGGACCACTAATTGCTGACTAACCTGGTTTCAATGTCTTGATATTGTCGGCACAGACTCATCTCAACCATCCTTCTCCATCTCTGCTCTGGTCCATTCTTCCAGTCTCGCAGCAAGCCTCAGGTCCTTGGCCATGGCACTCTGCCAGCCGTGTGGATCAGCAATTCTCTGGAAGTAGCCACCACTGTGCTCTGGCTTCATCTCCAGGCTGGCCGCGCAGAAGACACTCGTCCAGGATCCCCGGTCACCGTCCATTCTGCCCCCAACGGCCTTGTATGGTGCGATAATCATCCTCAACAAGAGTGGAAGCTCAGCGTGCTCCCCCAGATTACTGTCCACCAGACCGGGGTGGACAGCCGCCGTCCAAATCTCCCCATTGCCCCCCTTGGCATGTGCCGACCTTGGACCATACCGCTTGTCCAGCGTCTTGACATGGAGGATATTGGCCAGCTTCGATTGGCCGTAGCGAGCCATGCCGCTACAACTTCTGAGAGCTGTGTCGGCGAAGTCTATTCCACCTCTGGGTGCGGAATGGTGACCAGCCGAAGACACGTTCACAACCCGCACACTGCCTGGCGGAAGTGCCTTGGACGTCCTGAGCAGCAAAGGTAGCAGGTGGGTGGTGAAGACCCAGTGCGCGAGGTAGTTTGTTTGCCACTGTGCTTCGTATCCGTCCTGGGTCATCTCAAAGGGCGTGGCCATTATCCCGGCGTTGTTGACCAGCCCATGCAGCATGGATTCTTTGTCAAGAAAGAGCTTTGCGGCAGACACTACTGAAGCGAGCGATAGATGATCCATCTCCAGGAGCGTGATGTGAGCCTGGGGATACAACGCCTTGATACCAGCTATGGCAGCTGTCCCCTTGGTTGGCGACCGCGTGCACATGTAGACGTGGGCGCCATGCTGTGCGAGGCGGGCAACAGTGTGATATCCTCTGTGCAAGGGGTTAGATCCTTCCAGCAAAACATAACAGGGGACTCACATTCCCGAATTCCCACCGGTGACTATGTACACCTTGCCGGTAAGGTCTGGGAGGGAATCAGGGTGAAAAGTCATGGTATCTCACTGAGAGGTAGAACCGCGCAGGGCAGAGCGGGGGAGAGCATGCCTTCCAACAGCGGCAGCTTCGAACGGTCTGCAGACTCCAGCATCTTTTATACCACCTCTCCTTAACCTTCTGTATTGTTTTCCTACCACTGCCATTGGCCTGCCCCTATGCGTGCCACCAGCAAAGTCAAGATGTTCCTATATCCAGGCACTAGTTTTAACGCTGGGGCATTAGCGTGGCTGCAAGCCAGCTGCATGAAGCCAAGTCCTGACGCCAGCCTATCGCATCGAACACTTGTACCTCTGCCCGGAGCATCTCGGCCGTATCTTTCAGTGCTTGTGCATCTGTGCATACCTACGCTCCGATGACACTAGGTGACGACTGAGTTAACGGTAAGCAGCGTGCAGATATATATCTACCGCATCTCATGGAAAAATAGCACCGCAAGGCATTGAACAAGACATTGGGAAATTAGGCAGCGCGCTGGGGCGACGCGAATCAACAGTGAGTGCAGCGACCTTCCTCGCTCCGTACTAATCAGCCCTTCGTCAAAGCAAAGCCTGCTGAGCAGCATAGCATCTCCTTTGACACCGAGCTGTACCCATCCAGCCCTCTTCCAGCCACTCATGGCATGCTTTAACATGATCGTGCTGCACCACATGCCCCAGCTCGCCGAGGCTGTGCATCAGGATGACGACTGGACGGGCGTCACGGACGCCGGAGTGAGGCGCAGGAGACAGAATCGACTCAATTCGCGAGCTTTCCGTATGCTTTCTGCCTCCCGTCTTTCTTTGATATCAGTGGCGGAGGGCACACGAGGGGAGGTGTGCGTCTCTCGTGCGTGGTTGTTGCTTCGTCCGGCTTGGTAGAGTGAGTGAGGCCTCTTTTGCTGACAGTGCGAGCGTGTTTACCCTATAGGACGCCGGCGGAAAGTGCTGGAAGAAGCAGCAGCAGCTGAGTCACAACCATCCCAGACTCTTGGGCTGTCTCAATCTCAATTCCACACCGGCCATCCTCCCGGACAACGAGCCAATAGCCCTTTGAGGGAGAAAGATGACGACGAAGCGCAAGGCGGACAGACGGAAGGCGAAGGTGATATCCTCGTCCCATGCTGGATCGAGGCTCGCCAATGCGTCACATCCTTGAGGATGTCTATGCTCGCGAACAATCGGCCCCAAGGATGCAGAAGAGCACTCCTTCCTTATGATGCCTCGTCGCCAGCACGCCTCGACCAGGTCATCTTCCCCCTCTCCGCGGACCACCTGCTCACCTTAATCCAGTACAACATCCTCCGTGGGTGCCTGGAGAACAGACGACTTCTCAGGGAAGCGTTTCGGCGCAGGTGCAAGAGTGGAAACAAAACTGTTTGGCCCAATGATGACTGTCCTGTCGTTGGTTATCAAGGTGATGATGACGATGACGGGCGAGAATGGTCCGCAACAGCCCTGACCGTCTTCCCGACCCTGACCCTGGACGGGGACGGCGATGACGACGACGACGTGATAGCACCTCTCTCTCGCATACTCCCTCGGTCCCTGCACCCGACAAGCCTGCAAAACACCGTCCCGCACGCCGCGTGGATCGACATTCTCCCACACCCGGTCCTGCGGGACAATTTGATCCGTGCCACGACGTCGCTTTCTGTTTCAGAGTCGTCAGCTGCAGACGGTACGACAAATTCAGCCTCAAACTTGTTCGGAGTATTCGACCCAGACGACCTGTGGACCGACTCGGTGGGTGGGCTGTTCTTCGAGACCGGTCCGTCACCCGGCCCCGTAGAGGAGGGAAAGGAGGAGGAGGAGGAGGTTGCTGGCGCTGTGTTCGTGGGCGGAATCGTCTGGTCGCCGCCCTGGGATATCAGCGGGTGGGAACTCTCAGAGGGCTTCTGGCGCAAGTGGGGGTGGATGATGAAGGGATGTGCTGGGGAGGTGCTGGAGGCGACGAATCGCTGGCGCAGACAGAGGGGCGAGGAGGAGCTCCAGCTCGGCTGGACGTCAGTTGGTTAGCGGTGCCATCACGTTGGGAATCTGTCCAGTATTGTGAAAGGGCGTGACTAAAGGAAGACAGAGGGAAGCACACAGGATCGGCGTGAGGCTGAAGTCTGGGATTATGGGTGAAATGGTGGTTATGATCTTGCCCCCTGTCGTGGGAAGACATCGTCTATCAGATCTATGGTCAATGGCCATGGGTGAAGGAGTGTGCGATAACAGTAAATGAAATTTCCAGCCACATTGCCCTGAGGGGCTTTGTCTCGGCTCAGACAGCTTCATGTCAATCAACCTCTTCTTTCACGCTTGAAAGGCTTCCCCTCCGGATCCCCTTGCACGTTTGTCAGCCGGCGCGAAGGATGTTTTCCTTGTCTCGTTCAATACCCGAGCAAGGCCGACGCGCCAGGCTCGCTGGAGATGTAGATGACCTCGTGGGCATCGCTGAAACCGTTGAACTTGGTCGCCGAGCAGCGGGTGTAGGCACCCATGTTCTCGAAGAACAACCAGTCGCCGATCTCGACCACACCAGGCAAGAAGTAGCGCTCGGTGATGACGTCGATGCCGTCGCAAGTCGGGCCCCAGATGGAGTATTCGATCAGCTCCTCCTGGTGGCGCTGGTGGTGGCCTTCGGGCGCCGCGGCGAGGGCGGGGCCGGAGGCGGCGGAAAGGACCTGCGGGACCGGGTGCTGGTGGTCGAAGATGATGTTGGAGAAGTTGCCGTAGACGCCGTCGTTGAGGTAGAGCATGTACGCCTTCCCGCCTTCGTGGTTGGCCGCGACTTCGCGCCGGGCGATGACGTTCGTGGCGAGCGTGAACGCATTGGAGGCGTAGTAGCGGCCGGGCTCACCGATGACACGGATGTTGGCCGGGAATTGCTCCTCGAGGGCCTCGTTGAGATTTCCGGCAAAGGTCTCAAATGTTTCATCGACGAAGCCTCCTCCCACGTCCAACAACTTCAGATCGAATCCCAACTGGCCGGCTTGGTCGAACACATGTCTCGCGTCTTTGACCGCCTTTCCAAACGAGTTCGGATCACTCGCCCCGGAGCCGATGTGGAAGCTGACACCGACGAGGTTCAGATTCAAAGCCTTGGCCAGACCGAGCAGTTCCTCAGCGTACTCCAGACTGGCCCCGTACTTGGTGCTGAGGCGACAGGCACTTGTAGTGTCATCGGTCAAGATACGGAGCACCAGCTCGGCGTCCGGGTAGCACTCTTTGATCTTGTGGAGTTCGTCGGTATTGTCAAAGGTCATCAAGCTGACGCCGGCCTTGCGAGCGTGTCTCAGGTACGACTTGGTCTTGCACGGCTGGGCATAGATGATGCGACTCGGACTAACGCCAAGCCCTAGGACGAGGTCGATCTCGGCCCTAGACGCACAATCGAATCCGGTGCCCAATTTGGCCAGCAGGCGGAGCACTTCCTTGTCTGGGTTACATTTGACCGCTGTCACACTTGTGAGCACAGGTGTGGGATGGAACAAAGCGGATCAAACTCACCATAGAACGGCTTGACGCGGCCCAGGTTCATTTTCCAGCGGAGATGCTGGCGGTATACTTCTCCGAGATCCGCCACGTAGAAGGCATCTTCCTCGCCCGGCTCACAGGTATCAACGTTGATGCGAGCAATCTGCTCTTTGAGGACTTTCTGGATCAGTGCCTTGGAGGCTAATCCCGTCACATCGGATTCCACGCCATGGTTGGCGTCAACAAAATCGACCTTATCGATTTGGTTGTCGGTCACAACGGTAGTATTGGATTCGTCAATGGCGATAGCAGAAGGTGCCATAACCATGCAAAGATGGTTATGCCGAGAATTTGAGTGAGAAGAAAAAATCCCCAATCAAGTGTTAGGGAGGTTTGCGGGACTCGGATCCTCTGGGAATTTGGCTTTGCCTCAGCGACTCTCCCTCACGAGGAGGAAGAACCTCGAGTGGCGACCTATGCGGCAGCTGAAGTTGGGGAGAGAGCAGAGTCGGGATGTCAAGATGGAAGCACGAAGCAGGTGTCAGAGCTTGTGGCTTCAGCAGGCGGCGGACGAGGCTGATTAACGATGTGACGATGTCGGTAAGAGGATGCACCTTGATAGCGAAGAGCAAACGATGTCGAAGCCGTGTATGAGGTGCCTTTGGTGAGCCCAAAGGCAGATCCCAGAATTTTCAACTGCAAAGTGTCGTGGGAGGCTGTGGAAAACGGTGGTGAAGGGGTGAGGCAATGGTAAAGAAGAGCAAGACGGTGAAGAGGTCGATGAATTTGGTGTGTTTCTGCTCGAATTTCGACAACGACACGGTGGTGGGGGGCAAAGTGTGGATACAGCAAGCCCAGCAGGAAAAAAAGTCAGATCCAAGGCAGTAGTGACCTCAGTCGTTCCCAGCACCGACTCCAGTGACAAGGATCGGTGATTCAGCTAGTTGCGTTGTCTGCCTGGCCGTCGCGTATTGGTCATTCGCCGGGTTCTTGGGCGTTGGGTGGTTCCTCCGTCTCCCGTTCCCGTTGAAGATTGAGTTTTTCTCGTGTCCAGCGTGCGGGATTTTCAGGGACGCCAGCACGTGACCGCCCAGGATCGCCTGTGCTTCTTTTCCCCATGCATTTGCCTAATCGAAGGGTGGCCTATTTCACCGCCATGAGGAGATCCGATCGGTGTAAAGCGAGACATGTTCTAGTTCTGCTCGACAATGGCGGCAGGCGTAAGATCTCACTGCTGGTCCTGTGGCGGGAAACGCATCTTATAGGTGAAGAACTCGGCGGTTGGGATGTCCACGTCTTGGTCGGTGTCAATGTAGGGGAGGGGAATCTGGAGAGTCTCGAGCGTATCGAAGTTTGCTTGGTGCATTCGAGTGAAGAATAAATCATCTTCGGTGTGTCGTCGCTTGAATCCCACCAAAATGAGTGTTGCGGGCGTACGAGTGGCCAGTTGCCTCAAGGTCTCTACCAGGTGCAGACTGCTGTCTGGGTTGTAGATGCAATCGGAAACCAAAATGAGATCGTAATTGGCATTGGAGCTATCATCAAGGCTTGAAGCCCAATCCATCACTTCCGACCGAACTGTGGAGCCTGCCACGGGCGCAGCACATCGGACATTGCTGGCCAAAATCTCCTGAGCGTCCTCCAGGTCGGTGAGGAGAAGGTCGCATTTGACAAGCTGTGCCAAAGCGATTCCCACTATGCCACAGCCTGCTCCCAGCTCCAACACCCTAAGTCGTCTTACCTTGCTGGACTTGAACAGGGCCGCCACCATTGACATTCCCTCGACGGGGGACGTAGACAGCGCTTGGGCGAAGTAGACGAGAAACCCTAGACTTGCATCCCTTGGATCTCCTGTTAAGCAATATTGGGCCCGAGGAAAGTGGCACTTACCAGATATGCCGAGCAATACTGTCACCCGTCTCCTCCCACATCCTCACGACGCTCTTATTTGACAAGGCGATTCGACGCTCCACAATTGGTTCCGTCCGCTGTTGATTAGACAAAGGGAAGACATCACTCCAGACATCGACGATCTTTGGAATCTCTAATAATTGAGATGCAGTCTCGGTGTCCTTGGTGGTCACATGGAGACGTACAGGTCTAGAGAGATACTTGCCAGGACAGTGAACAGAGAACTTGAGAGCTCGTGATGAAGCCTGCCACTGAATGGGCTGAGAGCACAGGACAGCGTGGGGAGAATTGGCCTCGATGACATTTACGAGCAGTTCAACATCCTCACCGAAGAATGCATCACCCAGATCTGTCGTGAGGGCAACGACTGCTGAAATATCAACAGTCTTTTTACCCACGTTGCTTTGCGGAGTGCGCAGAAAGCGAATGTACTGGACCATGGCACCCTCCAGATGAGCAAAGTGTGTAGAAAAAAGTCGAGTTTGAGACGGGGGGACGAAGAAGGTGATCAGCTGGACGTTGTGAAGTGGGAAAAGGGAAAAGTGAGGCGGATTAGTGCCTCCGTCGGATAAACAGTATCTCCGAGATCCGGGACCTGAGCACGTGGGTCGGTCCACCTGCTGGCTCCGGAACATTATTTCCCGCCGTCCGCTGCCTTCCCGCCACCCCCAGCACTTCCCCAGACAACTAGTTCTCTGACAACTGTCTCTTCTGTCTGTGAACACCCCGTACATTGGCCGTCTCGTCATGCGACTCTCGTGGAGGCAAGCATGGCAATTGTGAAATCACCAAGCATCAATACCGCGCACCTGTCCCGTGCCCAATCATTACATCCCTGCGCCGCGTTGCTCGCCTGCGCCCTGAATGTCTGCTCACCTGAGGCATCAAGATGAACAACCCCGAATTCCGCCAGACTCTTCACAACATCTCCCACAACTTCGAATCTGCCAATCAAGCGGCCCAAGAGAATATCTATACGTTCACCCAACGTTACGTTGACCCTTGCCTCGCGTCCATCAAGTCTTGCATCTATGAGTGCACTGCGCCTTGTTTCCCCAACAGAGACGATAATATCCGACGAAAGAGGGGCCGGTCGCGTGGCAGAGCTGAATATAACTTTGACTTCTACAATGCTTGGGATGACGACGAGGCTCCTGGAGACAGCTCCCTGGGCTGGAGCAATGACGAGCTTGATGGTTTACTCGCTGGACGTGGTTCACGGTCCATCCAGCCACGGAAACAGAGAGCAATGAGCTATGGTTCGAGAGGACGACGAAAGCCCTCAGGGCTACAACCAGATCCTGATCAAGATCCAACCATCATACCAAGCTCGTCATACCTCGGGTTTCTGGAGCGCCTTCCGTGGAAGATTGGCTACAGGAGATTACGATACAAGCCTTCCGCTGCAGACCTGCAGGAAAATCCAGGCGGCACCCGAGTGCGAGACGCAGAGAGTCAGCCTTTGATAGAAGAGGCAGACGAAGACAGCGGGACTTGGAGGAAGGGTCACGGACGTCAGCGAAGCGATACTGCCGCTTCGAGGTCAACTACCAATTCCCTAAGTTCGCGAGGCGACCTGATTATGAGCGATGAGGATGAAGATGCGCAACCGCTCGACGATGAGTTCGCAGTGATGCTCAGTCGACGCAACACTAACCAAGGATTCGCTGAAGACCAAGGCAGCGGCCGAACAAAGACGTCGGCGGGCAATCGGCCTGGAGCTTCTCGCAATTCGACCCGCACCGTCTCCTCTAAGTCGATAAGGAGTCCCAGTGCCAAAAGTGCCCAGAGGTCCGAGTCCCAGAAGAATCTGGCGGGACTGTCTTCTGACCTGGTCGAGGAACACCCTGAACCCCCAAGCTTGACAGATCTTCGGCGGCAAGAAGAGCAAGTGGCACAAGAGGAGGAGCTGGAAATCAGACAGAAACGAGAGGCTGCCCAGCGCCTGGCTCTACGCAGAGGGCTGAGTTCGCGTGACGTGAAAAATGTCGCCAATGCAGAACTGAAACCCGACGACGTGGACGATGCGCCTGCAAGGCTGGAGATATTGGAACCAGATCCGACATCACCGATTGAACCATCAACTACAGAGACACAGGCACGAGAGCAAGGCGAGTCCACGTCGTCAGATACAGGTAATCCCAGCGACGGGAAAGATCCAACGTGATCTGCGGCAGGACACTTCCTTGGTCATTCTCACGAGGGCTAGATCATGCTCCTGCCGTCAGATGGCAGCTGGCAATGTTTCAAACAAGAAAAGATTCCGAGGACACAGTCATGACTTGTCAGCTCATCGACACTGGCTCGAGCTGCAGGAGAGCACGACTTGGGTCTATGAAGAGACGATAATATCTCCCGATGGCTGTTTTGCTAGCCGCTTACGACTTAATGATGGGGATGGATGGCTATGACTGGTGTGGTGGGTTAATGTTGTATAGAGCAGAGCTGCTACCACAGATAGTCTACATAGCCGGTGTACTTGTATCGCTGAGAGCAGGTCTGAGATATCCTCCCTAATTCCCATCGTCAGCTATAGTGAAATCACGCCTTATCTCCCACAAGCATGTTAATTTAGGGGGGGGGGTCGTAGCCCCAGCGCTGCCTTATCTTGTGGCTTTCTTCTCAAACCCAGACGATTGGCCGAGGCGACATTCATATCCCAGCATCGCCACTCGTTTCGCACGCAGGACTGCGCTCCTCATTCTCACCGCAGACCACCTGGGCTCCTGTCATCATACGGAGCTCGCTTTGAACACGAGACACTCGATGCGACTATAGATAACGAGTACCGACCGACTTCCCTCCATACTCCCCATACTCATTTCCACCACGATGACCCAAATCCCGAGTTAGACCCCCAAGCCGCAGCGTCCCGTCCCATCATTCCCCCTCTGTCGATCGCCTCAGGCTGGCCGCCTGGCTCTCTCGCGCTGACTGGCGGATGGCATGAACGGTCACAAGATGGAGGACAAAAAAACATGGAGTCCTGAATCGTCATCCAACCCGTCCGCCTACGAGGGCGACATGGGGAGTGTGCGACGTCCATTCACCCGCCGGCTCACCGAGTCCTTCAGGCGAGATCCCCACGCCAGCGTCACCCGGTCGGCCTCGTTCAGCGCTGCCGATAGGAAGGGCTATGACGCTGAAGCGGCGGCCCAGGCGACGGCCATGTCGCCGTTGCTGAGGCGGCTGAAGGGGCGCCATCTGCAAATGATTGCCATCGGTGGGAGTATCGGCACGGGTCTATTCGTGGGCAGTGGGAAGGCACTGGCTTATGGCGGGCCTGCTTCATTGTTGTTATCGTTTGCTTTGACGGGCTGCATGCTGTATTGCACGGTACAGGCGCTGGGAGAACTGTAAGGACCACCACCGACTCCCATGGGTTCCCAATGCTAATCTATCTCCTCTAGTGCGGTGCTCTTCCCAGTCGCTGGTTCGTTCGCTTCATACTCGACGAGATTTCTGGTAGGAGCCCAGGAACCATCCCATCTTACGTCCCATGTTTGTCGGAGCACTGACGCCTTCCTTGTCCAGGACCCGGCCTGGGGTTTCGCCATGGGCTGGAATTACGCCCTGAACTGGCTGACGGTGTTACCCCTGGAGATCGTGAGCGCGTCCATCACGGTGGACTACTGGGTATGGGTCATGCCGGGCGGCGATCGATATTTGGTTGACGGAGACGAGCAGGTTCAAAATATTTCTCTTAACGCCGCCTGGGTCTCAATGTTTCTGGTGCTGATTGTTCTGATTAACTTCTTTGGAGTGAAAGGGTACGGGGAGGCCGAGTTCGTCTTCGCCATCGTCAAAGTCACGGCTGTGATTGGATACATGTCAGTCATCCCTCGCTCTATATTGAGCCACGCAGCTGACTTCTTCCCCTCAGTATTCTCGGAGTTCTCATCAATGTCATGGGCGGCGTCGACAGCCATGGAAACCCGGACGCGAGTTACATGGGTTTCCGCCTCTGGCACCATCCAGGAGCATTCCACAATGGCTTCAAGGGCCTGTGCAGCACCTTTGTAACAGCAGCGTTTGCGTTCGCGGGAACCGAACTGGTCGGGTTGGCGGCAGCAGAGACCGAAAACCCCAGGAAAGCATTGCCGACTGCGATCAAACAGGTGAGTCTTTTGGGAGAGCGTTGCGGTGGGTATCTGACCTGGAGCCACAGGTATTCTGGCGCATCACGCTCTTCTATGTTGTCAGCTTGCTTCTCGTAGGCACGCTCGTCCCATACACCGATCCTCGCCTGCTCAATGGCAGGAACAGCGCCGATGCAAAGTCAGTTCCATCCAGTGGTCCCCTTTCTCCTTGTACCTGGATCGTGGTCCTAATCTTCGCGCTGCAGAGCCTCACCGTTCGTCATATCCATCCAAAACGCCGGCATCGAAGTTCTCCCCTCCGTCATGAACGTTGTCATTATGATATCCGTGCTCTCCGTCGGAAATTCGGCCATCTACGGCTCCTCGCGCACCCTCGCCGCGCTGGCGGAACAACGCCAGGCGCCCGCCTTCCTTGCCTACATCGACCGCAAGGGCCGTCCCTTGTACGCGATCATCGTTGCCTCGGTGCTGGGCCTCCTGGCCTTCCTGGCGGCGACTCAAAAACAGCAGGACGCATTCAACTGGATGCTGGCGCTGTCGGGGCTCAGCTCGATCTTCACCTGGGCCTCCATCTGCCTGGCACACATCCGGTTCCGCCATGCCTGGACCCTGCAGGGCCACACGCTGGACGAACTCGCATTCCGCTCGCCCGTGGGCGTCGTCGGGTCGTGGATTGGCCTGATCTTCAACCTGCTCGTGCTGATCGCGCAGTTCTGGACCGGCTTCGCCCCCGTCGGCTGGCAGCACATGACCGTGTCCGAACTCGTCGTCAACTTCTTCCAGGCCTATCTGGCCGCTCCCGTCGTTGCGCTCATGTACATCGGCTACAAACTGTGGATGAAGACGGAGATCTTGCGAGCGCGGGACATGGACCTGTTCACGGGCAAGAGGGAGTTCAACGTCCGCGTGCTCGTGCAGGAAGAGCGCGCGGACCGGAAGCGGTGGCCTCGGTGGAAGAAAGTGTACAAGTTTCTCTGCTGAGACCTTTCTCTATTCTTGGGGAAGGGGGTTAGTTACTTGCTTTCTTTGCTTGAACTGGAGCGATTTCTGCGTCGGCGTGTTCCGGATCTTAAAAAATGGGGGATGTTGTTATGAGGATATATGCCCGATGATGCATGGATGGATATTTCAGGTTGCTCTTTTACGAGGATCGGGATGCGTGGTGGTTGTGTACAAAATACCTACGTATGTATGTCGGTCGACTTCAGCGGGCGCGTCTGCTTCCGTTTTTCCCGTATCTCGCATCTCACCCTCCCCGTGAATATGTATATATATATATATACACAAATATGTCCAGAAGGTATGAAGAGAAGGATACAGGAAATGAAAAACCAGAAAGAAAGAAAAAGAAGACAGGAGAGAGATAAAAAGATGGATATACCATATCAAATAGATTCTGGTGTGCCCATTAAACTGTGAAGATAAAGTCTGCCTGTAGTAAATGGTATTTATTTGCCCTTCCACTCGGTAGAATCATCTCGCTCGCTTCGCCATTCTGCAGCAGCAGCAGCTTCGTGGCGTGCGTATCTGTCTCGATTCGTAGACCTCCTCGGCTCCCTCACAGTGTGTTGCCTTCATATACGTGTTTATGTACGTATTTGTGGAAGCTCTGCCACGACCAGTCGCAACGCCGGTCTGGTATTATGTGGTGGCGCTTACCTGGACATCCGCGAGCCTCGGATGGCGGCAATGGCGGTCCTGCGATGGGCACTCTCCGCGAACAGCGCCTTGATCAGATCGACCACTTCGTCGGCACTGAACTCCAGACTCAGCTCGCCCTCGGTCCACAGGTACTTGATGTCGACGAGTGAGCTCTCCAGGATGTTGATCAGGTACTGGAATCGCAGCCAGTTGGAGACGTACACGGCGACCATGGGGATCGGGGGGTCGCCGTGAGGTTGGTCGGGGTTTGCAGCCGCTGGAGGGGTCGAGAGGAAGAGGTCTTCGAGACTGGCAATCTGCTGGCAAAAGGCTGTCAGTCTCCGGGACTCGGGCTCGGAGATGTCGTCCATCTCCTCGATCGAGGATATCACTTTGGTGATGACCATCGTGACCAGCGAGCCGATGCTCTGCATCAACGCCGACGTCGAGAGGATGGGTTTCCAGTCCCGGTGGAGCGTGCGGATGCGATCGACCACCGAGGAAACGGCATTCTCGATCTCCTGTGAGTACGGGAACTGGGTGCACAGCGTGAACCCTTGCGCGCCTTCCAATAAGTCCCACACAATGATCCGCTGGGTTTCCATCTCCTTCGAGTATGCCATTTTGGCGAATTTCTCCATGGCTCTGATGTCAGCGTCGATGTGCGGCATGCCCACAGGAATGGTCATGCGGCGAAGTCGCTCGGCGATGTAGAGAGAGTCGTTGTAGCGGTGGATGTCGGTCAGAGATGGAGATGCGCCGTAATAACTGGGTGCTGTCGCGCGGAACATGGCCAGAGCCAGTGTGGGCAGGGCCAGGAGTCCCTTTGATGCCGTCGAGGGGTCGAGGTTCTTGTGTTGTGTTTCTTCGATGGTTTGAGAATCCGAAAGATCCCTGCCTATTATTTCGATGATGTGGTCTGGGATTTCGCTGATGCTATACACTTCGGTCAACGTGACTTCGTGCTCAGTCTCCTGAGGTTTCCGTGCACCATTCATCTCGGTTGGACCGTCCTTGACTGCCAACTGCGATCTGGTCTCTGTAGGACTCTCATCATCCCAACCCCAGGCCTCTCCGGCGTCATCCTCATCGTGAGACGCACCATGGCCATTTTGTTTGTCTTCTTTCTCTTCGTTGTTCTCTTCCTCATCAAAACCCCAGCCGCTAGTGTCGTCGTCCTCTCCACCATTGCCAGATTTCGAGGCTTCTTCTGTCGACGATTTATCTTTGGTATCTTCGTCCCAGCTGGTGTCCCAGTCATTGGGTTCATCATCGGCCGCTTTAGCTTCTTCCGTAGCTGTTGACATAATCTGTCTTTCCACTCTCTCGACCTGTCTGAGGTCACCCTTTGCAGTAGCAAATGCTTTTCGCACAGCGTCAAGCGTTGCTGCCTTGCGTTTGTTCAGCCAAGTGCGCTGAATGTCATCCATCCAGTCCTGGAGCTGAGTTTGCCCTGGCCATTGCAATGATTCTAGTCTATTCACAATGAGGGTAACCCTCTGTTGCAACTTATCGAGGCCGTCCAGCATGGCGAGGTCTGTTGGTAGTTCGGGGAGCAGCCAGTCCGATATCAGGAGACTCATCAGGTCCGTAAGGATTGCGTTGACCGCAGCACTCTGTATCATCTTCGGGAGAGAAGTTTGCAAAAAGTTTATAAGATCAAGGACAAACTCAAGCACCGTATTGATGGACGGGAGAGTCGCGCTGAACTCCATGTTCAAGGAATGTTGCTCCACCTGATAAGTTGAAAGTTTCGATCGGGCAGTGCGTCGAAGGGGCTGGACGAGGAGTACTCGGAGCCTGTCTGTTAGAGGTTCGATGGAGTCTTGTGCGTCGCCCAAGTCGTGAAGAGCTCGCAGAATGACATCGGAATTGGTTCCAGTGGAATCAGGTCCATTGGAGAGAATGTCGAGGCTGGCTCTCTGTGGCTCTCTCCGCACGATGATCTGAGCATTCAGCTTTGTTTCCAGCTGTAGGCGAGTTTTCAACCGTAACTCGTCTCTTAGATCTCGAATAATAGTCGATGTCCTGGACCTGAATGTGCTCCGAGGGCTTTTATCCAGGGCTTGCAACTTTGAGGCAGCTCCGCAAGGGTCACCCTTCGCCAAATGTTCCTCGACTTCTCTTAATGACTTTGTTTTCAATGATATATTCCGCAGCTCTTGCTCCAGGGTGTCTGTAAATATGATCTCCGTGTCTAGGAGTTCAACTTTCCGTTGATAATCTGTTGCCTGGTCTCTCAAAATTTGAAGTTGCTGGTGCTCTTCCACAATGCGTTTGGACTCCAGTTTACAGCGAGCGATGTCCTCCTGGACCTTCTTTGCTTGGGATATCCATTGATCCACTGACCCAGCCTCATCCTTGCTCTTTTCTCTGATCTCGTCACTGATCTCACGTCGTGTCTGGGATATTTGGGAAATGAGCGCAGAGATGGTCGAAGTGGACAGATCGGACGTAAGGAGGTGCTCCGACTGCGGGACACTACCATGGACTATGGCGTCGCATAGGGAGGTTGCCGCATCTGATTCATTAGACATGTCTCTGCATGTAATATTAATGGCAGAAGCGGTCGCAGAAGTGGGATCTCTTGTCTTGAAGGCATCTGAGATACTCGCGGTGACAACAAGTCGTTCTCCAAACAACGACGCAATCCCGTTGCCGATGTCGGTCTCTATGCCCCGCCGGAATTTTTCTTCACTGCGCAAAATATTGCGGAGTAAAATTGTTTCCTTCATTCGCATATGTCACAAAACGTCTCTGAGAGCCAGGTTGTCCGTAGCCAGAGAGACATCGCCATTCCCTGAGCAGGAAGCGGAACAATTCAATGGCTGCGTTGCCAGAGCCCAGCGGTGCTGGCGCCGCAGGCAGCCCATCACAAGTACGGGTGCGGCTGACCACGCGAGACACAGAACTCGCTGGCGAAGACCTTGCTCCTATCCTCGTTCCTACGTCTTTCCGCCGCCTGACACTCTCTACCCTTGTCAACAGCCTCCTTGGAACCGAGAAAACGATCCCCTTGGAATTCATCATCAATGGGACGTATCTTCGTACAACGTTGGACGAGTACCTCACAAGCAACGGCATCTCCGCAGAGACAACCCTTCCAGTCGAATATGTACGAGCACGGGTCCCTCCTCAATATGTGGCATCTTTTGAGCACGACGATTGGGTCAGCGACGTCGACGCCATATCCACTACCTCTCCAAGAATTCTCACTGCAAGCTACGACGGCCTCTTAAGAGTATGGAATTCCTCTTCCCAGATTCTCGCAACATCCCCTGGGATGACCCAGGGTGGACATGGATCTTTCATCAAGTCTGCAAAATTCATATCTTCAACTCAAGCAGTCTCAGGGGGGTTTGACCGTACGTTAAGAGTGTGGAAATATTCGGAGGATCAGGACGGGCTTTCGGCCAACCTCTCGCCGCAAATCGAGCTCTATGGACACAAATCCTCGGTAGATGCAGTATGCCCCCACGCTGACTCTTTCCGAATACTCTCAGCCTCCTCCGACCATTCTGTCGGAATTTGGTCATCGCGAAAATCCGACGCACCAGCAGCACCTGAAGCCCTGGTCCCCAAGTCAAGAACCAAGGACGGCAAGAGGAGGAAACTGAATAGCGAGGTGTCGGTGTCGCAGCGTGGGCCCCTCGCGCTGATGCAGCAGCACACAGGACCAGTGTCCGGGGCCATATTTGATCACCACGATCCCACAGTGGGCTATTCGACGTCTTGGGACCAGACAGTGCGCACCTGGGATTTGGTCACCGCTTCGCTGGTTGATACTCGAACCACGTCCAGCGCATTGCTCTGCGTCGATCATATGCCCTCTCTTCATCTCATCGCCGCTGGCTCGGCCAGCCGCGTGGTCAAGTTGGTGGACCCCCGGACTTCCGCCGCAACAGTCACGGCCATAACTTTAAAGGGCCATAAAAATTCAGTCGTGAGCCTAGCCCCAGATCCTGTCAACGACTACACCATTGTCAGTGGCAGCCATGATGGGACATGTAGAGTTTGGGACGTCCGAAGCACCAAGCAAGAAAAGGATGGTGCCGTCGGGCAGAGTTTGTATACATTGCCAAGGGCGAGCCTCCATGGCGCTGCCAGTCCGGCGGGGGGGGATGGTGTCAAGGTGTTTGGAGTGTGTTGGCACAGCGAGGCCGGCATCCTGAGCGCAGGTGAAGACAAGGTTGTGCAGATCAACCGGAGGGACAACCAGACTTGAAAGGTGGTGTCCCCAGGACAATCTCTCCGCCACGAGTCACAGGTGGTCACCAGCAATCACAGCCTTGGTTTGACGTTAGCAGAGCTCTCTCATTTTGGTCACGGAGAGGTTGACCCGTCAACATGTCAAGCCTTTTGCGGAGGTGGTCAAGCTACGGCAAGCCACAGACGGACAGACTAGGACGATGCGTCGAAATTGGCTCGCCTGGCTCAGGCTACACTCCGTCCTTCTCGGCAAGATTATGACCTTTTCCTCTTTGTGCATATTATCCGAGGACAAAGTTTCTCCTCATTGTGGGCAGTGAGCGCAGTGCGGTGAAAGAGCTAAATGCAGAAGAAGCTGGCACTAAACGACGCCGAAAGACACAAGTACTCGAGGCACTCGGCGGACTCGGAGAAGCAGACACGGTTAGCACAGCAAGCCACGTCGTGGACTTACGTATACTGTGTGAAATGACAAGGCGGTCAACATGGCCTCGAACGTCAGGCATTGGCTGCTGCTGGGCAAAGAAGCAACACGTGCATGTCGCAGATCTCGGAGAGGCGGAGATGAAAAGGCCGAAAAGCGTACAAAAGTGGCAGGTCGAGGTGGTGTTGCATGCAGCAACATGAGGCTAGAGGTCTAGCCACACACCCACATTACAAGAGATCCGGAGGGCTGAGGAGAGACAGAGTTTAGCGGTAGATGCCGTTGATCACAGATGGCGAGTGACAATGTTACGGGAGTGGATGAAAATGGAGATGGCGTAGGAGGGAAGAGGAGGAGGGAAGCGCGAGATGGCGTCGTCCTTAACAAAAAGGAGTAAGGAGAACCTCGCACTTGGGAGGGAGTAGAGTGTACCAAGCACTAAGAAAAGGAGAGTGAAAGCCGCCAACTTCATCAATTAATACCGTCAACACTCCATCATTCGATGAATCAATCCAATACAATATCATTTCAATAATACTCGTCTCGACTAGACCCAAGGGGATGAGTGGGCTCTGCACGGCCACCACCTACGAGCACGAGGATGTCAACTGAGGGACCTTTTATTTAAGCTTTGCGATGCTGCGATGATTATTATTGGGGTGGTTTTGGGCAAAGAGTGGCACCGGTGGAGAGGGAGATGGGCACCTAAAATTTTAATGGGCCGCCCGGTGAACATGCTGCCCAGCTGTCCGATTGTCCCAAAAGACACCCTCCAAATAGACGGGGGCTGGTCCATCCAGGGTCTCCTGGCTCTCCCATTCCCTGGCGTGTCTTACTGGCCTCGCCTTCTTTTTCGCGGCTTGGGTCACCACCCTTGGGTACCTCCCTTATTACCTGCCTAGGAGGCTAGTAGCAGTAGCCCGAACCTCTGTCCTCGGTCCCAGCTTGCCAGGTGTCTCCTGCCCGCAAAGTGCCATTCAACCATCCACGCGCACTACCGACTGGCGAGCTGCCGCTGCTACTTGTGTGTACCACCTGCGTCTGAACCTGCATCCCAACCTGCAACCTGCAACCTGCGGCTGCGCAAATCCAAAACTGGTCGCTCGCTTGTTGCCTGTGCATGATTCAATCCTTTTCCACATTTCTTCACTCTCCTTCACGTCAACACGCCATCGACATCCTTGTACCTGTTCATTCCCTCCGGTTTTTGAATATCTCGATCGCTGTGTTTGTAGCTGCTCTCCCCTCCAGAGTTCGCTTGGGAAACTGCGCTCTCACTTGCCCCGGAGCCCCCTACCACCACCACCACAACCACCCACCCCCCTGCGGGCATTCTCTCGCTTATACAAGTACAAAAATAAATCGATCAATTCAACCATCTGACATAAACGCTTGGCCCAGCCACCATCATCATTATCGCTGTGACGGCTCATCAGCTCAGACTGTTGGCACCGATCTTTTTGATCGCCGTCTGCTGACGAGAGAAGTTGGGGGGAAAGTCTTTAAACAACACGTTGTAGGAGGGCACCTATTGATACTATCCTTCTAGGCCTCCCGGCATTGGTCGCTGACTACAGTATCTATGCAGGTTACCGTTCACTGTCCAACTGCTTTCGATGGTTTCGTCCCTAGCCTTGCACAACTAAACCTCTTTGCCTCCTGGTTACGGACCGAACAAATCGAACCGTCCTGTCAGACACCTTGTCCTTGAATAGTATCCATTCGGGTACCGTTGCGTCCCGCCGAAGCCACCTTCATGCCAATCAAGCTGCCCAAGGGATTTCAACGACGGAAATCTTCAGGCCATGCCTTGGACGAGGTGCGCAACCCTCCCGGCGAGGTTTCCTCCTTCCGAGTCCTGGAGAGGCCAGCAAGCAAAGGAAAATCGTTTGATGGTGGCAGACATCTGAAGATGGCATCTGTGGGCGGAGGAGCACCACTGCCGCCGCCAAAAGATCAGTATGACCACGAGGAGGTGGATTTGTTTGCGGTGGGCCACCCAGATGCAAGCAACCGGTACGCAGCGAACATAATCAACCTTGATTTTGTGAATGGTACGGGACTGACGAGACTGTCTAGGGGAAGTGGTGGCACCGAACGCTCCCACTCGACTGCCCCTTATGACAGTGCTGCATCTTCTGCCCGTCTCAGTACTTCGTCGACAAACCCTTCTTCCATTGACACGAGGTCGGACAAAAATGTTCAGGGAGGGGTGGGATCGAGGCCTTTCAACGACATTCCTGCACCGCCTGCTTCGACGAGGCCGAGCTTCCTTCGCAGCCCAGTCAGAACGTTTTCTTTCGGGGTAGTGAAAGGCAGTCGAGGATCGCCCACCTCACCAGGCGGTGCTTTACCTCCATTGATGGACACCACCAGAAACAGGGCTGTCACGGCAAGCACCGCAAGTACGGCCACGCCCCCCAGGCTCTTTGATACCGACCTCTCCCTGGAGAGTTCCGAATTGGATGAGTTCGGAAACATGTTTGACCATATCGGGTCTAGTCCTGACGCGGTCCCGAGCCGGCTTATACACCAAGAGGTAAGGGCAAGCTCCGAAAGTCCTTACAATATTTCATGCTGATGTTTCAAAGGCTTCAATTTCACCACCAACACAGTATCCCCCGACCGCTTATCCAGGTGCAAGTCCCCTCCGTGTCAGCCGAGCACCTCCTCCAAAGCCCATCTCAACCGATCGCTCGCAAGTCGTTGAATCCTCTCCCTATTCATGGGCTTCCCACGATTCCAATGATCACTTGATGCGGTCTCCCAGTCCGTCCAAGACAATCACACAAGGAAGCCCCAACAAGGCCGGGGAATCGGTTGCCCGACCAGGACGGTACGGGTCCATGTCAGATTCGACAATTTCTGCCAGAGAACCAGGAGGTCCACCATCCAATATTAAAGAGGAGGAACTACAGCCCCCTCCATTGACACACACCAGGTCTGGGGGCAGCAGCACGGCCTTGTCAAGCCCTGCTAGAGACGGCACAGGAGCGTTGTCTCCGAGCTCGACACACAGCGCCACGTTTGATCCGATTATTGCTGCAGATGCCCAGCTCGCCAACATGTATCAAGAAGCCAAGCCTGCACCCGTCAAGTCAGTTGCCATGAACAAAGTAATGACCCCTGCTCAATGGGAACGCTACAAGGAGCAAAAGGAGATGGACCGCCGTCTTGGTGCTTTATCTGACGACAGTGGTTCCGAGGCTAGCGAGAATTCTGACGACGATGATGAGATGGAACGCAGTCGGCAGGCAACAAGGCAACGTCGAAAGCAAGAAGCCCACCTGGCTGTGTACCGGCAAAAGATGATGAAGGTAACAGGCGAAGCACCGGCCAGTCGGTCAATGAGCAGTCTGGGCATGCTGCGACCGGGCGAGAACAACTCTTCAACGGATCTCAACAACCGCTTATCACACATGACCTTGGACTCGAAACAGTCTGGTAAGAGTAGCGGAGAGGAGGAGGAGGAGGAAGATGAGGATGTGCCGCTTGGAATTCTCGCAGCACATGGGTTCCCGAACAAAAACAGGCCGCCTACGCGGCTCGCCAATTCCCCTTCCAACTCCAACCTGCGAAGTGTCAGCCAGAACCAGGGGGCTCCTTCTGTGGCCAGCCAAGCTCCTAAAGGAAGTAACTTGCCTGTCTTCGCTCGACAACTGCCTCCCGACCCCTACTACGGGGCGAGCCTTGTCAATCCTTCGAATCGTGAAGCCCTGGCCCTTCATCCTACCGGTGCTCCTCAGGGAGCTGGCCCCGCAACAGCCCATCCCATCCACCCTGCGGGACTTGTCGGAGTTATCGCTGGAGAAGAACGCGCGAGAGCTGCCCGACGGGGCAGCCCGAACCCTGCTGGCAACTACGACCTGCCTCCCATGGGCCCCCATCCCGGCATGGTGCGATCCCAGACCACGGGTACTCTGTTATCAATGGCTTATCCGCTGATGGGAGCGCCTCCCATGCCGGGAATGTCTGGTGTTGCCGTTATGCCAGGAATGCCCCCCATGCTCACTCCTGGAGATCAAGCGCAGATCCAAATGTCCCAACAGATGACGCAAATGATGCAGATGCAGATGCAATGGATGCAGCAAATGTCGAACATGATGGTTAGTCCAATGAATGGACCACCGATTATGCCTCCTGCAGGCCCACCGATCCCTGCATTTGCAAGACCGCAGTCTATGGCCATGCAGAATTCCCCGGCCCCCCAAGCGAATCAGCGGACCATGAGTACTCTCAACCCAAGCATGGCTCCCTGGAACAACAAACCACCGCTACTGCCGTCCATCAATGTTAATGGGAACTATGCTCCGTCTATTGCACCTTCTGAGCGTAGTAACATCGGCCTGGCTTCCAGATATAGGCCGGTATCGACCGCCCCAGAGCCAGATATGATGCCTAATCATCATCGAGCATCGACGTTTACATCGACAACCATGCGGCCCTGGTCGTCAATGGAGCAAGCGCGACGACCGTCTGCGCACGCCACGATGCCTTCCGTCAACACCCTCGGCCGCAGATCTCCTTTGGCGACCCCGGACGATGAGGACGACGAGCAAGGCTGGGCCGAGATGAAGATGAAGAAAGATAAGAAGCAAAAGACTTGGGCGCTCCGCAAAGGGCAGAATACGCTCTCGGAGTTATACGCCAACGCCTCGTAACGAACCTGCATTTCGACACTTCCCTATGCTTGACGGAAGCGTCCTTACAACACGATGAGAGCAACGGCAATGTTTTGGCAATCTGAGACGGCACAGCATATAGCAGCATTCTGGCGGGATTTAGGAAAAAGTTATTTTGGGTAATGGTATACAGCTTGAGAGTCACGGGCCTCCACTTGGGTTGTATAGAGGGCGAGGTGGAATCTCCAGAGACATATTATACGCATAAACTGCATAGTTGTAAAATAATCACAAACCCATCTGTCCTCAAAGTGTGTGTGTTCGTGGATCATTGTTGTAGGGGGCCATGGCCGTATTCCAAGCCAGATTCCCAAAATCAGTGATACAATACCAATGAGTCCGACTGAAGGTGACATTCTTTGCAAGGGACATATTGTTTGCCCTGCCATGCACCTTATACCCCGTCCTCGGTGCTCCGTATCGATGTATAGATCGTGGTGCAAAGGCATAATACTTGTCTTGTTGCTCGCCCCAGTCTACCCTAAGATAGTATAGCGTGTGTGCATCCACTCTAGGGAGCCTCGGTGGCGGCGCGCTATAATTAGACCCAGTTGTTCCTCTTTGTCTATCTCTCTCAAGGGGCCGAGCATCGATAGATATTTCGCCAGGTCATGATCGTCTTGTAATCTTTCGCTGAACAGAGGTTGCTTCACAAAAAGCCTCTTTGAACGCATTCCAAACAAACCACTCCAAGCAAGGAAATGTCGATTCCCAGTTGAAGATTTGGCCATGTGTGTATCGTGCTACGCCAACAACATCCTCATTCCGATCGTGGGAACCGGACGACAGATTTCAACCAAAACACGATGCTATGTTCCTCAAGGTATCCAGGGAAGAAGTAAGCAGCACTTCTGATTTGTGGTGTTGTTGTACATTCAATTCCACCCGATGATGCCTCTTCCCAACACTTGGCCTTGCTCATTTGCGACGTCAACTTCTCTGCCAACGATGCCTCGATCATCAGCCGTGAGATCAAAATCTCGGCGGCCAAGCCCATTGGCATCGGGAGAACTGGGGCTGACAACTATAGGACCTGCTCCAGCAATCAACGCAAAGCGGACAAAGACTGGATTTGCAGGTTTCTTCGCGGGCACAGAGCGGAAGTGCTCATTTGCGTACGTCCTAACACGGTCTCAGCTTCGGACGTTGAGTAAAGGCAGTATTGAGGCACACAGTGCATGTTGCAAAGGATGGGACGCAACTGCCTTACCAGATCGTCACGTTGAGCTTCTCGCCCTGAAACCTTTTGGCGTGGCTCGGTTCCTCGCACCGTAGCTCTCCCAGTATCTCATTTTGACAAGATTTACTGAGCAGCAACCGGCACCAGCACGTGTTACTGACGGTTTGGAGTCGGTTGTTGTCGCGGATACGGTGCAGAATGGCAACCAGGTCTCCCGCAGGGGCGTGCCGAGGTTTCGACTGGCAACACATAGCCTGGCTTCTGTATATTCGACGAGGGAATATCGAACGACCTTTACAAAGGTAAGTTCCTCACACAGCCCCAGCACATGTTCGCAAAGATACAGGTCTTTGGAGCCTCGTTGGTGTTCCGATGTCCCATTTCTTGAACGAATTCCGGATTTTAAGGTCCTCAGTTTGCCTAGACGCATCAGCGTCCTAAAACGTGCTCAGATTGGTCCCACCAGCCACCACTTGAGCAGATTTGGACCAGATACATCGGAATGAGGATCCTGGACTGGCTCAATGATGCCATCGGCAACAGCAGGATCATCTGCCGTTTATAAAGGTGTAAGTCCGTGGCCTCCCACTTTGTCTTTCCCTCGCACTTTTCGGGTTACCGCATCATCCCGAGCCCAGAAGTAGAGAGTCCAGCCACTTTGATCTAGTTTGAGCAGGATGCCTGTGACTTACGACTTGCCTCAACTGCAGTACAGCCTCGATGTAAGTGCTCGATAGGCTCCACCCGAGCAGAATCGTGCGCTGACCAGATTCACTGTCCCCCAGGCGCTGGAACCCTCGATATCCGGGCAAATCATGGACCTCCATTACAACAAACATCACCGAACCTACATCACCAACCTGAACGCCGCCCTCGGTGCACAGGCGGAAGCAGCCTCGTCCAACAACCTGGTGAAGCAACTCGAGCTGCAAGCCGCCATCAACTTTAACGCCGGCGGCCACATCAACCACACGCTGTTCTGGGAGTCCCTCGCCCCGGCGTCCAGCGGGCTCAACGACCTCTCCGCCGTTGCCCCGACCCTTCGCGACGCCATCACAAAACGATGGGGCAGCTTCGACGCCTTCAAGGCCGCCTTCGAGGCCTCCGCGCTGGCCATCCAGGGGTCCGGGTGGCAATGGCTCGTGCAGGATCCGCAGACAAAAGCGCTGGAGCTGACCACCAGCAAGGACCAGGATCTGCCCAGCAAGGGAAGCGGCAAGGGCATCGTGCTGGGCGTCGACATGTGGGAGCACGCGTACTACCTGCAGTACTTCAACAACAAGAAGGAATACCTCGCCAAGATCTGGGACGTGGTCAATTGGCAGGTCGCCGAGAAGCGATATAAGGGCGATGCCCGAGCCGCATTCGGGGCGTTGGCGGGATTGGCTGGACATTTGTAATCAACTCGCAGGAAGAAGCAACTTGCAGCTAGCTCTTGCTATTGGGCGCTCTAGGTTCATGGCGTATCACGACGCTGCCAGCAAGACAGGCGAAGGCGGGGTCACTTGGTGCAGAGTCTGAAGAGTCTGAAGAGGCACGACCCGAACCCTTGATTCCCCCCGAAGCTTGTGCCCTGCATGGTCGTTTGCGTTCTATCCAAGGACTTTGAGACGTTGAATATATATCTGAATCTGATCTCCTGAGAGAGCCTGTGGTGGATAACGAGTTCGGACGTGGTTCCCATCTATGCTTTTCAAGATTTGCCGGGTTCAGCCTGATCGGAATCTCCAAGCTCGTCCATCCGCTGTGACTGTCGAGCTGTACTAACCCTGGGGATCCTCGTTAGTAACGGTTACGATCTGCCCTCTCTCAGGTGTCCGAGGAGGTCGACCGCTCCCTGGGGTGCCCGAACATGGACGTCTTCATGCTCACAGATGCCGTCATTCGCGATGTATACGCCGTCACGGTCTTCATCAAACAAGTAGTGGACAACTTCGGGTCGTATGGCCCTGACACGGACCAAATCAAACGAAAATTAGTACACGAGCTTCTTTATGTCGAGACGTTCCAGTCAAATTTCTTCGAGGACCCTGATAATGCCGAAGCCTACAGAAGTCAATCCCCCATGCTTCAAGCAGACGTCAAATCGACTCTCGACAGCCTCAATAAGGTGTTGGCAGAGTATGGGATTGAAGCTGCCAAACATGGTATCTTGACAGAGGATGAAGAGCAGGTTGATCCTGTGTCAACGACGCGGCCCAAAAAGAGCGCCGAAGGCAAGGGACACAGTCGGCTTCACAAAAGGATCGAGAATTATGTCTCGGCGGTCAAAGAAATCAGAAAAAAGTTGGTGTGGTCTCTCTTCGAGAAGGACAAAATCCTCCAAATGCTGGTCGAGTATAGCGAGTGGACAAACCGCCTGCGACAGTCCTCGGCCCTCATGACGGAGAAAATGCTTTGGAAAGGCTACAAAAGCTTTGCGGAGTTTGCTAACACGAAGAGTGCACAGGCTCTGGGATTGCAAGATGTTTTCAAACGACGATTGCTCATCAATACCCTGCCGCCAGACAGCTTTACCTCGCTGGACGGGTCCATTGTCGCACATTCTGAGCGAATGATCACATCCAACGTGGCCGTTGCCAAGTTCCAAGCCCACGACACACTGGAGCCAGCCGAAGTTGTGCTGGAGTATCTTGCATACAACAATGCGCTACGGCAAGCTATTGATGCAAAACAAGACGCAGCGATCACGGAGCGCATGCTCCCGTACAGACAGTTGGCCTGGATGCTCAACCAGGCGCCGTTTCCCCACGAAGCCGACAGCGATGCCATTCTGGCCGCCACGAGTCCGGCCCTGCTCACCTTGCGATGTCTCGGTTACATTAATCAGGTCGCAGAAAAGCGAATACAGTTCCTGTTCGAGGCTCCCAAGATGAGTGTCATGCAAGAACAGCTCTCGATCATGTCTCTCCATCGTCTCATTCAGGGCACCAAACCACCACCGGCGCCTACCTCGGACACCGTTTTCCTGCGGATGTGGGATGACTACTGGTCGTCGAGGATCCGTCCGGAGGCCAGCGCTGGACGCATGAGCACACAGCCCCTGCGGGACCGATTCTTCCTGGCATATGCGCTGGCCTTGACGGTGCTGAACATTCACAGCTCTGGCTGGGTCCATAAGCACCTGTGGAGTCGCGGCGTCATCATCGTACCCTCCACCAAGCCGTCCCGGCAGTCCAGGTCGACCTATTTGATTCCCTATGTCGCGGGATGGGACGTCGCTCGTCCCACGGCAGCCAAGGAGACGGATTATATGGCCGATTACGACGCCGAGGCGAATCTGTACCGTCATCCGAACCGACAACAGAAGCCGTCAGCACGGTACACATTGATCCACGACTTGTACTCGCTCGGGGTGCTGCTGATGGAGATCGGGGCATGGAGCACCGTCGACAACATGTTCCGAAGCCAAATCAGATGGGCGAAGAAGCAGGGCAGAGCCCCAGACGTCGACATGGTCCGAGTGGAATGGCGGAGGACCGTAAAGGCCGAGGTCGAACGCCAGATGGGCGAGGGCTACGCAAACGCTGTCGCATGCTGCTTGCTGAGCGATTTTGGCGTGGCCGTAGACGATCATGCTGACACCAACCTTGCTGTCAGGTTCAAGACCACCGTGGTGGACGCCATCAAACTAGGTATAGCTCTTTAGGCAACAGGGAGATCAAGATATGTATGAGATTGAAATCGGATTGGATAGTAATGATAGGCTTGCTGCCGCGTGCACGCGCTTGACACATCCCGACCTCATCACTGGGCATTACATGGCGGGTTGCAGACATTGGAAAACAACGCATATTCCCTCACCTCCTTCTCAGCTCTACGCCTACGCAGGCAAAGAGAGGGATCACCTCACGATTACAGCAATCATCCACGTCAAGTCGCTTCACGACCTCGGCGATTTTAGGTCGACCGTCTTGTTGCTCGCACAACATGGATGCCGTAATGTTAATCGTAGCCAGGAACGTGTCCTTCCAGGAGGCAAACGCCTGGTCTCTCCCGCGCCGGTACCAGTAGTCTCTCAAAGGGCCCTTCTCAGCCGACGGCTCTTGGTCGGCGAACTTGCGGAGCCTCTGGAGCCACTCACGCACGCGAGGCAGCTTCCCGCAGAACGACTCGTCCACATCGTCCACATCCCATCGGAAAGTGTCGAAGGTCACGACCTCTTCGCATGCCAGCACGGTCAGCATCTCCGCGAAAACACAGCCCAGGGAGAAGACGTCAGCGGCTCGGCCCCATTCCAGAGTATTGGCTGGATCCTCTGTCGCCGGATCGGGGGCTAGCTCTGGTGCGCAATATTTCGGCGTTGACTTTGCAAAACTCTTGGTTCGACTCAGGCATGCGTAGGTGCTAGCCGATCCAAAGTCGGCGATATATACATGGTAGCGGCGGCCATCTTCGACCTTGGCCAGACTCTCTTTGATGAGGATGTTCGCCGGTTTGATGTCCGCATGGCGGGTGGTGTTGGTGTGGATATACATCAGGGCTTGGGCAAGACAGGGGAAAAAACTTTCCAAGTACAGGCGATCACGCAAGAGCTCCGGGCATTTAAGCTCGTCTTCCGTGCTCCCTGCCTGGCAGTTTTCCTCCATGAACCTGCTGAGGGTGTACTCACAGTACGGATACAGGAGTAGCGTATAGTCATGATGTTTTGTATAAGAGCCGAAGATCTGGATGACATGGCAATGGTTTAGCCGGCGTAAAGTCTGGCTTTCCTCTTTGAAGATTCTCAGCTGATGTGGGTTTGTCCATCTCATCCGTTTTCGTGCCAGAACCACACCCTAAATCAGGTCAGAATCTCTCTCACGAAAGGTACGACTACCTCAAGTGATCTGCAAGCGTATACCTTGTATCGTGCAATATCGACCTCGGCTTTTTCAGAGGCAGGGTCCAGGGGTTTCCTCTCAGCCTCCAGCTCCGGGGGAGACTCGCGGTTACCGAATTCACCGTCCTCGAAGGGCCATCGTAATTCCGACCTCAACCACGGCCCTTGCATCTGGGAGGAGGAAGAAGAGGAGAATTGCAGCCCCCAGGCACAGCGATTGTCGTACCAAGCACGCTCTAGACGTCGAAGGCAAGCATATTGTGCTTTATCTACGTCCTGGCAAATGACAATGTGAGACAAGAATGTCGAAAGAGAGGGAAAGGGGGACTTCGAAGAGCATGCAGGCCAACAGCACATCTGGGGCTGAAAACCGGCGACATCAGCTAAATGGTTGATAGCCCAGCGCAGTCGGAGTGTGCTGCGTGTTTCGTAGGGAGTTGTCGAGGCTGCTCCACAGGGAGAGCTTTCTGATAGACAAGTTTGGCTTTGGTAGAGTCAGTTCAAAAGGCCAGAGCAATCTTGCGAATGGGGTCTTACAATGACCTCTGTTGAGCCTTGTCTGCTTCCCGTATCTGTTGACAAAGCTCGGCCAGCTGTTTTGCCGCTGCAGGACTTGTGTCGGCCGTCAGGCTAAGAATAGTCTGGATAACAGCATTTGCTGCTTGTATGCCGTCTTTACGAGAATTGTTTCCGTGATCTAGGAGGGTTCTAAGTTCATGATTGTGTCTCGTCAAGCCGGCAATGACCTCTGAATTCTGATGCCCCAACAGATCTGACATGCATGCCTCCGTTCTCACCAAGTTGGGATCCATGTCTCCCCATTCGGACTGCACATGTAAGTTGTCATTGGTGGCGTCAACGAGGATCAGATGCGGCTTACCATCGTATCTGGAGGTGTGATACCATTCACTATGTTCTTTATATTGTCCAATCCCCCAAGGATGGTGGTGCAAGTGCCGCAGTAAGCCTCCACATGGATTCCCAGCCGTTTGCGAGCCCTGACCTGCACTTCAGCCTCTTGCCATTGCAGGTCGCCGAGCGCGGTGAAGAACGTCGAGATGTCTGCGGAGGGGGCCACGTCGCACAGAAGATCCACGGCTGCGTCTTCGAACGAATTCCTCTGCAGACTCAGGCATTGCATGACGCCGATCAGCTTCGATCGATCTGTTTCATTGTCCTTCCAATCCAAACGGTTCTCCAGATCCCGAAGCTGTTTGAGGAGCCCTGCAAAGGTCGCCAGCACGGTCCCGGCGTTTGCAAGGGGGGTGAGTTCACCCACTGCTGGAAGTGCAGCCTGCGCGGTCGCCATCATGCATGTTCCATTCCGTGACACCACAGCATTGCTTGTCTTCAAGAGTTTGCAAGCCATTCTCATCCAAGTGCCATCACTACGCACCTGTGCCACGTGTGTTACCCATGTCACGTGTTCGCTGACGTGTCACGCGCGTTTAGGCGCCAAGATCCAAGCTGCGGCTGCCTTAGACGTCGACCTTGGACATATATCCAGGAAGACGGTGTTTTGTTGTTCATGGCCATCAAGAGCTGATTTGAACCTGATTATCGTGTTATGGAGCCTCCAGCCGGGAGGATCCGAGTGTTGTGTCTAGGTAATGAACCCATGTGGATCTTCCGTCCGAGGCTAACATCGCAACGCAGATGGCGGAGGAGTGCGAGGCTTGTCGTCGCTCTTGATAATCCAGCAGCTGATGAGGCGGCTAAACGAGGGACGACGAGCCATCGAAAGGTTAGAGCCATGGCAGGTCTTCGACATGGTGGGAGGCACCTCGACAGGAGGGTATGTCGATATTTGAACAAACATCCTGATGAGAATCTCGTGAACTTCACCGAGGATACTGAACGTGCCACACTCCATGAACTGGGCTGACTCCTTGCCCTTAGTCTAATCGCAGTCATGCTGGGTCGGCTGCACATGAGCGTGGATGAGTGTATCGCTGCATACATGGCGTTTTCGCAGGCACTATTTGAGCCGAAGCACGCCAAGTTCAACGCCCTCAGTTCGTCCAAGGAAAAATTCCCGATGACTAAGGTCAGAATGGAGAGCATTCTGAGGAAAACGAGCTCAGTCTCCTCTTTCTTGGATGACTCAATGCAGGATGTTGATTCGCCCTGCAAAGTGTAAGTCGGATTTTGCCTTCCCCAAAGAGGTCAGAGGTCGTTGTTTATCTAATACGAACTTGCCTTAGGGCCGTTGTTGCCAGGGATGCGTCCGGAAAGCACCGAATCTTGCGGAGCTATCAAAGTTTTGGAACCTCAGGCTATTTGGAATGCAAGATCTGGGACGTAGTCCGCGAGACCCTCCCTGCTGCTACGTATCCCCAGGTGTCCGACGTCGACTCAGGACCGTCCATGCACCAGAATCCCATCGCGTCCATCTACGGAGAAGCGCGTAGCATGTGGCCCGAGCATGATATTCAACTTGTCAGCATCGGCGCAGGCGGCGGCACGCGGAACATGTTCTCTGCCAGCTTAGGAGGCAGTATCAAGACCATTAACCAGATGCTGACCGACTCTGAAGACGAAGCCCGACATTTTGTAAACTTCCACACTTCAAGACGCTTTCATTTGAGCGTATATCGATTTAACGTCGCGGAGGGACTGCGAGATGTTGCCTTGGATGAATACAAAGCCATGCGCCAGCTGGAAGCGCAAACCATTGAATATCTTCGCAGAGGCCCGAGCCAAGATCGCATGCGCCAGTGCGTTGAAGGCTTACTCGAGGTCATTTACGAAGGTCTGCAATTGCCCCCCCCCCATCTTGCTTTCTTATCACTAAAGCCGTCGTAGACAAGCTTATTGGGTTTGAGCAGGTGGAAGCCCAACGAGACTCTCAACAGCGGCTCCGGCACAATACCGACTGGCTTTCTTCCGATGATATGTCGACGATACTAGGCGACACTGTCTCCAAGATCCAAGAAGGCACTGGTGCTACGTTCTTCTCTGATCCAGCTTTTCAGTCGTGGTTGGCAGGAGACTTGCGAACCCTCTTTTGCCAGGGCTGTCCTGGAGCGGGTAAGACGTTTCTGGCAGCGCAGGTGATTGATGGTTTTATGAGAAACGGCCGGCACAAACGCAGCCCAATCCTATATTTCTTTGCGAGCTTGCGGCACCAGAAAATTGAACACCCGAACGCTGCTGTCTTGGCAAGTCTGCTTCGCCAACTTCTACTCTGGAAGGGATCCATATCGGAAGCGACACAGCATCTTTTCCTACGACATATGAAAGATGCAAGCCGGCCAGACACAATCACACTCCTCGAGTGCTTGAAGAGAGAGACCGACGGTATCCCAGGAGTATACATAGTGATCGATGGTCTCGATGAGCTTTCTGAGGACTGTCGGCTGACTTTGCTCAACTGCATGCGTGATCTTCAGCTGACAAAAAGAATACCTTTCATGGCAACGTCGCGTATGGACGATAGAACGGAGAAGCTCTTCCATCATCTGTTCCCGGACTTCAGATCGATGCAAATCAATAGCAAGTCTGATGACATGGAAGCCTTCTTGCTTGGCCGAATGTCAAGGCTGCCCGACGTTGTGTTGCAAAATATCGAGGTTCAATCATTTATAAAAGATGAGATCATGAAGCGTTCTGGTGGAATGTGAGTGTCAAATATCCCCAAGACCGGCTGTAGCTTACACGTTATATCAGCTTTCTTTGGGCAACACTTCTCGTTGACTCACTCGTTTCCTTGAGGACCGTTCGGCACATCAAGAATGCACTAGAATCAGCACCCTCGGAAATTCACGATATGTATGAAGCAGCGTTTGCCCATATCGAAGACCAAGATAAATTCTCCCGCGAGCTTGCTTTCCGGGTTTTTGCATGGCTCATTCATGCTCGAAGGCCAATGACTGCTCCAGAACTCCAGCATGCATTGGCCATCGAAGAAGGGAGCAAGTACTTTGATCGAGACTTGTTGATCTCGATCGACGACCTCATTTCTGTGTGCGGTGGCTTGGTCACTCTGAATGCGGACAGCAATGGCCTCAGTTTCATCCATCTTTCAGTCGAGGAGTTCTTTCAAGAAATCAAACGGGACCGCTTTGCAGATGCCCAGAGGCAAATCGCAGTTGCGTCTCTGACCTACCTCGGCCTTGACTGTTTCCAGGATGGCCCATGCACGAACTCAGAAAAGTTGCAACAGCGGCTGCAAGAGTATCCGTTCCTCGATTATGCGGCTCGCTTTTGGGGTATCCATGCTCGAGAAGTTAGGCCAATGGACATTTCGAATCTGGCTCAAAAGTTGCTTCATCACCCAGGCAAAGTCGCTTCTTGCTGGCAAATGCTACAATCTCCCAGCCATCGCTTTTCGCCGAGCAGAGCGTCAGATTCAGCAAGAATAACTGCACTGCATCTTCTTGCCTATTTTGGCCTGAGGGATTTGTCGCTCTGGGTCTCTGACTTTGAAGGCATCCACGCGAAAGATTCTTTTGGAAGAGATCCCTTGGCCTGGGCCATCCATTATAATCAGCTCGAGATGATGGATTTACTGTTGGACAAAGGGGCCGATGTCGCGGCTGTGGATCTCATGGGACGCTCACATCTCGCGCTAGCTGCCATTGAAGGAAAGATGGGCGTTCTTGAGCGTCTTTTGGAGCGCGGAGCGAACCCATCGACCGAAGATATTCGAGGCCAGAGTATTCTCTCGTTCGCCGCCATGAATGGCAATCTATCAGCCCTTACATTCATCGCAAAGAAAGTGCCAGACAAGATCGACCATGGAGATGAGACTGGTCGAACGCCACTGTTTTATGCCGCGAAGGAGGGGCATAGTCACGTCGTATCTTACCTCGTGGGCCAACCGCTTGTGAACGTCAATTCTCAAGACGAACGAGGCGAGACACCGCTTATCGCAGCCGCCGGAAAAGGGTGCCTTGAAGTTATTACGGTGCTTCTAGCGCATCCACACATCAAGGTCAATGTGGTAGACTCACTCGGTCGAACGGCCCTGATGGTAGCGACGCTCGAAGGGCGCATCGATGCCCTCAAGCTCCTTGCTACTCACCGCAATGGTCTGGCAGGGTTGCAAATTCCCGACTACACTGGAAGGACGCCAGAAGCTTGGGCTGCCATTGTGAAACATCAAGATGTGCATAAATTTCTCCAATCCGTGACACGTGCTCCGGACTAGGCAGAGCAAATACTCCTTTGGCATCCTGGTCGCCGTGCTGCCGCATTTGCAGCACAACAGGGGCCCGTCGTCGAAATTGATTATTGGAGTTCTCCATGGCCAGAACTGATCACTTGCATTGCTGTGACTATAACCAGCGAGATATGAGTGATCGAGCCATGGTCTCAAATCGAAATCTCCTGGAAACGGAGCCTGGTATGGCAAGAGTCCGCAGGGCAACGAAGACCCCACGCTCGCTTGAGACGTGAAAGGAGTCCCCAGATTTGTATGATTTGTTGAGAGCTTTGTTCACCCCTCTGCCAGTCGATGAACACGCTCGTCATATTGTGTCCCTGAATATCTATCTTATTGCGTCAAGTAAATTGTTGCCGCGACATTCAACCATCGTCACGCCATGAAGGGGATTCTTACGTGCATATTCTCGCCACATCGAACAGGGACTGCTTACACAGAGGGAGGACGTGGTGCTCATGACCAATGACCCACCTAGCAGATGTAACAGTCAGGAATTGTAGAACAGACTACTGGATGGTTCGAATATGCTATGGATTAGAGAGTTCAAATTCTAGCTAGCGTCTGCGAGGGAAGAGGCTCAGTTAAACCCAGGTAGGTGAGCCGAGGACGGGCAAAGCGGCGAGAGGGTAATCATAATCCTGGTTTCAATTAATAGGCATTGCACTGTCATGTGAACTTGGGCGTAGGTTAAAGCAGCATGCCAAGAGTTGAAGGATGATGATTGGAAAACTGCTGGCCACAAGTCCTCGTCGCCGGCCTCTTTGTCCGTTGGTCCCTTTAGCGAGGCCGCCCAAACTCAAACCAAGCGAACGTTAGACAAACACGCGAGGCCCGTTGCTGCCTTCACCGTCAAACCCTTCACATCCGTCGCACTGGTCTATTCGACCCTCCGCTGTGCTGCCCCCTAGCGGTCATTTGTATCCGGCACTCACTGTCTAGCCGAGGCGTTGCACAGTGGATTGATCACCATCAAGGGAGAGGAGAGGAACAAGCAGTACATCGGACTGCCGGTGAGTCGATAAGCCCAGGCCTGTTACTGCTGAATTGGAGTCTGGCCCTGTTCCACTCTCATTGTCCGCTCTGTTTCGGACAACGTCTGGCGTCTGAGGGGGTCACTTGAGTAGATGCGTGCTAGGCTTGCTATCCTTTTCACTTCCCTACTCGTTTGCTTTCTGGCGATTTGGTTATCGAGCACACTCGACCACGTCTTCTCGCTGCTGCTGCTGCTGCTTCCCGGCCGTGATCACCAGGCTAACTCGACGTGGGGAATTCAGCAGCAGGTCTCACATCTTCTGGATCAGACTCTCACCAAGAAATCCCCTGTCGCTAGCATGGTCTCAATCCGGGCAAAGCCTCGCTTCCGACAACGCCAAAGAATCGACCCGGATTACTGCCCCTGTACCATCACCCAGTATGAGTCGGAGCGCACTGGCATGCGTATCATCGTGGTGGACCAGGAAGGCCCCAAGCTGCATGGCTTCTTCGTTCTCGCCACCGAGATCCACGATGACTCCGGGGCGCCCCATACGTTAGAGCATCTCTGCTTCATGGGATCTAAGAGCTACAAGTACAAGGGCTTTTTGGACAAACTCGCCACCCGAGCATATGCGGGCACCAACGCGTGGACAGCCACCGACCACACGGCATACACACTAGAAACCGCCGGCTGGGCAGGCTTCGCTCAGATTCTCCCAGTCTACCTGGAACATGTGATCCTGCCAACGTTGACAGATGCCGGCTGCACGACCGAAGTGCACCATATCGATGGAAGTGGCAATGACGCTGGTGTGGTGTACTCGGAGATGCAGGGCGTGCAAAACATGGCGTCGGAATTGATCGAGCTACAATCCAAAAGGATTCTCTATCCCGAAGGCGTGGGCTATCGCTATGAGACAGGCGGGATGCTGGAGCAGCTCCGTGTCCTGACCGCGGACCGCATTCGAGAATTTCACCGAGAGATGTACCAGCCCAAGAACCTGTGTGTAGCTATCTTTGGAGAAGCAAATCACGACGAGCTGCTGGCCATTCTGGACGAATTCGAAACCTCGATCCTCCCCGACATCCCCAGTCCAGACGCTCCCTTCAAACGACCGTGGATCGAGTCCAAACTTGCGCCCGCCTTGAATCAGACGACTTTGTTGAGAGTGGAGTTTCCCGAGGAGGACGAATCATCCGGTGAGATCGACATCCGATTTTTGGGCCCCAATTGTGCAGAAGCTGTGGAATTAGGAGCTCTCAACGTTGCCCTCAACTATCTTGCCGGCTCTTCAGCCGCATTGCTTGACCATGTCCTTGTAGAGAAGGAGCAGCTGGCAAGTGGAGTCTTCTATCAGCTCGACAGCCGGCCGCGCACGGAGATCCAGTTTTCCATGTCCAGCGTCGAGACCAAGCGGTTGGAAGAGGTCGAGAAACGTTTCTTTGAAGTGTTGAAGGAGGCCATGGAACAGCCTTTGAACATGGATTTCTTGAAGGATTGCATCGACCGTGTGGTTAGAACCAGCAAATACAATGCTGAGGGCTCCGCCACGGCATTTGCGGACTTCATCATCTCCGACTACCTGTACGGAAAGAGAGATGGGTCAACCTTGGACATTGTGAAATCATTGAAGCATTATACCGAGACCCTCGCCAGCTGGACGGAAGATCAGTGGAAAACCTTTATCAAGAAGTACATTTCGGACGCGCCTCACGTGTCGATTCTGGGTGTGCCTTCTGCGCGTTTATCAGAGAAGCTGAAGACAGATGAAGCCAATCGAATTGAAGAGCAGAAAGCCAGATTAGGGCCCGAGGGGCTGAAGAAAATGCAAGAAAAGCTGGACGCCGCAAAGGCCGAGAACGACCGCGAGATACCAAGGGACTTGCTCGGGCAATTCAAAGTGCCCTTGACGGATTCGATCCACTTTGTCACCATCAAAGGCGCACGAGCAGGCCGGGCGCTGGATCTCGGTCGGCGGGACACCAAATTCCAGACAATTATTGATGAGGATGCGAAAGACGTGCCACTCTTTCTCAATTTCGAACACATTCCCACCAGCTTCACCCGAGTTCACCTGATTATCTCCACCGAGAATCTTCCTGACGACCTCCGGCCCCTGTTGGCCCTCTATATGGAAGCATTTTTCAGTCTCCCAATCAAGCGAGGCGACAGGATTATCGATTTCCAGCAAGTGGTCACCGAGCTCGAGCGGGATACCGTCGGATATTCCATTGATGCGGCGAACAACCTGGGCAACGTCGAAGGAATTCGAGTCAGTTTCCAAGTGGAGAACGAACAGTACGGAGTGGCCATCAAGTGGTTGACTGAATTACTCTACAATTCCATCTTCGACGTGGAGCGGCTCCGGGCTGTCAATAGTCGTCTTCTTGCCGACGTGCCCGACGCGAAGCGCAGTGGAGATGACATGATGATGACCGTCCACTTCATGACGCACTTGGCTCCCAAGTCAATCACCCGTGCGAGGACGATCTTGGTCAAGGCACTCTATCTGAAGCGTATCAAGCATTTGCTCAAGGCTGATCCAGAACGAGTAGTGGGCCAGCTGGAACGACTGCGCGATTTATTGTGCCGCTTTGAGAACTATCGGATCCTGGTCATCACTGATCTCGAAAAGACGCAGAAGCCCGTGAGCATTTGGAAACCTTTCCTAGAGAAGGTGACGCCGACGGAGGAGATGAGCCCCATTGGCCGCCGCATCGACCGTCTCAGTGAAGCTGGCAAGAACCCTGGAAAGCTCGCGTACGTTGTTCCCATGCCGACGATCGATTCGTCCTTCGCATTCGCCGTGGCGCGTGGGCCGACCTCGTATGACGACCCGCAGCTGCCAGCCATCATGGTCGCGCTGGCATATATGAATGCCGTGGAAGGGCCGCTCTGGGTCGCCGTGCGAGGCACCGGACTGGCGTACGGGACCAACATGGGTTTCGACATCGAATCGGGGTTCGTCCACATCGACGTCTACCGTTCGCCTGACGCGTACAAGGCATTCGAAGCATCCCGGAAGATCGTGTCGGACTACATGACCGGAGCTGTCGACTTCGACCCGCTCATGTTGGAGGGAGCGATCAGCTCCATCGTGGTCATGTTTGCCAATGAGCAACAAACACTGGCAAGTGCGGCCGGCGTGAGTTTCATTCGAAGCGTGATGCAATGTCTACCCGATGACCATATGAAACGAATGTTGAAGAGAGTGAGGGACGTGACCGTGCCAGATATTAAGGATGCGCTGCAGAAGGTGGTATTCAATGTCTTTGTGCCTGGGAAGGCGGATATCGTGGTGACGTGTGCACCAGGATTGAAGGAGGTAAGTATCCTTGATTCTTGTTTGTGGAAATCCTGTGGGCCATATCTTCTTGCTTCGACCACGTGAGCTGACCAATTCTGGTGACGACAGGGCATTGCGGGTGGCTTGAAAGACGCAGGCTTCTCTCCCGAAATTCGCGATCTGAATTACTTCCAGGATGATTATGGGTTCAAACGCGCCGAGGGCGAGGACGAGGAAGAGGAGGACGACGGTGATGAGGATGACGGTGACGAGGACGAAGACGGGGACGACGAAGAGGATGAAGGTTCAGACGACATCGGAGGGAGTGAAGGGTATGAGATCATCGAAGGGAATGAAGACTGATCTAGATCGATTCGAAAGGGCGGCGTTGCGACAAGAGGTTGTTGGTTGACGCAAGGTATGATTGATGGATGCATGCATGCATGAGCAACGAAGATGATCCGGACATGATAGAATTAAAAAGGTGAAGAAGGTATCTGTCTCTTAGGCTGCTGGGGCAGAAAGGGTGTGAAATGGCACGCTGGTTGGATACGGAGTAGATGTGATATCCGATATACCACAATAGTGGAAAAGGCCACCAGGCAATACTATTGTATTGGCAAGACTGACTTCACTTACTCATCAACAGAACGCGTCGTCAGGAGTTCCCCAGGTTCACTGCAGCCTTGTCACCATTCCTGATCATCTGGCGCATATTGAACTACAATACGACCACAACCGTGCAAGAGTTGAGGCGAGCAACCTCTCCTTTTGGGGGAAACTATGGTACGTCTTTTCCAGGAGCCTCCGCTCTGGAGTCACACGAGCCGAGAAACACAGCAAGAAACATACCGACGATAGGCTATGTCCATACATGCGAGGTACTCCAACGTCCATAGTTGTCTTGGAGAGAGTTGGAGATGTGGTAGCCTTATTTGCCGGACGACGACACAAGACAGATCAGGTCTGCCCGAATCGGACCCCTCCTTTCCTTTCCTTCCCCTCAGGGCAATGCATGCCAGGCTCCCTAATAACCTTCAGTATTCAACCGTTCCAACCTCGATAGCTGTTATTCACGATGCAGAGACGGCGAAATACCGTCCACCCTAGGTAGGAGCCTCACCCTGGTTCAAAATCCATTCGACGGGAAAACACCATGGCGTCGACCCCCCGACCCGCGTTCCAAGACGAACCCATTCCCCACTACCCCGACCTGCCGGGCAAAGTGGCCATCGTGACGGGGATCGGTCAGTACGGCGACCCCAAGGTGGAAGACAACTGGGGCAACGGCGCGGCAGCAGCACTCGGCCTCGCCCGCTCAGGCGTCAAAGTGTTCGGCTGCGACCTGGACCTGGCGGCGGCAGAGCGCACCAAGCAACGGATCCAGAAACACGTGCCGGACGCGGTGGTGGACGTGGTGGTGGCGGACGCGACGAAAGCTGCCTCTGCAGAAGCCTTCGTCGGCACGGTGATGCAGCGCCACGGCCGCATCGACATCCTGGTCAACAACGTGGGCGGGGCGCACCGGGGCGGGCCCGTTGAGATGCCCGAAGAGGTGTGGGATCAGGAGTTCAACGTGAACCTGAAGTCGGTGTACATGATGTGCCACTTCGTGCTGCCGGTGATGGAGCGCCAGGGGGCCGGGTCGGTCATCAACATCGGCAGCATCGCCGGCCTGCGCTACATTGGCAAGCCGCAGGTGGCGTACGCGGCCGCGAAGGCCGGCGTGCACATGTTCACGAAGCACACGGGCGTGTACTATGCGGACCGCGGCGTGCGGGTCAACGTGGTGGTGCCGGGGCTGATCTCGACGCCGCTGGTGGCGCGCATCGCCGACTACTACGGCGGCGACTACGAGGAGTTTGTGCGCACGCGCAACGCCCAGGTGCCCACGGGCGAGATGGGCAGCAGTGCCGACGTCGCCAACGCGGTGCTCTTCCTCGCCAGCAACATCGCGTCGAGACACATGACCGGCCAGGAACTCATCATCGATGGCGGCATGACCTCTAGCACGGGCAGTGTTAAGAGTGGGATGGCGGAGAAATAAGGAGAGAACCAGCAAGCTCAGGGAGGGAGGAAGGGCAGGAGGAAGAGGAAATGGAAGAGGAAGGACGGAGTGATAGAGAAATAGAGAGAGAGAGAGAGAGAGAGAGAGAGGTTCGGGTGAAGTGGCCAAAGAGCAGTGTGGGACAAAACTCTTGCTTATATAAATACATAGACAGCTAGGAGGTCGCCTGCTGTGCAGCACTCATACAGGGAGGCGAGCTATGATGGTATGAATACCTCGTCGTCGTTTCCAATCGACAGTCGCAGAGGACGACACTCGTCAACACAATGGTGCTCTTCAATGCACGCACTTCTAAAGGATCCTCACCTTTACGGTTTCTCCATCTATTGTTTTCTTTCAACGCCTTCCTCCCTGTATGGCTTTTCTTTCCGTACAGACTGGCGAGTCCTCGATCTGGCTTTGACTGCGTATCACGTATTCATTCATATCCACAGCGGACGTTGCAAGGCAATTTGTGAATGAGTGTCACTAGCGATTTATCACATGCTCTCGGACACAGAGTGGAAGGTTAGGCGAGCCCTTCCCGCCAGACCTTCCCTCTCTTCAGAGCGCGACAGAAGACCGAACTTCATCGGCCTTCGAATAGCTGCGTGCAAGCAGAGAACTGAATGCATCATGCTTCATGTCAGCTCCCTCACCCCATTGTTGCCATCAAACGTCCCCTCGAGGGAGTGTTCAACCTGTTAACAGCGTGACCCAGCCGCTCAGCCCACAAGAACGAGAAAATGCGACCCGTGTGTTCGCCGCAGTTGTTGACGTATGCGAACCTCTGCAAAACCAGGAGCCCTACAAACAGGTCACCCTGGTCCGACTGACTTACAGATACGCCCGTTCGGAAACGTCCAAGGACAGCTTTTTGCGATTGTTCTTCCAACATACGCAGATCCCGATCGAAGCATCCGAGCGATTCTCCCCTTCCCACTCTGACTATGGACCCCGACTGGTCGCGTTTGCAGACACCCTCGTCGAGAACTTCTTCCTTCCCTGTATGACAAAGTTGAACAGTCTCGAACTATTAACACCTCCTGACGCTCTTGTTGTGCGCGTTAGTGAAAGCCTCCGCGCGAAAACCCCCTCAACCTTCACCTGCGACCTCCTCCGACTTTCGAAGCCCACAATCCGTCACTGGAACCACCCAGCAGCTGGCCAGGTTAAGAAGAGATTGCCTTATACGTGATCGTTACCGCTGTGTCATATCACGCACGTTCGACTTTGACGAGGCAGTGAGGCGCGTCGCTCGGGACGGCAATGACAATGCACAAGATGATGAGGGAAATTTGCTACGGTCAGAGAGCGGCACATTTGCCCCGTTGGAAGTAGCGCATATTATCCCATATTCGTGGACGATTGTCTCAAGTGGGACGACGGAATTGGTATGTCGCCTGCCTTCCATCTAGTTCCGATGGAGGGTGTCGAGGGTTCTTGGTCAGTATCAAGTGGTTTATCATGGTCCGGCTGACCCTGCCTCGTAGGACGAATCCAAAAGACTCGCGCTTGCAATTCTGAACATGTTCGATGATGGTGTGGTGCACCTCATTGAAGGCACTGATATTGATCGCTCGCGCAACGCAGTCAGTTTGACTTTTGATTTGCACCGACTATTCAGTGGGTTTGAGGTCTTCTTTGAGCACGTGGGTAACGATCCTCATACGTACCGGATCGACTCCACCGACACGGGCATTTTGCGCCCAAGGCTCTTGCCCGTCGAGCGTCCTCTTTTCCCCGCAGACTCGCAAATGATCGACCCTCCTTCTCCACGATTGCTTGCCGTTCACTGCGCAATCGCGCACATACTTCATTCGAGTGCTGCCGGCCGCCATATTGACAGTATCTTTGAAGATCTTGACCAAGGTGAGATCCTGGCAGACGGAACGACCCCACTGGGGGTCTTCACAGCCTTGCGGATTCAAGGCTATTGGGACGGGCGACTTCGCGCTCACTGACCCATGCCAATGGGAGATACAAGGTAATCTTGCCCTCGCAATCGTCCATATCGTCAGAGATCCAGTTGAGGCGATTTGCATGGCGGATCCCACTGTGTCCGAGGTTTGCTGAATCCTTACTGATCCCCACACTCTGAACTTTCATGCTCCGCCAGACAGCCGATATGTTTGACGAGGTCCAACGGCAGCAGGCATTTGCGACGAAAAGAGGATACTCAATATTCAGTCTCTACGCCACCGGCCAGCACAGCAAACCTGGGCGCATAGGGGTTAAGAGATCGGCTGCGGATGAGCTTGTTAGGCAGTCAAAAATCTTCAAGTTAGACCCCCCGAAGCATTTCGGTGGTGGCGGTATAAAGGCCCTCAGGAACACAATCAAATATCCTCAAACTCGTGTTTACGATGCTACTAGCACTGCTCAGTTCTTCAAGCAAGGTCAGTTCGCCAGCATTGCACGAATTAGAGTAGGTTGAGGCGGAGGTCAAAGCAGCTGAATTCAGCGAGGATTAGGCTCAGATGTGGAGATTCCTTCATGGATTACTACCACTGAGTCGTGACGCGGTCATGTCAGAGCCGCAGGAAGTCCGCCGGAGTAGGGAAATGGTCCTTAATGCGGCCTGCTGGCATGAGACGCGGTTGGCGAGGGCCAAGGCAGTAGCCGCGAGGGCGGAGGCAGCGAAGATGAAGGCATCTTCCACATCAGGCGGAAGTGGACGACGTAGGACCTCCCGCCCGAATGAGGGGGGAATTCTACGGCTCACTAGGCTGATCCTCAGAATCTCTCGGGCGGCACGAGACCTAAGTCCAAGGACAAGTCCTTGTCCTCGGGCGACAGTTCAACGCTCAAGTGCTGGAACTGTGGCAAGTTCAGGCACGCAAAACGCGATTACATTAACGTCAACGTCAGGAAGAGGTCCACAGTCCCTTAGGCATCACCCAAAAAGACTAAGAATCCTGTCATTTCGTGACAGAAACTTGGACCTCCTAGCTTATATGCTTGTCAGAACCCAGTTCATGACATTTGGTGTAAAGTGGATTGTGGTCGGTGACCTTCTGCACCCGAGTGTATTTCATGTCGTACTACACACTTCGGAAACCTCCAATAATACCAAATCATTAAAAGAGACCTTGTCCCAACAGTCACCTATCTTCTCATGCCCGATTGTCACCTTACAACAAAAGCTCCGGTGAACCAGTAATACCCGTACTTCCCGTTACACTTCTCCACCAAAGCTGTGCGATCTCGCAGGTAGATCCTGTGGTGTTGACCATTCTGCAGCTCTACGGCCGTGAATGGGCAGTGCTCGTCGGCGTCGTTCGTGACATTCGACGGACCAGCCCACGCGTTGGCGTACTTCGACTCGAACAACACCTTAGAATTGTCTTGCCAGAACACCCGTATGTTGACTTGATGGTCCTGCCAAGCAATCGCCGCAATGGGAGTGGCGGCAAGGGCCCTCTGGCTAAACCCACCTATATGGATCAAACAATTCTCAGCACAGAGGGAATCACAACAACTCCTGGGCTCTGCTTACCAATAGACCAGCCCCCAACTTGCCAGCACAGCTCCCTGATATATGACTGCTCATCTTGGTAGTAGATACGGATATGTAGATTCCTGTGAACACTGTCGAGTGGGCCACTGAACCACCTCGTGGCAGCGATGCTTGAGCCCGGTCGAGCATTCCAAAGTGTTGCTCCTCGGCCCCAACCACTCTGACCGCAGTAGCAGTATTCCTGGATGGCCCAAGATGTGGCACCTAGTTTAATTGGTTAGACTTATCTGTGAAACCAGGGTTTGAGGAGAACCTGCCTTGAAAATAGACACGAATGGACGTATCGACAGGCCAATAAATGGCCGATATTTTCGATCCAGGCGCGACTCGGATGGATTGTCCGTTCAGGCTTCCGTGGAACCAGCCGTAGCCTGCTGAGTAGCAATACTCCTGGAGGATGTCTTGGGAGGAGAGATAATAGATACGAATCTGGGAAATTCTGTGTAAGCCATCTGTGGCAGGTAGTTCGCGGGGTCCGTCAAGAAGACCGGGAACCTCACCTTTTGCCCATTGTCCCAGCTGATCACGGATAAAGGGGTTCCCATCTTGGTCGTAAACAGGACACTCCGGGCATCTCCACCACTCCAGACTCCATCGTCGTGTCTGGACTCGCGGACTCCTCCTCGGCCGTCTTGAAAGTACACACGCATGTGCCATGCAGACCATGCGGTGGCAGCGATTGAATGGCCGGAAAGGATGCTTTGGTTCTGCAGATTGCGTGCCTTTTCCGCAGCAACCCCTTCAGTAGCGACCTTCTCGGCAGCGACCTTCTCGGCAGCAAGCCTTTCGGCAGCGACTTTCTCGGCAGCGACCTTCTCGGCAGCGATCTTCTCAGCAGCAAGCTTCTCGGCAGCGACCTTCTCGGCAGCGATCTTCTCAGCAGCAAGCTTCTCGGCAGCAAGCTTCTCAGTCTGTCTCTTTTGTTCAGCAGCCGCCGCAGCCCGCCTCTTCTCCTCTTCCATCTCCTTATTCACTCGGTCCATCTCCTCTTGCAGCTTCTTCATTACCATCGGGTCCTCAACGGACAAGACCTCGGCGGCGGCACCGTTGGTGCCATGAACGACCGTGATAAATCGGGTGCCGGCCTCGAAGTCGACGGTGACCGACAAGGCTGGAGGAACACTGCTGAGAAGTTCGTCCCCATCCTTGTATCGCTCGTTGACAGCCACTTCGAAGATCCGGCTCGGCTGGATGTTGTACGTCGCGATCTCCGTCGCCTCGGTTGTCGTGAGAGGATGGAAAACGGCAGATGACGAGGCCTTGAGACCGAGACCGAAAACGCCACTATCTTTTTCCTGTTAGGGGAGGCAATGAGACGGGGTGTACAGCGATCGGCCGTACCTAGGAAGCTGGGATCGATGGAAATCGAGAAGCATCCGGGCTCGGGGACACCTTCGATCTTCTGAATGGCTGCTTGTTGTCCATCACTCTTCAGAAGGAGTGCTGCTCCAATGCCCACCTCTGAAATCACTTCTCGAGGGGAAGAACTGGCGGGCTTGGCCCAGACATAGAACTTGTCGTTGATGACGATGTCGCAGGACGATCCTGGATTCACCATAGAGCTCACCAGCACATTTTTGGCCGATTCCAAGATGTAAACCTCCTCAGAGCACACAGTGTACGTCTGGGACTTCGGCGACTGGTTCTTGATGCGTATCGTATAGGAACCCATGGTTCAATAGCTGACGGTCGGCTTGTTGTGTTTATTTCCTCTCCCGACGGTAAAAGCTCAGGGTTCGAGCGAAACGTGGGTTTTGTTGATCTCTCTTCGGGGTTTTCTCAGGCAGCCTTGTTCTGAGAAAGGGGAACAATGAAACTTATGCCGTCCTCCACGTGTGATCGGCGATCGTTTGCATTTGAAGACAGGGGTGACCGCTCTAGGTGTGCTGGATGTCAGTTTGTGGACAGTCCAGCAAAGAGGTCGAGCCATTGTTCTTGGTAGATAATGAGCGAGGAGGCTTGTTTCGTGTTGGCTCTCTAGTGAGGTACAATAGGTCACCCGCCGGCTAGTTCGGTTGGGCATATGAGGGTGTGTAACACAGCATGCTGCAACTGGCTTCTTCGGTCGCACATTTCGAGGTGGCTCGAGCGGGCATCATTTTAAGAGGCTAGTGAAGCTGGCAGTCCGCCTCATGATATTCCAATTTCAACGTCTTGCAGGTTCGGCTTCCTCTCGGAAAACACACTTTTGAACTGATTGGGTTTCAGGAGTTGCCTCGTAACTAACGACCGAATTCCTATATACTTTTCTTCTCATACCAGTGACACTTTCCCCCCAAACGAGTGGAAAAGGAATCGCACCAGCAGATTCCAACCCTGCCACCTTCACACATATTGAGGTACTCCAGGTCCTATGACCGAGCGATCCGAGCCTTCCAGATCAAAACTACTTAGTAGTTGTAACGCACTTTGAAGCTGGTAGGGGCGCCGTCATCGGTCACCGTAATCTTCGGCTGATCAGGCTGCAGGTTCACCTCTTGCTTGAGAGAATAGGAATCCGCATTGACCACCGTGTTCGTGGCGGTAGTGCTGTGGCGCGCGATGTAGATGGATTCAATGGGAGTGATGTCGAATGTCTGGCCCGGGTGTAGCCCGAAAACCGTAACTGGGACGTAGTTGCCGTCTATTTTCCTAGCCAAACCCACCGCGTACTGGTTCTTATGCTTGAGGGCGCTGCTGGCAATGATGGAGAATGTTCCGGGCGGGGATAACCTGCTGTCTGCTGTCTTGAAATCGACACCGCCGCCGGTACGTGGTTTGGCTTCCAGTTCAGTGCCGTCGCCGGCTCGCCCTCCCAGATTGACGGGAAGTGCCTTTGTCAGTGAGATATTGGCACCCGCGGTCAAATCTGTGTTGATCTGGCTGGCATTGCCGAGAAAGCCGAACACCGTCGAGGAGATATTGAAAGTGACCGGCTCACCATCGTTGAGAAGACGGGACTGGTAGAAGACAACGGGCAGGCCAACACCACCCTGAGTGGCGTGTGTTCCATGGGGGAAGCCGAAGGCGATGTAGCGGAACGCCTGGTTGGCGTCACCAGTGTTGTTCTGAATGGTGATGGTGTAGTCCATCTTTGCGCTGTAGCAGCAAGGGCTAATAGAACACGTCCAGGTAAAGAGAATTGCAATGGTGATGGAGGTGATAGAGCTGGAGAGGGAAAAGGCATGGAGGAAGAGGAAACATTAGATGCTACACACTGCTGTATAAATACTTCTTCATGCCGGGCCTGCTTCCTTCACACAGTGTTAAGTCAAGAATAGCAACTCATGAATTCATACCACGAGCACAATGGCCCGGAAGGAAACTAGCAATCAAAAGCAACCAGCGTTTGCCACGTATCTGCTGCTGCATACCCTAGTGGCATGTGGATGCACGTTCTGAGGCTGCTGCTGCCACGCCCTGCCCTCATATTAGCCCCTGCCTCCATCCGCCACGTAGGATTACGTGATTGACAGTAGTTGTGCCCGATGGGAAGGCCTCCCTCTTCCACATCCCCCTTGGCCAAATCCCGATCACAGGCATTGCAAATTCATCATGGCGGACAGGAAATGCACCGTGGTTATCAAAAACGACGACGCCGACCCGAACGAGCGACATAAGTACTTTGCGTATTTTGTCGAGCAGGACGTCGCTGGCGGGTCGCTCACCCAGACACTGCAGCCCGTTTTCTTTTCAACAGAAGGTCTCGAGTCTGGTGATCAAGCCGACTTCAAAGTCTCCTCGCAGCTCTATGCCGTCATTGCCAAACGCAAGGGATTTCACGCAGGACGTTCGATTGGGAACAAAGAAGAGATCTCCCTGATAAAGGCTGAGAAGGTCGATATCGGCCGTAGAGGTGATGATGGCACCGCTCTAGTTGTCAAGTGGGACAACAACCGGGCTCGACCGGTGTTCGACGGGAGCCGCAAGGAGATGTCTGCCACGAGCGGCCGTTTCAGCATATTGTGCGACGCATCCATCCCACACAGCAACGCATTCGTGGTCGGGCTGGCTCGCAGGATTGGTACCGATATGCTGCGCCCTGTTGCCATTGTGCCCTGCGTGTCCAGCAAAGACTACCTGTTCAGCCCCAGGGAAAAGATCTACATTGAGCGATGCAAATCTGCGAATGAACCCATTGAGAATGGGATCATTATGTCCGCCAGTACAAGGGACTTCGGCATGAGAGTCTGTTTGCCGCTACGATTTGATGGAGAGGACATTAGCGTGAGCGAAAAGCTAGGACGCTTCTATGTCGACAACTTGCCTGGCCAAGCTACGTACGTGGCGGCTGAAGAGTCCGAATATGACGAGGGGCCTGTGCCAGCCCGGCGCCGCACACCACCAGCGCCTCCGCCGCCCCATCCGGCCTCAACATCTGGAAATCCCTACTCGACCTCGACGCCGCGACCCTCAAATCAGGACAGGAGCCGATTACATTCAGACCCGCCGGCCAGAGAGCCGAATCGCGAAGAGCACGGCTCCGCCAGAACGTGTTCGCATCCACCAAATGCCGTGCCCAGTGAACATCCCACTGATCATAGCCGCCCGTCTGCTCCAGAGTCCAGCTCTGGTGGTGGACGGGCCTCTGATAAGGCTCACCAATCCTCGCCGGACCCGAACCAGCAGGCCCCTAGCTTCGCTCACGAACCCCCCCGCAACAGCGCCACTACAGGGCAAGCTTCCTGCGAAGCTAGACCTGAGACGCGAAACCAGGGTGGAGAGACTCCGGAGCTCAGTGGCCCGGACGACAAAACAGACGACGAATCAGACGACGAGGCGCTGCTGTCGTTCGACCGGCTCCGCAACTTCCACACAGTGTTCGTCGTTGACGACACCGGCTCAATGCTTCTGCCTGCCTGTGGCGACTACACCGGCAAGCGGCAGGTGCCGCCTGGCTTTAAGGGGCGAACGCGCTGGGCCATGGTGCTCGACGCGCTGCAGTACATCGCCGACATCGCTGCGAAGCACGACGAGTCCGGCATCGACGTGTATTTCCTGGTCCAGTCCTGGCTCCAGCGCCAGGGCATTAGGTCCGGCAGTGTTGTTCGTGACTTGCTGGAGAGGAGAGGGGGGAGCCTCAGGTACGGCAGCGGGCCCACCAAGTTCGAGCCGGCCCTGCGGCCCATCCTGGAGGGCCATTTGGAAGACTATCGCGAATCGAAGAAGCCTGGGTCTGAGACCGCAATGCCCAGGCCGCTAGACCTGATCGTGCTGACGGACGGGGTTGCGAAGGACAAGAAGCAGACCGAATCCCTGATCGTGAAGACGGCGCAGGACTTGACCAGACTGAGGGCTGTACCGCGCCAGATTGGAATCCAGTTTGTGCAGGTCGGAGAGGACAGGAATGCCAAGGAGTTTTTAAAACACCTCGATGACGGCATAAAGTCACAGGGTGTGCGTGATGTGAGTCGCAACCTTTATGTTACCCGCACTCCGCTCTCCGTGTCCTGTGCTGACGAGCTCTTGTCCCATCTTCCTTCCAGATTGTTGACACGAAACGTTACGATAACCAGGAGGGTGGGTTGCCTCTTAAGGAGCAGCTCGCCAAGATTTTACTCGGGGCAATGGACGATGACATTGATGAGGAAGAGTAGTAGTAAAGGTTGCATCCTGCAAGCCCTTGCTTGGCACTCCCGCTGTAACAACCGTACGATCTACATGCGGCTCTCACGGTGGCACATGAGAAGAATCACGTGACAAAGTAAGTAACACCGGGTGGGTATCAATGATGATTGTAATAAAGGCTGAGGCTTTCTTTCGAGGCCTCCCGACTCTCTATCTATACCCGCTGTTCGATCGTCAGGTATCCTTCTATTCGTCATCCTCAGATCTCTTAATCTCCTTGAAATCGGATGTGAAGATCGAACAAACTGGAAGCTATGGCAGATGGCAGCCCGAGTCCGTGATCAGCATAGAACACAGGTTCCTAAGCTCCTTAACAAAGTAAAAGGAGGCAGGAGCATCGCATGCTTAGAGACAGCTTTTGTAGCGCGCTCTTGGATGTTCTTCCGTTCGGACGGCTGCAGGTCTGGCCGCCCGTTATGTGGCCTTGGCATGCCTCTCCGGGCCGCCACTGATACCGAAGGTCTCTGTATCTGTCCAGATACTCTATCCTCCATGTGGCAATTATCGTGTTCGAGAGTGCGATTACCGAATTGGCCTCTGCGGATTAGCATCAGAGGCAGCACCGTCCCTCCCTCCGCCTCCCCCGGGGGGTCCCTCGACGCTCTCCCGTGGTCGGCTGTGCGTCCCTCAGTTTCCAACCACGTGCACCATTAAAGCGGTTTCGCTCCGACTCCTGAACGAAAATGGTGATGGAAGAAGGACAGTTTAGGGCATATGTAATGTATATATATATATAACTATTCATATATGCATGTGTTTCTCAAACACCCGTTGTTCGTCAGTAATGTATTTCGACTACAATACTACACTACTTAGGTCCTCGACTCTCTGTCCCATCTCCCGGCCCGAGATAGTCAAGACGATGACAGTGTCGATCTCGGGTAATTGTGTATTGTGTCTTTCTGCGACGTCATCCCTCCCTTTGCCATTGACAAGAACAAATGGATCCCCATACATACATAGATGGAACTCATTACACCTATTGCAGTCCACTACTCCTGCTCTGCACTGCTGACTTCTTGAAGACCAGACCAGACCAGGCTGTTCACCACGACACCATCCACATAGATATCCTAGATGAGCTCTCGGCAGGCAGACGGACCGTGGACTACATCTTCGCACCAGTCGTCCCCAGAAACGCATCGTGAAGACTGGGAATGCCCAGGCCGACTCCGGCCGTGGCGCCCGCGTCGACGGGCAGGATGACACCTGGAAAGGTAGGTAAGGAAGGGGATCCGTCAGCATGGATCTGTCGCTGGCCTCAATCCAATTCAATCCAAGCCAAGCCATCATGGAATAGTGACGATGAAGATTCAATATTTCCTTTCCTTTTCGCCAGCAGGGATGAAGGCACGAGAAAGAAAGAAATAACTTACCCGTGATCCACCGCGCACAGTCTGACGCCAGGAACCGCACCGCGGCGCCGATGTCCCATCCGCTGCCCTCGGTGCGGAGAATACTTCGAGAGGCGCGGGCCTGGCGCTCGGCGTCGGACATGCCGCCCTCAACGCCACTGTATGTGTTTCAAGATGTTAGATATTTCTGGGTTGGAGTTGGAGAGGGAGGGGAGAGGGAGAGGGAGACCTGCCGTCTCCTTAGGGGGGATGAGTTGACTTACTACATCATGGGAGTGTAGACCATTCCTGGAGTTTCCGTCAGTGGATCAGATCGAAAGAAACCAAGCTTATGACTCCCAGAGGGATGCTGGATAGATCAACTCACCTGGACAGACGCAGTTGACTCTGATGCGGTCCTTGCCGTGGTGTGTTGCCTGGAGAATGGTGTCGATATCAGCATCAGTATCGCCCAGTCAGTCAATCAGGTCAATCAGTCAATCTCTGTCCCTCTCCCTCTTTGTCCCCACAGGCCGCGTCCGAACCAGAACACCAACTCGCGAAATCGATGTCATGATCAACATTCTGGGGTGAGGGGTTTTTTTTTTTCAATCTTGGCACCTACCATCGCACGAGTCAAGTTGACCACCGACCCCTTGGATGTGGGATAGAAGATGGCCGGGTGGCCGCCGCGCAGGCCGGCCACGCTGGCGAGGTTGACGATGGCCCCCGCGCACTGGCCTGGGTTCTTGATCATGGCCGGAATGGCGTATTTGGCCATCATGACCATGCTGCCGACGTTCACTTCCATCGCCTTGTAAAAGGCCGTCATGTCGACTTCGGTCGAGGTGCCCTTGGGGCCGGAGATGCCTGTGTACATAAAAGGAGGAGTCAAAAACAACATGTCCCAAGAGCAGGAAATGCTACATCCACCACCCAAAGAGAGTCATCTCCACTCCGTGAGTGTCCAGGACCTACCGACGTTGTTCACCAGAATGTCCAACCGGCCGTACTTCTCCACCGCCAGGGCCACCACCTTCCGACAGTCGTCCTCCTTGGTCACGTCGGCGACCACAGCGACCCCGGCGCCGTGCACGGCGGATTCGATCATCTCGACGGTGCGCTGTGCCAGAGCGAGCTTCAAGTCCACACACACCACCGAGCACCCGTCCTGGGCGAGCAGGAGCGCGGCGGCGCGGCCGTTGCCGATCCCGTCCCCGAGAGCTCCCGCGCCGGTGACGATGGCGACTTTGCGGTGCAGGAATCGCTCGGGCGGTGGGTGAGACATGTTGCTAGAATGAATACCGTGGATGGAGGAAGGGTGGGCAGAATCTAAAGCATATCAAGGATCGAGGTATTCAGGGTTCCAACGAAATGGATAGACCACAGCCTGTGACTTTTGCACAGCTTGGCGAGGGAGAAATAAGTCTCGGCTCTCGTACAGATCGCGCACCTTTCGTGTCGAAGACAAGTCAAATCTCTCTCTCTCTCTCTCTCCGAGAGTTTTCCTAGGGAAATGTTTGACCTGGGCTCGAACGAGGGTCAGTCCCATAGCCGGGATCCGGCAATACATCATATTGTTGGAGACAAAGCGGGAAAATCCCTGCGGGGTCTGGGGTTCCTTTACCAAGGTAGAACTAACTATACCTCCGGGTCATCTGGTCCTATTGGGTGAGCAAAGGCCGCTTTAGCCGAGTGAACTTGGGGCACAGCCTTGTACAGACAGTATCTCCGACGTGCCAGGTTCTGCACCACCGACGAGGGACGTTGTATTTGGCTCGCTGGCAAGAGTATGTAGGCTCATGGGCCGTTCCGTCTCGCGGAAGTCGAGGTCGAGAAGCAGCCGCAGCACCACCACCAAGTCGGCTGAAGACATGCTGCTTGATCCCGGGGGTGGTAGATTAGATTCACCCACCCTGCAAGCGACAAGACTGTGATGGCAATTGCATCCGAGACAGTCACTATATTGAGCTGAATAATACATTGCGGATTAGCTAGCCATGACAGTTCAGGCACGTGCCGCTCTGTAGAAATCTACACATCTGCGGGAAAATATAATGATGCTGAAGGCTTAACGGAACCGATCGATAGAGAGTCAGGTTGACTGATGATGGGCTCTATATACATATTGGGGGGTGTGAGCTGAGTTGTGCTACCTCACCAGAACCGACAACACGGGGTTCGGTAATATACATACTCTATGTGTGGAAGCACAGCCAGCCAGTCAGTCGTCAGTTGGTTAGATTGTGGTGTGTCGTAGCACCTCCCTCCATCGCACCGTCGCCCATCCAAGGGCCACCAGGTTTTCAATAGGCCCAAAGAAAAGTATGTATTGCATTGCCACTATTTTGGGATGATCTTATACCATCCACCGACTCAAGCTCGTCATTCCAGGGTTGCAGGGGATCACTTATTCCCTCTGCCCAACCAGAGGACATCTCCACCCCCGACGACGCTTCTCTCCGCTCAACACACAGGGAAGGAAGGAGACGCACGCACGCACGCACGCCCTTATCAGGACAACGATGGTGACATGTCACACATGTATGTATGTAAGTGGTGTAGATGTTGTCAACAGGGTTGCATATTCCATCATTGCTCGATCGCCACCCTGGTGTCCCGCCTTTTTATCCATCCATTTCCGTATTCTTCATATACCTGTTGCACCGTACCACCCTGCCCTCCCCGGGTGCCCCCAATGTGGACTTCGACGGTTCCTTTTGCGATCAGGAAGGAAAGACAGAGACCAAGACAAAGTCGAAGAAGTCACACTCCTTACTGCCTGCATTTGAAGATATGGCATTGTCACGGGTCAAGACCACCATCTGGGGCGTGCCCAGCGTCGAACGCAGCCTCCTGATCAAACTCGACTTCACGTTGTTGATCTACTTCTCGCTGATCTGGTTCCTCTTCGGCATCAACCGCGCCAGCTACAGCACGGCCTACATCAGTGGCATGGGTGAGGCCCTGCACTTCCACGGCAAGGACTACAATTACATGAACACCATCTTCATCGTCACCTATGCCGTGTTCCAGATGCCCGCGACCTCGCTGCTGACCGTGGTGCGGCCCCGCTACATCTTTGTCGCCGCCAACACCCTGTGGTCCGTCCTCACGCTGGTCACCTTCCGCGTCGACCGCGTGTGGCAGGTCTTTGTGCTCAACGCCTTCGAGGGCGCCTTGTCCGCCATCTGCTAGTAAGTGGACCACCCGCTAAGCCCTTCCCCTTGTTGCGGTTTAGTTGACATGGGACCCTGCTGACGCGGCTCCGAAAGTGTTGGGGCACACTTCATATACGCGTCGTGGTACCGGCAATCCGAGCTGGGCAAGAGGGCCGCCGTCTTTTGCGGCTTCGGCAACATCGGTAACATGGCGGGAGGCTGGATCCAGGCAGGTCTCCTGGGCTCGCTGTCGGGAAAGGGGGGCTTGCCGGCTTGGAGATTGATCTTTATCGTGGTCGCCGTCACAACGATCCCCGTCGCAATTTTCGGTAAGTGAGAGAGGGCTGTATCGGCTGGGAAGACAAGGGTCAGGGCTGATACCTGTGGATGTCCAGGCTGGTTCTTCATCCCCGACATGCCGTCCCATCGAGCAGCTTGGTTCTTGACCAAGGCGGAGCGAGAGCACGCTGCCAGCCGCCTGGGAGTGTCACGAAAGCATACCTGGGATCTGAGCGTGTTCCAACGGGTGCTTCTCAGCTGGCAGTTCTATCTGCTCCCCACAATCTTTATGCGTACGTCAGAAAAACTCTCGCTCGGAGTTGAGAAAACACTGACCTGAATCATCCGTCCAGTCTACTCCCTTTGCGTCCAGATGCTGCTGAACAACGTGATGCAACTGTGGATGAAGTCGCGCGGGTACACGCTCATACAGCAGAACAACTACCCGACCGGCGTGTATGCGACGGGCATCGTGGCCACCTTCATCTACGCCTGGGTCTCCGACCGGCTGCGTTCTCGCTGGCAAGCCTCGTTGTGCATCGGCTTCACATTCGTCATCGGCAGCGCGATCCTCGTCTCCCGGCCATCCACCGCCGGGTACTTCTTCGCCTTCTATCTGCTCGGCACGGGCTATGCACCGCAGGCATTGTGGTATTCGTGGATGGCCGACCTCACGGCCCACGACGTGCAGCTGCGTGCCATCACCACGGGCTTCATGAATTCCTTCGACTTTGCCTTTGTCAGCTGGTGGCCACTCATCTTCTACCCTGTCACCGACGCCCCGGATTATCACAAGGGGTACGTGGCCAGTCTCGTCACCGGCGCCTGCACGATCCCGCTGGTGCTGATCATCGCCTGGTTGGAGAAGAGAGGTCGGGCTAGGGGCGTGATAGGCAGGATTCAAGGTACAACAGAAGACGATGATGATGGCAGCGTCGTTGAAACCACGGAGGAGCAAGTCGACACCTTGACCAAGGCGATAGCGCCGATCGGCCCAGCAGCAAACGTGCCAGTATAGCGGCCTGACTATACCGGGAATATTGATCTGGACCCTCTCGCGACGAACGAAAGATCCCTGCCCCGAGCCACGCTGGAGGCCGCCTTCCGCAGGAGAGAGGTCCCGACACGGAAACAGGGTACCTCGATAAGGCATCATAACTTTGGTAGCGTAGACTTGATGCTCAATGTACCTGATTCATCTCAGCATCGAGCTGTTGCCGATCCAGAACGGTCACCGTCTTCGGAGTTCCATAGAATGAAGGCGAATAGAGGAGGCTCCAGCAAAGCCGTCTGGTATCCAGAGTTCCGAGCCAGATACTAGGTACTAACGCGACGGTGGTTTTGCCAGGCAGGCTGCCGTTGGGACAAAGCAAGCCGAGTTGCTCAATAACAACACCATTTGAAGACACAAGGGACGCCAGTATGACGCTCTGTGATGGGACGGCGCAGTCGTTTACCTCAGAGAAGGACACACACACAAAGTCGTCAAGATGCTTTGCCACAGTCACAGTCCACTCCGCCGTTCTTCCCGACGCTGCAGGCTCTAGGAACGGTAGGACCGAGGAGAGCGAAGGAAAGAGTGGAGCTGCGGGAGTACGTTAGTAGCTTCGAACAAAGATACTGTGTCAAGACTTACCATTATTTTCTTCGAGGATGACAGAAAGCCTGATAAGGGAAAGTTCCGTTGTAAGCAGCTGACGAGGGATACGTGCACGTAGCACGTCGCGTGCCTTTTCTGCCGTAGTGTTCAAGAGCGTCGCGAAGTGATTTAATAACCGAGCGGATTGTGCCCTGAGAATGATTAGTATTTTGCTCGTCGGCGCGCCGTCGGGAAAAGAAAAGAATTCACAGATCTAAAACCGTCTCCCGAACATGTTTGCGCTGAACATCCACTGCCACCCTCAACGTCCGTAGTAGAAGTCGGCAGGGGCGCTCCGGCGTGAAAGTGTAGGACCAGCTAAAGTCGTACAAAGCAATGTCGTGTAGACAGTCTGGGAGTCCAAAGCAATCATTTTTGATGTCGTCGTGAGAGATACCAAGCGCATGTAACGCCGTCACCATTCTCAGCCGACCCTTCAACACGCTGAGATACCAACTTGCTTCAACATCCGACAAGTCCATGTCGGCGAGTGCAAGTTGCAGTATTGTGAGATGTGGTCGGAAATCTTCAGGGACACTTGCAGATTGCAGCCGGCGGTTTTCAATTCCAGGCTGGAGAAGGTCCATCACAACCCCTTGACGGCGAGTCCGACCAGATCCCCAAGGTATGTCGATGATACCATGATAGCCCGGGAACAAATGTCGCTGTGATTCTGGGCAAAATCGGCGTATCTGCTCGTAAGCTTTCGCCTCCTGGATGAATGGGCTGTAGTCATTCTTGACTTGCTGGAGGCTTGGCTGTGGGTAATGAAGCCGTGCCAACAGACTTCTTGCTTCGTCATCCGTAAAAGGTCGGAACTGGGAAGATAGTTAAAGAGAGAAAAGATATCTTCTTACAGGCAACGAACCAATTTGACGGCATATTGACCGAGGGGCCCTTCAGCAAGCCATACTTGAGCGGGCACCTCAGGCGGAGGCAGATGGAGAGCTCGAATAAAGCGCAGCCCAGTGGTAGGGAATCGTAGCGATGTTTGCTCCAGATTAGATGTCCATCTTCTGTCCACCCCGACAATGGCCTCTGTGTCGGCGAAGTATTCCTGTTCCCATGACTGCTGGTGGTGATGCGCTGGAAGTCTTTTGGCAGGTTCATAGGACGCAGAAAGCGTCAATTTTCTCTTTTGTTGGAACGGAACCTCCATCAGAGAAGTGTTTGAAGAACAAACAGGAGGAGAAACGAACAAACGCGTGGGATGATGAACTGAAATAACACGACTCAACGACAACAAGACAAGCGCATAAACATTCCATATGGTGCGCCGTACTCTTCGGATGTCATACTCGGGGGGAGCACTAACGAAAATTGCGCAGATCACTCCGGTAAACCAACCATAAATTCTTCCGATATCTTGGCGTTTTTGCAGGTTGTCAACCTCATCTTCAATCTTTCGAGGTTGATGCCTTGCACGCAGCCTCTTGTGCCTTGTCATTTCACCCTCACATTCTCCGTCGGCTTCGCAAGATCCTGGAAAGCCAGGCTGAAGCGAGCAGTGTGCATGGGTCGTTGATGTTGATATCCCAACTCCTGGCCCTCCGAGCTCCGAGTGCCAGGAACTGTCCCCAGGTACATTGGTCGTAAACGCAATGTCATTCATTCTTCCGCTATCGCTATTTTACGATTCCGTCCACACGACGGATCGACAGCTCCCCTCCTTTCGACTCTTCTGAGGGCGTCGATACCTCTCGAGCAAATGGCTCCTCCACAGGGGCAGGCCTCATATAAGAAACAGCCCGGGATCCTGTCAATCTCCAAGGACAGGAAGTCGGTGTCATGGACTCCAGCTCAGCCGCCAGACGCGGCTCCGACCTTGGTGCTCTCTGCGGCCAACATCACCAACCTCCAACAGACCCCTGAGACGAACCCCAAGGTGATGCTGAAGATATTCGCACAGGATCCCGGACAGTCGGAACCAGTCGCCCATGTCTTCACGTTCACGTCTTCCAAAGATCCACGGGGCGAGGCCAACGGTATCAAGGAAGCTCTGGCAAACGTCATTCAGGCGCAAAAGGCGGCGCAAAATGTGGCCGCAACCTCCTCGTCAGGCCAGTCCGCCGCCATGACAATGGCTAATGCTATTTCCGGCGCTGGTCGAACCAGCAATATTTGGGAAGATGACGAACGACTCAAGTCCGACGCCAAGCTGCAGCACTCCCTGATGCAAGAAGACCCAGCGTTGCAAAAGACTTTCAAGGAAGCGCTCAGTCTCAAGCCCGACTCCATATCTGAGGCACAGTTCAGAGCCCAGTTCTGGTCCTCCCGGGTACATCTCCTTCGGGCCCACGCGCTCTCCAAGAGCCAAGGAAGAGGCAGCTACAACGTCTTGGCCGGGATCAAAAAAGATGACGGTGGCCGGATGAGTCTGAGGCAAGACCAGATCCGCGCCATTTTCGAACAATACCCCGTCATGCGCATCGTTTACGACGAACTGGTGCCGCGCAAAATTCCCGACGACAAAGATTTCTGGTCGAGATTTTTCCAAAGCCAGCTGCTCATGAAACTGCGTGGGCTCAAATTCGATCCCATGCGGGAATCCCGAGATCAATACATCGATGTCGACCACTACCTGTTCCACCCCCTGGTCACAGGTCTGCGGCCTACTGCCACAGAAATGCACATTCCCAAGTTTATCGATCTGGAGGGAAACGTTGAGAATCACTTCGGCTATGGCAATCGGCCGGACAGCGAGCTGCGGCCTACGACGCTAGACAAGGCGCCTATCATTCGCAAGCTCAACGCGATCAGCGAGAAACTGATGGCGGCTGTCAAGCCCTCTGATGTCGATGCATCGGCGCCGATTGGGATGACCGAGGCCGCCTACGAGCAGCTGAAGCTTCACGACTTGGAAGGTACCCCGGAACCGCATCACATCATCCTCAATATCCGCGACCAAAGTCGCTTTTTCTCCGACAGCCAGTCCGCTCAAGCGGGTGCGAACGCTGTAGCCGACAGCAACCCCTTCCGAAACCTCGATCCCGCCAAGGCGATCAAAGACGTGCATGCTGATCTTTCCGCACATTTCGCTCAGCCGGGCGTCGGCGTCATTCCGATCGGTGACTTCGAAGAGGACGACGACGAAGAGATGGAGGACGAGTCTTCACCGGGAGTGGAGAGTGGTTCCTCGATTGCCATGAAACATGTCCTCTCCCTGATCCGAGCCCACCGGGACCAGACATCACCGATTCCAGAGGCCTCTGGACTCAGCACGGCGATCTACGACCGACTCAGCCTCACACACGCCACCACGGTGGAGTTCCTCCGGCAGTTCTGGAACGCGTTCCTGTCCGGCGACCCGTCGCGCGCGAACGAAGTGGCCAGCCTCGTCGAGAGCCTCCACCGGGCGCAGGAGCGGATCAACGCCATCGCCGACAACGCGGAAAAGGAAAGACAGGACATCATCCGGGCAAAGGAGAAGGAGGTGAACGAACGAAATGATGGCAGAGCAGGAAAACGACTCAAATTTCACCCCAATTCCGTCAAGGGTGGACGACACGTCGTCAGGCAGTTGCTCGGCCCCATCACGAAGAGTCTGGATGTGGCGATGAGGATGTACAAGCAGGCCTTGGAGGACCAGGCCAAGAATTCTGGCGAGGGATGAATCCCCTTCCAGCGCGAGAACTGCACCTTTTTTCTAAGTGACAAGCGGGATCCAATCTCCATCTGAAAGGTCGGTCCCAGTCTTCGAGAACTTTGGAGGCTTTTTTTTGGACGTATGCCGTTCTGCCTTCCGAAGACCGAGTGGACACGGGGCGAATTGTACTAGGAAGAGAACCTAGCCACTGTCACGACCAATGCAACCGACTGGCCGCACGACGAGCTCGATCAGGCCTTGCAGGGTCTGGTAAGGCAAGCAGGTTAGATCCTCACTGAAAAGACCGACCTGGCATGCATACATACATACAGCCCAGATGAACGATAATCTCTCAAGCGTCTCTCGTCGGAGCTCGACCCGACACCTTCTCGGAAAACAATTCGCCTATGCATGCAACAAGAAGTATTCTACAACAAAACAAACTCCGGACGTATCTAGAACTGTACTACTTTATGAACTCCGACACGGACCGCAGGCAGGCAGGCAGGCAGGGGTTTATTTTTGGGGAGATTTGGGTGAGATAGATTATGTATTTCTTCTTCTTCTTCTTCTTCTTCTTCTTCTTCTTCTTCTTCTTCTTCTTCTTCTTCTTCTTCTTCTTCTTCTTCTTCTTCTTCTTCTTCTTCTTCTTCTTCTTCTTCTTCTTCTTCTTCTTCTTCTTC